GAGTTGACTATGTAGATTCTCCTTTAATTCTCCTTGTTACCTAAAAGGTACAATTATGGTTTCCTTATTTGTAAATATCCATATTATCCCAGTTACCGTTATTTACTGTCATTATACAATGCTTACTTAATATTTATGATGTATAGTGCTATAAGTGATTATTCATTTATATGATGAAAGACTATTTATTATATTTTGTATTGAAAGTGCTCAGATCACCACAAGCCTGGCCGCATCAAGTTACGGGATGTACGATCACTATTGAGTTCTACCTACCGGCAAATTACTACTGAGCAAGCATCAACATTGATCAATCCGTTCACTTGGGATAAAATATTAGATGCAAGCAACCGCTCTCCTCGAAAAAGTAGTCCAGGTAGTGATGGTTTACCTTATGAAATTCTTGGTATTGTCCTTCACATCCCTTGCCTAAAGCCTCTAATACTTCAAGTATACAACGATGCTTTATCCCAGTCTCTTTTTCCTGGCTCTTTGCTAATATCATTGATGACATTGCTTCCGAAAAAGGGTAACTTAGTATCTGCCAGTAACTATAGGCCAATACAGTTGGCTAACACTGATAACAAGATCTTCACCAGAATTCTTAATCAGCGCATCATGTCGATAGCATCTCCCATGATCAATCGACACCAGCTAGTGTTTATGCCTGGAAGGTTCATTGCTGAACATGGTATGTTGACTCAAATAATCATTGAAAATGCTGCCTACAACTATAAGGAAGAAGATCAAGACTTAGGGCTACTACTAGAACAAGAAAAGGCTTACGATCGAGTTAATTTAGAATACCTATCTCTCGTACTACGGCACCTTGGTTTTCCTGAAACATTAGTCGATTGCCTATACTTTTTCTTCCAGCAAAACAAGATTCGTATCAACATAAATGGTTGGCTATCATCTACTCTAGTACCCAAACGCCGTGGTTTGAAGCAAGGCGATCCAATCTCTTGTATTCTTTACAACTTCACTCTTGAGCCTCTACTAAAAACTATACTTATGGATGATCAGTTTACTGGGTATTGTTTCAAATCTAATTTGACTGATATTCAGCCAATTCTGCCACCTATCAAGCTTCTAAGTTATGCGGATGATACTATGGTATTCCTCCACGATGTTGACGATTTGCTCAGACTACAAGTGTATTTGCGTACCTACTGTGATGCTTCCAGCGCCAAAATCAACTTCAATAAAGCTCGAGCTCTCTCTATCAGGCAGAGATATGAATGGCAAGTGGATATCCGTATTAGAAGATCTTGAAATCAACAAAATTGGGATTACAGCAATACTGATCCCATTATTTACTCGGGCTTCTTTCTGATACAATTATCCACTCAGCGAACATCCTTCTTCTCCTCGTTCGTTGGATCTTTAAAAGCAGCCTCTGATTCTTATGCCAGCCGCAACCTTTCATTTTAGGACGCGCTACCGTAGCAAATACGCTCATTCTGTCAAAATGTTAGTACCTGCTAGGAGTCACACCCGTAACAAAAGCCATTGTTCAGTCGATCAAAAGTGTAATCACATCATTTGTCACTCACGGTATTTTTCCTCGCCTAAGTTGGGGACTGATGACTACACCTAGAAAATTTGGTGATTTAGGTGTCTTGGACCTTGAGACACAGCAAAGCTCATTATACTTCCGTTGGGTTCATCCGCTCACTCACCCAACAGCAGAACGTAGCCTAGTGTATGATTTCGCTCTCCACCATTGCTGCCAACTACTTCAAACGGACAATCTTTTGCTTCACTTACTTTTCTCTCGAGCTCGTCCACATTCGTTTAGATTCATGGCTACCAACACCGTCACAATGATCTGTCGAACTATGGACCTTATTCCACGCAATAATTACACATACATGCCCAGCTCAATTGACTGTCTTCTGCTACCTCTCTCTGTAATTGTTCCCCTCTCTGCCTCTAGTATTTTGTCTCCAAAACTACGGCCTCTTCCTGTTTCTGGTCTATATGCCTATCATCCTCAAGGACATATCCTCCGACCCATTGTAGAGGGCTAATATCTCTGGAGATCTACTCTTTGTCAAACGAAAGTTTCTTAGAGCGGTGAATGATGGTAGATACCAACTGGAACCCTTTTTCCAACAATGCCTTGCCCCCTCTTCCCTTGACCTTTACAATTCTGTCTACGTACCAACAATCAAGCGCTCTACTGGATTTTGCTCTTTTATTCATGCCTTGCACCTACCAATTACAGATCCTCAAAATGATACCTTTCAATATGCTCGACGTTCTTTTAAAGCCGCATTGGTAAAAGCATCAATGCAGGGATTTGTTGGTCAATCTTCTGTCTCTCCTTCTGCTTGAAAGCTCTCTTGGTGCATGACTTTTACCAGCGTATAGCGTAGCACTATTTACCGTTTGCTAACTGGGAAAGTCCTTACCAAATCCCTTCTCTTCAACATGGCTCTTTCCACTGCTCCTACCCCACTTTGTTCCTTTTGTCAAGAAGCTGAAACTGCCTTCCACTTTCTCTTTCGATGCCCCCAGAAATTCATCTTCTGGGATATTGTTATTCGTGAATTTCTTTGACCTAGTACCTCTATCAATGATATCTCCTCAACTCTTCAATCCCTAGATTTCAACAAAATCAATGTCAACAATTCTTGTCCGATTGAAGTCGAAACGTTACTTGTCTTTGCTCTTTCAGAACTTTGGAAAGCTCATTGGGCTCATATACATCGAAGAGAGCCCTTCCTTGCAATTATAGCATTCAGTCAAACCCTCCGGGCAGTTGGCCGCCGCGCTGCTGAAGAGACAAATTGTCTCGATTAATTCCTTCATCTCTCCTTCTTCTTTTCATCATTGTTTCGCTTGGTTTTAGCTTTTATATAGTCTTTGTCTCATTTTTAATTTTATTTTATCTCCTCTAACTTTATAATAACTCATTGCCGAGCACCTCTTTTTTGTAGCGCGATAGGGCTACAAAATACGTGCGGCAAATAGAATTTTTTTTTTTTTAAAAAAAAGAGCCCTATAATATGCCAAGATGATACTTAAACGAGCTCAGTTTTTTGGATAATGTAAATAGAAAATCATTACTTGGTGGTACAGCCTTTGGCGTCAATCACAGCTTGGCATTGGTTGGCCATATTGTGTAGTGGTATGAATGTAATGATTTGAAGCAATTATGCAATTGAGGATTATTCAACTACCTCCTCGTGTCCGCGTAAGTATCTTACATAGACTGGTTCATACCTGTCACTAATTTATTGTCCTTCTATTCTCTGCTTTTCCTTATAGTCTAATGCAAGTAGCAATACAAGTATTATTCATGTATCTCGTACTCTGCTTAATTTCTAGAGTTTGATCTTTGCTTATTTTTTTTTAATAAAGTGTACGTTGGTTTCTCCTATTGATACTTATCTGTTTAATAGAACGCCTTTTTCCACATTAACAGCTTGATGTAATTGTAGGAAAATTAGTTAGAAGTTTTCTATATTTGTGCTTCAGAAAAATTATGTATCAATCGCTTGGTTTACTTGTTATCATAGCGGCAGCAATGGATTTTTGGTAAGCCGCTCAAAGACCTGCATTATATAAGAAAATTTAGACTGACAGCGCAAGAAGAAATATAGAAAAAAGAACGTCATTTCTTTTGGAATTTAACGTAGCTTGTTCAATGGTAAAGCGCATCGATGAGATTGCCTATCAATGTAGATCATTCAATGAAGATTGTATCCTTTAAGAAACCAATCTCATCGGCAGGCTCACCCTGAACAAGTAAAACCATACAAGCACATTCTCTTGTCCAAATTACACTTTGCCCCTGTCTTATTTGTTGAGTGTGAAGCTCTTCAAAGCACTCAGGAAAGCAATGATTTTTTCTGCCGCGCGTTGTTGAAAAATGTTGATTACTGTATTTCTCTGTTGAACTCGAAACTCACAGAGAAAATCAGGTTGTTGAAAGACAAACCAGAAGAATAAAAAAACTGCTAAATACATTTGGGCAATCAGTGTTCTTTTTTTTTATAGAGTTGAGACTGTGCCCTAGTCCGAAGCTCAAAGACAATCATAACGAATAGTTGAATAAAAATTCTTATAAAAATACTCAGCAAGCATTTCAATTTACTTGTGCTTACTATTTTGGTATTTCTTCTCTGAAGATGAAGGCATGGCATGTTTATTTATTTCTTACAACATCTTCTGTTACTGACTTATTTAATAGCTTTGCTTTCTCTACGACTCTGTAATGATCTGGCATTAAACAAGTCTTCAACTACATAATAAAATGCATCATAATCAATCTGCATAGAAAATAGACATAAAAGAGTCCCTTGCATTGAATAGGACATTATACCTTTTAATAGATCAAGATTTACAACTGAAATTCATAATTTACATTATTTAGTTAATTTAAAATAGTCTATGATAATAGAGACTCAGTCATTTGCGTGTATAAATACGTTAGAATAATTCATGTTCAAGAAACGAACAATAAAACACTTTTATGCACAATGTACTTTATTTGGGTCTTGTATTACGTTTTTTTTACAGGAAATCATCCTTTCTTTTTGATTGTCGAAAAGACGCTTTTCTTCAGAGAGAAATAAGAAAAATCAGAGGAGAAAAAAAAAAGGAATAAATAGAAATGACATATCATTTTGACAATAACAAGTAAAGATCAAATAAAGTATTTGAAGTTATCAGTCATGTCTGTTTATAAAAAGTGAAGAATTGGGTTTTTAGAAAAGGACATTGTCAAAATCAGAATATGAAATGCTTATTGTTTGCTTTACTATAATGTAGTTATTTTAGAGCTCAACTTTGATATGTATATAGGTAAGGTATCCTCTCTTATTATTGGGAAACTTTTTGAGTCGGCATAAACAGTGCTGTTTCAAATGTATTAAATCATTGCCTTTATTAAGGTGCATCAATAATTCATATCGAGATGCTGTATAAGACAAAACATCATGTCTTTAAAATATCTAGCCAGAGAGACTTATTTATATATATATATATGACTCCATTTGACAAGCTTCTTTTCAGCTTGTCATACACGCATGTTCGAGGTACCAAGCAAACAAAAACCCCGATCCAAAAAGTGCATAAATAGCTTAATTTCTTTTTTTTATCCGTTTTCTTTTTAATGTCATTACTTCCAAACGAAATCATTCATTTGATTGCTTCGTTTTCAAACGATAAGGCTGCATTCAAAAACTACTTAAATGTCTGTCGTCGTTGGCACAGCATCCTCAGTCCTGTTTTTTATCATCATATCACACTCACGACAAGGTCTCAGTTTAAAAAGCTTACTTCTGTTCTTGAACAAAATCCAACTCTGCAACAGCATGTCAGACATCTTTATCTAGAGGACAGCATTCATTTATCTAAACAGGAAGTGGATATGTTACCCATCATCATGCCACTTTTAAACACCCTGTATTTCAACCCTAAGATATGGAAATACACTAAGTTACACAATACTTGGGAACAAATCAAAGTGCTACCTCCTCTTTCAAACTACCCAGAGACGTTTGACTTTATAGAGTGCTATGGTCACACATTGGAGGAACTAACTCTATTAGGAGGGTTCATTAGCCCACAATTCCATTTGGCGTTATCTGGGCAGACGGACAAGACACTTTTAGACCTGGTCCAATATACGCCTCATATACGCCGTTTGTGTGTCTATAGCCAGTCGCATTATTCGAAAATAACACTCTCGATACATGACCTTGTTCGTCTACATGCAGGGTTACCACGCCTTGTCAAATTAGAATTCTTGGATATCGCTCTTTCAAGTTCAGTGTTGTCCCAAGGTCCACTCTGTCCCGCCCTAACAATGGAAACCATTCGATGGAAGGGGTCTGTGTACTCTTCAGCATGGCCTCTTTATCTCGCTCAACTCTACCCTTACGTTAAACATTTAGACCTTGATTTGCGATGGGACGCTCAGTACAAACAGCACATGGCATGGGAAGATTTGATGCAAATACAAGACGGTCTCTATCAAATCGCTACACAATGTCGATATTTAGAAAAAGTACACTTAGGTGACCTGGAGTCACTGACTAAGTCAAGGATGGGCTTCTTTGAACATTTGCAAAACACAGCACGAAGACTTACAGCGCTCTACCATACTCATATGCACGAAGCAAACGGTAAGCCTCCTTTTCAGGCATTTAAGACCATGTTGGCCTGTACACATCCACAAAAGACACGATCATTGCAGTTTCAATTATGGAGAAGTTTACCCGGTATTCAGCATATTGTCCAGCCTATCGGAACTTATTGCACTAGGCTGACTGAACTTGAGCTGAATGGCGGGCCATTCGCTTATGCCTGGCACTGTGGGTGTGATATAAACGTCATTTTGAACCATTGCCAACAACTAAAGAAACTGACACTTAAATCATGTCGCTTGACATGTGATACAGAGACAGCCGTGACGCATGACAGTCTTGTTGAATTCATTCAGCTCTATCAAGTGCATTTTACTACGCTGTCCTTGTCGGTCTTGGGTCAACAGTGTCCTCGTCTAGACCATTTAGAGATGATCAACTGTGTCAAGAACCGAGACGATTTTGGACACAAGGTTCATTTGTGTTTGCCTCGTCAACGTCTACAGCGACTCATTGTCAAACACTTGTTTCTGAGACCGAGCCCTTATGTTGAAAAGAGTGGCATTGATACTGCTATACTAGCCATCAACTTGACAGATCGAAGTGAGCACAATCTAAAGCGCCACTCTCACAAATTATGTACACGGTGGTACCATCTCAACAGTCACCAAACGAAAAGTGAACATACACGTCAATTAAAAAAGCTTAGCTATTTAGAGTCTGAACAAGTGAAGGACTATACAATGAAAGAAAAAGACTGGGATTTACTTGAAGAAAACTCAATTCGAGGCACTTATCGGAAGTCAGAGTATTGGGAAAGTGATATTCCCTTTGGATATTTTCAAGTAGACTGTAAACATATTTCTTTATTTGTATTCAATAAAGTCAGAGTTTAGAGTGGATGACTCGTCTGAAAACGAAGAGAGTATGTCCTACAAAACTAGATGCTTAAAAACCGTTTGCATGCTTCACATAGGCAAAAACACAGACCAAAAAAAAAAAAAAAAAAAAAAAAAATCATGCATCTTCGCGCGATAAAAAAAAATCAAACGCGTTTATATCTTTATTTTTATTCTACGCTTTTCTTCTTCGAAATAGTCAACCATGTCACATATTCAAAGTATGGCTATTCTGGGCGTTCGCTCTTTTAGTCCAGAAGAACCCAGTTATATCAAGTTCTTTTCACCATTGACATTGATTGTGGGTGCTAATGGGTCTGGTAAAACTGTGCGTAGTCATATACATGAACACACAAACTTATAATAATAGACTATTATTGAAAGTATGCGATATGCTTGTACAGGCGACTTTCCACCCAACAGTAAAGGAGGTGCGTTTGTGAATGATCCCAAGGTAGAAAAAAAAAAGTTGAGATCATGATCATTTGTTGACGTTGACCTTAGGTTGCTGGTTCCAATGAAGTCAAGGCACAGATCCGTCTCAAGTTTTATAACATCAATGGTCAAAAGATGGTCTGCAGTCGTTCCTTGTCTGTCACTCAAAAAAAGGCAACCATTACTCAGAAGTCAATCGACAATGCCTTGTTAAGATATGATCCTGTTTCTGGCGAGGTAAAAGTAAAGTACAAGGCCAGTTTAATAAGTATAAATTAGGCTTTTAGTATCTCCAGTCGATGTGCAGATATGGATGCCGAGTTACCACTTCATTTAGGTGTTCCCAAAGCCATTCTTGATAATGTCATCTTTTGTCATCAAGAAGATAGTAATTGGCCATTATCCGAATCCAGTGTGCTTAAAAAGAAATTTGACGATATTTTCTCTTCTAAAAGATACCAAGTAGCTATTGAGAACATTAAGGAAATCAGAAAAGAAGCAGTGCAAGAAATCAAGTTGGGCAATGTCAGATTAGAAGCCTTAAAAGCAGACACAGTCAAGGCAAAGCGAGTCAGAGAACTATTAACACAACTTAACCAGCAATTGAGTGCCAAGACAGAAACATTGGAGACCATTGAAAGTAAGATTCAGCATGTAGGACAGCAAGCAGAGCAATTCAATAGTGTATTGCGTGAGATCAATATTCTAGAAGACAATATACAGCAATATGTGAATAAAAAAGACTTTTATCAGAGCACAATGCGATCCATTGAATCGCATATTGTACCACGACAAGAATCAACAGAAGAATTGAATAGACTGTTGTATCAACATCGCATGAAAGAAGATCAGAACCAAGAAGACAAAGCATTTATTGCTATTGAAAAGACAAAACATGAACGAAAACTCAAGCGAATTCAGGATGAATTGTCTCAAAAGCATTTGATTATGGGTCGACTAGAGGCAGCAAGAGAAGAGCATCAACGCCAAATTCAATTACGCACTGAGTTGATTCAAAAGTTTAGTGCAACTCAGGGGATTCATTTACCAGAGGATGGTGATCAGGCAGCAGCTAAAATCAGGGATTTACTGACACAAACAGCAACCAAGAATGAAAAAGCAAAAAATGAAGCTATGGCAATGCAAAATACATTGTCTGATGAACTACAAGTATTAAAGAGTCAATTGATGTCTATTCAAGAAACCAAAAAATATCTACTGAAGAATATCGTAAGCCAACAAGAAAACATACTGATTTCTTACTGTGTATATGTTAGGAACAAGACAAGGCACAGATTGAGAATATCAAGACAAAAATTAGAAATGTGCATGTCTCTTCACTCGAGATCGATTCAACAACCACTAAAATTAAAGAATATCAAACAAAACTAGACGAAATTCAATCAAATCCAGGTGTGGCTACAGAAGAGGACTTGGTTAAAAAGGAGCGAGAACTCAAGCAGTATGATGATAAGATTTCAGAATTAAATGATGAACTCGCCAGTCTGAGTAAGCAAAGTGATGCTCGAGCTAAACTTTCTTTGAAACGAGCAGACAAAGAAACAAAAGAGACAACACTCAACAAAATTTATGATGATTGTATTCGTGATGTTGAGCAACTGCTTGAGTTCAGGCCTACTGTAGGCAATCTAGAAAATGACCTTGAAGCTTATAAAACGTATGTACTTGCTGTATATTAGCCTATAGTACTAACAGATGGACAAGTGATATCCATAAAAAACTACAATTTCAAATGGAGGTTCGAAATAAGGCAACAAGAGAATTATCTGCTGTAGACGCTAGATTAAGAATGACGAAACAACAGCATACTACAAAGACACAAGAAATGGAAAGTAAGTGATCAATCCATTTCAGACAACAGATAACTTATGTCTCTATAGAATACATCAAAGTCATTTCTACTGTATGTGGAGACAAGAATTTACCAGAAGAGATAAAAAAGAAAGAAAAACTGATTCTCTCGTTAAAAGAGTAAGTAGATAAGCACAACTGTTACTTGACATCAAACAGACAAGTGTCCAATATGCAAGGCGCTACTATGATTTATGATCGACTAGAACTTCAGCAAAAGAACCAAAGCTGTTGCCCTATGTGTACAAAGCCCTTTGAGGATCAATCTGAAATTGATACTTTTCTCAGTACATTGGAACAAATGAGGAACTTTATTCCTGCACAACAAGAAAAATACAAAAAGTCAGCCATGGAAGAAGAAAAGAAACTGGCTAAATATAAAGCTACATTAAGTAGTTGGATGAAACTAGAGACAGTAAAAAAGACATGGTCAGTCTAAGTGAATCTTTAAAGACACTTGAACAAGAAAAAACAGCAACATCCACTAAGGTAGAAATAGCTTCAACTGAATTTGCTCAAGTGGATGATTGTAAAATCAAAGCTGACAAATTACTCTTGATTGCTCGTAATGTGTATCGTCTTTACAAGGAAATTGAAAGCTTGAATGAAGATATTATGGCTACAGAAAGAGAATTGGGCAATCAAGGGTCCAAGACACGTACCATGACAGACGTCCAAAGAGAGCTGGAAGATTATGCCGAAAAAAGTAAAATTACTCGTCGTGATATCAAGCGAATTCATACAGATATGGATGTCCAACGTCGTCGTGTTCAGGCAATTGAACTTTCATTAAGAGATTCTCGCGAAAAGAAAATGAAACTAGAGCATGATTTGAATTCTAAAGTGGCATTAGAATACACACTGCAAGAATACAAGGAGCAATTACAGGAACATATAGATCAACAAGAGGTATAGCGAGAATATCATACACACGTATTAACATGTCATAGAAAATTGAACAAGATGCTCCTATGCTAAAACACAAAGTGCAGTCTGTCACCGAAGAATATGAAGCCACTGTTCAGACATGGAAGGCGCAAGAAGAAAAGATGTCTATGGAAGAATACAATATCTCTCGCTTCAGTGATCGCCTTGAAGAATTCAATACAAATCTAAACAAGAGTGCAAACGAAACAAGTTCTCAACGAGTTCATGCGGTCAAGAAGGAAATCTCTGATTTACAGACCATGATTCAAAAGACAAAAGAAGACATGACTAGAGTAGATGAAAAGCTGGCCATTATTGAAAAAGACGAGGCAGAAAGAAGAGGTGTTGAAAGAGATTTACAAGATCAAATTAAGTACCGAGAGATGTCTGTCGAGTTGGCTCAATGCGAACAAGATCTGAAGGAATTGGAAGATAAATTAGCAGAGTTTGATAGAGAAACAGCAGCGAGAGATCTTGCTCGACTACACGCAGAAGAAAGTCAATTGATTGACAAGGTAAGTAACTGGCTATGGTGCCCATCTCATCATGATTAGCGTGGTAGTCTTCGTGGTGAGTTAGGCCAAATGCGGGATCAAATCAAACGATACAATGCTGAACTGACAAGAGACTATGATAATGTCGATGGCCGTTACGGCAAATTGTTTATCGATGTCAAAACACATGAATTGGCTAATGGTGACTTGGAAAAGTATGCTAAAGTGCTGCAAACTGCTATTATGAAATACCATTCGCTCAAGATGCAAGATTTGAACAAAATTATTAAAGAATTGTGGATAGACACTTATAAGGGAGGAGGTAAATAGAACGATGACAGTGGTGTTTACTTAACTTGTTTAATAGATATTGATTATATTGAAGTACGTGCTGATTCTGAAGGCACAACAGCTTCTCGATCCTTTAATTACAGAGTAAGTGAACCTACCTTATAGAATGCTCTAACAAATGTAGGTGGTGATGATTCAAAATGGCAAAGAATTAAACATGCGAGGTCGCTGTAGTGCAGGACAAAAAGTATTAGCTTCGATTATCATTCGCTTGGCACTTGCTGAGACATTCTGTGTCAATTGTGGTATATTTACGCTGGACGAACCCACAACCAATTTAGATAGAGACAATATTGAAAGTTTGGCTGAGAACCTTGCCAAGTAAGTAACACACAGAAAAGTAATTCCATGCTAAAGACAACAATAGAATAATCAAGAGTCGAAGCCAACAATCCAATTTCCAATTCGTGATTATCACTCATGATGAAGAATTTGTAGAGTATTTGTCTCGAGCAGATATTTTTGGTCAATACTACCGTGTACAAAAAGATCACAAGTAAGTAACATATCATCAAACAGGTGGCTTATATGCATTCTATATAGTCAACACAGTACAATTTCCTTACAACAGGATGCTACTATTGTGGCAGAAGAATAAACATAAGCTGTACATTTTAATAATTATACTACAACGTTGTGAAAAAGATTGTATAAAAAATTATTTGATATGATCTCAATAGTTAAAAAACATATACAGTAAAGAAGAGTGGAAAAAAAAAAGAATCATACAGTATTAATTTCTGTTCTGACGCCAGTTGTTGTTTTGGTAACGTTGACCGTTATTGTTGTTGTTATAACCATAGTTGGAAGGCGCACGGTCTTTACCCCAAGATAACTAGTGTGATATCAGTAAACACCTTTTCTCTCTTTTTTTTTTATATGTATGTTTCTTACCTTGACTTCACGGCCATTAATACTAGCGCCTTGCAAGTGAACAATGGCGTTAGCGGCATTTTGATGTGTATCATATCTTAAAACATAAGTCACCCATACTATCTAGGATAATAAACTTACTTGATAAAAGCAAAACCCTTATCAGCTTGCAGTTTTACTTCTTGAATGAAACCAAATCTTTGGAAGGGTGCCACCAAATCAATGTCTAATCAAGTTTTTAGTATGCACGTATACAAACCCCTTATCACTTACCAGAGACATTAGGTGGTAAGTTACCAACATAGACAGAAGTGACATAAGGAGGAGTTTGTTGAACAACAGTCTCATAGGGGAGTTGTTGACCAGGACGAGGAGGAGGAGTGTCAAGTTGAGTTTTTTGAGTAGCCCAATTGACACGAATATTACGAGAACCCAACAATTCACCATTCATGGAGGCAATGGCTTGATCAGCTTCAGCCTTTTCGCGGTAAGTGACAAAACCAAAACCTCTAGGATTACCAGTCATGGCATCTCTCATCACATGAGCATTTCTATACATTTCTTATTAATCTTGTATACTTTATAAACAATACATACACCAAGTTACCAAATCTACCAAAGGCCTCAGTCAATACATCGTCTGTGATTTCAGGAGCAAGATCACCAACAAACACTTGGTATTGGTTAGGTGTTTCTTCTTTTTGGACTTGTTGACCTTGTTGAGCCCAGTTGACTTTGATTTCCTACCACAAAATTAAAAAAAAAAATTTCAATCATTTTCCTTACATAATCTAAAATTTTGTAACCATTTAATTCTTGAATAGCTCTGTCTGCAGAGACAGGTTCATTGAATTCAACAAACCCGTAGTTAACACTGGGCTATAATTAAAGTTAGCTGGATCAAAAAATTCAACGTGAATGATTGTCTAATTGAAACGTACAAGTGGACCATTTCTATGCATCTAAAAAAAAAAGAGGTCTTGTAAATAAAGACTTTTTTTTCGCGTCGTATGTTCAACTTACAGCAATGATTTTGATAGAAGAAACAGCACCCATAGGAGAAAAATACTCAAGAAGAGTATTTTCATTTACCCTAAAACAGTTAGGTTTTACTCTTATTTAATATGCGAATACTTTACCTTTGGTCAAGGTTACCAACATAAACAGTTGCAGAAGACATGAAAAAAAAAAAAAAATGGAAAAAAAGGAGTAGTATACAAAAGCAAAAAAAAAAAACTTTTTTTTTGTATTGCCATAAAATCAAATAGATGCCGTCATCAATGAGGATTGACTTGCCGCTTAGTTGAATTAATATATATATATATATATCATCTATCATGATTCATTTAATTATTATTTTTTCTTCTACTTCTTTCATATGCGTTTGTGTCATAAAAACGAAGAGAAAACAACCAGTCGGAAACTAGTTGTTTGTGGTGACGGCGCAACAGGAAAAACCAGTTTATTAAGTGTGTTTACCCGAGACTACTTTCCAAACGTATGTCATATTGTTTTATGCAATCCATTGACACTATTATCTAGGTCTATGAACCTACTGTATTTGAAAATTATGTACAAGAAATTACAGTACAAGATCAAACAGTAGAGCTATCTTTATGGGATACAGCTGGGCAAGAAGAATTTGATCGTATTCGATTATTATCCTATGAAAATACACACGTTTACATGTTGTGTTTCTCGGTAGAGAATCATGATTCGTTTCAAAACATACCTGATAAATGGTTAGAAGAAGTGACAGAGCATGGATCACAGGCAAAAGTTGTATTGGTCGCTTTGAAATGTGACCTGAGAAGTGAGAATCATTTAAACACGATTTCTTATGAAGAGGTATAGCTTTATCTCTTTGATTCGTATTAACCAGTGTACAGGGTCTAGACATGGCTAAAAGCATCAATGCTGTTCGATACTTGGAGTGCTCAGCTAAACTTAATCGTGGTGTAAAAGAATGTTTTCAAGAAACTGCTAAAGTAGCTCTTTCAGGTAAAGAACAGCTAAGATTTTGCATAAGCAGTAACCTTTTTCTAGTGAGATCAAAGTCTTCGAATGATCATAAATCAAAATGTATTATACTTTAACTATTTTTTTATTAACAACATTCAACACGTTCCTGAATTCTGAGAAGATCAGTAAAAATACCATAAGCAGTAACTGCAGCACCAGCACCAGAACCCTATATATTATATTAAATTTAATTAAACAAAACAAAAAAAAACTTTACCTGAATAATGATACCACTGGGGAAGAATTTGGTAGTAAACTTGATGATATTATCACTACCTTGAAGGGAAGCAAAAGGATGAGAAGCAGGGTACCTATAGGCCATATTAGATGCATACATATAAAAAGTAACGACTTTACTTGATCAATTTGACACCGCTTTGACCACCTTGAATATCTACTAAACCAACATAACGAAGTACTTGGTTTTCCTTTAATGCAGCAGCGTTCAAATCAGCAAAATGATGATCAAATTCAGGCAACTTGGCCATAAATTCTTCAGTAGATTCAACAGATTGAAGTGCTTCAGGCACAATGTTTTCAACAGGAAGTGTTGACAGGTCTAATTCAAGGCCAGCCAAACGACCACAAATAGTGACCTATCATGATGAGTCAATACACATCCAAACGAATCATAATCCAGTTTTTTTTTTTTTTTACCTTGCGACCCACATCCATACCATTTAAATCGTCTCTTGGATCAGGTTCAGTATAGCCCAAATCTTTAGCCACACGTACAATTTCAGAAAAGGGCTTAGGATCGGGATTGGTCAAGCTAGAAAAGTTGTTGAACAAGTAACTCAAAGTACCAGAAAAGATACCCTCAATCTTGATGATTTCATCACCTGTCTTGACCAAGTCAGTCAAGGTAGACAAGACGGGTAAACCAGCACCCACAGTAGCTTCATGGTAGACCAAAGGTGTCTTACCAGACTTGCTGAGGTTAGTGTTGATAGCAAGGGATTGAATTTCCTTGAAAAGTTCAAGAGAACTAGAGAAACCCTTTTTGTTGGGTGTGACGACACTAAGACCAGCACGGAGCCAAGTAGGATACAACTGAGCTACTTGTTCAGAGGCAGTGCAGTCAATAATAATGGAATGGTCCTTGGCCTTGGCGAGATAATCAGCGAATTGATCAAGGTTGGTTTGTACACCAGTTGCATTTACATTGGCGCGTAAGTTTTCGTTAGGGAGAGACAAACTAGCGTAAGAGGCGTCTGAAAGAACCATCTTTTGGGAGGTAGCTAAACCAATGACCTTGAAGAGCTTGCTACGAGAGGATTGAGCAATTTGAGAGACGAGCTCGGATCCAACAAGACCCACACCGACAATACCAATATTCACCATGGTTGAAGTAATCAAATAAAATAAAAAGAAAAAAAAAGTTTGACTCGAAACCCCTTTTTAAAGTTTGGCAGCTCCGAAAAAAAAGAGAGAAAAATGCGGCGTTGAAAAATTAGTAAAATGTATCTCTAAACATTCATGATAGATACAGATATAACCATTCCATTCTTTAGTAAGCAATCAAAGACAAAGCGAAGAAACAAGTACGTTTAAGCGCGCTCATAGACGATTAGCGTCAATTTTTCCGTCATATGCCGAAGTCTCAAAGTTACATCAAAAGACGCTATAAAAGTTTCATTACAAAATCAGAAGGAAATGGCTCTTTAAAAAGACACTTAAATTGGGGTTCCGAAGCACAATGGTTGGTCAGCCAGAGCATAAATCAAATATTTACTAATTGATTTTTGACACACTTTGTTTTTATACTCGTTTGCGGAAGCTTTTGCAAGTGCATATAGTTTGGTTTTATAAGTGATGTATCTTAACTCTGAATCTGATGCATATCATATGACTTTCAAAAGTAGAAAAAAAGGCATTTTCTCCAATAAAGTGTAAAACATACAAAGAAGCAATATATCAAAATATTCCTTATCCTTTATAAGGAAAACTTTCTTCTTGATCCAACGAAAAAGTCACCTTGCATAGAAATTAGTGAATGAAGCGGTTTATCTTTACCGAAAATAAATGTTCTCAAGGTACATTAAAGAAAGTTTACCATTAATGATAGAAAAACCTTTTCTTTCACATACATAATCCATATTGAAAGATCAAAGACGTACTATTTATCTTGCTTTTATGATACAAACCAATTGAGATATCAATACGAGTTCTAGTAGTTTCATAAGTATTAGTTGAAATAGAAATATACATACTCCAAAAAAGGGAACTTACCTTTGATTTCCTCATTGAGTTACTTATGTTCATGACTAGTCCCATAAACAAAACCAAAACATGAAAAGGTGCATTTTTCATCCGATTTTCAATATGTAATAACGCATTGGTAGCTGTATATCCATGTAATCGACGCATTTAAAGCACGGTGAATTCACGAGTACAAAACAAAATAAAAATAGTCTATTTGCAACATTCAGGTAGCCACATTGACAAGCGTGTGATTGACAAGACGAATGCCATACTCTGCAAATAAACAATGACGAATTTTGCACATATATATGCAGATCACGGCTAGCATTGGCTCGCATGTCACGGATCAACTAGGAAGAAATGACACGAAGGAAGGTTGCAGACATGACGACAATTATGTAACCTATTATTTCCTCGTGGAAAGAGAATGAAAAAAAGTTTGTAGAGTTACGAAAGCATAGAGCTTAGCATAAAAGGTCAATCATAAATAAATAAAAAGGTATTGTTTATGAAATTAAAATATAAAAATTTCTTTTTTCTATTTTCTGTCGTCCAAGGTTATTTTACAGAAAATATGATACGAGTGTCTTTTTTTTTTTTGTGAAACAGCGACCCTAAAAATGGCATCAAAATGGGTCATAAACAAGTGTCATTCCCCAATTTTTTATATTAAAAATGGCTATGACCATGGTTCATATCGACTCGTGCTTCATCAAAAGCTAATCACTACCATGCTCTAGTGAATCAATAGAAAAAAAAACCAATATAAATAGAAGAGTGTTTTGCTTTTTTTTCCACTCAAACTATTAACAATGATCGAACAAATTAATGAAAAATATACTGAAGCTGTCTTGGATTACGTACCAAAGCGTAGAAGGATTATTGTTTGCATGGACGGTACATGGGAAACACCTGAAGGTATAGCTTATTATACCAAAAGCAAACATGAAATTCATATTTCTTAGGAAAAACCAACGTTTTCAAGTTCTTTAATGAAGTGGATCAAACGCCAGGTCCAGACAATGATTGGGATTACATTTTAGATTACAGTTCTGGACTCGGCACTCACGGAAGGCATCCCATCTTGGGCGGTCTTTTTGGATACGGTATTTCTCGACAAATTCTATCTGCCTACAGGTTTATTAGCAAGTATTATCGCGATAACAATGATCAAATCTGGCTTGTTGGGTTTAGTCGCGGAGGTAAATTTGGAATTCATATAGCATTGACTCATGCATTTTCTTAGCATTTGCTGTCCGAAGCTTAACCGGTATGATCTATAATGTTGGCTTATTACCAGAAAACAAGTTATCTAAAGCAGATGAGGCCTATCGACTCTATCGCAACAAAGGCGAGACCAGCCGACCCTATAGAACATTGTCAGTTGCATTCCGACAAGCCAATAACTGTAGATCAGCTGAAATCTACTTTATTGGCTGCTTTGATACGGTCGGCGCTTTGGGTGTTCCAAAGCTCCCGTGGTTCCTGGGTGGCTCAACATGTAAGTAGCCTAAATGATGAAGCCCAGTGCTCATACTTTCATAGTCTATAGCTTATTTCTTGGCCTTCATGGATTTCATGATACAAGACTCAGTCCTATTGTCAAGCATGCTTATCATGCCATGTCAATTCACGATCAACGAGCATGGTTTAAGGTGACACCTATGCACTTTTCAAAAAAGAAGCCTGACCGAGACTCCAATCAGATACTTGAACAAGTCTGGTTTCCTGGTATGCACGCTGATGTTGGAGGACAAGAATACGGCAATAAAGATAATTTGTTATCCTGTCACTCGTTGCATTGGATGATGAAGAAGGCTCGAGAAAACGGACTCAAGTTCAAAAGCGATAGTAAATATATTGGTCCTTTTTGTTGCCTCGGAAACCATCGTTTCTTTTACTCGGATAGTTATAAGAGTTCTCTTATTTATCGTATCATGCCTCGAGAAGACCGTGTCATTGACAAGGATGAACTGACAGGCGATTATCGTATCAGCCAACTATACCAAGATGGTCAATTCCTTAGTTTTCTCACTCAAGAGCAATTGGACATGTACAAGTCGAAAACACTACAAACATTCTATCAATGTTTAGGTGAACAATTGGTTGAGAGAAAGGGTGTTGTTCCAGTATAAAAATTTTAATATACATAATTTATAAGATAACCGGAAATAAATTTTAGCCTAAACTTGAGTTGTGTTTTTTTTCTTTCTTTTTATCTTTTTATCTTTTTTTTTCTTTATAGTATGAGTAGCAGCTTAAATCCTTATTACGATACCAAGATATCTGACAATATATCTGAAGCTGACTTGAGTCCTTCTGAAAGAAAGCGTTATAGGATCACTCGTGCTTGGTAAACTAGACACATACACACACACAAAAAGACAAAGCAGCTAATATCATGGATAGTGACTATTGTCGAAAGAAAAAGGTCAAGTGTTATTTTACACCAGGCCAGCCTTGTTCCAATTGTACTTCTTATGGCATAAAATGTGAATTTAATGATGGGTAAGTGAGTACTTTGTTAATCATTTACTGATACATGTATTGTTTTCAGAGCCAAAAAGCGTGGGCCACCTAAAGGGTAAAAAAAAAGGGTTGATTGACTTGTTTTATTCATTCGTATAGGTATATTGATGCACTTGAAAAGAGAATACGAAAAATAGAAGAAACACTGCAAAACTCCTTATTACATTCACCCGCCCTGTCTTCACCTGTCGCACAGCACTCTTTATCACCTGGACCGTCACGCCAAACCTCAATTCAATCCATGAATAACAAGCGCCCTGAGGGTGCATCCACAGATGGTGTTCAGTATCTAGGAGACATGTCTAGTTTTCAATTCTTTTCAAACAAGATCAAATTAGATAACAACAAAGATCCAAAATGGGGTCGCCATCTTATCCGTAAGTTTGGCAAACAAGTCGTGTTGGTAGAAGACGACAAAGAAGACAAAGAAGACAAGCAGACTGAAATACCAAAGCAACAATTATTACCTTATGTCAAATCCATTCATTATTGGATTTATTCAGTCACTGGTGTAGATCGACACACAAGTGATCGCTTGCTTAAAATGTATAGTCACTTCATAAGTATTTTAACTCATGCATCTTGTTAGTTATTTTGCCAATATTCACCCTGTCTTGCCCGTTGTGAACAAAACTCGGTTTTTAAAACAGTACCGAGATTTAGCAGACACTTATCCGCCTTCTGATCTATTGAATGCCATGTTTGGTGCTGCAGCGCGGTTTGTAGAATGCGAAGCTTTATTGCATAAATCAAAATCAAATCGACCGGACGCTGTATGGGATGTGCCTATTGGTTGGTCAGATCAGTTTTTTGAACAAGCACAGACCATCATTACTGCCTCTGCAGCTACACCCATGATATCCAAAGTGCAAGCTATAATCTTGATCCATAATCACAGTGGTAACTTGGACTCAAAGTCGTCTGCCTGTTGGTTATTGGGTGGTATGGCTATCCGATTAGCTCAAGGCTTAGGTCTTAACCGAGATTGTGAAGAATGGGATATTCCAGAAAGTGAAAAGCAAACAAGAAAAAGGATTTGGTGGTCTTTGTATGTAGCAGATCGATTCCATTCTGCTTCTTTAGGTAGGCCTATCAGTATTCGAGATGAAGACAACGATGTAGGCTATCCTGATTCTACTGCAAGTTGGACAGAAGTGTTAGACGAACCTGATGAAGAAGAAGGAAAAGACGATTTGCCTCGTTTCCCTTCTGCTATGTGTAGACCAAAGCAAATTGAAGGGCGTGTAGGCATTTATCAATTGTTTATCGAACTAGTTAAATTATCAGAAATTTTGGGTAAAATCTTGCAAGGCTTATATACACCAAAAGCAAAGAAATTAGGTCTTGAACAAGGTAGTGATACTATTGTGACTCAATTAGATCATCAATTGACTGAGTGGCGATTTGGGTTTCCTAAAGCACTTCAAAAAGCCAATTTTGAAGATTTTGATGAAGACAAAGGCTATTTAGCCCCAGTTACTGGTAATAACAACACTGCGACAATTGTTTACTGACTTGGGAATAGCTTCTGTATTATTGTGTTATTTTAGTCTGTTGATTCTATTGCATCGTCCATTTATTGAAGCTTCTGGTCAAGGTAAAAAGGCTCGTCCTTCCTATTCCTCGTTTAGAATTGGTACTAGTGCAGCCACACGCGGTATCCGCATTGCATCTCCAATGACCATTCGAGACTTTTTAATGTTTCCTTATTCTTTCAGTCTGTATCCTGTCTTACAATGCTGTCTTATTCATATGTACAATACCAAGAATCCAGATATTCGCATTTCACAGCCTGCCAAGGTAGATTTGACGAAAGGAATGGCCTTGATTTCAAGATTGAGGACCATGTCTAGTACGGCACAGAGACTCTATCTACTACTCAAGACTATCATGGACAATAATGAAATTGAAGTCAGTAGTGTTGCAACCTCTGACTTCGACGAATCAGCACGTTCTAGAAACAATAGTATTGATAGTTCTGCCATTCCTTCTCGTATATCTGATGTAGGCAGAGGGACCACTATGGTCAGAAACACACTCCCTTCATCCTCAAAACAACATGCCGTCTTATCAGGCAGAACAACACCGCCCATCATTTCACCTAAAGAACAGCACTATCCCATTCGAAACTTTCACCAATCTCTTTCTGAAGTGATGGCACCACCCAATATGGATACATCACTCTCTCAGTCTTCGGCACCTTCGCCTACATCTATTTCTGAAGCCTTTAGTCTTAAGCAGTTTGGATTCAATAGTACACTGGGTGATTCCAATCAGTTAGACTACACGCTTCAAAACATCTCTAGTTTCTCAGACATGAATTCATTCTCATCTATGCCCACTATGTATAGTTCACAACCCTTTCATTTGCCTATTCAAACATCAAACGCATTACCCATTTTAAATTCATATTCACCTTCTTCTCCTTTGCATCCTTTACTTGATAATAACAATGAAGGTCTTTTTAGAAACAACCCCAACAATCCATTCTTTGGCATTCCTTCTTCTATGGACTGGACAGAATGGAATGAATACAACCAAAATAATCATGGAAACATGTCATGGAAACCACTTTAATAAAATGTGACTGAATTATGTGCATTACATCTCTTTTTCTTTCTTTAATATCATTCTATGGCAGAAAATAGCAGTAAATTAGTATTTCCTCCAAGACAAGTAAGTTGCTTTATGCTTAATGTTTGGCTGATTTCTTGTCTAGAAAAGAATACGACATATTCGTTCTATAGCCGGTCGGAATATTGCATGGAAAAGCATAGATGCAGAAGATGAAACACTCATCACCACTATGCCACGATCTGAAAGTGCCAATTCACTCAGTTTGGCTGCTGTAGAAGATTCTTCGCTCATGAAACGCGCTTACCAAAAGAATGAACACCATTTATACAGCCTTGGATTACTGGATGCTTATGCTACGCTGCATATAGGTGAACTGGATGCACCCGCCTTTTACAAGAGTGAAATGATACCCAATACTATCAATCCTACATTTCGATCCTTGCCCTATCCAATGGATTGGATGGATTGGCATGAAGCTGCATCCAGTCTAGTGATCATGCGGTTATGGACAAGGCATTCTATACCTGAGTCTGCTGGACAACATACAGAACCTGTGCTGGGCTATTCAGAGACAGAGCATTATGATGGGTTTCAATTATTGATAGAATGGCAAGTGGACTTGAACGCTTTAACCTTGATAGGCAAATCAGTATGTATATCTTGTGAGACTTACCTAACATTGCTTTATCTAGTCTTCAGATCTACATTTCTCTTTTCCAGAAAATACTTTGCTATTTGAACTAGAAGATGGATTTTATTCTGCAACTGATATCTTGCCTGTCAATCAACATAAGCGATCTAGTATGTTAGAATTAGATCAGAAAGATACTGCCAGTATACATTCTGTTCATTCCAACAAGACCAAAGTAAGTAAAGGATCTGTATTGCTTCTCTGTTCTCATTCTCCTTATAGGTCAAACGTTCTTGTACTTTTAATCATATTTTAAAGTGAGTGCATCTTACTTGTTCATAAAATTGACAAGATACATAGGCTGAATACAGTCATGGATTGTATAGCTGACACACAACAATCTTCAGACCAAGTTCGTCTATCGATTGAAGAAATACTCGGTCAACAAGAAAGGGGCTTTTGCCTTAAAAGAGAATTAGATCAGCATCGATCCAAGCTCGTTGAATTAGAGGCACAGATCATACAGCAAAAAAGACGACTGCAGATCAAAAGAGAGATGTTAAAGACAAAGCAGCAATTGCTTGAGAATCGCACTATCGACTTGGCTGAAGCTAAAATACGCTGTCAATCCAACATGGACGACTTGCAAGAAAACGAACATGTGTTAGAAAAGAATATCAAGATGAGACAGACTACTTTCCATTCACTCAACAGAAGAAAGAAGGAATTGATTGCAGATTTATTCTCTATATACCCTATTGAACAGGTAAGTGACATCAAGTTATGTCTCCCATTTGTGTGCGTTGTGTGTTTTTTTGATAAAATAAGTCATATGATGATTCACAACAGTTTCGTATTCGTGGCATTTACCTACCCAACTCTGTCTATGATGGCCAAAATGAAGAATTGATTGCTACTGCACTTGGATTTACAACCCATTTAGTGTCTATGCTTGCTTATTACCTTGAAATCCCTTTAAGGTATCCAACAATACCTATGGGATCAAGGGCTTATATTCAAGACCTTGTTTCTATGATTAGTGGTTCTAGAGAGTAATAGTAATATGATACAACCAGTGGGCTCATTTCTTGTAGTTTTCCGTTATATTCTAAAGGTGTAGACAAGTACAGGTTTGAATTTGGTGTATTTCTGTTAAATAAAAACATTGAACAAGTAAGTCTAGATCAAAAGAAATATATAAGCTAACATCAGAATAAGTTAATGAATGCTTATGGTTTGATTGTGATTGACCTAAGACATACTTTACCCAACATTCATTATTTTATTCAGGCCATTTTGACTACTTCAGTCACATCAGGGCCTACTTCCATGTCTGTGCTGTCTATTTCTTCCTACGCAAATGGATCTCGTAATCATGAAGAAAATACTATTCGACAACACCATACACATCTTACACTACAGCCTACACCCTCCTTACCTTCTCCTTCTCTCTCTGCCTCTTATCCTATCATTGCTCATTCACCTAAACTACACTCTTCTGCATTTATCAATACACCTCAAGCCATGGCTGCCCCTACTGTGCTTGATCCCATTACTACTTCTTCTAGTCGTCATGTTATGTCACCATAAAGAGATTTTTTTTATTTATTTAAACATAAGCAATTTCATCGATACCCAAGCTACGTCTGACCTGCATTAATGCAACGAGTTCCTTAATCGATTCTTCCAAAATAACCACATTATTTAACAAAGTTGAGAGTGTGATTTCAGTACTTTTGTCTATACGTTTGGGTCTTGAAGGGTCTGTTATTTTGGGTGCAAATGTATGTTCATCTTCATCATCGAGATCTAAAATAGGCTCTTCTCTTTCATTTACAAAATTCGAAGGAAATAAGGGCTGAATTCGAGTATTGGTTGTCTTTTTGACATGCATCGTTAAGGGAGCCATAGGATTGTTGAGTACAGCAGACATGTTCACAGTGGAAGAAGAGGGTGCTCGGGGAGCTGTGGAGGTGGAAGTGGAGGTAGAGGGTGTTAATGCAGGTGTGTCTACAGAAGATTTCAAGATAGAAGGTCTTCTGCTGTATATGGTAGATGTACTGGAAGAGGGTGACACATTACGCTTTGTGCTGTCCAAAAATGAAATTTCGCCTGAAATTAAGGCTTGACGACGTTCTTCCAACAGCTTGTCAAAGGGTTGGATTTCAGAACGATAATAGTCTACTTGTTGTGTCAATGTACGTAGCAAAGTAAAGAAAGGTGGATAGGATTTAAAGAAAGTAGGTATCGTCTTTTTGCTGGACTCTCTTTCTGCTCCAAAATCAATGGAGCGATCATCATCGTCATCCTCGTCTTCATGCTTGGGTTGATTGGACTCAAAACGAGCATAGATATCTTGACCCGACAGACTGTTGCGATTGATAGCAGGTTGTCCTGCTGAATTGAGCACAAGCACATCGTCTCTGTTTGTACGGTCTTGTTCACTGAATGAAATCCAGCCCTCCAAACTACGATAAGGACACATGGCCAAGGCAGATATCACACCCGTCAAAGCCAAATTGAGTTCTGAAGACTGTGTAAAGAAATGGCTGAGTAAATTGAGCAAGATCTGTAGTAATGGATCTGTGGATCGAACACGGTGTCTTGTCAATTGTTTTGTGCAGGGTTGATTTCGTTTCTTGTTTTCTTCTTCATTCGTGTTATGATAGCGTTGTCCATACTTAAAACTGCGCCTTTTTTTGGCTTTAGGTGTTTCTTTTAAATCGCTTGCATGCATCGTTTGGTCATTAAAGGGACGCATGGTTTGATAACACCAGTCATTGTCTATGTTTTGTTCTACATCACGCAAATACTCTTCATAGCCACACGCCAGTACGTCTTGAGCATGCGTAGCATCAATCGCAATAATCAACGAGAAATACAACTCGACTTCTCTTAAATGATGTGAGATAATGATAGAACTCTTGTTGGTATCTGGATAAGTTGAGAGCAAACCAAGTGAGTATTGACAATGCTTTGTGATCAATGTCTTGACTAGTTTTAATGTGGCAATCACAGTAGCTTGTGAAGTGGACTGAAGGCGACTAAAGATCAGGTCCTTGAGTGTAAAATGAGCTGAAGCACTTGCTCTTCTTTTGTTCATGTTGATGTTTTCTGTGCCAACGACAATATCTTGTTGTTCATCTAATGTACTTTCTTCTTCATCCATCAAAAACCCTACGACCACTTTTGACAGATCTTCTTGTTGGACTGTCTGTAAAATTAAGTCGATATAACTAATGACAGCTACAGAAGATCCATCCATGTCTGAACATTCAAGGATAGAGGGATACAAGATATTCTCTAAAAAGATAGCCCGTACACTGGTCAAGAGTGACATGGAAATATCTGGGTTAGGACACCGAGTCAAGACATCTTGACAGAATTCAAGTAATTTCAAAAAGGAATCCAATTGGTATCTGAATTCAGGTGAATTCGAGTATTCTGCACCAAGACCAGCAGGGAATCGATTATTGGCCTCTTCTAAAGCATCTTGTCCTAACAAATACGAGGTGGGTGTGGCATAAATCTGTTCTACTTCCTCTTTGACAACCAGTTTCCTTGGCAACTGGGAATACAAAGCACCCAAGCCTGCAGCCATGATGGTGGCAAAATCAGACCCAAGAATAAAATCGCCCAATTGATCTGTTGCCATTTCCATAAGGAACAAAAGACCTGTTCGAGCAAAATCACCTGAACGACCTTCTCGATGTACAAACCTCAGCAAATAAGTGAATAACAAAAACTCATATTCATGAGGCTGGTCTCCTTCTGGTGGTGTTTTGGTAGGCACAGTGGATGTTGTCACAGTGGATGTTGAACTCTTTTGAGGTGTGGTCAACCAATGCTTGTCGTGAAAAAAGATGTTCAATAAAGCTGGAAATCCATGGATTTTGGAGCAAATGATATACATCAAATCAACCAAGTCATCGCTGTACAGTTCACTTTGTCTGTCATCCAATACACAGAACCTAAGCAATTTTACTGTGGGTTTATGGACTGCATTATGCACTAAAAATCGATCATCCAATAAATCAATCATGCTTGCTACTGTTCGAATGGCTTCTCCACGAATGCCTACAGGATAATCTTCTTTTTCAGCAATGGTGACAAGGTACTGAAGCACTCCGTTCTTTAAAAAGTATTCCATACATAAACCAGTGGTATTGTCTTCTTGGCGTGCTTCCTCATCTACAAGCAGATCGACCATTTGACGCAATTTGGAAGGAATCTCGGTTTGCTGAACATGCATGTTGGCTTTCCTGTCTTCAAGTACAAAGATATTCTGATTCATTGATAAGTAAAAAAAAAAAATCCATTCGTGTAGGACTATGACTTACGTGCACATACTCCCAATACTTGTGAAATTTAGCTAATTGCATAGCACTCGTAGGCTGTGCTTTAGGAGGCGCAATACGTTTCTTGAACTTTGAAAAATAGTCCATTGTGTTGACGCAAAAAAAAACAAGAAGAAATACTGTAAATTCGAGTTTTGTACCTTTGTCCATTTAAACTCCGTGATACGATTTTCAGGAACCGCCGTGTAAATTCAATGTCCGTTTGGTGCCTTCTTTTTCTTTCTTGTCGCGGTGTCCCCCATTCCTCTCTTTTTATTAAGTCGAGATGAATTCAGAATTTGATGATGTAAGTACTTGTTGATCTCCAAATAAAACACGCACTAATTATATGTTTTCATCTTTAGGTGTTGACAAACCAACCTGTCGTTATTGACAACGTAAGATGAAGCTTCCTTTTAGACTTGCTCTCAACTCCTTATTTAGGGATCAGGTGTTATCAAAGCCGGGTTTGCTGGTGAAGAACAACCCAAGTGTTTCTTTCCTTCCATGCAAGTATGATGGGTTGTCTAATTCCCATATTTATTTTTTTTCTATATATAGGGTGGGTCGACCAAAGCATGTTCGTATCATGGCAGGTGCTGTCGAAGGTGATAATTTCATTGGCAGAAAAGCACAAGAATTACGCGGTTTGCTCAAGATCAGATATCCTATTGAACATGGTATTGTTACTGATTGGGAAGATATGGAACGTATTTGGCAATATATCTATACAGATGAACTCAAGACATTATCTGAAGAAGTAAGTTTCTATCGAATTAACTGTAGACTCAACATAATCTAGCATCCTGTCTTATTGACGGAAGCTCCTTTAAATCCTCGAACCAATCGAGACACGGCTGCACAAATCTTTTTCGAGACATTTAATGTGCCTGCCTTGTTTACTTCCATTCAAGCTGTTCTTTCCTTGTAAGTCTATCAACACTGACTACCTTTACTCATACCATGCTCTAGGTATTCTTCGGGTAGAACAACGGGTATTGTGCTTGATTCTGGTGATGGTGTCACACATGCTGTTCCTGTTTATGAAGGTTTCGCTATTCCTCATGCTATCCGTAGAGTGGATATCGCGGGAAGAGATGTGACAGAATACTTACAGTTATTACTGAGAAAGTCTGGCTATAATTTCCATACAACAGCTGAAAAAGAAGTCGTTCGTATCATTAAAGAAAAGACGTGCTATATTGCATTAAATCCCGCTAAAGAGGAAAAAGAAACCAGCGGTAAAGTAGACGATTTTATGTTGCCTGATGGTAATATTATCAAGGTAAGTGATATACTGCCCGTGTGTTTGGCTTACACACCATAGCTTGGTGCTGAACGATTCCGTGCCCCTGAAATCTTGTTCCAACCTGAACTGATTGGTGAAGAATACCCAGGTATTCATCAAGTCATCGTAGACTGCATTGGCCGTGCTGATCTTGACTTGAGAAAGTCGCTTTATTCCAATGTGGTCTTGTCTGGTGGATCCACTTTGTGCAAGGGGTTCGGTGAACGTCTTTTGTCTGAAATCAAGCGACTCGCATTAAAAGATATCAAAATCAAGATTTATGCTCCACCTGAACGTAAATACAGTACATGGATTGGTGGTTCTATCTTGGCTTCGCTTAGTACGTTCAAAAAAATGTGGGTTTCTGCAGAAGAGTACCAAGAAGACCCTGATATTATTCATAAAAAGACTTTTTAATATAAACACTACCATTTGATGATACCTCACACACATACACATAAATCTATGTTTCTGTCAAAGTAAATTTTTTTTTTAATCAAAAGGCGTTATGTTTAAAAGCAATGGATATCTAAAGTGAGGGAACTGTTTTATCTACTTTACTCCATCTTCAAAGGATTGAAGCTGTAAACCTTTAGTAAAGAAACTCTGTTCATCGAAAGTATTTCATCAGTTGATTGTTGCTTATTGACTTTTTTCGAGATATATATTTGATGGATTGATACTTTTTAGCGCATAATGCTGTTGATTTGATTAAATCATATAAAGAGCATTATGAGTCTTGAAATGAATGCACTTTCTCTATTGAAGAGTGGGCGTAACAAGAGAATACAAATCATGTTTATATACCCAAAAATATTCTAGATACCTACAAACAGCGTTTAATAACATCCACAATACCTTTGGAGTTGATTTGGACCAAAAGAAGCGATTTGTAAAATTTGGCCAAAATGGCCTTTTGATCAAAGGATACTATTTGTGAAAATTGTGAGTTTGACAACCCTTAATCTTCTTTTTAACGTTACATTACGAAAAGTAGAGCTATCAACAGGCTTAAAGAATCAAAATATGCACAAGGCGTTTTGGTCTTTAGTGAATGTGGTTATATGCCAACTTTAGTACAGAACTGGTAAGATATGTGCAAAAAACCTCAAAAGCATTTCTGCATATTCACTCTGAATTTTAGCAGTAAAGTTGCTGTAATTCTTATATCAGTAAATTAAGAAAGCAACTATCTATAACTTTTGTCACTACATCTAAGCACAATAACTGCGTCTTCATGTAGTTCTCAGCAAAAGGCTGATTTTTGATGTGGTGAAAAGAAGAATTGAAATAGTGTAGATTGTGTGGGCTATAGTGGAAAATATAGGAATGGATGTGTAATGAGCATCAGGTTTATAATTTTCCAACTTTTAAATAAATATTGATAATATTCCAATATCAGATAAAGGATAATTTTCAACATTCAACTTGTAAAGATAATGTTCCCAATTTATAGTCAAAGAGGATAATGTTCTTTATAGCACTTTAATTGATAATGTTCTCACAATAAGAAATACTATTGTAGGGTAATGTTCAATTAAAGATTTATGACTCGATTACTTGATAATGCTCTTTGCTTACAAAAAACAAAGATAATGTTCAAGAATAGGCCTGATTTGATCATGCTCCTTGTAAAATAAAGATAATGCTCAAATATGGATTCGAAAATAAAAATAAAAGAAGAATAAGATGTTAACAAGTATTTTTCGGGAAGGAAACCCAAAGATAAAATGAAACTATTTAGTTAAAGTGGGTGATCTTGATGTTGAATGACTTCCTCAGAAGAATAGGACTGCGGTATTTTACATTGCATTCTATTTCAATCTCCACTACATAGTTACATGGTAAGTCCTATGTCCATTTACCCCACATTTGTATTATAAGATGCATATACTTCTATTTTTCTATGTTTTTTGACACGCTATATAGCATATGGTATGTTCTATGGGTTTGTATTTAGCAAGTTTTATATACCACTCAGAGTAAAAATGCCCAAAATACAGCTAAAATGCACTATTCTTTGACGGGCCATTTCTCGACAAACAGACTATCAAAACAGTCTATTTTTTTTTGTTTAAAACATGTTCTTTGGAGTTCAACAATCGAATGGTACCATTGGTTTGGCTGTTTTGTGAAATTTATGTTTTTGACCCACAGGGGATCCGCGGAAGTCCGTGAAAGAAAACGAGTTTATTAAGATAAAAAAAACGACTTCATTTGAGTATTGGCTTCAAATCTGCAATCAGAATTCGTAGTACACTGTATTTGTTAGAAAAGTGGCCTTTTTTTTTTTTTTTTTGGTAATATCGACTGATAAGTGAGCACTTATATATATATATATCATTCAATGCGCAAAATACAGATGAGCAAATTGTACTACCATAATTGACACTCATAATCAAAAAAAAAAAGGAACAAGCTTAGATATCATGAGCAATGAATGTCTCGTAGGAGAGCATCTTTAGGGCCTAAGACAATAGCTTTAAGCATCACAAACGCAAAGAAAACTCTCGGTCATCCAATACATATGAACAAACAATAAAAGTGCAAGCGTTAAGTCGAAATGATATGCTTTCAAGCTACTCCTATGTTTACGTAAAAATGGTCACTTTTTTTTTTTTTTTTATTGTTGAAAATTTCTTTTTTTTTTCCTTCACTTTTTAATCATGCTTTACGTTATCGGTCTCGGTCTTGGTGACGAAAAAGACATTACTGTTGCTGGTCTTGAAGCTGTCAAAAGCTCTGAACGTATTTACTTAGAAGCTTATACTTCAATCTTGACAGTAGGCAAAGAAAAACTCGAGGAATACTATGAAAAGCCTGTCGTGATTGCTGATCGTGAAATGGTCGAGTCAGACAGTGACACGATCCTTGCTAATGCCGATACAGTCAATGTCTCCTTTTTGGTTGTGGGCGATCCTTATGGTGCCACCACCCACACTGATCTGGTCATTCGTGCCCGTGAACTTGGTATTCCTGTCAAAGTGATTCATAATGCTTCCATCATGAATGCTATTGGTGCTTGTGGTCTTCAACTCTATAATTTTGGACAGACAATTTCGATTGTGTTCTTTACAGATACATGGCGTCCTGATAGTTTCTATGACCGTATTAAAGAAAACCATCAATTTGGTCTTCATACCTTGTGTTTATTAGATATCAAAGTCAAGGAACAAAGTATCGAAAACATGGCTAGGTAAAGCTACATATATATACACATATATATACAAATCTTTTATGTAATGCATGACTGACATCAACAAAGAGGACGTTTGATTTATGAACCTCCTCGCTACATGACTGTGAATCAAGCTGTCGAACAACTATTAGAGATCGAAGAAAAGCGTGGTGAAGGCATTTGCAAACCAGATGCCTTGGCTATTGGTTGTGCTCGTATTGGTACTAGCACACAAAAGATTATTGCAGGCACTTTGGAGGAATTAGTTGATGCTGATTTTGGTGGACCTCTTCATTCACTTGTGTTGATTGGTTCTCGTATGCATGAAATGGAAGCAGAATTCGTGAAAGAATACGCATTGAATCCTGAATCATTTCAAGCTATTGTTAAGAGAGATTATGTGAAATAAAGCATCTGACTTGGCGAGCTGAATAACTGTTTGAGTGCAGATCCTAAGCAAAGATGTATCCCTTTAACTCAGCGAGGTGAATAAATAAATAAATAAAATTCTGCATAAATAATGCAATTTTTTTTTCTCTCTTTTTTTTTTTTCTTTCGTATTATCTTCTCACTATGTCAAACAACAGTCAAAAAGCAGCTCAAAAGACAGACCAAGTAACAGACCAAATACGTTCTGGTGCTCATGATGCAGCCAATAAAGTAGATAAAGCATTAGATGATGCACCTCAACAAGTTGGTAAGGCTACTGAAATAGCTGAAGACGAAGTCAATAGACTCAAGGATGAATTGGCTGATCTTAAACGAAAGGCTGGTCCCAAGATTCAAGAAGCAGAGAATTTCTTAACTTCACCTGCTGCTATTAATTTCTATAAGGGTTTAATTACAGGTGTTGCTCTTGTCTTGACTTATAAGAAATACACAGATACTTACACAAAGAGATATTATTAATAAACCCACTTTATTGTTCATTTAATTCAATGGCTATAATCAAGTCTTTGATGAGCCCATGTACATTTCTAGAAGGATAGGCTTCTTTCAATTGATCCAGTTCTTTTTTGAGTGTGTGGGAGTCTTGATTGTTATTGGACAACACATGATGATATGCCTGGCACATCAGTCTAACCTGGTCGTCTTGCTTGTCTTTTGGAATTGCTTCGATATAGTCTATGCTTGCCTGAATGTCTTTTTCATGATCTAATGTGGCTTGTCAGTCATTTCTGTAAACAAGGATTGTATACTTGCTTTGGAATAATTTGGGCAATAAAAAATAGAAAAGAGCTAATTTAGCCTGATCATATAATTCCCCCTGTATTAAATGGTTGTATTCTTGTTCATAATCCCATGCATCATGCGCATGTAATGCTTTTGCTATTTGGATCTGTTTCTTGGGGATATAGAATTCATTCAACAGTCTGGCTTCATTCTGCCATTCACATTGACGAAGAATCGAATTGACTTTTTGTGTAGGACTAGAGAGGATGAATATTCATTTTTTTGGTGTGTTTATCATACTTGCCTTGATAAAAACAGGGAAGCATAAATAGCCCATTCAGCTAAATCCATTATCTCTAATTGATCGATCCATTTCAATAGCCAAGTTTGGTCTATTGTTGTCTGGGGTCGATAGAGACCCATCAACCAGACAAGGTCCAATGGCCACATAGCCAAATCAGCAATACTTGCATCACCTATAAGAAGCTGTAACAGTTGATACCATAGACAGCTTGCATCAGGCACTGCTGTATGTCGAACAGTCTGAAGATGATGTACATCAGGCTTATGACTGAATGCCTTGTTGTACTGTGCCAAACTAGGCTGTGTACCATATCGATTGCCATACCACAAGTACATGCCTAAAGCACATTGCCAATACACACCTGACGTGACCACAAAGTCGTCTTTTGGCACATAGCCTAGATCACCCGCCATGATACACCAACATTTACGGTGAAAGACAGACATCGTTTGCCATTCGCCTTTGGATTGAAATGAAGCAATTTGACTTTGAATGACGTCCCTTAGATCCTTGAATTCAGCATGGACAATATACATGCCTAAAGGGTAGTCATTGTGTTGTTGTGCTTGTTCAGCAGCGAGATCACGTTGACCATAAGAAAGATGGACAAACGTACTGGCAAATGGGTCATCCGCATGGATCTGTGTGATGCGTTCAAGTTGACTAGCAAGACCAGGTTGAATCAAGTCACGAATCCAACCATGAATCGCGTTGGGGTCTTGTTGGAATGCAGTTGCCAAAGACCAAATGAGATCCACATCGACTGAAAAGTCAGAAGCGAGTTGAGGTGTATAATAAGCACTCAGTGTTGCATCTGGTTTAAGTTGAGCTGTAGGTAGACTGTCTTGGTTGGGTATAAGCTCTGTTTGTTCGTAAAAGACTGACATGACATGATGGGTTCTCTAGTGTGTATGAGTATATCATGATATCAACAAAGGAGTACCTTTTCTCGAGCTTGATTCTTTTGATCTACAATACCACTAAACTATGGATAAACTATCTTTTCTTTATATTCTCTATTGCTTACCTTTTCTGAACAAAGTGAAGAGGGCGTTTTCTTCCACTAAGCATCATAAAAAAAAAAAAAGTAAGACTTACGCGTAAAAAAATGAATAAAAAGAGTTGACTCCGAAAATCATGCAAATCACTTTTTCTCTTTCATAAGAATGACAAAAGATCCCTTCATGACCGAGATGCCAAAGCAAGCTTGGCTCTTTACAAGTAAATATATAGTAATAAGAGACAAAAGATTCACTCTGCTTAGAACGCTTTGGTATTGTTTTCTGTCTCTTTACAAGCCTTGTTCTCTTTACACATATCTATACGTTATGGACACATGGTTATAGTATGGGTGTATGTATTCTTTTGATGACGACATGACTCATTGTCTTTAGGGTAAACAACATCATTCATTTCTTGACTATCCCAATGAAATTGGCTCAACAGACGCTATTCAGTTATCGAAATTCATGGCTTCTCTGGATACATTGTGGAAACTAGACGAAAAGATCTCCACATCCTATCAAACTCACCAAGACATCTACTGGACGAAAGAGATTGATGTCAAAGATATCTACAAACGATCTCAAGTAGTTCAATCGATTGTTATCCCTTCTTCTGCCAAAGAACCCTCACCCAACATGCCTAAAGTAAACAATGCATTCAAGATCAAAAGGCCCTTAAGACCTCATTATCATACTGTACCCGAATGTAATCATTTACCTTATGAAAAGACAAAGACAGTCATGTTCTCACCAGAAGCATTCAAGACACTCCATATCAAGCTGGATGGATTGTTTAGTGATGGTGGGCTAGTCAACATGTACACTTCCCGAGACACACAGGATATTCAGATACAAGCCAAGTTTCATGCCCATACAGAAGATCTGCTGAGTCATATCTTGTTCTCTGAAGTAGACAGTGTTGATTCCAAAATCAAAAATATCCATATCAATCATCATCATCCTTCCATTGCTAAATCTTGTTTAGTCTATCGTCTTGACATTGTATTTCCATCTACATTAAACAGATACAACAGTCTAGACATCAAAGTCAATCATGGTCGAATGGAAGGTGAATTAGAAGGATTAGAGTTTCATACGTTTATGGCTGGATTAGGAAGAGGGGCTATTGACTTCAAGGTAAGTAACTCAATAGTTCCATGATACATGCTTATGCCTTTGATAGGGATTAAAGGCAGACACCATCATGGTGGGTGCACTCAATGGTATGATCATGGGTAGTTATTATCCTGTCCATACATTGGGTGCTGCTGTACTCACAGGGGCTACAAATGTACAAGTGTATCCTCAATCAGGATCAAAATCAACTGTTGTTGCTTTAGATGGTCCTGTCAAGACAACCATGATATTACCTTATGGAGCAAATCAGGCATTCACAGTTCATTGCTGGTTATGTGAACCAGAGATTGTATCTCCTTTTGCTGATAAGATACACACTACTTGTGCAAAAAGAAATGCTATCAAAATGGGCTATTATGGTCAATTAAAAGGACGTGGTTATGTCAATGTGCATTCAAGACATGGTGAATCTAAACTGATCCTTCAATAATAATAATAACAATAACAATCACAATGAAAATACACACCCTCTTTTTCTTCTGTTTGTTTCTTACCAAAAGAGCTATGGATAACATTGATGCAGGTAAACTTGTCTATAAGCAACGTGTTTAAGATTTGTTACAAAGACAATGTCTGTTGTGAAACATGAAAAGAATTAATTTTAGACGTAAAGGGGGGGGGTTTTGTTATGAATGGTGTGCGTCACTGATTGAGTTATCATTGCCTTTGTTGTTGATTAGGCCACAATGCTGTTTTAAACATTTATACTGAAAGATGGTTACCATTCTATTTCCCCCCCCCTCCTCCCCTTTTGAGAAGCTTATCTTTTTGATTACACGAGGCAATTGGATGGCGTAGAAAATGACCCGATTACCCTACTTTGGTAGAAATATAATTTATTTTAGAGAAACATATCCAATTATATCATTCAATGGTCTTAAAATAGATCAGCAAGCTACCTTTAGAAAATTATTCCTTAAACACATAATAAGAAGAGTTGGAAACATGAAAGGGAATCAAAGGGGAAAATACATTAGCCACTTTTCTGCTTATGGCATTGGTATATGTTTTCTAACTCATTCAAAAACAGAAAGCAAAGAAAACAAACATGACCGTGATGTCATGTTCAATATGGTAAGGTAGCTTCTTTTTTTTTTTTTTCTGTCTTTTTACCCGGCTAACAACATGTATAAATTTGGAAATAATGTTAAAAAACAAAGTTGAAACGGAGTACTCTATTTACATTGTGATTTACACATACATACACCGGGTTACTGCAATCGGCTGATGAAAAACGTTATTAACTATACTTGGTGTTTATCCATGCGCTTCATAGATTATTTAGAAGTGTACCGAGATAAGTTTCTACCTTTTTTTCTTTTCTGTACACTTGTGATACAACTACAAATTTAAATCTTGTATATAAGGAACCAAAAAATAAAATAAAATAAGGTTACCCTTCTTTTTTATATAGATCTCTTCTTCCACACACACACTCCTTTTTTTATTTTATTTTGAAAATCCATTGAGTCATGCAACTTTCCTTCCTTGGTGCTCTTTTACTTACAACAGGTAGCTTTGTTTCAGCAGCCACTACTACCACATCCGCTACAAAGACATCTGAAGTCTTGGCTATCGAGTCCCCTGCTTGGTTGCCTGATTTCCCTGTCCCTGAAGGTGTCAATTCAGGCTACCCTACTGCCCCATTGAACATGTCCAGTACATTGCCTCGCAAGACCCTTGACCTCAAGCAGTATCCTGAACCTTGGGCTGCTCCTGACGTCAAGCACGCTGAAGTGCAAAAGGTCATCAAGGCCATTGATTGGAGCAAGGTCCCCAAGGCTCCTGTCAGAAAGACCAACAAGAACGGCGATATCGTCTTCACAGGCTACGATGAAGGCAAGGACCCTCACTGTTGGTGGTCTGATACCGGTTGTACTAAGCCTAAGCTCGATTATATTCCTGAAGATGTGCATCATTGTCCTAATCCTGGCGATTGGGGTCTCAACTACGATGATGGACCCTACAACCTTCAAGGTGAAGACAAGGAATTCGATAAATGGGCTGAACCCGAACTATACAATTTCTTGGCCAAGCACAATAACCAAAAAGCAACACTTTTCGTAAGTGAGAAACATCTTGTTGAACAATTAATTAATTGTCTTGTAGTACATTGGTTCCAACGTTGTAACCTATCCTGAGGCAGCCAAGAGAGCTCTTAACCATGGTCATGTCCTCTGTTCTCACACCTGGTCTCATCCTGTCATGACTACCCAAACCAATGAACAAGTGGTTGCTCAACTCTACTGGTCTCTTAAGGCTATCAAGGAAGCCACCGGTGTCACTACCAAGTGCTGGAGACCTCCTCAAGGTGATGTCGATGACCGTGTCCGTGCTATTGCTTGGCAAATGGGTTTGCACACCTACTTGTGGTCTGAAGATACTGATGACTGGAACATCAAGGAAGCCATCAATGGTGGTAGTATTTCCAATGCTGAAGTCAGCTCTCGTTTCGATACCTGGATCAAGAACCAAAAGGCTGGCAAGTACAAGAACGGCCTTATCGTGCTCGAACATGAACTGAACAATGCTACCGTCAAGATGACTGAAAAGTGGCTACCTAAGCTTCAAGAAACATTCAATGTCAAGTCCATTCATCAATGTTTGAATATTTCTCAGCCTTATTGGGAAACCAACTGGGTTTATCCTATTGGTAATGAAGCTCTCCCTGCTAACAGCACAACAAACAATACTAGCGTTGCTAACAATGCCACAACTACCACTGATGCTGCTACTACCTCCACAACTGATATTGTGCTTAACTTTGGTCCTACTACGGAAGCTGCCGCTGCTGCTGCCACCACTGAAGTTGCTGCTGCTGCCACTACTGATGCTGCTGCCAGTGCCGCTAATGCCGCTAATGCCATGGCCAACTCTGAAATTCAACAATCTGCTGCTCTTTCTCTCAAGAACACTCAATCTGTCACTCTTTTAGCTATGGCTGCTGTTGCTGCCTATATCTTTTAATTTATATATCATTATAATAAACGCATTTATGTATAGACTTTTATTTCCATCTAATTTAACTGGCAGCTGGGTGGGCAGGCTTTTCGCATGTACCATAGACGGCTTCCATATCTCTACGACACACCATACCATCTGCACAAGGTAAATTCTGACTACAGACTATCAGATAGGTGAGTGTTTATGTCATATTCTATATGATAGCTTACGATTATGAAGAGAACGAAAAGGTGGCAAGTCTACTGCAACAACCAAGCTGAGCATCAACGACAAGACAAGACTAATGATTTGGATTTTCATTATTAAAAGAAAAAAAAAAAAAGAGAGAGAGAGAGAGGAGAGAATAAAGAACGCTTGTCAAGAATGACATTGTATTATTTATTACAATCAAGATTGAAATTTGAACCAACAATGTTTATTTTGCTCGTACCGAAGAAACTAAATGACCAATGGGAAGTAAAGTAAACCTTGATGCTTGAGGTGCTAAAGGCAGTACGTTGTGTTGTCCTTGTTGGTTTGTGATGACTTTTCGAGCCCTAGAAAACAAGATTATTGTTTGTGTGTTGGAATGTAAAGTTTACCTTTCATATGTTTCATGAGTAGCATGCGTAAGTACACCCAATATCAAGGATTGTCTGATATAGAATTTGTTGACCTGGGATTTTAAGTGATACTCATAACTTGCCCAGTTGATGGGGTCAACCTGTTGCTTTAAGAATTGAATCACAGTGCTGTTTGTATGTTCAAACAGGCTGGAAAGAAACAGATAATCAAATATCAGCTGTAAGGCACCATTCTCCGTCATCTCTAATCTTTCCATATGTGTCTGATAAACTCTATTCACTACATGAAGTAACTTTTCTCTTAATTGTGTCATGATTGTCTTCATGATGTTAGCTTCTTCCATTGAATGTACATCCTATACTTGCCTGATCTATCATGGTACTATTGATACGTTGGATTTCTTCACACACAAAATACAGGTTTTTTACAATGTCGTTTGTTGATTGTGTTGGTATCTTGATGTCTTGTTCCACATCTATTGTCTATAAGTAACCTCTCTTTTTTTTGTGTTCTAGTCACTTTACTTTCCCAAACTGTGATAGAAGGACATGTATCATTCCATTTTGTCAAGACAAGTGTTGATTCAAGGTCTTGGGCAAATTTCTTTTCTAGCCAATCAAGCCAAGGTGTATGTGATTGATGATACACATACAATAATTTATCTTGTACTTGTGTATACTTGAGATCTATCATGCAAACAGCATTAGTAATAGAGTATTACTTTTTTTCTTTTCAATAAACCTTGATGTATACGACTGCGTAACTCAAATACAGGCATCGTATCAAGAGAGACAGACAATGCCTTGGGTAATTCTTTAGAAAGACATCCAATGTTCTTTGCCAGTCGACCCAGAAAAATGGACCCATGGTTGACTAAAGTCTATATAAGTAAGCCTTGTTCTCAATAGCTTACTCTTGTTTTGATCTGTCCATGCAGCAATACGCTCTATGAAGGCTTGAAGTTGATATGCATAAGCCATGACGGTGTCTAAGCATTGGTTCTCGAAATAAGTCTTGATTGTCTCTGTATCCCTAATTCATTGATGAGCTATCCATGATGACACTCTACACATACTCTTTTGTATCGCATGCACCTTCCATGCTTAAATAGACTTGAATATCTTTTCGAATACGAGCTAATGTGGTATCAAACGCATCTTGCAGTCGATGCAGATCGTTTGTTCTATCGTGCACTGTTTCTGCTAAATCGCGAGTGAAGGCTTTGATTTCTTCAGCACTCGATAGATGAGGTAAACGAAACGCATGGTGATGTTGGTCTGTCATATCAGGCCAAACATGCATTGTGACTGAGAAATCTGCTTGCTGAGATGCTTCCATGACTGTTTGCCATACCTTTTGTGGTTGTTGAGCAAGTGTGTTGAGGGCAGTATCCACCATGGATCTGGCATAGGCATTGAATGTGTCACGATAAAGACCATGCCAGATAGAATAAGAAGACAGCAGGCTGTCACTGGCTGTTTGCCATGATGTGTCGTGTTGCTCTAATGATTCAAACACCTGTGTACGTAGCTGGACTAAATCAGCATGGCTTTGGATAGCCGCTAAGGGTTGACTCAGATGGTGTTGAAGATACTGCTCGACATGCTTTGTCCATGCACGCACCATGGCTTGTACATCCTGATGTGTGAGTGGACTGGAGGGATCAAAGACAGGTAAATACGTCTGAAGTGTATCTGGAAGATAGCGAACCATCAGATGTACATTGGAACTGGGCGAAAATAACCGTGTGATGGCTGGTTGACTGGGTGTTTCATTCCCATGGCTTGATTTAGAGGGTATAAGAAACGTCTGTTGAAAAGAAGCCACAAAGGATTCAATCAGACTGGTGTGTTGTGTAGGCACAAAAATGGAAAAGGTCTGTATTAGCGTACGTTTAAATACGGTTGTGATCTCTTTTAGTTGGTGCGAAAGACGGTGTGTCTTGTGCTGTTGAATGATCTCTCGAATCACATTTAGTCTCATGTCCAACATCTTTTGAAGTGTGTCTTGATAGGACATGTTGTCTAATAGCATCAATCCCACCATGATTTCAGCCAAATGCTGGTTGGACTTTTCGTCAGCCATGTTGTCTTTTGACGCATTACTTTACCTCGGGTGTTTGTTCTGAAATACAAAGATAATGCAAAGAGCGTTGAATAATGTGTTGTTTAAATGCACTCACTGCATCCCATTGTCTCTGAATCACAGGAAATGCAACCTCAATATCCACAAATGACTTTTGTTTTTCTTGTTCGAGGTAATCATAGACTTTTTCAGCCAAGACAAACAATCGACTCGCATGAAGGTACCGATGATTTTCCATCGCATGCCACATCTGTTCAGGCACATCAGCCAATGATTTGACCAAGGCCGCAATACAATAAACATAACGTCGCTTCGTGTCTACAATAGCTATACAGTGATAAGTTGATACATCAAGTCAACCATGGTCTATACTTGAATTGTTTTTTTGATCGCGTAATTCAAGTGCCTTTTTTGCATTGGCTTTGATGGTCTGGACATCATAGTTTGTTTGCATACGTTCAAAGTTAGTCTTGATAGCTTGTGCATTTTTACTCATGGTGATAATAGTATCTGCTGCCGAAATCAAATCTTGATACTTGTTCCTATCTTGTTTAAGTTTTTTTTTTAAGGGCTTTTTTGATAGCCTACCCAACCATGGCGCGTAACTCTTGTTTTTGTGCTTCAATAGCATGACTAACAAGCTCAGTCTTATTGTATATATTGTATCTTATTTACCGTGTTTTTAGCTCAAGTGCTCGAACATCAGGTACACTTGACTCTATAAGGTACGTGTCAGGATCATTCGAATGGTTTTCTCGGGACATGAAGAATTTTAACTCGAAAAAGAAAAAAGAAAAAATTAAAAATATCAAGGAGATACGTCTGTGGTACATAAACGACATGTTATCATGTGATTTAGTAAATCACAGATTAGAATTTGAACGCTTTCGAATGACATCTTATCAAGGAGACAGTTTTCTCCCAAATATTTTTATTATTCTCCTATATACAAGCATAAGAGAGAATGTCGCTCTTATTTTGTTATATCCCTGCTTCTTCCATGTGGCAACAAGGATAGTTTTGATTTCATTCAATATTTTTTTTCTATCAATAAAACAGAAACTTGTTTATAGTGATAAATCATTGACTTTTTCTCTTTTGAGAAGAGAAAGCACAAAGAAAACAAAACAGAAAAAAGAATAGGGTAGAGGAGACAGAATCAAAAAAGAGAAAGAGAAAGAGAGAAAGAGAATTTAATGCATTATTGTCAGATAACACATACATGATGAGGGGACAGGTACAGAAGGAGAAATATCAAATGCAACATGACATTTATTTTATCAGGAGTGTGAACTTACTTGTTGAATCACCATGAAATCATTTTGATCTTGCTTAATTCTCTTAATCTATTTGTTTAAGCCTCGGTATAAGGAATAAAAAAAAAAAACAAAAGAAAAATAAAAAAAAAAAAAAGATACACTTAAAATAGTCCCCCTTGATACAAAGAGTTGGTTTCTATCTATCACTCCTCTCTATCTCCTTGATCTCACTCTCTCTACCCTTTTGATAGTTTGCTCCCTTTTGTCTTTTGATATAAATACAAACACAAGTAATGATTTTTTTCTGTCTTGATTCTACATCAAATCAAAACAATGAAATACTCTTTATTCATCTCTGCTGCTTACATTGCTTCTGTTGCCTTTGCTCAAGATGCACCTATCATTTCCATCACTTCTCCTTTGGCCAATACCAAATACAAGGCTGGTCAAGAAGCCATCATTTCTTGGATCAATCCTACTGTCTCTACCATTGATCAAATCGTCTTAGCCAAGGGTTCTTCTTCTGCTCTTCAGCCTATCATGACCATTGCTACTAATGTCAATGCAGGTGATATGAAGTATGTCTGGAAGATTCCTGCTGAATTGGAAAGTGGTACTGAATGTAAGTCATGTTTCATCATAACCCCAAGATCACTGAATTTTTATAGATGCTTTTGAGTTTGGTACTTCACCCAAAATGGCTTTTGCAGGTCCTTTTACGATTGAAGGTAGTACTGGCGGTGCTGTTCCTGCTGCTGCTAATGCTACTACTAGCAAGACAGACGTCAATGTGGCTGCTGCTGCTCCTCAACCTGCTGCCAATGCTGCTTCTACTCCCAATAGTGCTAGTCCTTCTTCCAATGCAAACACAAGCCAGTCTTCACCACGTATGGCTTCTCCTACTTCAGCAGGTACAAAGCACACCATGAATTCCATGGTTGTCTTGGGTTTGGCTGCTACTGTTGTTTCTCAATTCTTTTAATATGTATATCATTTTTTTTTATATATAAAATTTTCTCTCTCACAAACTGTCAAGAAATAATAATAATAATAATAAAAAAAAAAAAAGGTTGTGTCTAATAAAAAGAAATTTTCCTTCTTTTTTTAAGTAATAACGATGCCAGCTTCTTTAAAAAGAAGAAACAGTGCAAGTGTTAGTCCTGACCATGCATCTGAAGTAAAAAAAAAAATAAAAAAAAATAAAATAAGAAGCGCGTTATCAAGTTGTGTTAATGTGTTGTAGTTGCCAGGATCAAGTAGACGAAAACGACTCAAGAAAGTAACTTCATTCAATCATGGCGCGGACAATATTGACGAAGACGACAACGAAGAAGACAACGACGATAACGAAGAAGACAACGACAACAACGAAGAAGACAACGACGACAACGACGACAATGAACCCATGACGCATGACAAAGGATCTAATGGAACACTTAATCAACCCATTGATTTCAACAACATGGTAAACCATGAAAAAAAAAAAAAGTAAACATATTAATCTTCAACCATAGTCTATCAATGAAGCAGGCACGATTGCCAGAGTCGAAGTGGTTAATTTCATGTGTCATAAATACCTCAAGATTGATTTTGGACCCAAAATCAACTTTGTCATTGGTCATAATGGAAGTGGTAAAAGTGCTATCTTGACAGCGATCACATTAGCCCTGGGTGCTAACGCCAGTTCCACTAACCGTGGTAAAAACCTCAGTGCGTTTATCAAAGAAGGTGCCAGGTAAGTATGTCTTGTTGCTGTGCAGTGTCTTACCTGTGTGTTTAGTATGGCCAACATCACCATCATCTTGACCAATCGCGGTGAATCTGCTTACAAACCTGACGTCTATCCCGATCTGATCATTATTGAACGTCGCATCAGTAAAGACGGCCCTTCACCTTACAAGATCAAGAACTCGTCCAACCATATCGTGTCTCAAAAGAAAGAAGAACTGGTCGCTATTCTGGACCATATGAACTTACTCATCAATAACCCCTTGACTGTCTTGACACAAGACATGGCACGTAAGTTCCTAAGTGATAGCACACCTGAAGATAAATACAAACTCTTTATGCACGGTACACAACTGACGAACCTCAAGAACGATTTCGAATCTGTCCGTGAAAGTCTGGAGACTGCTAAAGCCATCTTGGACAGAAAGAAAGAAATTTTGCCTGTCCTTCAAGCAAAAGCCAATGAAGCACAAAAACGATATAAGGAAGTAGAAGCATCCAAAGAGATTGAAAACGACATTGATGTCTTGAACAACGAATTGGTGTGGTCTCAAATCATTCAAAAGGAAAAAGAAGCAGAGAAATTGAAACGTGAGGCAAATGTAGCTCAACATACACTGGAACAGATAAAAGAAGCGTATGAAGCACAAAAAGAGAAGGTCAATGTGTGTCAGGCTAATATAGTTCAGGTCACAGAAGAATGGGAACAGTTCAAAAATCAACCTGATCTTGATGCTGAAGAACGTAATGAACTGACGATTCAAAAGACAGATAAACTCTTGAAAATCAAAGAATTAAAGGTACATTTGATGGTCTTTTCCTGTATGTCTTACTTATATTCTATCTTAGGCTGACCTGACAGAGATCAATCATGCCATCAAGACAACCAAGGCTGCTAAGCAAAAACACCAAGAATTGATGCAAGCAGAAACCGAAAAATTAGAAGCCAGCAGCCAACTTAAACGAAATGAAATCCTTCAAGAAATCAATCGATGCAAACAACTGATTGAACACAAATCTGGCAAAGCCAAGCAGTTCAGTATCGAATTTGAAGGCCTAGAAGAAGAGCGCAAGCAGGCCAAAGAAACTTACCAACAGATGCAACATCAATTGGCCGAAATCAATCAATTCAAACAACGCGTGGAAAGCGATATTCGAAAACTAGAAGATCAACGGGGTGATGAGCTCAAGGCGTATGGACGTCGTATGCCTGAAGTTCTGCAGGCCATTCGAAGCGAGACACGATGGGAGAAAAGAAGGCCTGTAGGTCCATTAGGTGTTCATCTGTCTTTACAACAGCCACAATATGCTGAAGTCATTGAAGCTGTGTTGAACAAGAGTCTCAATGCTTTTGTGGTCGAATCGTTTCGAGACAAGAACTTGTTGTTTCGTATCTTGTGTCGTTTTGAAATGAGGCAGATTCCTATCATTGTGTCTGACTATGATCTGTTTGATTATACAGAAGGTGAGCCTGATCCTCAATACATGACAGTCCTTCGTGCGATCAAGTTTGAGGATGAATGGGTCAAGCGTCAATTGATCAATGCCAACAAGATTGAAAAGATTCTGTTGATGGAAGACCGTCAAAAGGCAGACCAAGTCATGTACCAAAAGCCAAAGAATATTGATCTCTGCTTTACGAGCAATTGTTATAGAGTGGGTGGTAAATCAGGTATGCGAACAGAATCGATTGACAAATACCGTGGTCCTCCTCGGTTCCGTAAAGACTTGGACCATTTGATCAAGAAGCGTCGTGGTGAATTAGCCAAAAAGATAGAAGAATATGAACGTTTGGAACTCGAATCAAGAGAACTTAAGACTCGGCTGATGGACTTGGAGAAGCGATCTAAAGAATGCAAGCGTTCTGAATACGCCTTGGATCGCGAGATTAAGAACCTGGAGCGCGTGGTGGCCGAGAAAGAAGAAGCCATGAGAGAAGATGACCCTGTTGATTTAAACATGTATCAAGAAGACATTCGTCTCTGTGACACCAAGATTCGAAGTCTTGTTCAACAATTCCAAGATATCAAGAACCAACAGAATGCATTGACAAAAGAAGTACAGGAAGTGATTATTCGACTCAAGACACTCGAGAACAATTATTTGCGAAGAGAAGAGCAGTCGAATGAGTTCCGTGTCAAGCTCAACAAGTTGGGTGACATAAAGAGTCAAGTGCAAGGTGATTTAGAACAACTCGGCAATAAGTTACAGACAACCAAACTGAGATATGAAGGCAGACGATCTGCTTATGCTGAATGTGATCAACTTGTGAATGAATGGATTCAGCAAGCACAAGAAGAATATCCTGACCGTGTTCATACTGACCGTAGTCCTCATGAAGTAGAGAAAGAAATCAGGCGTTTAGAAGGTATTGCCAAGAACATGGAAAAAGAAAGAGGCATTTCTCTTGATCAATTGACAAGGGAGACAGAAGAAGCCATGACACAATGGAATGAAGCAGACGCTGTTATCAAAGGCATGGAGAAACTGTCTAGATCACTCTCTAAAATGTTGGCAGAAAGAATGAGCAAATGGGAATCCTTTAGAAGTTATATCTCTTTGTCTGCTAAACACTATTTCAGTTACTATCTTCATATGCGTGGTGATGAAGGTACACTTCGATTCAATCATCAAACAAAACGATTAGATATTCGTGTGTCTACCGGGGATCAATACAGTAAAGGATCCCGTCAAAAGGACTCTCGATCACTTTCTGGTGGTGAGAAGTCCTTTTCTCAAATCAGTTTATTATTATCTTTATGGCAGAGTATCTCTTCACCCATTATTTGGTAAGTTTTCTATTGGTCAGTGTCAGTTAACAAGGTTAGTTTGGATGAATTTGATGTGTTTATGGATGCTGTCAATCGAAAGCAAACGATGAGTATGATAATGAATGCTGCTAGTGACAATTCTTCGCAGTATATTCTGATTACACCTCAAGGTACAACCAATCATGTCATGACTGTTTATTGACTTCCCCCCTTTTTTTTTTGTTATTAGATGCTAGTAATATGGAACCAGGCCCATATGTTACTGTTCATCGCTTACAAGATCCTGAGCGTGGTTCATAAAGAAGAAGATGAAGAGGAGGGCGGCGCCACTTGAATTTAAATAGTATGTTGGCTTAAAATAAAATTATAAATAAACGGGGTTTGTGACACACCTCTTTGAGGTTTGTTATGTGGCTAATTAAAGTGTAACGCCAAGACGATATAAATAAATGTAATTTATAAAGGGATATTTTTTTTCTCTCTCTCTCTCTTTTTTTAATATTCCTTTTACTTTTTACTTTTGCAAACATGTTAACAAAGAGAAACACAACTACATTTCTATTTACATTAATCTCACTGATGGTCACTTTGATGGGTGACTTTGTCACAGCTGCTCCTGTGACAAGTGTCGATGGCAATTCGGCAACATTCACTTGTAAACTAATTTATTTATTTATTTATTTAAAACTAATGATCCTTATTAGTTGCAGGACATACAACCACAGTTCATGGTGTTGTGTTTAGTGTGGTGATGTTTGTTACTGGTGCTTATCTATGTTTCCTTGGAGGTACACATAATATAGAAAATAACTGTGACTTATAGTATCATGATTAGGTGTATTTCAAAATTTTACTATGTTTATTGTTGGCTTTTATGTGGGGGGCAATATTGCTTATATTGTATTGACCAATGCCAAAGCAGACTATGGAAGTAACACAAATACCATCTTGTTAGTTGTTAGTATTGTCGCTGGTATTCTAGTGGGAGGATTATTGTGTTGTTGTTTCTTTTTAGCCGTCTATTTATTGGGTGCTTTGCTGGGTTATTTAGTTGCACTTTGGTTGCTCTCTTGGAGTACGAATGGATTAATCCAAACCAATTGGGGTCGTGCTATCCTGATTGTCTGTTTCTGTATTGTAGGTGTAATCTTGATTGCCTTTTTAGAACGCCCTATGTTTGTGATTGCCAGTGCTTTTATTGGCTCATTTGCCATCTTTTGTGGTATTGATATCTATGTTCAAACAGGCTTTTTGGAAATGGTCAACACACTCTTACACGCCAAAAATTTTGATTTGGCAGTGAATGCCTCAAGCCAATTACGAGGCATGTTGGGTGGTTGTTTAGGTCTTGCTCTTGTGGGTTGTTTGATTCAATGGTGCTGTATCAGAAGAGATTCAAGTACCTATCGTGGTTGGAGAGAACGTCATCCTTATGGTGGTGGATGGACGCGTGTCTAATATGTAAAATTAAAATTTATTATTGTTTTATGCAGTCAATTCCCAATATTCAACAGGTTCTCCTCTGACTTCTTTAAAGCTTTTGCGTACATGAGGATGTGATTCTATCTTCTCTACCACACGTAACCAGTCTTGAATGGTTTTGTTATTATTGACATCCACCACACATGAACGGAGTTGAGGTACAGGCACAGTAGGTGATATAGTTGAGTCTTGCATGTATTTGTCATGCTAAACAATATCAGTTGGCTTATAAGCTGTGATCGATAAGACTCACCTGTTGCTTTAATTGGTCCAAAATAGACTTGACAAGTGTATCCATCTTTTGTTGATACATTAGATTTCTTCTATAGTCCCTTGAGGCACCATATACAGCTGAAAGAACAGAAAGAAAAGCAATGATATAGATCTTGATGTTGAAAGGTGTTTGTTGATACACACGCTGTATTTTACACCAAGTACTATACACTGCTTCTTCTGTGCCTAAGTACTTTTGATCCTCACTAATCATGGATGTGAATAACAATAATAGTAGTATATATATATATATACTACTTACATCTCCCAGTAATGAATCTTGGGATCTTCAAGGACAGCAGATAAGGCAATCACCATAATTTCTTCTATTCTGTCTTGAGGAAGATGGAGTTCAACAAATGCTTTGATATTAGACAAGACATCTTTGACTAACACTTTGCCAACAGGGGCATCTGTGCTGTCTGGATGAGCAAGCAAGTGTTGACAAGCTAATTCCCCTTGTTTGATAGCCAATTGTTGCTTGATTTTGCGTTCTACTTGTGCAACATATTTACCTAGGACTGAATTATGAATACAATCATCCGCAATAGGTAATCGATGGCCAATATTATAGAAAGGTGTCTTTTTTTCATAAAGTGGATCACATATCAGTTCATCCTCTGTACATACACCATGATCTGGGCATGGAATACAAGGAGAGGGCAACAAAGAGAACAGAAAAGAAACTATCATGGTTTAGCTTAGGCTAGAAAAAAAAACATGGTTATCCTTACCATTCTTAGGATGAATAGAATGATTTGTGCAATAACCATTTTGTTGACGTGCATAAGCAGTGATGCTTAATCCAACAATGCCGACAACCATGTATACTATACATAAGCCATAGCCTATACGCTTCAATATCGTCTTCCATAGTAACAGATGTTGTCTTGCTTCAGCTAATTTCTGAGATCGTGTCTTGATAGGATAGGGTTTGGCCAAGGTTTCTGCTGGCACGGCTTGATCTTTATAGAGCAACACTAACTCTTCTTTGTCAATCTCACCAATATCCTCTTCTGATTCATCAGTCACATCAGCATCTGCATCGTAATCAGGATCGACTTGTTCATCATCCAACTCGATAGGTTCAGTATAATCATCGTCTGAACCTTCAGAAGCAAATGAATCATCAGGGTTGAACTGTACTTTTTTCTTTGGTTTCTTCGTTTTAGGTGGATGAACTAACACTTTCTGTTGCTGCTTTTTGGGCTCCTTTCTCGGGATGGGTGTAGATTCGACTTCACTCTCTCCAAATGAATCTTCTGGATTGAATGGAGCACGTTTAGGTACAGAAGGAATAGCAAATCCGTCTTTATCCTATATGCATGACAAGTCAATGACCTTGATGGCAAAAACACGTCTTACCTTTTTGACTTCTTTAACTTCATCTTCAAATCGCGTTGGTTTTTGTACAGCACGATGACCACGACCATATTCTTCGATTGGTAGTGGCTGTTCTTGTTGCTTTTTCTGATAGGCTGCTATGATCTCTTCTTTTCTAGGCTCAATATGTTTCTTAAACAGATGGATCAAGTCATTACGAGTAATACTACGTAAATAAGGAATATGATGGGCCGCCAAGATCTCTTTTAGCTGATATTTGCGTAATGAACGAATAGAAAAATTGTCATCTATATTTTGATGTAAGTTAAATAGAACATGAATTCACATCGTACCAAGGTAATACAGTTCTTTAGGTAAATTCGTCATTGTTATGATATAGAAAAAAAAAAGAAAAGAAAAGCGCGTTTGAGACGGTATTTCATTTATCCAGTTTCTATATGTCACACATCTTTTTATTCATGCGAGACATTCTTGAGTAATTCAATTTCGATACACAACTGTTCTAATGCAAGCACAGCTTCTGCATAATCTTGATCTTTCTCATTCAGTAGTATGCGTAGACGAATCTCTTCATCTTTTGCTTGTTCTAATTGAGTCAGTAAACTAGCCATTTCATTGCGTTGTTTAATATTGGCGGTCTCTAAACGTCCCATCTCCATCGATAGCTGAGATAGATCTGGACTTTGTTGAACAGAGACACGGCTAGCCAATTGATTGGAGAGATGAGCTATTTGAATTGCATCTTGTCTTGCTTGTGTCTCTGCTTTCATCATCTTGTCATAAAGCACCGTAAGTTGTTCGAGTATAGTCTGATGAGCCTCCTGGGCTTCTTCTGATTGTATCTGTGCTTTTGTCGCTTGTTCCTCAGCCATGGCTCTGGCCAATGTCGCTTGTTGAGACAGCTGTTTTACTTGAGCCAATGTCTCACGCTGTCTGTTCCCTTCTTGCTCTGCTTCTCTTAATCGTGCTTCTAACAAAACGGTTCTTTCGGACTCAAGCAGATCCAATGCTTTGTGGTCATGTGATTTAAGTGCAATGTAAGTGGCTTTATAATACGCTGCTTCTTCTAATGCAGCCATACGAATATGTTCTGTTTGTTCAATTTTCTGTACAATGGGTTCTATTTGCTTAGTGGTACTGCTTTTCATCTTTTTGATTTCGGTCTTGATGTTGACGAGCTGCTGGAAAAGCACTAGCTTGTCTGTGGTATCAAACTGTATAAGACAAGCTGACTTGGATTCCTGGTCATCGATCTTGTTCTGTTCAAAACGAGCAAGAGAGACTTCAGTACGCCACCATTGTTCTTTCTTTTTCATTTCTGTGATCATGGTATCACGTAAAGCAAGTTCATGCAACAATCTCTTTTTTTCTTCAGGGTCAAGGTGAGATGGCGCTGGTAGTTGAATAGTAGGTGGTATCCTAGGGTGTATGTCTCGTTTAAGTTTCAGAGAAGGCTCTCGTCTATCTAAACCTGCTCCTTCTCGTGATGGACGTAAAGGAGGGGTTTGTCTCTGTTCATCCAGATGGATGGAAGGCTAATGAATGAGTGATATGACATGATCTATCATCTTACCTCTTCTTTTATCACACGCTCTTGTTTTTCGCTTTCAGAAGGTTCTGGTTCAGGAGGATATTTTATCTTGGCTAGAATAAACGTCATAAGTCAATCCATCCCCATTCTTTATCTACTTACTGCAGTCAAGAACAAAAAGAGACAGGCTATCGTCTGCTTTACCTATCGATTCACCTCCAAACACATAAATCTTTTTCTGAATAGCAGTCAATGTGAGTCCAAAACGAGGCGAAGGAGGGATACCCATACTTTGAAACATGTACCATCGTTGACCTAAACAATATTGAGCCTACACATCCTGTATCATTTTTTGGCTTACTCTTGATACGGAATGCACATAGATCGCCACAGAGTGTGCCATGAATGCCTCTGCCACCAAAGATATAGATGGTATCATCGACTAAAGCAGCTGCACAACTTTCTCTAGGTGTGGGTATATAGCCTACAGCTGAAATAGGATGCCATACATGTGTCATAAGATCAAAATACCAAATGTCGTTCAATAAGCCCTGTGTGTTGATACCACCAAATCTAAACAAGGTCTTATGAGATCCAATCTTGACGCATCTAACTTACATGTAAAGTCTATGGTTATGAATGACAGCCACATGACCTGATCTCGCTGAAGGTGCTTGACTTTGATAGTCTATGAATTCCCATTCTGCCTTGGAAGGATCTGTAGAGGATAAATGAGACATACCTAGTGTTGTACTTACATTCTTTGACATGGAAGAGACATAAATCATTCAAGTATTTTCGCTGATAATGTCCTCCCCAGACATACATTATGCCATCGTCTGAGATGCATGTTGTATGTCCTGCTCTTTCGATAGGTAGTCTTCCTTTGGTTCTTACTCTTGACCATTGACGTGTATCTGATGGTTGGATGAATTTAGGGGCCAGAAGCATTTGATCTAAAATACTTACTTGTATGCATGACATAAAAATGAGGATCCCATAATTCACCAGGAATCTTAGGTTCACCACCATATACTAAACCATCAGCACACGTACAGACAAATAACAACTTACAGAGTATAAATCCATCCATTGAATTCAAGGTACAAGCCATTCTTGAAGGAGGTATATCACCTGAAGAAGAGAGTGCATGGGCAGACGTATTATCTTGAAGGAGTCAATACGAAGGACTGAATAGATATTGTCTTACTTGTATTGATCATGAACAAGTTCTTTTTGCTTCGACCTGTTCCACCAAACACAATAAAGTGTTGGTTGTCAATCATAGTGGCCGCATGACCTGATCTCGGTAAAGCATGACTGTTTCCTCCTAATCTACGTTGTGACCAAGGATAAATAGACTTTTCAGAATGATTCTTTGTGAATTTAGAAAAGAGTGTCATGATGTTAAGAAGAAGAAGGAGGCTATAAATGGAAACAAGACCTCATACTCGAAAAGGCTAAATTGGAAAAGGCATTTTATTACACGGCAACGTCACACACCTTTAAACAATAACACACATTTTAGCTTATTATTTTCTTCTTTTTAAGTAATGGAGGATTTTGACGATATTCCTGATCTTGTACCTGCTGCTATTCCAAGGTAAACTATGAACGTCTATTGACTTTATTAACAACTCGATGAGTGACACACCTGTTATTGAAGAACAAGGACATAAAAAGATTCCTGTCACTATTGTCACAGGTAAATATATATATATATATATGTATATGTATATGTATATAGACATGTCCATGCTAATAAACGTAGGGTTTTTGGGTAGTGGTAAAACAACCTTGTTGAATTATATCTTGACAGAAAAACACGATAAAAAGATTGCTGTGATCTTGAATGAATTTGGTGAAAGTAGTGATATTGAAAAAAGTTTGTCTGTCAATCAAGACGGCAACTTGTATGAAGAATGGCTTGAACTAAGAAATGGATGTTTGTGTTGTTCTACAAAGTAAAGATTGGCTTATGGTTGATACTGTTATTCATCATCATCATCATCATCTTATAGGGATGTAGGTGTCAAGGCCATTGAGAATCTCATGGAAAAAAAGGGCAAATTTGACTATATTTTGTTGGAAACAAGTGGATTGGCTGATCCTGGGCCTATTGCTTCTATGTTTTGGCTAGATGATGGACTTGGAAGTGAAATTTACCTGGATGGCATTGTCACTTTAGTTGATGCAAAGTACATTCGAGATCATATTCATCAAAACAACAAAGATGTCATGATCAATGAAGCCTTAAAGTAAGTGGATTCTGTTGAGGCTGCATACTGATAGTTTACTTAGGCAAATTGCTATTGCAGACCGTATTGTGATTAACAAGAAGGATTTGTTGTCTGAACAAGAATTAGATATACTCAAACAAGACTTGTCTTCTGTAAATGCTGTGGCTGATATGATGGTCACTGAAAGATCAAGGTAAGTTGATGACAGTCAAAATCCTCACTGATGACTTATTTAGAATTCCTTTGGACTATGTATTGAATATCAATGCGTATGATGTCAACAATGCCGATGCTCTTGTTCAACAAACAAACAAGATTGAACAACATGGACTTCATCATGCTCATGAAATAAGCCATGTAAGCTCATTGTTAAATAGAGTTGAATATTCATGCTATTAGGAAATCCAAACTGTCTGCATTCAATTTGATCAACAACTAGAGACGATTGAACATTTAGAACATTGGATTCAAGAATTACTTTGGGAAAAGAAGATTGCAGGCACAGATGATACTGAACCTGCTGTTGTACTTCGACTTAAAGGTATTCTATATCCTCCTCAAGAACAAGGCGCATCTGAACAAACGCGACTTGTTATTCAGGGTGTTCAAGACTTATATGATATTCAACAAGGATTGGCTGAAAAGGGCACAACAGACACAGGTAGTAAAATTGTCTTGATTGGCAAGAATTTGGATAAACAAAAGATTTCTGCTTCTTTTACCAGTGTATTAAACATAAAACACACTATTATTTAAAGCATAACCATTTCCAAAATAAAAGTGTCTGTTTTTGTTGTTGTTCTTCTTGTTGTTGTTGTGGTTTAGATAGTTGACTACAGTCATATTTACACAGAGGACATTCAGCACATTTCTGTGTTAACCAAGGATCTAGGCATATATATATATTTATATATCAGTCTTGTTGAATTCTCTAGGTGAATTTTTTTTTTTTTACCTATACAATGACCATGGTAGGTATGCTCACAGGGCAATTTGCGTACTTTAGATCCTACCATCATAGGCTCTAGACAGACAACACAGACTTCTGTATGGTTATTTGTCAAAGTGTGAATAGGAAACAGTGCTTCAAGTTGTGATGCTTGAAGGATATGTTTACCCATAGGCAACATTTCAACAGGCACAGGAATCAAACCTTGTTCAATTAGATACGCTTGTCTCTTTCGCTTTCTCCACAAATGCCAATGCATGATCACTACATAACAGCTATGAATCATGGCTTGGTTTCTTGCCACTCCCCCTTGTGTTTTACCTGAAGCAAGAAAACTAGTGACAAGTAAAGTAGATACCACAAGTAACGTAATTTCCCATGCATTAATCCCTCCAGTACTCGGTGGCAACATAAGTACCCGTACATACGGTTTGACACTGATGGTCTCACTCAATAACGAAACAGGTGTTGCTTGATACAAAGCCACTTTCTCTGATAATTCTTTACCAATATGAATATCTACAAAATAAACAGTAATTGAAATATTGGTACCTAAAGGTATCTAAAAGACTCCTTAATCCTTTTTAAACCAGTTTTTTTTTTTTTTAAAAAAAAGGGGGGGAGAGGGGGAAGGGAACAATGTTACCATGATAGAGGTGTCTTCCTCATTTCCAGAATGTATGGTATCACCATATAAAATAACTCCTATGGCTCCTTGATCTTGAGCTTGTTTGATATTGTCTGCTATAGAACAAGATGCTCTGTCTTGATCAATTAAGGCTATTTTAGTCAATTGGTTCAAAATTGAAAGAGGTCGTTCTGTTGTATTGGTGCCTGTACAATGGATCGAGGGTTGATACAAAACACCCTTGAGTCCTGCTTCCGGAGCTTGGTTTAGATTGGAGGCTGCTTTGATTCGACTGTTATAAAGCACAGGTGTATAATTCGTATCTGTGTGAGCCAAGGTAGATGAGTTGGAATAAGCCCATACAACATCTAAATGTTTGTTGAATAGCATGTCTTTATATATATATATATATACCTTGAGTAATGGATATAGGTGCATTTGAAAATAAACTACAGTGAACAAAATGAACAAAATAGAGAATAAAAAGTGATAACAGTAGAAAAGACATGGTTTAATCACTCTGTAAAAAAAAAAAAGACAGAAAAAAGAGAGAAAAAAAAAAAAAAAGAAGAAAAAGTGCTTATAAATAAGGAGCTTTTTGCATACTTATTTATCATACAAGACAGTATTGATCGTACCCAAAATAAAGCTTGCTAAATCTTCATCTTCAAAACTCCATTTGATACAGACACAGTCTGAATTCAATAACCACAAACACACGCTTTGAATATCAATACTGCTTGATGTACGTTCAATTAGACATGTTTTCCCTACAGATCGAGCAAGGGCCACTTGTAGCACATCAAGGATACGACGTTGTATGTCCTCCAATGAAGATTGTGTCACATCAGGCAAAAGACAAGTAGGATCAAACGCTTTTTCTACTTGGAAAAAAAGGGCCTTTTTGGTTTCTTTTTCTACCGGTGTTGAATTCACAATTTCTATAGAAGGAAGTGCATGCTGCTGCTTGCTTCTGGTATCGATATGCATCAGCAAAGTGGCATGAATAGGCACAGACGTGGTGGGACAGAGAGTACTTGTGCTTGGTAAAAGGGACTTGAGTAAATCTGTACTAATCTTGGCTTCTAATGCTCGACTGGTTTCCATATGAATACTGCATCCATTGGCAGGCATGTAACAAGCAATACCGAATTCCTTCATGATATTGCTTCTCAAAAAATCCATTTTACCTCGCTCACCATGAACAAGCACCACATTTCTTGGTTCGCACATACGAATGAGTTGCATGATACCTTTTGCATCCGCATGTGCACTAAACGATAGATTTCTGACTTGTAGATTGACTTCAAATTTAGTATACTTGTCTACCTCAATCAGTTTTTGACCCAACAGGACTTTGGCTCCCACTGTGCCTGCAACACAATAACCAGGCATGATCACCATGTTTTTTGGGTCGGGTGCCCATTTCTGAAAGACTTGAAGTGATGTGCCTGCATTCAACATGCCCGGTGTAGCAAACAAGACCATAGGCCCCTTGGCATCCAGATAGCTCTTGTGCCATGGCTTAATGTGTTTAAAATCAAAGGCATTGCGTTGAGCAAAGGTCGATTTGATCTTTTGGTTGGTCCAGTTGATAAACAGTTTATAATATTCTGTCGCTCTTTCTGTCAAGCCTGTGGAAAAATAGATAGGAATATCAAGGCCCATACGATCCCAATAGGATTCAATCAAGATACAAAGTTCTTGAGCACGACCCAAAGCAAACACAGGAATGATTACATTGCCGCCATTGGCGACACATTCATGCACCTTGGTCAAGAAATCACGCTCTCGAGACCGTTTGGAGTCACGAATGGTAGTAGCATACGTACTTTCAGTAATCAAGACATCAGGTCGCACTTTATCAATCCAAGCACTGCCTAGATGACGATCGGGTGTCATGTTGTAATCGCCTGTATAGACAACCGATTCCTGTCCTACACGCACATAGATCATGGCAGCACCCAAGACATGACCTGCATAATAGGCCTTGATTTCAATCTCGTCGTCTACTTTGATAGTCTGATGCAAATTCATCGGGATCACTTTCTTCATGCAGTTTTTGATCATGTCTGATGTAAAGAAATTCGTCTCGCCTTTTCGCTCTACTGTGATTTTGCGGTAATCTTCCAACAAGATGGGGCAAATGGCTTTTGTGGGATGCGTCATATAGATCGGACCATCATACCCACACATTTCAGTAAAGAATGGTAAAGCACCACAATGATCCAAGTGGAAATGAGAGATAATGACAGCATCTAAGATATCGGTGTAGTTGCCTGTTTTTGAGATATAACTAAAGTCAGGAAAACGTCTGACATCTTGATAGCCCATATGCATTCCTACAGCTGTGGTGAGATCAAGTCCAAATGGGTGTCTCATTACCACAATCAAACATAATGTTCTTGCCACCAATCGTGACTAAAATACAACTACGTCCAACATCCTGACCTTGACTTTGTTTAGAAAATACGTGTCAATATTCTTTTTTTCTTTTTTTGTACCTGCGCCTAAAGGAACAACTTGAATAGGCATCACACAAAAGAAATACAAAAAAAAAGAAAAAGAAAACAAAAGCGGCTTTTTTTTAATCTTTCAAATACAGAATTATAAACGCATGAGAACACGTACACTTTATAATTCATAACTCAATAATAGCTTGTAAAGTAGAAGCTCATCTTATCATAACATGTCATTGTACGTTATTCCAGTTTATTTGTCAGTGTGTGTGTGTGTATGTATGTGTGTGTGCGTATAGATGTATAATGTATAAAACAATGCTGTATATTCTAATCCTTCTCTCTCTTTTTCTTAACGAGCTTCGAATTGAACCACTAGAAACATGTCAGGAAAAAAAAAGCACTTTGGGTTTATCTCACTTACTTCTCTTTGTTCTCTTTTTATACATGATTCTATGGCCACAATCTTGGCAACGGATGGGTTCTCTAGGCTTAAGTTGATTCTCGGCACCACAATCTAACAAATTATTAAAAAGCTTAATAGATTCAATACTATTTACCAGCACAGAGATAAGTCATAGCGACAGGTTGACGAATAGGTGCTCCTTGATAACCCTCCATTGTATAAAGTATATATATATAAAAAAAAAAAGAGAGAAAAAAAAAGCCTGGTTTATTTTTTTTTAACAGCAGTCACTTGCCAAAAATATTTTTTTTTTTTTTTTTTGCTGTTTTCATATCTGTCAACAGTCTTTTTCACAATGTCACTTCCAAAAGCACTTGAAGCTCAAGTAAGCCAATTCATTTTAAAACTCAAGACAAGGTAAACAAACAAGAAAAACAAGAATGTAACTTACATGAATAGACAAGTGGTGGGTTCTTATGAAGTAGCCAAGGAAACAGCCTTGATTCTTAGACAGGCTATTTCTACCACGCGTTGGTATAATGTGGATTTGCTTATTGAATTTATTACGGAACTAGGCAGTCGCCTTGTGGCTGCCCAACCTAAAGAATTGGCTGTGGGTAATATTGTACGTCGTGCCTTGAAGATTATTCGTGAAGTAGCTCGCGGTGAATTACACGATACTCAACAAGAATTTGAACCTGAAGAAGACGAGGAAGAAGGGGAAGAAGAAAGTGAAGAAGGAGAAGAAGAAGAAACAACAGTGCCTCAACAGCGACCTCAAATCATGGTGAATGACAGACACTTGTTAAAACAATCTTCCATGTTCAATCTATTATCAGATGGACCTGTCAAAAAGCATGATTCTACACCACAAAACACCTACAATTTAAAGCCATTGATTATCCAAGAAATCAACGAAGAAATCATTGCTGATTTAGAAAGTGTCTATAAGGGTATTGCAGACCAAGCAACTGATTTCATCCATGCCAAGTAAGTCATACTGTTTAAAATAGGCTGTTGATCCATTCCTTAGTGAAGTGATCATGACTATTGGTAAATCGCGCACAGTACAAGAATTCTTGATCAGAGCAGCTCAGAAACGTAAATTCCAAGTGATTGTGGCTGAAACATCACCCACTTACCAAGGTCATGATATGGCCCGTACATTGTCTACTGCAGGCATTGATACCACAGTCATTGCTGATTCAGCTATTTTTGCAGCCATGCCTCGGGTGAACAAGGTCGTGCTTGGTTCTCATGCTGTGTTGGCCAATGGTGGGTTAGTGGCAGTCACTGGATCTCATTTATTAGCAGCAGCAGCCAAACACCATTCTACACCTGTGCTTGTCTGTACTGCTCTGTACAAATTATCGCCTTTGTTTGCTTATGATTCAGACACATTCAATGTAGCTGTGGCTCCTCATGATGTATTGAACTATCAAGAAGGTTCTCTTATTGACAAAGTCAGCATTTCCAATCCTTATTATGATTATGTTCAACCTGAATTAGTCAGTTTGTTTATTCACAACTTGTAAGTGTATTTTCATAATATATATATATATATATGTGTGTGTGTGTGTGTATGTATATCGACTCATATTTATATACATAGAGGATCTGCTCCACCTACGTATGTCTATAGATTAATCAATGATAACTATGATCAACAAGATGCTAGTCTGTAAATAAAATAAAATAAAATAAAATAGAATTTATGCAACGCATTTTCTTCTTTTATATTTTGTATACAACATGTCACTTTCTTGTCAACGATGTGGACATGCGTTACGTATTGATGATTCTTTAACCAATTTAGATCAAGCTTCGGCTGATGTCTTGTTAGGTAACGCATACATATGCCATAGTCTAGGGATTAACCTTATCTATAGCACCTTTAGAAGATGAAGTTCAAGCAACTCTTCATCCATCTCAACCTATACCACAAGCACTCCATACGCGTCTGATCGGCATTAAACCGCCCAACTTACAGCCTTCCAATAGTCTTCAACTGCCCAGCAAACGAGATAGTCTACCTGCTCCTTCTGAGTCCTTTGTGGTCTTGCCTCATCCGACAGACAACACTAGCAATATCCAGTCTTCGACTAAAATACTTCAAGCTGTCCATCCAACCACTCACTTGACATGGATGGAAGATGGTCATTGGCCACGCAATAACACTCTCTCTCATCGATTAAGAGTAGCGAATCGTGTGTTTGATATCATGTCTTCCAAATCAAGTGTGGATCATCCCATGTGTCAGGAATGTACAGACATGTTGTTGGAAAACCTTCAGAAACAGATGATGGATGTCGGGAAAGAACGTGATTGCTATATTGATTTCTTAAAGAAAGTACAAGACAGTCGAGTGAGTCCTGATGAAGAAGAAGGATTGGCTCGTCAAGTCGATGAGCTTGTTTTGGCAGAAAAAGAAGCAGAGGATGAACTCGATAAACTAAAACAAGAAGAACAAGCATTGGATAGTCAATTACAGTCTTTACAGGATCAAATGCAAAGATTAGATAAAGAAGAACAAGGCTTTTGGGAGCAATGCAATCAGTATCAAATCAGTCTACAGACATTTCAGAATGAAAGGGATTCTATCAACTTAAAATATGATCATGATGTGAAGCAATATGAACGACTACAAAAGACAGTGGTGTATAATGATGCATTCTGTATTTCACATGACGGACCCTTTGGTACGATCAATGGATTTAGACTAGGCAAGTTAAGTACTCATCCTGTTGAATGGAATGAGATCAATGCTGCTTGGGGACAAACCTTGTTGTTGTTGTATACAGTAGCCAGTAAACTGAAATTCCAGTTCAAGACGTAAGTTGCATTATTTTATTTTATGTTGGTTCTGATGTTATTTTAGATATCGACTTGTGCCTATGGGATCCTTTTCTCGCATAGAGAAAATAGACGGTGATAGTGTTGTTTCTTATGAACTGTAAGTTGTATTTAGCTATTCTGTACTCATAGTGTGGTTAGATATGGTTCAGGGGATTTTGGTATCAACAAAATGTTATTTTTAAACAGAAGATTTGATCATGCTATGGTGGCTGTCTTAAACTGCCTTAAGCAACTCACAGACTTTGCTGAAGAAAGAGACAAGACATTGAGACTTCCTTACCGTATCAACAAGGACAGAATTGGTGAATTATCAATACGAATTCAATTTAATCAATTAGAACAATGGACAAAGGCATTAAAATACATGCTGACAAACATGAAATGGATTTTAGTGTTTGCCAGTCGAGCCAATACAACAACAGTAGAATAGCTTTATTTCTTTTGTTGTTGCTTCATATCAGAAGCAATTTGGAACATATTAGGCTTATTAAACTTGTCATTTTTGTTCTTGTTTTTAACCTTCTTGACTTTACCACGATCATAGTCTAGATCATAAGCATCTACTTTCTTGCGCTTATGTTTGATCTGCTTAAGTGTCTGGTTTCGTTTTTCAACAAGACCAGTGTCTTCCCAAGTATCAATTTGATCTTGGAATTGATTGTCTGTCTTGGCTAACAGCAATTGTTTGACTTCAGCACTTTTACTCTCATTGACTTCTTTTTCAATCAAAGCACCGAGTTTATCTCGTTTAGACTGCATTTGTTCATTGTGTTGGACTACAATAGCTGCTTTGTTTTCTACTTTGACTTTAGTAGATACTTGTACATCTTTACTTTCTTCTTCTTCTTCACTTTCTTCTTCACTTTCTTCTTCTAGTTCTAGTTCTACTCTCTCTACAGATGTTTCTATAGATCTTTCCATAGATATTTCCACAGGTTGAGTAGTGGGTTGCTTTTGTAGTTTGGTTGGGGGTATATGATAGAAGAGCATATAGGCATTCTCTTGTAACAATCGGTTGACACTCACTACTTGAACAGCTTCGTTATCCATACAATACCAAATACCACTTGGACTCTTGACATAAGCCTTAAAATGACCATCATGGATAGTTTGCCCTGTATGAACAATGACAGCATATAGACTATAATCCACTGACTTTTCTTTCTCTGTCACAACATGTTGAATGTCTAGTTTTTCTTTAAATTGGATATGCTTAGTGATTTTGGATCCATCTGCATTAAACCGCTTCAATTGAATCACCAAGTTCATAGGAACACGATAGATGGTTTGTTTTCCTTTGCATTCACCTTCATGTTGACAACTAAACAAGTGGATTAGTATATAAATATATAGACATAAGGTATTTACCTAGGACATTCTCTTGATAAAGACACTGGCTGTTTAAAATGTTTAGAAAGAGATCGTTCTGCTTGATTGCCTTGAGCAATACTTGTAGAAAGATAAAGAAAAGAATCATAGTGATTGTCTTCTTTGTTACATGCTGAACACTGCAGTCTTTTTTGAATATGGCCACCAAACATTTGATAAAGAGCTGTTGTTTCATGTACTCGCTTGTCTTTGGATGTCTTTTCAGATAACAAAAAGGATTGTATTTGCTCCATGAAATACTTCCATACATCAAACGCATCTTTTGATGTGGATCCTGCGCTCATTTCTATACATGTTAGTCATACGTTTATTTCTTGTACCTTACTCTTGAGTTTGCCAACAAAAATACGAGGTTGAAGTGGGTAAGAAGATCCCTTTAATGCAGTTCGAACATGTTCTTCCACTGCACATACAAAACAATAGTCTTGTAGAGTACCTATCCAGTCTGTATTAGTCTATGCATATGAAATAAATACACTTACAATTAGCACTGTGGGTTCTTTCTAATAAATAGTTGGCCAAGGCAGGTGTATACGTCAAGACCTGAAGGACTGCATTCAAAGAAGACAAGTGACCCATATCTTTTAATCCAGGTCCCATAGGATGGATCTGTTGCCAGCCAGGATTCAATCGATCTTTTGAGAACAAGACTTTAGCAGGGATTTCAAATCCGTTTGGATCTACTTGATCTGCTACTTGTTCACCTGTCAATTCATAGGCTGAAGAAGCATGAACAACGCCCGAGACGCCATTGATGGGTGCAAACTTTTGTTTGAATTGATCTAATTTGTGATCGACATAACGAGACTTGCGAAATTTGATAGCTCGGTGGAGTAAGTTGTTGATAGTGTTTTTTTGTGAGAGAGGCGTTGTCTTTTCACCTTTGAGAACGGCTTCAGCACGCTGTTGGCCTTTGGTTGACATGTCAAAGAAAAAAGAAAGAGATTTTTTTTTTTTTGAGTGGCATGCTTTAAGACGGTCACGTCATGTGACCAGCTCTTTGTTGCATGATGGTGTGCCTGTCATTCGTATAATAAAAAAAAAATCCCAAGAATGAAGGTTCCTTAAACAAAGCTATTGGCTTTATCAACAAAGGAAATAAATTTATATAGAAAGAAACAAGTAAGTTACAGCATAGTTTCTTTACTGTTCTTTTTATTTGCTTATTTACAAACAATTCATATGATGATTATAAAAAAAAACAAAAGAGCTATATCTAATACAAATCATGACAAGAGAATAATGCATCTACCTCAGTCTCTTTTCAGTATGAATTATGACTTGGCATACGATTGGCTATATAAACGTGACTGCTATCACTCACGTCACTGTAGTTTATGATTTTTCCCTTTACTCCCTCTTTTTTTTTTCTGCAAGACGTGGTCTCATCCTACGCGACTTTTTTTTTTTATTATTATCTTCTAAAAGAAACATCGTGTCTTACCATTCATCTATGGATCCGAAGCTATTTGCAGCTGCTCAACAGAGCATGGCTATGAACCAACAAAATCAAACAAATCCAAACATGATGATGGCGTTTCAACCACAACAACCAACGAATGATATGCAGTCCTTTGCCATGAACGGACTCTCTTTCAATCCAGCACAACTTAATACCATGAATTTCCCCAATGACTTTAGTCAACTGGATCAAACAGACTTGAATTTACCTTTTTTACAAACCAATCCTTCATTGATGAACATGACATTACCTCAATCACAACCTCCACCCATGCGTCCTCCATCACAGTCTGTTTATTCACCACAAAATCTAATGGCACTTCAGGTGAATAGTCCTGGTAAGTTATGCTATGTCTATAGACGTCTGATTAAATTCTTCTTTCTCAAGCTGCATTACAGGCTCAATTTCAAAATAGAGTCATGTATCAGAATAATGGCAATATGATGAATACACCTCAAGCATTGATGTTTCAACAACAACAACAACAACAACAACAGCAACAACAGCAACAGCAACAACAACAACAACAGACAGCTATGGTTATGAATCGAGGTAAGTAAACATAAATACAACACGTATTGATCCAACATAGCCAAACAATCACCAAGTCAATCACCAGCATTAAACAATGCTCATTTTGCAGGTAATGCGATTGGTTCACCTGTAATCAACAGTAATAGTCCTCATATGGCAAATACACGCACAGGCTCTGATTATGCTGGTAAGTGACCTTGATCGCTTAAGAAAAACACTAGATACAAGTTTGTGTATTCATATACAGATAGCTTCACCTATGAATCTAAATATGGGGTCTCCTATTCAGCAACAAGGTATTTCTCCATCGCCACAAATGCCACGCGTGATTCCCTCACAAGTGAACACTAACAATCGATTTATGCCTATGTCAGCCTATCAACCTATGGTACAGAGCACAACGGTCGACAGTCCTTCTTTTATATCACAACCTGAACTTGAGACAAGTCAATACGTACAACAATCCCCTATGCAACATCATTCGCCTATTCCACGTCAACCTACACCAGGCAGCACACATTCCACACCTCATCAACAACACCAGCAGCTCGAGAGTCCTGCTAAACCATCCTCCCTTTCCCCTCAACTTCATGAAGCCACACCCACTCATGGTCCTGAAACTCACGTGACTTATATACCAAAAACGCGCAATGTAGAAACGTATGGTGGTGTTGATCTCAAGTATTTTGACAAGTTTGAAATCAAGCCTCCTGTACCTCATTTAAATGAATTGGGTCTGATTGATATTCAGGCCTTGATCATGTCTTTAAAGTCAGGCATGAAGATGGAAATTACGAATGCATTGAATGTCTTGACTGTCTTGACTGTTCAACCTCATATTCATCAACAACAACAACAACAACAACAGCAACCACTTCATTTACCTTTAGCTCAATGTGAGGATCTATTGGATGTCTTGCTAGACTATTTAGAACAAGATATTTTAAGCACAGACAAACAAGATCACATGATTCATGATCTGACCTACACAGATCTGTTTGACATGTCTTTGGATGAAATGAAGAGTTTGATACCTCAACTAGAAAACTCGACTTCGGACGTATGGATCTCATTAAGAGAACGATGTCTGTGCATCTTTAACATCTTGCGCAACTTGTCTTTTATGCCTGAAAATGTATCTTATTTGGCCCAACACAAACGGTTTGTGTCTCTGATGGCCAAGATTGTGGAGGATGCACGCCATGTGTCTTGTCAAGAAGGACGTGATACCACAGGCAAAGAGGCTTGGTTTGTAGGCATTCGTCGTATGGACACATTGGATTTCCGCAAGAGTATCTTGATGATCCTGAGTAATATAGGGATGCTGCTATCGATGCCTGATCGTGCCACAGGCTGTGCGTTGGTTGAACTGATCCATGACTTTTTGGTGAATGGACCTGATACTTATTATGCCTTGTTGGCTATTGAGACATGGACTAAACTGACTGTGAATTACGAAAATCGACAGTTACTGCATACTTTGCTGGAAGACACGCCTTGGATACAAGCCATCTGGATTGAACTGACCTGGGTCATTCGACGTGATTTTTTTTCGTTAGATGGTCGAGTGATGCATGCCATGACATCCAATCAATTGGCTACGTTGGAATTGACAGTGATTGGACTTTATAATGTGGTGGCTATAGCACAGACAGAATCATGGAAACAACAACTGGCTCAGTCCAACAAGAGTATTGGGATGATGATGATTCGACTCTGTATCACATTGGCTGAATCAGGCAATCCGCAATTTGGACTTGTAGCCAAACGCGGTATGGAACTGTTGCGTTCACTTATCTGTGGTGGAGATGGTATTCGAAGGCGCACCAGTGTACGTCAACAAAACCAAGAGAATGAACCCCAAGAAGAAGATGGAGAAAAGACGGATTCGATTGCTGAAAAAGCCAGTCGTATCTTGGATATGCCTGTGGTGCGTGAAAAGCTGATGTTGTCCATGTTGAAACCAACAACAGATCCTGAAATCTTGCGTGAATTGTCAGATATTGTTGCACTGATAGATGATGAAGAACCCATTGTATAAACTATTTTTTTTCACTAAATTAGGAAATGTTCTAGAAGTTCATCAGATAAGATGATGAAATTAAACCTGCTTCATGATAATAACAAGAAGCGCTTTTCTTTTAGACTTTTTTTTTTTTAATTTTAGATTTATTTCAGGCACTATGTTTTTGACTTGCTATTCTAAGAAAAAAAAAAAAGGGGAGGTGGGGTTTATCATTTAAGTTTCAATCTTTATTTACATACACTCGAAACAAAATAGTGTCAAAATGATACGAAACAGTATTTCTAAGCAAAAGATATCTCCATGAATAAGTTACATGACGATAAATTGCACTAGTTCACTTCAGCATGAAGAAAGTTGTCTGAGAAGAGAAACACAACTGAGTTATAAATGCGGTCTTTAAAAACGAACAGGGCAACGGAACTCATATAGCGACAGGAAACAAGTAAGTGATCTAAAAAGGATTCCCGGTTTTAATTCTCTTTTTTTTTTCTCTCTTTCTCTCTTTTTTTTTTTCGTATAGCATCATTTTTTGAATTTCGAAAAATAAAAGACTGTTTCGAAATATAATATGAGTAGGCCACTACATACAAACGAGCAAAGGCCAAAACAAGTGCCTAACTATGCTCAGGCTGCAAAAGCACAATCAACAGAAGAAACGCGAGCAGGACCGCAGCAGCCGCCCAGACAACACTCTGTCGGCCATGATTTCGGGCACACCAAGAACACGTATCATAATAATGGACGCCACAGACCACCTGCAAACTCATCTTGGCAAGGTTATAAAACCCAGTAAGTGGGTCGTCATCTATGAACCTAGATGAGCTTATTGTGTTTATGTATAGATATAACAAATCAAAAGACAATGTATATGTTCATAGAAAACCTTCTGTACAACTACCTATGGCACCACCTGCCGATACAGGTAATTATTGTATGTGTTTATCATTTATTTAACTTGTCTATTGCGAAGCTCCTATTCAATTTGGATCAATAAATCAAAGACCAAGTGATACTGTAACAAAACCAGAGTTTGATCATCATGTAAGTAAATAGGCTTATCAATTTAGGGCATAGACTCATTCGTCTACAGTATCGTCCTAGGCCACCAAAACAAGAGATACCCCGATCTCCTCGTAACACGAACGATGGTAGATTATTTACTCAACCCTATGCACCTCGTCGAGATTATAATCAAGGAGATAATTCAGCAGGAGGAGGGTATAATAACCGTTACAATAGAAATTATACAAGACCACCATTACCACCGCCACAACCACCACAACCGTCACAACCACCATCATCCTCATCATCGTCACCGTCACCGAATAGCTATACACAATATTCACCTCAACAACAACAGAATCTTCCTCCTTCACCTATGAGTCATCGTGCTTCCCCCAACATGAATTCATTCACACCCAAGAAAACAAGTGTATCGCCTCATATGCCTCAGACATCACCACAACCAATTCAAATGACTGCGACTACAGCGGCTTGGGCACCTGCTGGACAATATGTAAGTGATAGACTACAGTTGTGTTTTATTTATTTGGTATAGTTTTACCCTCATCAATATCCTGTGCCTGTCGCTTCTTTTAATGTCGCTACCACTCGGCCTCCTATTATTCCACCACCTACTACACGAAAAGCCATTGCCATCATTGATCCAGCTACAGGCGCTGCCCTGAACACAAGTCCCATGTCACTCCATGCGAATACGTTGTCTGTTCACCACCCACCTCATAAAGAAGAAAAGCATTTTGATTTCAAGGTACCTCACGTCTCTAAGCCTGTTGTGATTGTAGACCCTGCTATTCGTGATCGTGAATTACGTGAAAAAAAGGAACGCGAAGAAGCAGAAGCTCAGAAGAAAGCAGAGGAAGAAAAGGCACGCAAAGAACAAGAAGAGCGATTGGAGGCTGAGCGACTAAAGCAAGAACAAGAGCGATTGGAGGCTGAGCGATTAGAGGCCGAGAGACGAGAAGCAGAACGCCTAGAAGCAGAACGATTGGAGGCTGAACGTCTAGAATCAGAACGTCTAGAGGCTGTACGTCTAGTGGCTGAACGTTTAGAAGCTGAACGTAAGGCTGCTGAATTGTTCGAACGCAAGAAACAAGAAGAAGAGATGCGCCGTAAGGCAGAGGAAGAAAGAGAATCGAGACGAGTGATCAGTGAATTAGAAGCTGAAAAGAAACGACACGAAGATAAAAAGAAGATCAAGATGATTCAAGATCCTAGTACTATTCAATATCCTCCAGGCATTACGCCACCTGCTGTCTCGACTGAAAAGCATGTGTACAGTATTGACTTTTTGCTTCAGTTTCAACAGATTTGCCTTGACACAAATGAGGAAGTATCAGCCGTTATTATGAAGGAATTGTTGGAGGGCAGTGTAGGTCCTAGTCGAAATAATGCTGTTCGTCAATCGTCTGATCGTGGGAAGGGCCCACGTACACCAGACATGTACAAAATGACTTCCCGCGATGGACGTATGGAAATGGGTAAATTCAATATGGGTAGACCCTTAACGACACGCAACAACAGCGCACAGTACATGGAACGTCAAGGATCAATGGGCAGAGGCAACATGATGAACCGTGGTGGTAGTCGTGGAGGTGGATCCAGTGGCATGAAGATCATTCGTAACCCTCTTCAACAATCCAATAGTGGTCCTGCTTTGGAACCTGTGGCTCCATTGGAAAAGAGCGAAAATCGTTGGGTGCCTTCCATCGGTCATCATACGCCCTCATCTGCTGAAAATGAACTGATGTCACAAGAATACATTACACGTAAAGTCAATGGGTTACTCAACAAACTTACTCTGGAGAAATTTGACACGATTGCACCTCAAATCTTTGATTATGCCCGTCAATCAGCTAAAGAAGAGGATGGTCAATCTTTGCATACGGTGATGCAATTGGTGTTTGAAAAAGCCTGTGATGAACCTGCTTTTGCTAATATGTGGGCACGTCTCTGTAGCTACATGTACAATTCCATGACAGACGATATTCGTGATACAAGCCTTTTAGATGAAAACCAAAAGCCTTCTTCTGGTGTCTTGTTGTTTAGAAAATACCTGTTTAACCGCTGTCAACAAGAATTTGAAAAGGGCTGGAAGGTCAATATGCCAGAAGTAGATGAGATTGATGGCGTCATGACAGACGAATACTATGCTGCTGTCAAGGCAAAGCGTCAAGGTCTTGGTCTAATTCAGTTTATTGGTGAACTATTCAAGATGGAAATGTTATCTGAACGTATCATGTACAGTTGTATGACAAGACTCTGCAATGATCCTAGTCATGCGGGTGATGAAGAAGCAGAATCCCTCTGCAAGCTATTGACAACGATTGGTAAAGCATTGGACGATAGACCCAAGACTGCCAAATGGGTAGACGTAGTAACACTGCGTATGAAGAATGAAATGATCAACAGTCCCAAACTGTCTTCCAGAATTAAGTTTATGATTCAAGATTTACTTGATTTGCGTAAAGACAAATGGGTACCTCGTATTGCGGGTAACCAGATAGGCCCGACTACTATTGCCAAGATTCATGAAATGGCTGAGAAGGCCAAAGAAGAAAAAGAAGCTGCAGCCATGAAGCGCAACAATAGCACCCGTGGCCAATATATACCCCATAACCAATACAATAGTAACTATAACACAATGGCTCGTTCAGGAAGTTATCGTGGTAATAAGGATTTTCATCATAATAGCAGTGATGGCTGGAGTACAGTTGCTCAAGGTACCAACAATAAGGCACCTCGGGCAAATGAACTCTCCAATTTTGGTAAACTGGACAGGAGTCGACCTAGAAACAATATTCTTGGTCCTGCCAATAGTCCTTTTGCTACCCTAAGTCGAGTCAAAAGTACAACTAATGTGGATACTAAGAATACCAGTGATGGAAGATCAAGTCCTGCTACAAACATGTTTAGTGCGCTTGTGAATGGATCAGACGAGCGTAAGAAATTACAGCTTGCATCACGTACTGTGAGTGACAATACACCTAAATTGTCAGATGAAGCTGTGAAGCGTAAATCAAAGAACATTCTTGAAGAGTATTTCAACATTCGTGATAAAAAGGTAACTTGTCTTCAACCTCTTCTTTTTTTCTATATACTTATGTTTCTACAGGAATTGGTTGAATGTGTTAAAGAATTAGATGATCCTAGTTATCTAGTCATTTTTGTGAATGAAATGTTGACTGTAGTAGAAAAGAAAGCTCAAGATGTAGAGGACATGACTGATGTGATGAAGCATTTAAATTCAGAAAACTTGCTGACAAAAGAGACTTATATCAAAGCTTTCAAGAGCTTTATGGAAGGTTATGATGATTTAACAATTGATGTGCCTCAAGCACCAAAATATGTAGCTCAATTACTTGCTGCTGGGTCTGTTACACCAGAAGAAGTGGGTGGAGAAGAACATGATTCATTACAAAGTGCTTATCAAGCAGTCATGTCTGCATAAATATATATTTCCAAACCATTGTTGTATAGAGCCCCCCCCCCCTTTGATAATAAATAATGCCTTTTTTTTTTTGGTTTTATTTATGGATTGTTTTGAGCTGCTTTTTTGGCAGCAAGCTAAAGAAAGGGAAATCAATACAAAATCAGACAATGAATACTACTTACACGAGCCTTAAGGGCAGCCATGCGCTCTTTGACAGTACCAGTAGGTATTGGTTTGGGTTTAACCTTCTCAGCTTCTGCTTCTTTTACCTTTTCATGTGTCTCTAACAAGGCTCGAACCTATTCAATGGGTAAGCCAAGGATAGAGAAATAATTATAGAGAACCTACACCAGGTGGAAGTTTAGCATCTTTGATCCATTCTTTTTTATCTACAATCAAATTCAATCTGGGTAAAGGTGCTTCAGGAATACTAGCATCAGGCTATGTTGACATATAAGCTATTGTTCATGTCACTCTCTTTCTAATTACCTCTGGATGGGTATGGAAGAAGTGATCAATGGCCTCCATTAACATGGTAGCTCTTTTTTCTAAATTCTTGCCAGTCAAAGGAATAGCCCAATCTTGACCAAAACCCAACAGAAATGCTTCTGTGACTTTACCACCATAGTCTCGTAATTCTTTCACTTCAAGTGTGTATAAGCGAGGAGCAACATACATGATTTGAGAGACATGACCAATGGTGATGGATCGTCCAGTCGAGTTTCTCAAAACGGGTTCAATTTGATGGTAAAAGGCAGGTCGATGACGAGCAGCACGGTCTGTGATGACAATATCAAGTGCTTTTCGTAATTTGACAAGAACTGATTTTTCGTGTTCAATACGTTTCTTATCAGCTGGTGAAAGGTATGTTTTATAAGGTGCAATAAGTTCATGCATAGGAGGAGTGGTAGGTTCCAAATAGCAAGAAGAAGGTGGGGAGGGTGTGTCTTGAGAAAGCGACAGGTCAATTTCTTGCTCTATGTGTTGGGGGAGCTTCGTTTGTTCTTTGTTCTCTGAAACTGGTTCTGTTACTGGCTCACTTGCTGGTTCTGCTACTAGTTCTGCACTTGTTTGTTCATTGGCTTTTGTTTCCATCATCTGATGTATTGTTTTTTGCTTTTTAGTTATATCATTCTTGGCTACTACTGCTTCTGTTTTACGTTTCAATGAAGTGGTATCTTCTTTTTTAAAGCCGAGTATTGTCTGCTTTAATTGTTTGTTAATTCTGGAGCTTTTTCGAGCTACTGTAGTAGTAGTAGTAGTAGTAGTCGTTGTTGGGGGAAGAGAAATTGTCTAACCATGAATAAGAAACTAATGTGATGCTTGTATTTCTTACTTTAGTTTTCTTGATAGGCACTTCATCTTGTGAGATAAAGTTTCGCTTGGGTTGGTCTGAATCAATAATATGGATGCCTGAAGCAGCTCTCTATTGATTTATCGTGAGCTTACTGTATCTGTTATGGAGAGTGTTTACCCTTGTCAAACGTAAGTCAATAGGAGTTTGGCTCTTCATGTTGAATTCAACGCGAAAAAAAAATAAAAGAATAAATTTACAAAAAATTGAATTTAAACTACAAAAGCGCTGTCACAAAAGAATTCATTTGCTTATCTGTATGTCACAAGGCTAATTGAGATACTGATGTGAATTTCAAAGCAGAAACCCATTCCCTACAGCTATCTTTTCTCTTGTGAATTTAGAATGTTGTGATGCTCAAGATATACAATAATAAGGTTATAAGATGTGGCCGAGTGATCTTTTATAGCCTTTCTCTTTATTCCTGTAGCAAAGACACTGACGCTTTTGTGTCTTTCTGTTTATATGCAATTTTTACTAATGCAACTACCTATCGTCTCTTTGACTTTATGCGTCTTGAGTAGTATCAAAGAATCATACATAAAAAATGGCTATATTCAGAGGTTGGAAATTAAGTCGCTCTAACGCTGAAAAAAATTGTCGAGGGGTAGTAAGGCCATTTTGCTCAAAATGACAAAGCCGTCGTTTGTCAGAGATACAGACAACTTTTGATATGTGATATTGTATAGTGAGAAATGTCTGTTATGATACTAAAATACTCTCCAAGTGGCTATATTGAAAAAGGCATATAAAAAGTGTATGCTATGCCCAGAAAACGAGAATACGTTTTTTGCCTCTCTATCAACATATAAACATTTAAAACATGTGATTCTTATACCATTCGAGGTATAAAATTAATATCTATAACTTTGCTTAATGCATCTTGTTGACCTTTCTAGTAGGTCTGTATGCTTTTAGCAATCTAAATAATTTTTTTTTCAAGTTGTGTTTATTGGTTGAGCCGCGTACACTAAGAGTAATGGTCAAAGTGAAGAAGCGGATGCAATTGAGATGATGCCAAGAACTGATATAAAATATAATAACTAAATAAAAATACGATAAACTAAAACAATGTAGAGGTTATAGGAGTGAATGGCATTGATTCTATTCAATGGTCTGACGAACATTGGATCGGATGCTTGCTAATATGGCTGTGGATACAATGGGGGTCTTGTCAAAGATAAATCTCATATAAGCAAGCCAAATTTGTGAAAGAGTTATTATAAGGATTCGGTATGGTTTGGTTCCTTTCCATTGGCAGTACCAGATGTACGAGAAGTCCAGGGACAGAAGAACCTCTTTGATATCAGAGATGGATGTGGTAGGCCACAGGAACTCGAAAATTATTTCCTGTCATACCTTCTCTTTAGTTGGACAGTGGAATAACTAGTGGATGGTTGAGTCTTCTGAAGATATGCAAACTGGGCAAAGAGAGTAACCGAACACTTGAGACATAATAAAATGCAAAAACTTGTGATGAGGAATACACCTCAAGACAAACCGGTATGTCACATTACGTTGAATAGAGGTAAGTGACAGGGACCAAAAGAATCTCCATTGTGCCTTGCAATAGTTCTCAAGGTCAATGGAGGGATCACAGACGAGAGAACTGACTGACGAAATGTTAAAAGAAGATCAGAAGTTGTCAAACAAGCAATTTTCATGAATAATACCCTTTGGCCAAAGGTGATTCTTGGCCAAATTTTCACAGCACTCATATCCGATCTCTCTAATTTTCTCGTCGATCAAAGTAAGCATCCTTCTTGTTTGTTCCACTTCAATCCAATTGTCACCAAAACTTCCAAGACTTCCAAGGCTAGTATCATTGCTACTGGAATTTGATGATGAAAGGGTCGAGTCTTCACGGAAAAACATATTGTTGTTGACACTATTGAAAGGGTAAGTCTGAAATCCAATTGAGTCTTGTAAGCCAGCAATAAGTTTTTTAAGGTTCATGATAATCGATCTCAATTATTATAGTGTATTAATGACAATTGACAATAGCTAAAGTAAAAACAATAGCCATACTTACTTGCAAAGACATTACAGTAAGGAGAAAATGTGCTACTTGTGGCATATTAGAAGCTTGGGAGGGGATAGTAGCAGTACTTTTCTGGTAGTGTATGATTATTCCATCCTTAGTTATCCTTGAGCCATAGATAGTTAAAACAAGACTATGAGATTGTGAACTGATAACTTTAATATGTTTTATACAAGATGGGTGAGGTAGCAATGATTGAATGTGCTTCAGTCTCTTCTCTCTCAAATCCTTTGCTTTGTTTATATCAGCTTCAACTTCACTTTCTTTGGCATCAGTAGGCTTATCTTCACAAGAGAACACGTCCCCGAGTTGGCTGTTGAATAAAATAAAATCAATCTTTATATCCTTCTCATTTTCATCTATTTGCTTCTTCTTTTTCAAATATTTGATCGTGCTAGCATAATATTCGGTTCTATAAAAACAAGTAAAGTAGTATGCTTTATCAGCTCATCATCTGAGCTTAATACTTTGACAGTTTTTACCTTTTTGTAGTATAGTACGGGTCAAATAGAAAAACTGCATCGAATAAATCAGCGTATACATGCCCTTGAAACCATCCTTCCTTGTGAGTTGTATCTAATAGCTGATTGCTTTGATAGAGCAGTAGCTTAATAGAACTTTTTTTATGTACATTAGCTTTTGTTAAGAATACAAAGTGTTGCTTACAGTTTTGACGAAGAAATGTATAAATATGGCTGTAAGCCAGTGCGTGGAACAAGAAGAATTGACTTGGTAATGGCCTCGATATCATTTAAGGAAGTTGATCGGGAGATTTGTAGAAAAATCTTATGTTCCTGTGTGCTGTAGGATAATGGTAATACTAATGTCAATTCGGAGAAGATTTTCAAGATAACGCTTGCAAGTCTACGAGGAATTATACCTGAAGGGACAAAATCTAAAATATTGCCCTTGCTACTAGGTAAAGTGTGAAGAAATATTAATGAATAACAGTGACTAAACAGAAATGCAAAATTGAAAACTCTGTTACTAGGTATTTGTAAGACATTTCAACCTTTCATCTAAAGGCAAGGCATTGAGGTAAGTGGCATTCAATCTTCTTGGCCTCTTGTTCTATAGATTGGGGGCTGAACTCTCAATTGGACTTCTTTTAGATGATGTTACTGGTGCTGATAACGATATTGGTAGTTGTAGTGCACTCAATTGAAGCACTTTATTCTTGTCTTTTATTACTTCTTCAATTATACACGAATGATACAGCGAGTTCAATTGCTATCATCCGTCAAAGAACATTAGAAAAGAGAAAATATATGCAAAAATTGAAACTCACAACGACACACTCCTTGCTTACAATAAGTCTTGCAGGATTCGAGGCTAATACTTTGTCGTAATTATCATGTAATTTCTTCATAGCAAGTTTCAAACGTGTATCGTTTGATTCGTATTTACTTGCGAATCTTTTGAAAGATCGTTTAAAAATCGTAATACAATCCATTGATATTGGTTTGTAAACAACGAACAACTCCTTTAACACATCCAAGACCTTCCAATCCTTTACATGCTTTTCTTCAAAGTAATTTTTATACACAGTGTGCACTTCCTCATCCCCTTTGAAATACAAGATTAGGGAGAGACTATTAATTTTATTGATGCGTTGCAGACTTACTGGTTTCACATAGTAGTAAGATGCTACTACCAGTGCTGACTGTGCTTGACATGACTGTTGGCTTCTTACTTCTCGTAGTCGCTTGGTGCGTTGGCGTCTTGGTCGCTTTGTGAATATGCGTGAAGAATGTCCTTGTCTCTCTGCTGCGTACATCTCTTGTGCGTATTTTATTACCTGTTCGGCACTTGACCCATCATTATGGGATACATTACCAATTGCTCTTGCTAGTGTTCATCGTCTTGATTATGCTCTGAATCAACTGCCAACTAAGGCTTCCTCTGGTCCTCCTTCTTTTTGATCGGCGCTGCTTCAATTACTGTATGCAATTGATGTACTTGTGCATCCTCTTGCAAATATCCGCCCTGATCAAGATCCTGGTGATCGTTGGCTCCCTCCTCTGGTCTCGTTGTAGACGACCTATTCCTGTCAAGTTTTCCCTCTGTGCTGCCACGGTGGTAAGTGATTATCAAAGTTCCCAGCCGTAAGTCATGCCTCTGGAATCATGCAAATATACATTACTCTTTCTGTCTCGGCTTCATACAATTCGGTATTATGCTCCATAGAGTAGCCCATATAATTGTTTATTCAATAAAACATAATTTTTAACCTGACATCTGTTAATAAAGTAAGAGAAAAGAGCGCTAAAAAACGGGACAAAGTTCGCGACGCCATAGTTAATTGACGTTACAGTTATGAGCTATCATCGGTCTAATACACTATTTACGTTTTTTTAAAGGGAGACTATTTTTTGCCTTACTTGTATACTTATTGATAAATGAAAGACAATACAATAGGGTTACTTGGTACGCAGGATTGTACCTTTACAACTGGATCGTATCGCTCTCATCTTGCTTGCTTGCTCTGCAGAGACCTAATGGCTGGACCAGATAAACTCTCTGTATGATAGAGTAACGCCCCAATCGTTATACTCAATTGTACCTTTATGACTTGATCGTATCGCTCTCCTCGAATATAATTCCTGCACAAATACCTAGTAGACCGGCTTACAGCAATCTTGTTCGTACGTCGGCTGAAACCTATTTATGTAGAGATTGCCTGTTGTATTGCTCATTTCATATGTTAACTATCAAATATTACAATACTAACACATGTTTTTGTACTTTTTATATCCATTGCTCTCACGGCTATACTGTTATCAAAACACATCTTTCCTTATTACCAATGGTGAGGCTCGTAAGCGTGTAGTCATCTCCATTCATTTCCGTTTCCTCCTTTGGCTGGTCAATTATTATGCACATACGCAAGTCTCCCTTCTATGTGTTTTCTTGCTTGGGGTTTCCCTGACTTGGAGTTTGTTTGTGTCCGTTGTTGCTGCTTTTCGTTTTCCTGCGTTGATGGTGCCAATGATAAAGGATGGAAGTAATGTTTCATCTGACCTTAGTTGATGCACACCAGGTTTAGGGCAGTTAGGGTCTCGTAAATGTGAGTCTCCACCTTGTACGAACATTGTTCCAGCTATTATAATAACCTAACCTTCAAATTCAATAAATACTCACACCATCCTGTAGAAAGAAACAGCAGTGACACTCTACAACCTTGCGCGAAATTCATTGAAGGATGGATATAATTATGCAAGAAACTAAGACAATTGTAGATTCGTCCTCTGCAAGAGCAGCCTTCCATACAGTCATCAGTGCTATCTCAGCATTTATGGACAATGCCCTCAATCCATAGTTCATAGCTTGTTGATCATATCATCATTGAAAGAGGATACTCATCTGTATCCTTTTTCTGAAAAAACAACCTCCTACGGGACATGTCTTAACTGAAATCCGCAGAGTACCAGGTAGAGAAGATCGGATTTAATGGTTGCAATAGAAAAATATTGCAAGATTTTATAGTTTTTTTTCTTTTATAACAAAGAATGGCATTGTTTTTATTCTTAATAAGATGCCTTTTAAAAGCTTCTCGGTTGAGGATGACCTGTTGTCCGCACTCTATTCCTTACAATTCTTTTCGCCGCTATAGTACACACGATCCACAGTGACCTTATTTTTTAAGGAGTTTTGAATTAGTAATTTTGAGTTGTCAATCAACATTCAAATGAACGTTAAAATATCAGCCTATCTCTTTTGATGCATAGACATAAGACACACCTTTAGTATGGTCACTAGGAAACTGGTTTTTGAAGTAGCCTTTGAGTGTCTCATCAGACGCTGTTTTATTAGTTCTTTCAGGCATCATAATGAAACTGTCTTGACAGATGTAAACAATTGTTACATAACATTGTCGCCGGGCTCCTCGATCATACTCTGGTAATTATAAAATCTTTAAATCCGACCTCCTCTTCACTGTGATGTGAACGTGAAGTCACTTTTAAAGAGGAGACTCAATAACACGATGTTTATGCAGTCATCCGTGGAGACGCCTTTTCTTTTCACTCTTATCATGTCCTTTGAAGACCACGAACAAGATACTCCCTTTTTCGATTACCACCATTTAAAGGCTATTCAAGACGTAACATAAGGACCTATGCTAGTTTGTTACTCATTGACATTTACTAGCACGACAGTCGATACTTTGGTCAAACAGGTCTTAGTAAAAGTAAGTCTCCTCCAGGCTCTGTTCTTGGGGAAGAAGATTTCATGCATTTACCTTCGGTTCCTTTGACTGCCGCTGTGATTGATACACCACCCAATACGCTAAAAGGCAAGAAAAACAAACCATATCGTATCTCATACTCAACTTATATATAGACGAAGGCATTACTGCTGAGTTGCGTGAGCTCTATAATACGTTTCAAACATGCCTCAACTTACGTGAGAAATACATGACCAAATCCAAACAACGATTTGAAGATAACCCCAAAAACCGCGACGATTGGGAAATCTATCCTCCGCCTCCGCCTCCTTCTTGGCCACTACCTCCCGCTGAAGAACTTGCTAAGCGTAAACAAAAAGAGAAGATAAGAAAATCAGATCCTGCAGCTGCTGTAGGTATGGATTTCGACATGGCGCATATTCAACTACCCAAACCACATGAGGTAAGTTGATATGAATGACTTTGTTGAGTTTGTCAGTATATATTCGGAGTAGGTTCAGATGGATTTTATCATGTCTATCGGTCTCAAGAAGGTAAAAAATACATGGCCGTTTTGACATGGTGATTGACGCGTTGGCATAGACAAAGAGAACAGAGACCCAGCTTATGATATCATTGCCTGTAAAGACTTTTATGAGGATCTTGACACTGTCTTGACAGCCATCAGTGATGGACCTGCTAAAAGTTTTGCTTTTCGAAGACTGCGTTATCTTGACTCGAAATGGCAAATGTACATTCTCCTGAACGAATTTCAAGAACTATCTGATTCTAAATGTGTACCTCATCGTGACTTTTACAACGTGCGTAAAGTAGATACTCACGTTCATCATTCAAGCTGTATGAATCAAAAGCATATGCTTCGCTTTATCAAGTCGAAAATGAAGAAATCCCCAGATGTAAGTCTGGCATGAAAGGAAATACGACTGATACACACTCTATAGGATGTAGTCATTTACCGTGATCATGATCATCTCACACTTCAAGGTGTCTTTGACAGTTTGGGCTTAACCGCTTATGATCTCAGTATTGATACACTAGATATGCATGCTCACAAAGACTCTTTTCATCGATTTGACAAGTTCAACTTGAAATACAACCCTATTGGTGAAAGTAGACTAAGAGAGATCTTTATGAAGACCGATAATTACATTCAGGGTAGATATCTAGCTGAAATCACACGCGAAGTCGTGTCTGACTTGGAGTCAAGCAAATACCAAATGGCAGAATACCGTGTGTCTGTGTATGGACGCTCCTTGGACGAATGGGACAAGCTGGCTAAATGGGTTGTCCATAACAAACTGTTCTCGCCTAACGTCCGCTGGTTAGTGCAAGTCCCTCGCCTGTACAATGTCTATAAAGCGTCGGGTCATGTTCAGCATTTTGGCGACATTATTCGTAACTTGTTTGAACCTCTTTTTGAAGTCACACAAGATCCCAACGCACATCCTGAACTCTATATTTTCTTACAGCGTGTCGTAGGGTTTGATTCCGTAGATGACGAGTCCAAAATAGAACGCAGCGGGTACCATGAATTACCTCTGCCCAAAGACTGGACTAGCACAGCCAATCCGCCTTACAGCTACTACCTGTACTACCTTTACTCGAATCTGGCCTCCCTCAACCACTGGCGACACGAACGTGGGTTCAATACGTTTGTGCTAAGACCTCACTGTGGCGAAGCAGGTGATACAGATCATTTGACTGCTGCCTTTTTGACAGCTCAAGGCATTAGTCACGGCATCCTACTTCGCAAAGTGCCTGCCTTACAATACCTGTATTACTTGGCTCAGATTGGGATTGCCATGTCACCTCTTTCTAACAATGCCTTGTTCCTGACGTATGAACGTAACCCATTGCCTGAGTTCTTTCAGCGTGGACTCAACATCTCGCTCAGTACCGATGATCCTCTGCAGTTTCATTTTACGCGTGAACCCTTGATTGAAGAATACAGCGTGGCTGCTCAGATCTGGAAGTTTTCATCGACCGACATGTGTGAGTTAGCACGCAATTCTGTCTTGCAGTGTGGCTGGGAAGACAAGATCAAGCGCCATTGGATTGGTAAGACGTATACGCAACCAGGGGTTCAGGGCAATGATATGGGCAAGACCAATGTACCAAACATTCGTTTGACCTATCGCTATGAAACTCTGATGGAAGAATTGAATGCCTTGCGTAAATATGCACCCAAAAGTCAAGGCGGACAAGATCTCAAGGACATGACAGCACAAGATAAAGTGGGGGTTGCTGGATTAGTGGAAGGACCCAAGTTACAACAACATGTAATTCATCAACAAGACCATCACGCTTGGGATCATCGTCGTGATTCGTTCCCTGGGGTGGCTGTGGTTGCTGAACGTGCGCGTCAACGTCGTCTAAGTCAATTGTCCAATGTTTCTAAAGAGAATTGATTGACGTCAGCTTTTCCCCCTTCTTGTTCAAACTCCGTACGTTGAATGAATAAAGCAAGTGAAGCGGGGTATAGGCTATCCTCTATAAAAATTTGTTTATCTTTTTCTTTTCTTTTCTTTTACAAGCACTCTTTCGTTTACATTAATTCTTAACCCCCCTCCTCAGAAAAAAAAAGAAAATGCTTTCTTCAACTGCTGCTAAACGTAAAGCAATCAGAATGTCAACATTGTGTTAATGTGTTTGATAGGCATCCATGTGCTTACCAGAGCTGTTTCTCAAACTGTAATACATAACCATGCCATTGAACATCGACTCACCTAACTATATTCTAGCGCTCTATGCATGATTTGACTTTAAGAAAAAAAACAGGTCAACCCATGATCAAGCATGGTTTGGGTGGCAGGTAAGTCCAGTAAGATGCGAAACGGGATTGACAATCTTAGATCAACCACCAATGGCCATATTGCTACTGTCTTTGGTTGTACTGGTTTTTTGGGTCGTTATGTTGTTAACCGACTTGGTAAAGTAGTGTATGGCATCTGACATGAACTGACTGTTGTATTAGCTAGACAAGGTACACAAGTCGTTGTTGCTTACCGTGACCCTGACGAAGCTAGACATCTCAAGGTCACTGGTGATTTAGGTCAAATTGTTCCTTTGGAATTTGACTTGAAGAACAAGGATCGATTGAACGAATGTGTTCGTCACTCTGACATTGTTTACAACTTGATCGGTCGTGACTATGAAACAAAGTAAGTAGCCTTTCCTTTCATCTTTTTTTGTTGCTTATGTCATTTAGGAACTTTACTTTTGATGCTGTTCATGTGGATGGTGCTCGTAGCATTGCTGAAGCTTGTGCTGAAAATGGTGTTGCTCGATTTGTTCAAGTGTCTGCCTTGAGTGCTTCTGAAGATTCTACTTCTAGATTCCTTCGTTCCAAGGTAAATATTGATGTATTTGAATAGGCTATTGATCATGATCATATAGGCTTTGGGTGAAAAGGCTGTTCGTGAAGTCATTCCTGATGCCACCATTGTTCGTCCTGGTACAATGTGGGGTCATGAAGATCGTTTCTTGAACAGAATTGGTGGTAAGTTATATATATATATATATATATATATATCTGTATCTAAACAAGATCAATAGAAGGTGACGGTTGGCAATACTATGTCAATGAAGGCAACACTAAGATTCGTCCTGTTTCTGCAAGTATAAAAAAAAAAAGAGAGAGAAAATGGATTGATACCAGTTGCTAATCCATTCTTTTAGGCCATTGATGTTGCTCATGCTCTTGAAGTCATGTTGACTGCTGAATCCACTATGGGCAAGACTTATGAACTTTACGGCCCTAAGGAATACACTGTCAAGCAAATCTTTGAACTTGCTCGTGAAATTTCCATGAAGCCTCTTCCTATCCGTAGTGCTCCTACACCTGTCTTCAAGTAAGTATCTGTTTATTATATGTATGTACTTAGTTATATATTAGGGCCATTGCTACTTTATTGGACAAGTTACCTTACAACCAAATGGTCAGTCCTGACTTGATTGAAAGAGTAAGTCCCCCCTTTCATCGTCTCCATTGAAAACTCACAATACCATAGATGACATTGGATGATAAGATTACACCTGGTGCTTATACTTTTGAAGACTTGTACATCAACCCTACTGAATTAGAAACAGTCGCTATTCAATTCTTGAGAAGATTCCGTAGTAATGCTGTCTTTGATCTTCCTTATGAAAAGGGTGAAGGTCAAATTCAAAAGGGTGTTTACCACATCATTGATTAAACAACAATAATAAACTGTTGACGACATTCCTAATTCAAAAAAAAAAAAAAAAAAAAAAAAAAAAAAATCCCCGTTTTTTTTTTCCTTGTTTCTTTTTGTATATGTCATTTTCATTTAGTAGAGATCGAACAGCAGAATTACAGCAGGATGGTGTAAGTATATACATTGATAGACAAGCATTGACATGAATCATAGACATTGCCTAGGTAAAAAAAAAAAAAAATTGTATGTTATCATTGTTGCTTATAAGTTAAAGTGCCTATGAAATGCAAACACAACAACAAGGCATGTTGACAACGCCCAGCTTCTTCAACCAAGTAAAATAGTCCTTCTTTAAAGACATACTCACATAAAAGCATTCAGTTGGATAAATTAAAAAGTGACATTGATGCCATCAATTATCATATTGATCAAATCGGAAACTTGCATCATACAGCATTAACAAGCCTGAATGAACAACAATCCAGACAGACAGCAATGGAATTAGAACAAGCAAAAGCAACGACACAACAATTGAACATGACCTTAAAACAAGGCATTCAAGGTAAAGCATAAGACATTATGGAGTCAGATTGAATAAGGAATTAGCTTTGGAACAAGCCAATCGTTCGTTAGTCGAAGATGCCGATAGAAACATGCGTCAATCTCAGGTAGAGCCTATATAATATGCATAAAGAGAGAGAGAGCTAAACATAGTCTAGACTGCTGCTTTGAGAAAACGGTTTTTAGATACCATTCAACGGTATCAAGATGTAGAAAGAAATTATCAATTGAAATACAGACAGAGAATAGAACGACAGATTCGGATTGTGAAGCCTGATGCCACACAAGATGAAGTCGATGAACTGATGGAAAGTGATCGACCACCTCAGATCTTTACTCAATCAGTAAGTGTCTATATATCCAATTATCTTTCTTATTCCTTCTCCTAGTTGATGACAGCAGGAAAACAGGCTCAATCCAAAGCGGTGTTATCTGAAGTGACAAAACGACATGACGATATTAAGCATATTGAGAAAACCATTATTGTAATTCAGTTGAGTGTTGTTATGTATGTAGATTGATCGTCTATTAGGAATTACATCAATTGTTTATGGATATGCAAATGATGGTAGAACAACAACAAGCGACACTTGATGTGGTTGAACATCATGCCAATACAACATCGAATGATATAGAACAAGGCAATGTCTTTTTGACAAAAGCCATTGCCACTGCTCGGTCAACACGCACAGTAAATGGAACTCCCATCATACATATATACTGATCTCACCAGAAAAAATGGTGTTGTTTCTTTTTGTGCTTAGGTATTTGTGTGATGATTGCTATTCTTGTTTGGTGGTTTGCATTTGACCATGTGGTAAACACTAAAAACATACAAAGAATGACATCACTCATTGTGATAGGGAGTAAACAAATGAGTCGCTGGAAACTTAATTTTTAGTAGTCACTCTTTAATATAAAAGAAGTACTTACTTTCTGCTAATGGCGCGGTGTGTTCAGCCAATGCATTGCTTCTTGTGCAGAAGGATGTTGTCTTGTTGATGAAATCAGCATTGGATTGACTGATATTAGCTTTGAAAAAGGAGAGAGTGTCTTGAAAAAATAGCTGTGAAATTCCAGAGAGAGAGAGAGAGAATCTCTAATAGATTGAGTAGTGACATCAAAGCTTTGTTCAACAAAGTCTTGGTATCCTTTATTCCCATAAATGACAGGTTGTTATTATGTGCCAATCGGTTTGCAGATCCTCGTAGTTCTAAATTACTCAACGTGTCTATTTCAGCAAAGAAACCTCTTAAACACTACTCTTGAGAGACTTGGCCTTCAGTGCATTGAGGTTTGGTCTTTTCTTGGTACTCAACTCACAGTGAATGTTATTTGTTCGCATTGTTCGTGCTACAATACTGAAGAGATGTAAGAATTCGTCGAGAGGAATTTCAGCAGCAGGCAGTAATGGCTGCAATGCATCGGAAGCTAGTCTTGGTGGCAGGGTATAGCCTTCACCCATATAGAATAAACCTTACAGTAGTTTACTGTTTTAAAGAAACAAAGTTATGTTATGTGAAGTGTTGGTCAATCAAGTAGATTTTAACTGAATAAACTCAAAAGAGTGCAGCTACCTTTGTTCAAGAAAATAGATCAGGATTCTCGGACCATTAGAGCTACTTTAAATTAAGAGGCATAAGCCAAGACTAGTATGACAGTATCAAAGATGTTAGTAGTATGGTTATTTATTGGGCTTGAGCTAGAAATGTCGATAACTAACAGATAACTAAACCTTTTGATTGCTCTCTTATCATCTTACTATTTATTGTTTACAGAATAACAAAAAGAATTGGCTTTATCGAAACTTTCTTTTTTTTCTTTTTGTATAATATTTATACACTTAAAAGCGAAAATAGCACTTTAAACTTGCTAGTCCTTTAGCTGAATTGTAAAGTTACTCATGAGTCATCCACCGGAATTCCAAAAAAAAAAAAAAAAATTTATTAGTGAAAAATGCGATATGAAAATATACAAAAAAAAAAGAGAGAGAGAGAAAAGAAAGAATATACACAAAATGAAATTAGATTAAAGACAAGTTTTCTTGATTTGCTTTTCATCAGAAAAACAATGTTTTCTCTTTTTAGGAGATTCAGGTAAATAAGAAGCATCATCTAAAGGAGGGGAAGGTAAACTTTGTTGTGCTTTTTTCAACAAGTTTAATTTCTCTTGTTGCTGTTGTTGCTGTTGTTTCTGAATCTGAACTTGATGTTCATGACCATAAAAAGTGAAAGAATTGACTTTGAGATGTGTCTGTAGCATAAGGATCCATTGATCATAGGTATTTTTGTTTACAAACAGACGATAATCCAAGAGTTGTAACATGACTTTTTCAGCATGGTTGATTTCTTGTACATTTAATCCACTGACTTTAGACCAAGCAGAGTTTTTGTATGTCTTGTCTTGAAGGTATTTGTGGGCTGAGATAAGGGCAGCAAGGAACATGCGTCTTCCACAAGAGACATAGGCATCGTCATTCTTCTTTTCTTGGACACGTGAGCGAATACGAAAAAGATAAAAGATAGCAAGCTGAAGGGTTGAATGTGTGGTACGAGAATGCTTGAGGATATGATGAAGAAATGTATTCAAGTCGGCAATAGGTTTGTGATTGCCAGCATGAGGGGAACTGATAGAATTAGGCCAAATAGAAGCAATCACTTGGACTGTAACATCTAGGAGAAGAGTTATATCAGATACAGAAAAAAAAATTTTTTTTTTTTTGTTTGGTTTTGGGGATCTTACCAACAAGTGCACTGACATATGATTTTTGTTGTTGTTGTTTGCCAAGTTGAGTCTGAAGGGCTTGGTTCATCAGAAATGAAATGAGTTGAGGATGAGCAATTGTGTTATCATTGGACTGCGCAACTGCGGACATGGTAGTGTGAGTCATGGGTTGTTTCTCTCTTTTTTTTTTTCTCTCTTTAGTTTGTTTTTTGTTTAAAATATAATTGAGTCTTGAAAATAAATAAATTCAAGCTTCAATTTAAACAAAAATAAGAATGGAAATCATGATAAACTGAAAATAATGATATACAATGGGATAAAATAAAATGTTAGATATTAGTTAAAATAATAGTATGAACAAGGTAAATGAATAGATAGAGTTTAAAAAGAAAGAAAGGGAAAGAAAGGGAAAGAAAGAGAGAAAGAGAGAGAGAGAAAAAGAAAGAAAGGGAAAGAGGAATATAAAAAATAGGGGAAAGTACGATTGTTCATGAGTCATTTGAGATGTTTTGATTGGACAAGTTGTAAATACCAATAAAAAAAAGCTCAGATTTTAGAATCATTTTGAATTTTTATTAAAGATGACTCAAATTAAACAATTGCCTAAAATCTTTGTTTTATTCCGTGTCTTTCTTGTTTTCTTCTTTTCGCTTACTTCTTTTTCACCTTGACTACTTAAAAAGGAGACACTGGACATAAAAGGAAATCCACAGCTTTCATCCTCACGAAAATTATATCTCACGGTACCTTTTTGTACTATGTTGTACAATTCCCCCAATCATCGAAAGACATCGGATTATTTCCCGTTTATAACACTTGAGCTGCGGTATAAGAAATAACCGCAGTTGAGCTTAGATTATCAGATATTGTTTATAAGTCACTTTTATGATGGAAAACAAGTGTGTCTTTAGGGTTTTTTTTTTTTTTTTTTTTTTTTTTTTTTTTTTTTTTTTTTTTGCTCACGTGCAAGACATTGGACAGCCTATTCTCCCTTATTACGTATACTCTCTATTTTTCTTTTCTTTTTTTTTTTTTTCTTTCTTTCTTTTATACAACAATGGAAGACAACAATACACCTGAAGCACCTTCACCTTGTACTGCTGGTTGTGGGTTTTATGGAAGTAAAATATACAACAATATGTGTAGCAAGTGCTTCAAAGAACACGATGAACGGAATAAAAAAGGTATTCTACATCATCTGAATGAGTTACTTATCCTTACAAGATCTCCTGACAACACCACAAGAAAGAGAGGCAAAAGACACAGTAGACACAAAAGAAGAACAAGTAGCACCCATATTGAAAAATGAACCAGACACAAGCATACAACCCAAACAAGAACCAAAACCTACACAAAAGAACAAAGGACGTTGTTTAACATGTCGTTCAAAGGTATGACATGAATCCAAACATCACTTTGCTCATTTACATATATGTAGATTCCTCTTACTAAACAATTGACCAACAAATGTAGATGTGATTATGTCTTTTGTGATACACATCGTTATCCAGACAAGCATGACTGTACATTTGATCATGCACGCAATGATAAAGGTAACTCATTTCGTTTGATCTTCTTGTCTCTTATGTATGCTTTTAGATATCCTTGCTAAAAACAATCCGAAATTGAATGATAAACCTCGCGGTGGTAATTCCTTTAACCGTATTGATAGTGTTTAATTGACAATAAAAGAAAATATCATGGGAGAACAAAAGAAAAGGATGGGTTCAATCATGGGGTCAATGCGATGAAATCTATTTAAATTTCTCTCTTCTTTTTTTTCTCTCTCTCTTTTCTTTATTTTCTTTATTATTATCATCATCATCATGAGTACTTATTTGACACGACTTTGCTTTAAAAAACTTGAACATTTTGATATACATAAATCAAGTTTATCCTCTTTTGTCCTGATTCGAAATGCATTGATTTCTGCATTAACTCAGCAACATAGGATGATGGAGGAAGAAGACAGTGAAGAAGAGGAGATTTGGTTAGATAACTGTTTTGACTCATTGGATCAAGAACGCATATCTCAAGATACAAAAGCTTTTTATATTCAAGATGATAATGAAGAAGAAGATAGTCTATTATATTATGATACACCTATTCAACAATAAAAAAAAATCTGAGTTTTAAAAAAGACCCTTCCTAGTGATTTAGGATGCTTTCTAAAAAAAAAAATTTTTTTTAATTCTTCTTTATGCCTCCAAACGGATTCAAGTTGCCTAAACGAACACGTCGTTTACGCCAAAAGGCACCTACGAATGACGAAGAGGAGCATGAAGAGAACTATAGTCCTGCTTCTATTGAGTGTTTAGTCAATAAAAAAGAAAAAAAGTAGAAACAGATACCAAGTTACAAGGAGTAAGTTCAATCAAACAGAAATCATAGGAGAGACTGATACGGACCAAGTTATTTGATAAACTAAACCGAGATATGGACGAGAAAGAAAAAGAGGTGAATTTACAGTAGAATATGACATGCAGGATAAAGATGCATTTGAAGAAGATGAACCAAAGATACATACGATGGAATTCAATGATGAACTTATCATGAATATTCATACAGAACAACAAAAAGCAGAAGATAAAGATCAGATAAGCGAGACAGTAGAAGCAGCCAGAGCTTATCTAGATCAAGATCAACAAGAGAATATCGAGATGGTCATTCAACGTATGCAACATGAACAACAACAACATCATACCTCTGATCATCTTCGCTACCGAGCCTTTTTTACACACTCTGCCCAAATGCCAGAACCTATTTTGATATCAAAAGAATTAGGCCATGGCCAAAAAGAGATTCATATTTCTGAACTATCAGCGACATCAAAAGGAAGAGCGTTCTTGTTACAATCTGCCTGTATGAAAGAATGGTATGATGCTGGATGGAAATGCCCCAACTATGTCTATCAATGGTTATTTCGTGTGATTGGACTAGAGCAAAATAAAAAAGCAGCCAAGAATGCGTTCGAGACCTTGTTTGTGTTGTGGTCACTGCCTGGAAGTCGAGTGGATACAAAACTAGCTCATATTTACAAGCAACGGTTTATTGATCTCGAGACATTCAAGTCTGTCTTGATAGCCTATGGTGCTTCTGACATGCTAGAAACAGACACCATCATGGACTCACTCAATAATACGCACACATCGACGCCTCATTTACCTTTATCTCAACTGGGATGGGCGATCAAAGCCTTTAGTTTCTCGATTCGATTATGGTCGAAAGCCTATACAGCTTATCAGATTCGATACATTGTCAGACTCCTACTTCAAATCTCATTGGACAAGGCAGGTTATCTGATCATGCAAGATATTCAGGCAGCGATCGATAACTGTCTATTTGCTATGGACTATATCACTTGGGAAACAGAACTCAAGGCGATTGCTAATGATGTCTGCGACCTTGTGCATTCAAGGCGACACCAGTTTTATTTGTTTGATTCGATCAAGACAATTTATGAACGCTCTCGTTATCTTCGACGTATCTTGGGTCTTGTCTGTCTTGAACGGTGTCTTGAGCAAGAAGTACCGGGCAGTGTGGATTATATCTTGACAAATCAGTCAATTATTAAGCAAGTAGGACATATCTTTACACACCCTCAAGGGTTTTTTATCAATCGACCTAAAGAGATGGATTATGAAGAATGCTATATACGGGTTGCTATGCTGGATGCAGCCATAGGCACACACAGTGAGGAGATCAAAAGAGACAAAGTAAAATACATATGATGTGATGTCCATTGACAGTTTGATTAGGAAGTAGTGCTGGTCATTGCTGCTGAATTAAAAAACATGTCTTTACAGATGGGTGCCAAATTAGGTGTGATGAAGAAAACAATGGTAAGTTAACTTTTGATCAATATAGTCTTATAGCAACAGGCAAATGAAATGATTCAACGCGTTTGGGGTCGCATATTTTATATTGTAGGAAAAGATACCAAAATAGAGCACTAACAATAATAATAATAAAAAGTGTCAGGTGAAAAAATGACCTTGACTGTTTCATCACTCCGTCTCTTTATTTCATCACAGACTGGTTGTTTTCTGTATTTTTTTTTTTTCTTTATTTATTTTTATCAAGATGGTAAAGTAAGGCATGCCATGAAAGTGTGATTGATTCTCTCTTTTTGTTTATTTATTTAGGCAGAGATGAGAGAATATTTATACAAAATACTTGTTGTGGGTGATTTAGGAACAGGAAAGACGTCGATTATACGTCGTTATGTTCATAATATATTTTCAAGCAACTATAAGTCTACTGTAAGATAAGACAATGAGCTCCATGTACTCATCATCACAATAGATTGGTGTAGACTTTGCTCTGAAAGTGATTCAATGGGAAAATGATTTGATTGTTCGACTTCAGTTATGGGATATTGCTGGACAAGAAAGATTTGGTAATATGACTCGCGTGTATTATAAAGAAGCCCTTGGTGCTATTGTAGTGTATGATATCAGTCGACCACAGACATTTGAGGGTGTTACGAAATGGAAAAATGATATTGATACCAAAGTGGCATTACCAGATGCTTGGGGAGGAGGACAAATTCCTGTTATTTTGATGGCCAATAAGGTAAAATCTAAAGTCAATCACTGTATGATATTAAGGGACCCAAAATAGGCTGATTTGATTCAAGAAGGACATGGACAACATGCCAATCCAACTGAACTAGACCAATTCTGTCAAGATCATGGCTTTATTCAATGGTAACATCATCTTCATCACTTGGCTTACTTATAGTGATTAGGTTCGAAACGTCTGCTAAAGATAACAGTCAAATTGAAGAAGCTGCTCGCTATTTAGTTTCAGCCATTTTAAAGCTTGAAGAAGAACATGCTGAAAGTATTGTTCATGAACAAAACACAGTTCGTTTAGAACAACAACAACAACAACAACAAAATAATGGGTGTTGTTAAATAAAATTTATTGGCTTTCTTCTTCTTGTTGCATTCTTCTGGCTAATAAAGAAGATTTTGGAAATGTGGAATAAGAAGGTGGAGAACAAAGAGGCATTTGAGGTATAGGGACTTGACTTAATGGCATGTTATCATCATCATCATCAGAGGGTATAGGATGCGTCGTATGATAGTTTCTTTGGGGTTGTGCTAATAAATGACTTGTTTCGCCCATCCTTCCTCTTTCCAGTAATAAGGATCCAGCCTCAAAGCCATAAGCAGGCGGAGGTGCTAACGTGCCTTGTACAGGAGCCAATCCCCATTTCTTGACGTTGGCTTCCACAAATACAAACCCTCTTTGACCAAGATTCACATGAATTTGGCACGGACCATTCGCTCCAATCGTAGGAAACAGATTATACCGTAACCCAAAACAAGCTTCGTCCAACTTGCGTCCATTTCGTGTGAAAAAGATGGTGCCTGTACGATGACGATAGCCAACACCAATGACATCGCCTTCTTCATAAGGATAACCATAAGGTCTTCCAACAAACGGGTTGTTGAAATGCTTATGACCTGTATGACTAAAATAGCCTATCGAATGTCGATTCCAGCCTGGTAGTCGCCAATAAGGATATGGCTTAGTGGCTACACCGACAGAGACCATGGTCGTCCTAGGCTTTTCAAATATTTTGGCTTCCCAGTAATAGACTTCTTGGTTCCTTGGCAGAGGTAGGTTGGTCTGAACACAACATTCACCAGCAAAGAATTGAATTTCCGTCCTTGCAGACACAAAACTCTGTGTTTCCATCTCCCATTCAAACTCAAAGGCTGATACTCCTTTTTCTTGTATGCTGACATATTGTGATAGTGTAATATCAGTGGGTATACTTTCGGGTGGATGTCTCTGTTGAAAGACTAGCATAGGTTAGTATCAAATCAGAGTCTGTATGGATTCGTGTTATTTACTTTTTGCTTGTTCATAACTGATACGTGCGTCTTCTGATAGACTGGCCAAAAGTGCTGGTGTCTCTACGATCGTCTCTTCGTAAATAGAGTCTTCAGAATAAAACAAACGTTCTCCACTAGCCTTTGTAAAACACAACAAGACTATTACAACAAAGAGAAACACAACAACACCCACAAGTAATATCCAAGTATAGTTGGCACTAGGCTCTTCCATATCTTTTTTTTTAAGGCGAAGCGAAATAAACCCAAAAAAAAAAAAAGAATGAAAAAAATTAAAAAATTAGTTCGGAATTTTAAAAAAAAGTTTCTCTAAGCTTGATGCATGATGATTTTTTATTCTAAAAAGTGTCACAATGACTTCCATAAAGAATCAGCTTGTTCAACAGCTTCGTGTGGTCTATCTTTATAATACACAAAATGTCCTTGTAGACTGGCTGTACTGATATTCTTGCCATGTGTCTTTTTGATAAAGGCTTCTGCTAATTGCTTATCATCATAGAATCGTAAAAACATCTTGCGAATTTGGTATTCTGTAGCATTTCCGAGATATTCTTTTAGATCCACTCTGCCGGGTCGAATCAAGGCTGGATCTAGGCTCTCTACATGATTGGTCGTTAAGAAGACAATACGTTCTTCTGCTGATGCTACACCGTCAAGTGCGTTTAAGAGACCGCTGAAGGTAATCATGGATTGATAGCCTTGGTTGTCTGATTGAGCTCGCTTTGTAAAGGCTGCATCAATATCTTCCAACAACATAATACTACGCTCGGGAACATTGCTTAGTAAATGGTTTAATCGGTCATCTGTCAATCCTCTTTCTGATAAATTCAAAATACAAATATTGTATTCCAATTCACCCTATTCCCCCCAAAAAAAAAATATAAGTACCCTAATAGTTAAAATAAAATCAACTTACAGCCAAGGCTTGAATAAAACTACTTTTGCCTGATCCAGGAGGACCATATAACAAATACCCTCTTCTATAAGGAATACCTCTTTCGTTGTACCATTTACCGTTACTAATAAATGCCTTGACATCCTTTACGATTCTGTCTTTAATGCCTTTATCTAAAATAACAGAGTCTAGCATACGTCTTCTTCTAGGCATACCAAATGGTCTCCATTCAGGACCATAAGATGTATATAATACCGTCTTGCCCTCTTGTTTCTTAAGTGCCATCTCTTGAGCCTCATGCAACAATGTCTTGAAAATACCTCGATCTCGGCTTAATGTGGTGATGGTGATCGTTTCCCATGGCGATCCCGTCGTCAAATCCATCATTTTGCCATCCCTTTGACGTTGGACTTGCATCCAAATATTGCGATACTTGAAGAAATGTGTGCCAGGGCCTGGAACAAGGCCAAATTTAGTCGTCACACTACCATTATCGTGTTGTTTATAACTCGTTTCGACAGCCAAGTGTTGTACATGTCGCTTAGGTGCATTTTGTGACATCCATTGCAAGAACCATAGATACGATTTGTCCTTGGAGGGGATCTCGAGTGTGACGAGCAATCGTCGTCGTAGTGCACTGGCACCTAATGTAGTTCCTTTACGTAAAAGAGAAAGTCCTGCTCCTACACCTATCAATCCAAAACCTGCCGAGAACAAAGGGTTCGAAGTAACGCTTTCGAATAGGCCTTTCTTCTCGGGTGGTGTGATAGTGGGTATAGGTTCTTGTGGTTGTTGTAATGTCTCTAATAAAGCCATACTATAGAAAAAAAAAAGAAAAAAGAAAAAAAAAATTTGACAGGTCAACATGGTTTTTGTAGTTTAAACAGTGACTCCCTATTGCTGTAAGGGTAAATGATAGTCTATCTGTAGACGAAGACTTTATTTCATCCTTCGTTGGTAAATGCTGTAATTTTTTAACAAAGAAGTTCAATTTATCTTCTGATGTCTATCACTACATCATAAGCGTCTAGCCGTTCATTTGCATGGATCAATGCTCAAGATAAAAAAAAAAAAAAAAAAAAAGAATAGTGACTGTTCAGAATCATATTTCATCTTTCTTTCGTTCTGATGATTTCGACCAAACTTACTCAACTTGCGATTGCAGTAGGTGTCGGTGTAGGTACTGGCATCTATGTTTTTAAACCTCTTCTTCAAGAATATGAACAGTAAGCAACTTGTGATTGGAATATATCATTCATTTTCTTTTTTTTTTCTTTCTAGAGAAACAAACGGTACTTGGCTTCGTCCTGGTGATAAACAAAAACTACGAAACCCACCACAAAAATAAAATAAAATAAAATAAAATAAAAATAAAAATAAAAATAAAAAATTCTTTTCCTCTCTATTCTCCTCTTCATGGCCAATAAACCTCAACCAGTAGCAGTAACAACACCTACAGAGAATCAGACGGACTACGAACAAAAAAACGTACATGAAGTCTATGAAGTCATTGCCAATCATTTTAGTGATACTCGATATAAACCATGGCCTGTCGTCGAGAACTTTTTAAATAGCCTGAAGCCTGGTAGTTTAGGTGCTGATGTGGGTTGTGGTAACGGTAAATACATGGGCGTCAATCCTAACTTGATGATCTTGGGATCCGACAGAAGCTCAAACTTGATCAAGATTGTATACGATCGTGGCCTTGAAGGCTTGGTAGCGGACGGTTTAAATCTACCTTATCGAGATCATTCATTTGTAAGTGTTGATGTCAAGCAATGACTTATGTTTCATGATTAGGACTTTGCTATTTCTATTGCTGTCATTCACCATTTTGCTAGCCCTGAGAGAAGACTACAGGCTGTCAAAGATTTATTCAAAATTGTTCGGCCTGGAGGCAAAGTACTTGTGTTTGTTTGGGCTTTAGAACAAACCAAGTTTAGCAAACGTAATTTTGAACCTGGGCAACAAGATGTCTTTGTGCCATGGAAGCTCACACCAAAAAAGGGACAAGCGACAGAACAAGTGTCAGAAGAAAATGTGTATCATCGATACTACCACTTATTTAAACAAGGAGAACTAGACGCCTTATTTGAACAAGTAGAAGGTGTTATCATTGAAACTGCAGGTTATGATCGAGACAATCACTATGTGATTGGCGTCAAGAAATAAACTTTATTTAATCTTCCATCATGTATTCTTCCTCTTGTGCAAGTCTTTCTGCTTCTTGTTGGCGCATGGATTCTAATTGTTCCTGACTTAGTTTATAGACCAAGTTGCCCATGTCCTCTACATTCGCAATCTCGACTGTCTTGCCTAAATCGTCAATGTCGCGTTCGACAGGATATCGCTCATCGTGTTGAATTTGTAATGTACTAGGTCGACTGTTGAGCAATCTAAAGACAGGTTCTAGTTCAACACAGTTTATAAACAAATCTTTGTTGCAAAACACATAGAGACCTAATTTGGCTCGGGACATGGCTACAATCAATCGACGTACGTCACGAATATGGCCTACAGCCTTTGTTCTGACAAGCGACAATAAGATATCTACCTAACCATCAGTATACAGAATAACCATTCGAACACTTACAATCGTTTTGTTGTCCCTGATACTTATCCACCGTGTTCACGATAGGTTGACCAAAGAATGGATTCCATCCACAACGACGCTCCAACACATCATTAATCAAGGCCTTTTGACCATTATAGGTTGTCAGGATGGAGATCTTTTCTGCAGGATAGCCAATCAGGCGCATGTATTGATAGACAGCCACAACATATTCTGCTTCACCCAAATTCTGGTAAAAGAAAGGCACAGGTTCTGATTCACCTTGGTAGGTATCCACATGGACAAGTTGATAGTCATACGTGAACCCGGCATTGGCTCTTGTGTATTCGTCCAGTTGGACTCGCTCCAGATTGTCTAGATGATCATAACGCCATTGGTAAAGTTTAGCAAGTGAAGGGCGAGCACGGCCTTGTTTGTCTAACTGAAGTGTAGGAACACCCAGTCGAACAAAACGAGCAAACATGCTTTGTTCCATATTGCCGTATTGCTGGAAAGCAGCATTCTTAACCACAGGAGGTAATTGATGATGATCGCCAATCAACATGACACGCTTCAATCGATTCTTGCCATCCTCAGGCTCTTGCAACAAGAGTGGGATGAATGTCTCAACTTCCAAGATTTGTGCTGCTTCTTCAATAATAATGTTGTCGTATTTGAACTTGAGTTGCACAAGTTCACGTCGCTTGAGTGCAGCATGAGTACATGTCATGGCAATGATCTTGGCTTCTTTTGTCAAGAGATAATTAGCACGATCGGATCCTGTCTGTAAGAGTTCAAAGGGTCGAATGTCTTCTAATTCGGTGAAAATGGCTTGCAAGTGTCGATAACAACCAGTGGCATGTTCCAGAGCTTCAGCAGGTGTCATTGTATCTGTAAAGATAGGCTTGGGTGCATTGGCAAAGAATTGAGGGAAAGGGAATTGATCGCGTATCTGTTCCACTGTCATATCCTCTTGAGAGACAGCTTCCATAAAAGTATCCCAACGAGGCACGATATGAATATGGTAAAAGTAACCAGCAGTTTCGCAAGTAGCACCATGTTCGCCAGGGATAGCCAAGGATTGAGAAAGACGGTCTACTTGAGCCAATAGTTCAAGACGACGCTCAAGAGCAGATGCCACACGTCCGTATTTGCTAAAATTGAATTCGGTATTTAACTCTTCTTCACCGTGACCAAGGCGAACAAGGTGTCTAGGATCTACATCGAGTTCGACCATCTTTTCAAAGATCTGGTTTAAGGCCTGATTGCTGTGTGTCACAATCAGAGTATGTTGTTCAGGATGGTTACGGTAAAGATTGGCAATGGTCTGAACAGCTACGTCTGTCTTACCCGTACCAGGAGGACCGACAACCATCGTCAAGCCGTGATTCATACCTGAATAGATCGATTCAATCTGGACAGGTGTAAATCTGATTTGGTTCTTTTTAGGCTCGTCTTGAGGATAAGGACCCATATTGGGTATTTGGAAAGTAGAGATATCAAATGTCTCTCGCTTTGTTTCTTGTGGTTTGTTCTTTTTCGATTTCTTTGTAGGTTTGATGTCCATAGGGTTATCGACTAAAGTAACAATATAAGGTGGATCCACAGACTCACCAGCAGCAATCGAAAGATCTCTCTGAGGGAAGCTTTCTTTTAAATGATGCCAGTCAAGGAAAGTATCATGGAAATTGATTTCTCGCTCACGGTTAGGCATCTTGGCATAATGAGCACTGGAAGGATCACCGTAACCTAAAAACACTTTTTGAAGCCAGTCAGGCACAACAAGATCACTTTGCATCAAGTCGCGAATGGTTTCCAAAACAGACTTGAAGTTATTTTCTTGTGGTTTTCTGCGGACGAGAATATTAAAGGATTGATAGATATCGTTAGGTTTATTCATGTCCATCTAACAAGAGTGAGTCTATATATATATATATTTGAGAAGAAACGTTACCTTGTATTGACTGGCATCTAATTCAACACGAATCTTTCTCTCGGTGCCTTTCCATTTGTTGTTCTTTTCTTCAAATGTAGGTCGAGATCCATCATCCATAGATCGTCCTATCACATATATAAACATTCATCCTAGGAGCTAGTTGCTTACCATCAGAACCTAATACTTCAACCACTTCACAACCACGAACATAGCGAATACCATAATGTTCTCTAAAGTCCTCTTCGTCTTTCAATTTCTCTGTAGAGTTCTCTGTAGCCTCAATAGTCAACAAGAACAGAACATCGTGTTTGCGTAAACTATCCCATTCATGACGAATTGTGTTTGTAAAATTACCCACTTGGAAACTTATCTATAGAGATATAACATCAGCAACAAGTGGATGCTATTCAAACTCAACTTACATCAGCCAAGACACAAGAGGGCTTTTCTTCACCTAGATTAGGCTGTCCAACTTCGACCATGGTAAACTCATCAATGGGTACAGCCATACGAGCCCAACCAGCAAATTCAGTTTTGCGTTCAGGATAAGTCAAACGAGGAGCCATACGCTTCACTACGTCTTCAATATCTTGACGGATTTCATAAGAGCTCTCTAATCGAAACAGAGTAAAGTTTCTCAAGAGGTAATCATGTAATGTCAAAAACTGAAGGTTGAGCTTAGGCAAAGCCAAAGGACGATCGCCTGTGTAGAATTGAGATTGCACCAAATGATCATTAAACAAAGTCTCTTCGTCAGGATACAATGGTTGGCTGTTGATTTTCTGTACTTGGCTGATACGCTTTTGATACTTGTCAATCAATACATTGATCAAAAGGTCTTTGGTGTCAATCTCCAAGGAACTTATAAGTGGTGAACTACGAACATAAAGTGTGTCGCATAAACGAACAAGTACGTCTTTGGATAATGGTTCAAAATGCCATAGTAAATCTTGACGGGTTTCAATTGAACCCAAGTTGGCCAAAGGTAACTCTGTGATTTCTTTTCTAAAGGATACAAAAGCCGTACGCTAAACAAATAGAGTTAAGGAAAGGGTTTTTTCTTTCGCCTGATGGATGAGGGGGTTTCTTACCTGCAAATGTAATAATTGCTGACAGTGTGCTTCTGTCATTTCTATATCCGTTAATGCAATACCCGTTTGATCGTTGATTTCAAATTTAGCATAAAAAGCAAGTGTTGTAGAAAGCTTCTTGAGTAAATCAACATCTTTGTCTTGCCGTTGTTGGAAAGGTGCCATCTGAGTCAATACAATAATATGATGATCATCTAACAAAGTGTTGAAGAAACGACGAGTGGGTAATTGAGCTTCTAAATCAATAAAGAACTCCAAAAAGCGTTCATTGATCTTGAGCGTTTCTTGGTCGACTTGATAACTTATGTGAGTAAAAGAAAAAAAAAATAAAAGGTGTTACAAAGACATACCTTCTCCTTCTGCTGGGATTTGATAAATAGATTGAACGTATTTCTGTAATAAGTTGCTTAACCAATTTCTTTCAAATTCCAATTGTTGTCTTGTTGCTTCATCTAGATTAACATTAAGTACATTGCTCATCTTTCTTAAAAACTGAATTACCTGCAGCATTGAGCTTTTTGTTGCTAGAATTCCATAATTTCAAAAGAGCAGGATACTTGTTGAATAACTGTTGTTTTCTTTCTTGATGGGCTAAATGTATCCAGATACCAATGGTGACAAGCTTTAGACATTCAGTACGAACAAGGTCATTTTCAAAACTTTGGAAACAATGGATCAAGAAGACGAGCAATTGTCTAGTGATAAAAGGAGATTGTTCTGATTCTACTAGTTGTGTTACTCGTCTAAAGAAACTCGAAAACTTTTCAGTATCTTGTCCAAACGCGCCTATGATTATATAAGTCATTCCATCATGCATGTCTAGATAATTACCCCAGGCTGAAATATGTTGGCGTGCTTTTTCATTCACAATCAAACAAATAGATACAATATGGTGTAAAGAAGCTTTTTGGCTATAATGAGGCCAGAGATACTAACACATAAAACGCGTCAATGTTTGTTGTATCACTGTCTGCTTACCTTTTCTAAGTATTGAGTGAATTCTAGCAACATGATTTTCTGAAAACTAAAGTTGGAAGCTTCGAGTTCTTGTGTATAAATATTCTCGACGACGTTAGGATCAAACTTGCTTTCAAAATGCTTCTTGGCGATCTTGGAAAGCGTATCCGACTGAATATCAGCCAGTGTCAAGTTTCGTTGTTTGAGTGACGAAGCTTCACTTGGCGCTGCGTGAAGCGGTAAAGTCGTTCGTTGGAACATGGCTGTATACAAGTAAAAGAAAGAAACACACGCTTTATTCCATTAAAAAAAAGAAAGGACTGCTTACGAGTGATTGAAAGTCAGAGTATCAAGCTGCACGAAACTATGAATTGAACGAATAAGCAGTCATGTAGAGTACCACCAAAAAAGTTTTCGCTCAGAAAAAAAAAAACTGGTAGCCCAAAGAAACTTGAATGCCAAGTCAATTTGATGCATTTCTTATTTTTTGACCAAAATGAAGTCTATAAAATACTTTCAAAATTAAAAAGTGCTATAAACATCCTTTTTTTTTTTTTTAGATAACTGTAGTATTCTAGTTGCATGGTTCAGTACTCGGATAGTATTCAATGTGCAAAAATTGTGAGGTGATCATCTTCAAAGAATGAGAAGCAGTCTACTTGCTCTAAGCAACAGTCATTTTTGCCTCTCCCCTTCCCCTCTCTCAGTTGAAGACACATCAGTGCCAGTAATGCTGCATTCGAAAGACGCCTTTGCCATCACTAATAAATTATATCATTCATTTAAACACTGTCTATTAACATGACCACATACAGAAACAAAGAAAAAGAGAAGCATTTTCTTGATTATAAGTTTACTAGCTGGCTATTTTTGAAATCCAAGGTGTGCAAGGTCTTGAAATGAAAAACAAACATAGTCAAGATAGATCTTGGGTCATGTTAAACTTGAGTAGCAACCTAAGATATTACAAATTTCACATCGTATCGTCCAGGAAATTGGGTATACGATTAAATTACACTAACAAGAAAGACAATGAACTCAAAAAAAAAAAAAAAAAAAAAAAAAAAAAAGGGAGACATGTAATAATTTACTAAACTCGTTGAACAATAAATGTCAATATGTACTTTTTTATGTGACTGTAACACGTTATGAATTATCAAATTTGTAAATCATTCAATAAGTTAATAGAAGTTTAAGGAAATATCACAAGTGGCTGTTCATTGTGTGATAAGGAGAGGGTATCAGCCCGAGTTCGGCAAGCGACTCTACCGAATATGTTTATTTTGAATTTGTCACAGTCTATAAAAGGCAATCCGTTACTGTACATATAGAAAGTTTTTTTTTTTTTTTGAAATGTATTTCAACAATATGTTCAATTGAGACAGATCTATTATGTAATATTATTTGTAAACGTAACCGACCGAGTGTTTCGAAGTTGTGATTGAAACGCATCGGTGTAAACTCTATATTTTAAAAAGAGCCCTTATGCAGCATCCAAACGTAGATTTTGTAGGCGAATTTTAAAACGTAAACTTGTTTGTAACTTGTCTCATAAAGTCTTACGTGCGCTCAGATCAAGACGAAACGCCATATAAACCTGACCGTTTCTTCTAAATAGGAGAGGTTTCATCATCAAGCCCTGCATGGCTCCCCTTTCCATAATAAATTCAATACTTATCACATACGTGAGCCTAAGAGTCAATGAACCAAGGTCGATCTCTCCCCTCTTCATATAATAACTTTAAAATACATAGGCTTATAATTGACAATTAAAAAAAAAAGGGAAAATGATACACAATGCCGTAAATGTTTATTGAACAATAATATTAATAATAATAATAATAATAGTAATAATAATAATAATGTAGATGTATAGATTTAAATAGAGGATGCTTTTTTTCTTAAAATAATGAAGAAACAGAAGAAGATGAGTAACGTCTATCGTAAAACGGTGTCGACCAAATATTCTTCCATGAATCGTCTAGAAATGAAACAAATGGTGCAAACAAAGGAGACATGGAAGGCGAAATACTAGGTGATGGCACGTGTTCATCGTGTATAAAAGTACATCGAACGCCATAAGAACAAGTACCTGTAAGGTGGAAAGTCTTACAGATTTCGGTCTTGTATTTAACATGGCGTTGAACACCTCGAAGTTCTTGCTGGCCATGTGCAAATCGACATTTCTTTGCGTATCTATATGACATATAAGTATGATAAAATAAAAAAGGCGAGAGAAACAAGCGTACCTGCAATCACCCATTTCTTGCCAATTTCTACACATTTCAGTTTTGTAGAGTTGATATTTTCTCGAGTCCATTAGAACAATAATGAAAAGATAAACAAAAGAAAAAGAAAAGAAGCAAAAAAAAAATGGCTTTTTATATGTTCATCAACAAACCTTTTTTTTTTTTTTTTCATCTGACTATATGTAAATTTTAAGATTGAACTACAATTACTTGCTTCCCCCCCCCCGAAATAGAGTCTGTGAGTAACAGTCAGCTGTTGCAAAGTGGTACCAACAACATTACCATTAAAGCAAAAAAAACAAACAGCTTTATATAGAACTTTTCTTTATTCTATTCTCTACTCCAACATTAAAAATAATTGATCTACATATTAATTTGTTTGAACCTGAATCTTTGTCATGTTTTCTCGAGACAGGCCCTTTGTTATTGCTGTACAGCTTAATTTGGTTCCGAGCCGATGATAGAGCTCTTCACTATAGAAATCCGTGTGTAATGTGATTGGGTCTAACAAATATTCTGCAGATACAAATTCAGTCGTCTGCTTTTGTTTGGCTGTGATAACCCTGAATGTCTCAGCATAAGGTTTCCGTATCTTTCTCAAGGCATCTGTGACCGGATGGACTCTGTCTATCACATGAGAAGCAGGTGCGCTGAGCAACATAAAGATGTATCGTGTTCTTTTGGGCTTACGGTTGCCTGTTAAAATAGAGTCTGCTACTGCTTTACCAGAAATCAATGAGCTGAATTCACGCTGGAACAAGAGTCGATGTTGATTCGATACGCGTGTCAGAAACGGTTTCTTGTATTGTTGTTGCAAGCTGGCTGTATTGGCCTGCACACCATGCAATAAGTGAAGGATATTGATCTGTTGTTCCATCGAATAATGGCTGAGGGATCGTATTTTATGCAATGTGGCCATATAAATGCGGCTCATTTCATCTAGCTTTTCTGTTGTTAACAGTTGGGTCCAGCCATCTTGTTTTTGATGTTGTGGTGAAAAGAAAGAGATGAGATGCGTTCGAATAGGGACTTCACTTGACTCGTACAGATCCATTTCTGTTTCTGGTTGATCCCATTGTTGTTTCTTTAGTTGAATCATGGCTTTATTCTTATTTTTAGAGGATGGAAAAATGCGGTAAATCAATGAAGAAGGTTTTGTTTTAGTCGATGGAACAGAAGAAGGTAATGGTGGTGACAAAGGGGGTGTTTTCTCTCTTTTTTTTAATAGTTCTTTAAATTGATATGTGACATTCCAACTGGTATGACCAGAAGGCTGCCTTGTCTTGACTGACATCAAAAGAAAAAATAAAGAGAATAATGATAGAAAAATAAAACAGAGAGAGAGAGAAAAAGTGATATTTAAATAGAACAGTGAGCGCATGATGAGTCAAACCAGTAAGACTCTTGTTCATAAAAAAATGAGGCGAGGAACGATAATTCAAGGAACAAACAAATATAAAAAAAAAAAAAAAGACAAGAAAAGGGTGCAACTCTACAAGAAATTCCAAGTGATATGACAAACGCCAGAAGCCAATGTACCGCATACGATTTCATAAACTACGTATTTTGGTGGTTAGAACAAGACTTGTGAAAGAAATAAAGATATGTTATTTTTCCTTACCACTCGGTGACATGTCAAGTGAACCTAAAGATTTCATTTAATACGGCGATTAATTTTTAGAATTGATTTTACCTTCTCCACAAGCAGGACAAGTATCTGTGACTTTAGCGACGACATTTCCCATATCACCACGAATAGAGACCATTTGATAGCAATGTGGGTTTTTGTTGGGATTAGGTCCTAATTGGAGAGAATAAATAGATGCATAGAGGGATACTCACTCACCATTTTGCATTTGTGCCTTGTTAACTGCAACAACAAGATCACTATTGGTATCAAATTCACCGCAGGATCCTGAACCCACGTCGTAATGTGTACCTAGACCAGTAAACGTCTTGATTTTTTTATCTCCTTTGAGCAACCGATGTGCCCCTAAAAGTCGGCGATCCAGAGTAGGAGCTGTCGAACCCATTTGAACAATGAACAATAGAGTCAACCAAAAACAATGAACAAGCATAGTGTAAAATGTAAAGAGAAAAAAGAAACAGAGGAATGATGATTCTCTTTCTTTCTTTCTTTCTTTTTATAAACGTTGTTGCCTATATATATATTAAAGGTTAAAAAAAAAGGCTCAAAAACTCCATTGAAATGTTTCAACAAAGAGCTCCTAACCCATTCCTTACTCCTTGTAAAATTGAGCATAAATCGAATTCTTTATGCGCTTAACGTTGTCTTTTTATTATTATTGTCGCCACATATATACATATATATATATATTCTAATTTACAAAGCTTTCCAAGCTTGAATAAGCACTTGGACTTCATGTTCTTTACGAACAGCTACTCGAACAAACGAATGGCACTTATAGCCGGGAGTACCACTTCGAACAGGGACACCAGCGGCACGGGCTAGATCAATGGCTTTAGAGGCTAATTCCTCACTCTTCATATCCAACCATACCCAACTCAAGAATGATTTACCATGGTATTCCCATTCAGGATGATCTAGTGATTTTAATTGGTCAATCAAATAGGCCCTTAAACGACTTGTGTTGTTCCAAGTTTCTTCTAGATAGGCCTTGTCATTGACGACAGTTTCAACAAATTTCAAGGCAGGACCATTGACAGACCAAGGTGCTTGAATTTTGCGGAGTGCGTCACAGTGTTCTTTTGTAGGGCAAATGATAGAACCAATACGGAGACCTGTACAAGACCAGATCTTTGTCCAGGAATGCATCACATGAACAGAGACATTTTCGGTAAGGAACATATCCTTTGCAAATACATGTTCAGAGATGAGAGAGTCATTTCTAAAGTCAGCAGAGTGCCAAGGTTGCATGGATTCGTCTGTGCAGGGTAAGTAAAAAAAAAAAAAAAAAAAAAAAAAAAAAAAAAAAAGACATGAGCCACTACAATACATTACCTACAATCACACAACCACCTGATTTCACATTGTCCTTGATCCATGCCTTTAGAGGTTCCACAGAGAAATAGTCACCAGTGGGGTTACATGGATTGACAATACAGAGCATATCTGCTTTTTCAGGATTGGAGGGTTCCAAGATTTCAAATCCATTTGTCTCTGCACTACGTTGATACTCTCTATACTAAGCTGAATAGATCAATAAAACAAATAAAATACACTTTTCTTTACTTGAACATTCCAGGGACTTCCTTTCCATGTAGGCTTCTTGATACCCCTCTCTCCAAAAGTCAAAAGTGCTCTTCTGACAGCCAAATCAATCAATTCAGAAGCACCATTACCCATTAATAAGCGATCTTGATGGTCAATGTAGTCTGAGCCCCATAAAAATTCGGCCAAATAAGACTTGGCTGGTTCCTGGTTAGCAGCAGGATAATGATGGATCTCGTTCATCTAAAGACAACGATGAGTATAAACACAGTGTCATATAGTTTACTTACGGCTTCCTTGGCAGCTTCCAATGCTTTTTTAGGTGTGCCTAGATAATTTGTAGTGACACTGAAATCCTCTACAAAATTACTAATAAACCGATGTTCCTGACCACCATGAAAAGTTTGTGTTTTAGAGTCCCAGACATTGTTTGCAGAAGAAGTATTGGCCAACATGTTTTTTTTTAAAAAAAAAAAAGGAAAAAGAGAGAGAAAAAAGAAAAAGAGAAAGAAATACAAAGTTACATGATTTTTAAATGAGAAGGGATTATCTTGTGAAAATCATTGGGGTGCCTTTTTGACAACGTGGAGCTTTAGAATGCCATTCGGGCATTCAACTCGAAAGTTTATTTAGCACCGACAAGAAGACGAGTTAGGTAACATGTATAACGTTCAACACGAAACAATAAAGGACATAGTCAAGTAAAAAAAGAGAGAGAGAAAAAAAAAAGAATGATTGTAAAAGAGTCTCTTTTTTTTTTCTTTCACCATCAAGCTCTTTTGCTTGTCATACCATACGCGCTATTTAACCACAGGCACCAAGAAAGTTATGGGATTGAGTCTTGGTGATACAAAGGCTTTTTGAAAAAAAAAAAAAAAAAAAACGGAATTCTGGTCAATCTCCGGTTGTTGTCGAAGAAAAAGTAGCGGTGACCAGTTCAAGAGATAGGCGCATTTTTTATATGGTTGCTTTTGACTAGACTCTTGAAACATTTTTTGATTCATTGTGTAAGAAGTAATGGTCAGATTCTTATGAAATTACCATCATTTGTTTAGAAAATCATGGTCATTTCACTATATCTAGTTTCAGTGATTTTAACATAAGCGTCTTTTGAGAAATAGGATTGATTTATTAAAAATGCTACCCTATTTTTCCAATAAGAAGCGTTCTGTTTTGATATGATGCACAAACAAGTGCTTCTATTGAACTAAAGTCCCTTATTAAAGTACAATTTAGTGATAGGCTTTCCTTTTACATCTTCTAAATCTTGAAACTCCTTTTCCATTTGACTTGTTTGCAATTCGCCTACTTGAGGAAACACTGCAATAGCAGCAGGCAAAGCTGTCATGAGTGAAAGAGCAATCAAACCAAAATTCAAAGGCATCACTAATTTGGGTCTCTGCTGAATAAATCGAGTACGTTGCAAGCGACTCAACAACAAAGGCGGAATAATCAAGACAGGCGCATTGGTCAAGATACGTGAGATGGCTACTTGAGATACAGCAGAAAGCCCAGCTTGCTTGGATTTACCATAAGTAGTTCCATGTTCATCAAACACCTGAATACCATCACGAATTTCTTTACCTCGCATCAAGAACACATTAACAGTACCTGCAGCAGCAACAGCAGTAAAAGGAACTAATTTCATACAGACTGATTTAATACGAGGACTCAAGCTGAGTTTAGGTACTGATTGGTTTAATCCCACAGCAATAGCACATGAAGTAGTAACAGCAGAAGCATAGGCCACTATGGTATTGTTATTAAGTTACTCTAGGACTAGGGGGGGGTTCTTTACCTGCTGTTTCCTTAAGACTCATAGGTGTAGTCTTGTTGGCATTGGCCGAGTTAAAAGCGACATTGACACTCTGATTGGCCCATTGCCAAAACAAGATGCTTTTGATCTATAATTATTTGGGCTTCAGTATTCTCTCTTTTTGTCTTTGTCTTTGTTCTACTTACACTTGGATTAGGCAATAACATACCAGCGACTAATACCATATTGGTAGGTACAAAGCATGACATTCTAAAAGGTAAAAATACAGGTTTGCCCGTATCAGGATGAAGTGTAGAATCCACCACTATCATCTTCAGTCAATATAACTCACTCTTTTTTTGTTATTGTTTTTTTTAACCTTTCTTTGCTCTCCAAAGTGATTCAATATCATGCCCTGATGGACTATCTAACATTTGCTTACATTTCTCGAGTTCCTTTCCAGACACAAAAAGTGTTCTTATATATGTTAACATGTGCTTCACAACTTGTCAACTCTTACCTAGGATCTGTCACATCAATAAAATGTAAAAGTCTACCTAAATAAGTATCTTGAGGGTATCTTGGCTTGGCTAACTTGTGTTAAACTATTTTATTTAGTTTGTGAGCTTACATAAATCAATAGACATATATAAATTAAATAGAAAATAAAAGAAAAAAAGAAGCGGTCATTCAAGTTGTGTGGTTTTTATGCGAATTTCTTTTTATTTATTCCCATGATTCTTCAACAGTCTCTCTTACTCGGCGAACATATTCTTTTCTATTTTCACGGTAAAGATTAGCGGCTTCTGCATTAGCTGGTGAATTAGGGTTAGGGTCATTGAAAAGAGATTGAATACTGGTCAAAATAGCTGCAACATCATAAGTAGGACTCCATCTGTTTTGTAAAATATCCAAACAGAGTTCACCATTGGCATATACATTGGGGTGGAACATTTTTGATACGAATTTAACTTGAGGTGGTTTGTTGGGCTATAGACTGTCAGTATATAGTATGTGTGCATATATAGATAGTTACATAGGTCTCGTCAAATTGTAAAACGAGTTTAAATGTACCATCTTCAAAAGGGGTATCAGCTATAATAGAATAAGAATAACAGACAAGATAATGTTTGGCTTACCAGGCCCAAAAATGACTGCATTCCACATCATGATATTATCTTGGCAAGGCGCACCTATAAAAGAATGAACATCAGCACCATCTCTTTTTGGGTCATCTAAATTTTATCGATATATACCTGATACACCAGCTAAAAATATTAAAAAACAGATGATTAGAAAGCGAGACTCATAAACAACAACTTACCTGGGGGATCACTTTGTAATCTCTTAAAGTCACGCATAAGTCTTCTTCTGGTAGGTGTGGACATCTTTACAATCTATCTAGATTTAACAAAATAAAAAAGTTGAAGAAAAAAAAGACTGACGTACAACTAACTTATTTTTTTTTTTGTATGTGATGCGTAGTTCGGTCTGAACAGATACTGCGGACCGGAATATCTCATTCTTATTTGTTGCAACTCGAATATGGAAGTAGTAAGTACTGTACCCTCCCTTTGAACTTAATATCAACGATTCTCAATTCCTAGGAAAACTAGGTTAAAAAGTCAGTAATCTCAAACTTTAAAAAGGAAGGATGATTTCAGCTTTGTCAGCAGTATGTAGTCAAAAAGCTCAGCTATCTGTATGGTTTCAACCAAGTTACTGTCACTGATATTTCTCAGTCGGAGGTGGTTATTGGCAATACACCTTTCTTGTTTAAAGGTATTGATATCGAGTCTTTGCTGTGAGAGTATAAGAGACAAAGTTACATGATTATCATTGACAATGGTCCTCAAGAAGTTGTGTGAATATACACAATGTTGGTATATTTGTTCCAACTAGATGTCGTATTTCTTATAAACTTAGAACCAATCAAAGACACTTTCGGTAACTCCTTATTGCAGAACTTGGTCAACAAGCTGCTTATGCCTCTATCAAGAGCAAGTTTTCCTCAGAAATCAAGTCAGATATCGAAGCAATACTTGATAACTTCTCGAGAGAGAATGCTTCCAAATAAGTGGCTACTTTTCACACGTATTTGATAAATTACTAAACAATAAAAAAAATGAATAATAGTCTGTTTAAAGAGTCTTCTGCTGGGATATGTCTTTAGAAAAATAAACATAGCTCTTAATAAATCCCCCAGTAATCGCACAAATCAGCTTAGTTACAAACATATGGAGTCCTTCTTCTCTATGATCATCTTATCAGCAGTAAAATTGGTTGTTCTTACAAAGTCAAATCATGAAACAGAGGGTTCAACAGCACAATTTACTATTGCAATCATCTTTTTGGATAAACGGAATCAATATACTTCATGTTTGAAATTAACTGTTTTTTATGGTTTTTATTTATTTATTTATTTATACAAAATAGTAAAAGAGAAAGATATATATATATATATATATATATATGTATGTATGTATATATATATATAAAAGAAGAGCCATACACACAAAGACAAAAGATATAACGAGAATAAATAAAAAAAAAGTATATATATATATATATATATATAAATGCTTGTGTCCCTTTTTTTATAGACTAACTGCACAAAGTTTGCCACTTTCATCTATTAATTTCTTATCATCTTGCTGCTGTTGTGATGATGAGGATGCTGAATTCTTTTCATTATTATTATTACCTGTATTTGTGTTGGCAGGTGCATCATTATCGTCCAGTTTGACAAAATCATTATTGTCCCAATCAAATCCATCCAAGCCAAGATCAATTGCTGCTGTTGAGTCATACCAGGAAGACTGTAAATCATTGGTCTCAAACGATTCTTCTTGCTTAATAGCACTGGGCTTCATCAGTGTCAAATCAGGCGTGCCAAATGTCTCGTCCTTGTAGCCTTCTTTTAAGGCTGAAGAGTAGCCTTCAAAGGATGGCTTCATAGGCTCTGAAACAGCAGTCGTTGTGGTTGTATTGGTGGTGGTGGTGCTGGGTTGAGAGGTTGGATAGCGGCATGTTTGTGTCTGATGTTGGATTGGATTGTCCATCATGTCATTAGAGAAATAAAGAGACGACATCATATCTTCACTCGGGGATTGATGAAGTGTCATAGAAGGTTGAACAATCATATTAGAATTACTAGTATTGTTAGAGGTGGGTATCTGACTGTTGTTGTCTAACGAACGCGGTTGCTGTTGTTGTTTTTGTTGTTGTGAGGATAAGGATGAGGATGATGGTGGCGGTGGTGGTGGTGGTGTCGCTGATGCTGTGAATTCTTCTGTTTTAATCAAAGGCGATGAAGACACATTGGCAAGTGAAGCAGGTGTATTGGATGTCATATCATGCATACCGGAATTCTGTTGTGCTAATTGTTGTTTGGCCATCTCAATCTGCTCATTCAATACAGCCTGGAGTTGTTGCTGTTGGTTAGGCATCAGTGTCATTTTGTTCTGTGCAGCTTGTTGAAGAATCCAGTTACATTGCAATGCTTTATGAGGCAAAAGATTGACGATTTGAGGAGGAATACCATTACTGACAGCCGCCATATAAAATGCTTGAGACTGAGCTTGGTGTTGGCTTAAAGGCATGCCTGCTTTCACAGGTATACCACTAGGATAACTATTATCCATACCTTGTTGTTGAAGCATAAATCCATTCATGTTATTACCGGGAAGTCCTTGCTGTTGTTGTTGTAATGGCTGTGAGGGTGGCAATGACTGTGACATGGCTGTTGATACAGCTGGAGGTGTATGCATAGCATGAGCAAGTGTAATATTGGTGTTGTTTGACATGACAGGACTGTTCGAAGCAGAAGCAGAAGCAGGTGTCGCTTCTTGTGCTTTTTCCTTTTCGTTTGTCTTTTGATTTTTTCTGCTTAATGTAGGTGACTGAGCGGCAGATCTAGAACCACGCTGCTTCTTAGTAGGAGGCAGTTTCAGATCAATGCTACCGCGTTTGATACTCATGGAAGGTGTGGTAGGTGTATTAGTCAAACTAGCATTGGCCATCACAGGTGTATTTTCGTTTGACTTTGGCACAGTATGATTGGTGGCTGGATTAGTAACATGTTCCTGTGATTGTGTAAGGCTTTGTTGTTGTTGTTGTTGCTGTTGCTGTTGTTGCATTTGTGCCTGTGCTTGTTGCTGTTGACGCAACATGGCCAAAGCTTGTGCTTGAGATTGGCTCATGGCTTGAGCTTGACTCATAGCTGCCTGTTGTCCCATCATACCATGTTGTGGTGGTGGTACCATACCTTGCTGACCCAACTGATTGAAATTGACAATGGGACTGGCTTGTTGTTGTTGTTGTGGCTGCTGTGGCTGCTGTTGAAGCATTGTTTGCTGTGGTTGTTGTTGCATAGACATGGGCATCAATCCTAAACCCATTTGTTGTTGTTGTTGTGGATTCATGGGGTTCACCATAGCATTCATTTGCTGTTGTTGTTGTTGTTGCTGTTGCTGTTGCTGATGACCAACAGCATTGCGCACCCAAGTAAAATAACCACTGAATTGCTCCCGTAACTTGTGCAAGTTTTCCAGACTGATAATATATTTGTTGTGCGGCAAAGCGTTCAATTGATCTTCAAACATGTACTTCATCAACACCAAACGACGCGTTGCTTCCACATTACTTGTCATGGCCAAAAATACAGGCAAGAGGTTATCAATTTTATCGTACATGGGTCTCATTTGCCCAATTTGTTCACGAATAGCACTTTTATCCTCCTCAGACATATCTTCAATAGCCACACCACGAACTAAGACACAATATTAGCACAGAAATCGCGTCTAATTTTTTTTCTTACCTCTTCCTTGGCGTACATTCTCGTCAATTTGTCTGACAATACCAGCAGCATTGTTTCTTTGTTGAATGGTTAATGGCTTAATCATGTTGGGTTGCATGGGTTGTTGAAGATTCATAAGGGGTCGCTGGACCATTTGCGAACCTTGTTGTTGTGGTACAAATTGTTGCTGTGTCATTGGAGGTCTTTGCATCATATTCTGTTGTTGCTGTTGTTGTTGTTGCTGCTGCTGAAATCGTTGCATCAATACTTCTTGATTCATAGGTTGACCTGTAGACGAAGGTGGAGGTCGAACCATGGTATTCGTGAAGGGTTGTGCTGATAAAGTGGCGGGCACAGTCACTGGCGTAGAAGAAGCAGATCCAGCATTGGGATAATTCACGATTGTATTGGACTGCATGGGTGATCCAGCAGTAGAAGCATTTGTGTTCCCTTGAGTCATATCTTGCTGCTGCTGCTGTTGTTGTTGTTGTTGTTGTTGTTGTTGTTGTTGTGGAGGGAATGCTTGAGGCCTGAAATTCACATTGCTCATACCCACCATAGGCTTTCCAGCCAACCCCAAATTCATCAACTGTTGTTGCGTCATACCCATCATATTATTACCTCCCTGAACATGTGGCAGGAATCCTTGTTGTTGAATTGGTGAATTCTGCTGTTGTGGTTGTTGTGGTTGTTGTGGCAACATATGAGGTGAAAATGCTTGTGGTGGCTGCTGTGGTGGTGGTTGAGACTGTTGCTGTTGTGTTGGCGGCTGCTGTTGTTGTTGTTGTTGAGATTGTTGTTGTTGTTGTTGCTGCTGCTGAGTTTGTTGTTGTTGTTGAAGAGCCATTTGACGAGCAAAATACATTTGAAATTGTTGAGGAGAAATGTTCAATCCAGCCTGAGCAGCATTGGCCGCGTTCATGTTCAACAAATTAAGTGGGATTTGTTGACCTGGTAATCTCTGCTGTTGCATCACTTGGGGTGCGTTCGAAGCCGCCATGGCAGCAGCAGCAGCAGATCGCTGATAAGCTAGTATTTGAGCCTGTGCCTGTTGAGCAGGCGATTGCATTACCTGTTGAGGAGGTCTACCTTGTTGAAGTTGTTGGTGACCAAAGTTGGGTTGAACAGCAGGACGCATTTGTTGACCAGCCAATTGTTGTTGCTGGTTCAGATTCAAAGGCGATTGAAAGTTATGGCGTTGTAATTGAGGAGAAGGCACTTGTCCATTATTTGCAGCAGCATTGTTCACAAGTGGCGACATGGGTTGTTGAAGAGACAGACCACTTAATGAAGTATTATTAGCAGAGCTTTGATTGATTTGTTCTCTGATGTGCTGGAATTTTTTTGCATACGCCAATATGTATTGATTCTAATACGAAATCAGTCTCTCTTTTTTGGTAAAAACCCAATTTCGTATCTTACCTTGCTTGTACAGCGTTGATAAAGACCTGCTTCAAAATTACTCGCCACATTATACGTTTCGCTATCTGACGTTGAAGGCGAAAGATGTTTAAGGGCTAAACTTCTATTGATTCTTTGTTTAATGATACGCGCGCAAAAAAAGAAGAAGAAAAAAATCATGAGATCAATTCGCACTTACAGTTGACTGACGAAACGGCTTCTATCAGGTACAGACACTTCGTTTCTCCAATTAGCATTGGGCACATCGTTCGGATGAGCTAGATTAACTTGTTGTTGTTGAGACAGCACTTGCTGCGATGGTTGTCCTTGTTGCTGTGTTGGTGGTGGTTGTCCACTGGGTATTTGTTGATTAGGGTTTTGTTGATTCATCTTGTTTAGGTCTTCAGATTAGAGAGTAAGGAGAACAAGCTTGAAAAAAAAACTTTTTTTTTCAATTGTTTTTCGTTTCGATTTATTGTGAGTTCTGAATTGATTAAAAAAAGCGACTATTCAATTCTTACAAGATATGATTTGTATGCGTGTGTTTTTTTTCTGTGGTGGTTGCACACTTAATTTTTCCAATCCACTCTCTTGTTTCCTTTTTTTACGCGCGAAAAAAAATATGTCGTATAAAGGGAAAAAATTACAACAGCAAGGTCACACTGAAGTGAATAAAGAGAAAGAAGAAAAGAGGAAAAAAAAAAAAAGAAAAGGGAGACGAAAAAAAAGGGAAGTTAAAAAAGAAAAAGAAAAATAAGGGAAAAAAAGAGGAGTCAATTCATTGGGCTACACAGCTTCCTGTCCACGTGACTTTCATTTCTCTCTTCCTCTTTTTCTCTCTACTCTCTCTCTACTTTATACTTGAATGCTGGATAGAAAGACAAGAGCAGAAAACAAAAGAAGACTTTTTGACGAGTAAAGTTGGCATGATCGATCCCATGATTGATCTGACAAAAAGACATTCTGATGATTGCATTCTTTGCATATTGATTGGTCTCTATGATTTGTATAAACTCAAGGCAAAGCATGTAGTTTGACATTGATGATCCATCAGAATGGTAGAGTGATGATATGGGTTGAACCCTTCTTTTGTGCCTGAAAAATTAGACCTGTCAAACACGGTTGCTATGATACCAAACAGCTGTAGTGACTTTTTTGAATCAAGATCTCTAGCAAAGTTTACCATGGCAACACACTTTGTTTGTCATTGTTCACATTGCTTCTTATTGCTTTTATGGGAAAGAATAACAATTTGTTTAAATGAAATTGCTATTTTGTTAATATTGGCGTATTGCCATATATAGTAATCGTTCAGGTTGCAACAAGAATCCCAGTCAAATAAAAAAAAAAAAAGAGGCGTCCACATGGTTTACAGAAAAACGATTTATGCATTTGAAATAATTAATTTCATCCATTATCTATACACATTGATTTATTTATAAAAGAGAGGAGAGATTTACATAATTTATACAAGAGTTTCACGATATTCGGCAGTAGGTCTAGGACGACGTCTACGTCTTCGGCTAACCAATGTGACAAACTGCGGCATGGTTCGAACATCAAGATCAGAACTGACATGAATAGCAGATTCTATCACACCCAACCAATCATTTCTTTCGAATTCCGTTTGTGTATTAAATAAAAATTGAGGACCATTGTCTATCCGTAATCGTATGACATGATGATATTTCAAATAATCTGTTGGCACAGTGACTTCAGCGCCTTGCATGGAATAGGACCAGATGGGATCTACCTTTTTCTTGCCCTTAGGATTGCGATGATATGCCATGATCTTTGTACCGTAAACAGTAACATAAAGATCCCTGTAATCATGTTAGATTCATATAAAATAAAAAGCCAGATACATACTTCCAAGATCTATTTTTTGACTTCACGTTGGGTTGGCTGAATTCACATTTGACGTGTATGTACAATGTCTTATCAATCTCACAACTGTATTGGGGCAATACTTCACGTCCTTCTTCTTCTCTTGGTAAAATGACTCTATTGGCGTATGATTTGGGAAAGTTGAACACCCAAGGATGTGATGGATCTTCATAATGGGGTGGTGGTAATGCTTCCTCTTCTTCTTCGGGTATCGTAATGGTTGATTCGGCTATAGACGATTCAGTAGAAAATGTAGTGGAAGCAACAGATAGAGCAATAGAAGCAGTTGATATAGATCCTTGTCGATTCTTTGTAAATGAGCGCAGAGACCAGCTACTTTGCTTCTTTTGTAGCCATGGAATTGACACTGTGTTGATGCCATGTTAATTGAAACTCCTCTTTTTTTTTTCATTTAACTCCACTTACGGAAATGATTTCTCTGACTGCTATTATTGTTATCAAATAATCTAGATGAGGTGGTAGAAGGAGCGCTAATCATTTTGTAATTGGTGTGGTATCAGTGTATATAAAAATATGTGACGGCAAGATAACACTTGTTTTTTATAAAATATACAATAAATTCATAAGAATATGAAAATGAAATAGAAAAAGTAAAAAAAAAGGAAGAGAGAAAAGAAAAAACCCCATTCTTTTATATATATTTTGGTTCCTGGTACTTGTTTTGGATTGTTATTTATTGACCAGCTCAATTTGGGCTGGGAACTTTCTTTTTGGCTGGAACCTTCTTTGTTTGCCTAAAAAGAATTCTATTAATTACACCCATTTTACTCTTTACATGAGTGTTTCTTATGTATATATTTGTCACACTATCTCTCAAGAGAGAACTTATTAAAACAGGGAGGAATTGTTATGAGCTTTTGTAACATTATCTTACTTCATGGGATCTTACGAACAGTATTCGGAAATGTGTTTTACCTTTCCCCCCCCCTAAGCGAAAAAGAATTTCGCATATCCTTAAATTTCACACACCTCACCATATCGAAACATGACTATGATCACTATGATTCACATGAAAAAAGAAATAGGAGAGTATGTCAGTTACACACACACACACACACACACACACACACACACGCACACAAGTCACTTTCTCTATCTCTCTCCTTTGAATCTATATAGACGATCTTCTACTAGTGTATAAACTGCATGGTTACAACTCAGCATACATAATTCATTCGATTGCGGGGATGCATCCTCAAAAGAAATAAAAAGACAGCTTTCAACATGTGGTTACAATAAAGGCAAGTCAATGACATAATGAAATAGCTTATTGTACTGGCGCACATGTAGATATCATCATCATCATCATCAAATTAATTATGCATTTTTATTGTTTAGAAAAAAAAAGAGGTTAGTGTCTACCAAACACAGGCACACATCACTCTTCCGGGAAAATAGTCAATGAATGCGATATATTTAATAATAGAAACCACTAAAAATACACTTTGTCGATTTTGGATCTTCATACATGGACCATACATTAGATTTGTTTAAACAAGATTGAATGCGGTCTTTCTTTTTTACAAAACGCTTCTTGTGTTTCTTTCCCTTTTTCTATCATCATGCAATCATGTAAAGAGAGAGAGAGAGAGAGAGAGAGAGAGAGGAGAAAAACAATGACTCACTTGATCAAAGAAACAATAGAGCGGTTAAAACCATAGCCTATATACTTTCTTGGCACTTTTTTGTTCGGATCGTTATCCGCATAAGAAATAAAGATTGGTGCCACCCTTTCACCAAGTGTAACTGACTCCATGCAAGTCATTTGTTACACATTTTGAATACTTGCACCACATGAGAATGGGTTTATGGAAAGAAATACGCATTTTATGGTCAGCAATAAAATACGTGTGAGCGAGATAAACAAGAGAATATCACACTGTTTGCATATGGAGTATGCCATTGTACAATATGTATTGATAATATCGGATATGAAACTGACAAATTCATCATACACATGATAGAACTAGACTCTTGTTGTTTTATTGAAACAAATCTTTGGTCATAAGTCTACCTTTATCTAAGCACTTTGTTTCAATTAGTCAGCATAACCAACATCTTATTTGTCGAATATTTGAAGCCATTCTACTCAGTTAAAAGAAGAAAAAGAAATAGGAGGCTACGTACATAGTCTCAGGGAATGATTTTTTTCTCTATTACCAACACCTATACTTTGCATTGTTGTATTGGCGAACTTGAAACGATTGTAAGTTTGGACTCTATACTATGTATCGAATTCTGAGAGCGTATATACTGGTTTGGCGTTCTGCTTGTCACTTTCTTGTCCAAAGATAGCAAAACTATTTGTCATCAAATACCTGTATTTGTGAATTGAAGCTAATAGACTACTTTGTTTATACAAGAAGTATCGATTCATGACAAAATGGAATGGACGGAATGTTTTTGCTAGATAGAAAGACTTTAAATTCAATCACCATTCTTTCCATAATTCTTGCATAATAGACAACATCGAGTCCAATCTATGTTTAGAACAACAATAACATTGCGATAATTTATTATTAGCCAGTGACAACAAACAAAGTATTGAGGTTGATTGCTATTGGTGCTTATAATGCTTTTTTATCTTCATGATGCAATGATTTAAAAGCTTTGTTGTATTTCAACAAAAACAAGCACTTATTGTTGTAAAATGATTTCTTTTTCAAAAGAATGATCTTAGAATATGACATTTTTTCTTCATAAAGAAAGGCATGTCTGCATTGCAAAGCTAATAGGCGTAGTTCCATCGTCAATGCTTTCTATTGTTTTATCATTATAAGGATACTTTGATATTCATTGACCCTAGAGATGCATGATTTTGAAGGATCTATGTTTATAATTAGTAATGAGCACAAGTAAAGGGACTGTTTGTTTAAATTGTTATTTCAATGATAAGGATAGAGTAAGTTTGTTGAGCATATGCCGCATATTTATGTTTTCTGTAAAGAAGCTATGCAATGATCACAAGAGTGCTTTTTTTTTGTAGACAACAGCAATTGTTTCCCTTGAAAGGAGTACGGCAACTTTGCTTAAGCAATAGACAATCTTAGCTACAACAGTTAAGCGGCTAATTTATGAAAGTGACAAAGTAAAATAGCATTGCACGTTGTTAACAAGTTTCTCAGCCTTCAAAATAAATCTCAGATAATGCAGTAATAACGAATCAAAATTTTAGGCTTGTCGGTGCTATTAGAGCAGTATATTATAACCCATTTATATGTCTTTGTTATTAGTTAATCTAAGTATAGTCGCTTTTGAATAAACCACATTGTGTTCTTAATTAAAATTAAAAAAGAAGTTACTCGCCACTTTAAGTTGACCTAAAAATAAATTAAAATGAATGTATTCTCCTACTGAAATCAATTTGCTTTGGCTTGAAAAAAAAAATGACTCTTTAGTGAACTGTAGTAAAGTATACAAAAATAGAAAAATTAAAATCAAACTATTTCTTGTTAAAGAAAAATGAACATTAAAAAAAGGGTATTATCCTATTAAAGATGTGTGTGTGTGTGTAAATGTGTTGATACAGTCTTCTTGCTTATAAGCCATATAGATAGGTGGCATAAATGACAAGAGCTGCGCCCACTAAAAACGATCCAGAGACAGAGAAATTGAAAAGCCACACGCTGACAACAGATGACAAGATAATACTGATACTAGTAGCAAAACCCTTCAAGATATTATCAGCATACTTTACAACTAGAGCAACAATCAAGCCACCCAATGCTTGAATACCAATCACAATCCAGGTCAAAGGTGTATAGTTGACAAAAAAGCCGCGTTCAGCAATGGTTGCGCCGTCCTGTAACATCACGACAAAGACCAAGCCCAACAAGACAGAGAAGAATGACATTTGAATGTTACGAATCCAGATCTGATTACTAGCAGCTGTCTCGTTATCCTCATTATCTTCGTCTTGCAACGCCCTTTTACCTTCTTCTTCATTCCATTCTTCTGTTGGTACAGGCTTAGGTGTAGGTGCTTTCAAAATCTTTTCAAAATAGACACCGGCTAAACCAGACAACATACATGCACACAAGACAGCCAAAAAACCATGCAAGTTGGATTGATTACCTTCTCCCTCCACAGCTGTATCAGTCACAGTTGTATTTCCAGTGATATAAGCAATAAAGGCAGTTGATGCACTCTTGGGTAATACAACAAGTGCAATACCCACGGTCAAAATGGCTAATGCAATCCATTTTAGTTTTGAAAGGTTTCTTTTGAGAATAATGACGCTGAAAAATGCAGTAGTTAAGATCTTTAATTGATAAGTGACCTGGAATGTGGCTGCATCAAGATTGGAAGCTGCAACGTATTGAAGGTTGTTCTATTCTATAGTTAACACCTATATCACAACACATAATTAAACTTACTTGAATAAGATAAAGTATAGCAGGAATAGCCAATTTAGATGTTTCTCTCCAGTTGAGAATAAGTTCACGATTTAATAGAGAAGTGAGTTTAGAGAAAGAACGTTTTCGAGATTCAGGAGCAAAGTACAAAACAACCAAACAAACAAGAGTCTTGATTACTTCACTCATAACAACGGCAGTAGAAGCCAGATAGAGTTTATCTTCTTCGACGTTGGCACGAGTATAGCGCATAACCAAGATAAGTGCACTGTTCTGCACAACAAGAATCAAAAGTGAAAGATATTTGATTGGTATGCCACTGAATATATTAAGTAAGCCTATACATAGTAAGCATTAGAGAAAGACCATTTTTTATATATGTATAGTCGTACCCATAATGTAAGTCTATTTGTAAAAGTAAAAGAGAAGAAAGAAAAACTAAAACTAAAAAAAAAAAAAAATAGGACTCGTTTAATAAATACTCTGTAAGGTTTTATTCGCACCAAATATAGACAAAATAAAGTTTTTTTTTAATCTTTTTCTCAGCCATTTTTAAACTGTGTTACAATGGTGAGGGGTATTGTTCTTGAAGTGCTTCAAAAGCATTTTGATATGCAGAGATCATATGGTCTTCAATACAAGTCTTTGTGAGCTTCATTTCGTCCGAGATATGATGAGTCACTGAGTGTAAAGAATAAGACATTTTGCTAGCACCAGGAATATTATGCTTGCTTAATACATTGGATCCTCTATGTTCTTGCGACAAGTCTTCGAAATCAATCGATTTGCTAAACCTCATTTCTCTTGTTCTTTCTATGTGAATCACTTTGCCAGGAATATATAGCTGTATGCTGATAAGTGAGTGACTCGCGTGTGCTATTGACTTACAGAGGGATACATGGAATTGGCTACATTATTTAATTTATCTCTACGTTGGCTTATGATATCAAAACACACTTTTCTAGTTTTTGGATCAGTCAATGTCTAGATAAAATCAGTACACATCAATCGGGTCTGAAATTTACCTTTTTAAAGCCACCCAATGTTCTATAGGCGCTGATCATATCCAACACAAGTTCTTTTAATTTCATAGCAGAGCCATATGAAAGTCTCCCCACAATATCATCTTGACATACAAAGCTAGAGATATAGGCTTCATATTTCTTGCTTAAATCAGGTGAACTCACAGCAGAAGGTGCATAATTATAACAATGAAGACGAAATGCTGGATTGTTTGCTAAATCACGTAACTCTTGAATATGATCTGCTACCATCATCGTCAGCAAACTTGCTGTGCCTCCACCTAATGAATGCCCTGTAATGATAAACTGACTCAATTCCTCATGATGATGAATATATCGAAATATTTGTGGAATAATACTTGTATAGAACCACTGTGCGGATGCTAACATGCCAGAATGTACCAAGCCACCTTTCCAAGGCAGATATTCACATACTAAATCAGTAATTGCGTCGTACAAGCTCCATGTCCCTCGTATGCTGAGCACAATTGCTTTGTGTTTTCTATCCAATGCCACATAATAACTTGGCTGAAACGAGGCCCCCTTTCTAAGTGCATATTCATATCCCAGCAAATCTTCTGGAGGTAATTTCAAGAATCGAATGATAGCTAATCGGTTAGATCGACGGTGATTCATACCACGTATATATTGGCCATACAAGCCTAAATAACAAAGACCTCGCCAACCATAAGCAATCAACGCATATGAGAAATAATGACACGCTTCATGGATAAACGCAACATCTTCTATTGGTGATTTACTAGGCGATTTGGGTAATGATTCATAGAATTTTTGGACGAGTAAGGCTGCCTTGAGGAGTTGAACGCCTGTTACACGAAATCCTTGGCCAAACGCGTTGGCGGTCTTGATAATGGCTCTCACCATTGCCTGTGTTTGTTTACTGACTACAAACCCAATCAGGCGATCGACGACAGGATGAGATAGAGCCACATCGTCAAATGAATCCTGCATCCATTGACTGGCAAAATCGCGATCACCGAAGTTAACACTGTCAATGATGTTTTGTGCTTTTTTTTTAGCACCGTGTGCAATGCGGTCTCTGACAGGGGCTGAAGAAGATATACTAGAGGCTTGTGAGGACTCTGTGCTATCGTCAGGATTAAATTTATGATGATCGTCTGAATCTTGTTGTGAAAAACCATAGCGTTTACCACGGGATGATCGAGGTAATTTTTTAGCAGGCAAGACAAGTCGATAAAGCCAGTCAAAATTCAATGTGGAAGCTTCTTGACTGGATGAAGAAAGAAGGCTGGTTTCTGAAGAACCAGGTATGTTAGCCGTCATAATATGGGTCAATCGATTTTTGAACACGTCGTCTACATAGCCTTCTTCTTTGGCTAGTTCGCCTCTGCCATACGAAGTTCTGCGACTTGAGCTTTTGGTGGCCAAAGACCAATTGGATTGGTTAGAGGCATGAGTAGTAGTGGTAGACAGAGGATGGAATGTGTCTTCTGGCCCAAGCAACCGCTGATTGTCTTGTGCTGGCGAATCTAATAGTCTTGCCTTGGGCAGAACATGGTCATTGACTGTCACAGGTTCCTGAAAGTGATACCGAATGCGAATTTGAAGGGACCCAATCAGACTCAGATCGCCTGTCTTTTTTGTCACACGAGCAGGATCTACTATATTTGTTTCTAACAAGGTAGGTCGTAATTCAGCAGGCAACAAACGTTGTATGCGGTATTCATAAACCGGTAGAAATCTATAAAAAAAACTTTGATGAAATCATCTATGGAGCGAGATGCACTTACGTGACAAAGACATCATTTTTGTTTACCAATGTGGAAATTTTAAGTTTTGCTTTTCCAATATGCTTTAATGTTGGCCAATGCCTATGAGGTTTGTCATATACGTCAAACTTGATATGGTTAGTTTATGCTACAACAAGACGATAGCTTACTTCAATGGTATTAAATAATTGTGCATGAAAAGAAATAGTAAAAACAAAGCCTTCGTTCCAATCACCTGTTGCTGAATTCGAGCGCTTTGAGTAATATTGAGCAGGTCCCATTTTTAACCTTATTTGAGGTCTTTTTAATCGAGTGTCCATGCAGATATTTAACAAGTCAATCTACATAGAGTAAGAGCATGCAATTGGCGATCATCAGGTATTACCTGCATCTTGTTACCTGTGATGATGTTCATTGAGCTTTGGTATAGGTCCCATTCTTGACCTAATTTGCGCAAGTCAGGCACCGAAAGAGTCTTACTATGCTTCTCATAGAGCCAAACTTGAAATTGAGTTGGAGGTTTTCTTGAATAAGCATGCCTCAAGTCGTTTTCAGAGCCATGCCGTTTCATTGAGATAAGTCTATCGTGTGCATCGAGATATCGAAAAGAAAAGAAAAAGAGAAATAAACTGAAACCTTTTTTTCGGTTTGTATTCAAACTCAATAGTTTTACCCGGATGACGCATGGAACATCTTTGCAGAAAATATTGTACAACCAACTTTATTTAAACAACAATGGACACATCTTCTGGTCTAACAAACACACCTCTGTTAGGAGACGATGTAAAATAGCGATAGCCATCTACAGAACCATCATTTTTACCAACTAATGTCCAATGTTAATGATAGCCTCTTTTTTTTTCTTTTACCTCTTCGATCCAATTCAACCCCGATCCATAATCCTTCTGCAAAATTAACACGGCCAATAAACACAACTGTGCCCACCGTCAATGTAGGTCTTCGGGTCAATTGAACTCGTCTGTGCATGCCTACCATAGATGCACTGACTTGTTCTTCTAATGATGTCTTCTTTTTGATCCTTGTGAAAAACTTGCTTTCTTTTTTATCCAATTGACTGATTTTTATTTGTGACCATGAAGTGGTGGAGAAAGTCGTTCTTGTGGTAGAAGACGATAACGTACGATTGGTCACACGATTTTTTTTAGAAAGCAGTGTAGCATGACTGTGGCGATGTTGTTGTGAATATTGGCCACTTAATTTTCTAAACAGTCGAGTTAAAAAAGAAGAGCGTGACATGTTGGAAGCAGTGGTTGTATGACTCAAAGATCTTTCAGGTAAATTAACATGCCTTGTATGCAGTGTAGAATGAGATGAGTGCCTTGAGAGTCCATTGGTATGTGCAGATTGAGATGATAAAGTCAGGTTTGGTATCGAAGGTATCAGGAAGGAGAAAAAGCCACGATGAAAAAGAGGGTGCTTTGAACTAATCAACGCTTTTGATCTTACATCTAAGTCTAAAAGATGATGAGGATACTGGTTTTATCCAAATGTAATTTACCATCAGCTAAATGGTTTAATACGTCTTTTTGAAGGTTATCCAAACCACCTTGCTGTCGAATGTCTCCTATACGTCGGGTAATGTACTGAAGAATCATCACCTTGGCTACATTTAATATATGTTTAACTTGGTCATTGTATTGAACTGCATGCCGAGATATTAGATCACACACAATGCCTTTATACAAAACACCCACATTGCTACAGTCCATTTGATCTTCAAGAATATGAAGCAATAAGTATTCAAGAAACTCAAAAGAATAGGTGATGCCATCAATGCAAGATAACAAAGCAGGATATTGGCTACAAAAATAGTCAAAATGCCGAGCAATCGTTCTGGTAGCACGCGATTGAATAGACGTCAATGTCGCATGTAGAGGCTTACTCCAGGATAAAAGAGGGTCGTTTGTAGAGAGTGTATTTGAAGCATTAAAGCAAGCATACAAGGATTCAATCGCATTTGATTTGTTCACGCGATGAAGCACTTTGTGGGATAGTGCCTGACTGATATCTTGTGGGAGCTGTTGCAATAGTCGAGCCATGTGACGTGTCGTCCAAAAAGTCGAAAGGGCCATTTTTGGATCTCCCGTCAAGATTGTTATAACTTTGCCCATCAAGATAGCCATTTTTTCGTCTTGAAGTTGTAAGGATCGTGTTCTGCAGAAAGGAAATAGTTCAGGCACAGCTGAGATACATGTTTGACAGTAACAAACACAATCATGGACTGTTCCAGTTAATCGTTTCGCAAGCAAAATGCATAATGTGTCCATTCCAAGATAGTCTGCAGCAGAGTACATGTCGCACAGCTCTTTTAAACTTTTTGGTTGTTGTATTTCATGTGTGTACATGTAATGAATTATCCTACTGAATGCTGTACTATCGATGATACTGGAAGGTAAATACGTTGTGTTGGATTTGGAATCACCAAAGTTGTCACCTAATAAGGAGGCAAAATAAGGTGATTCGAGATATAAAACTTGTGTGTGACATGCCCAATGCACCTCTTCTTGATCTGAATGTTCTTCCTCCTCAAATACTTGTGATTCGTTTATAAGAGTAGTGTAGGTTTGCTTCTTCTTTCTCGAAGAGTCTGTATTCAGTTTAGAAAGTCTTCTTTTAGCTGGTATATGTGATGATTGAAGGCGTATAACAATGTTAGATGGGCCATAAGTATTCATTGAACTTATTATTGAAAAAGGAAAAGAAAAAGGGAGAGAACGAAAAGAAGGTTAAGAAATAATATAAAGTATATATCAGGTGATAATAAAGTAGAAAAGAAATAAATTGCCGTTGGACCATCAGTGTTGTTTTATGCTTCAGTTTAAGCAAGACACCATTTTATTGGTTGTCCAAAGTTTTGCGAATTATACAAATATATACTTGTAACTCTTTAAGAGTAGCACAAGTACAATTTGTGGATCATTTATGCTGAGCATACTTTGAGAGCATCAATAATCTGATGACTTTATGTAACAAAGTTCATAGCGGTTGATTATGAGGCCGTGATTTGTGTACCTGAGATAAACATTCTCTACTTTAGACATGTTATAACAGTTTGGTATAGAGTTCTGATTTGATCATCTGGACTAAGAAAAGTAAGTTCAAGTCATAGAGTAATTTCTTTTATTGGTTTCTCTTCTTTATAAAGTAAATTTTAAGAAAAAGTCATCCAAAAAAGTTCCTATTACTCTTTTCTATCAAGGAAATATTCAATGCTTTTAAATAACACCATGAGAAAAATAAAGCTAGGTTAAATGTATTTAGTTTATATACAAATAAATTTTGTAAGTTGAATGCTGATCATGGCGATATAAAGTATAGGATATCATCAAACGTTTTTATGGGAATCATGCTTGTTATTATCATATGCTTGTTCTTGTTCTAATTGCTTTTCGTTCATGATATTCTGAACAAAAATGGTCTCATTTTGGTCTATAGAGCATGAATGGTGTGCACATGGATGTAAGTCATTACCTAGTGTTTCTTCTTGTTCTTGTTTGTTTTGGTCAAGTGCATAACCCTTTAATTGAGTGGCCAACAGAAATGCTAATCCTCCCATACAAACAGCAACAATACTCAAGATATGCATAGCTGCATCATATGCTTTCACTACGCCTTTGTATTGTTCCTCAGGTAATGCAAGTGCTACAGGAATACTACCTGTAATCTTGGCATAGTCATATTCACCAGGAACATATTTTTCAAACAAACCAGGAAGCACAGAATTCCAAATAGCGCCTGCAATCGTGGAGCCAATACTTGAAGCAATGGCAACACCCACTTCAAAGAAAGCTATTACAATAGCCACATCTATTCGAATAAGCTACAAGTTCAAGTTTAATTGTTCTTACCTTCACGAGGTACAGAGCCTTGAATGCCTACTGAGGTAGGATAGTTCATAAAAGCACAGCCTGTACCAAGAATGATTTGAGACATGACGATAAACACATCAGGTGAGTGAGAACTACGGGCAGGAATCAAAAGGCCAGAGCCAAGCACAGCAAAACAAGAGCCGATCCAAACAAAAGGTCTCCATCGACGTGTACGCTTGACAGCATAACCAATAGGCACAGCCAAAACAACGTTTGAAGCATTAAAACCACGTTCAAGGTAGGTAGCGATGTCAGACTTGACGCGACGAGTTACTTTCAGGTAGGTCAAAAAGTACTGAAGGTCCATCATACCATTGATAGCCCAAATCAAGAACACGATAGCAGTCCCGTACAAGGGATTATATGTGTCCCATTTTTTCATAGGAAAAATAGGTTTAGGGGCTATTTTTGATTCCCAAAATGCAAAGATGCACCAAGTAACACCACCGCCAACGAGGCATCCAATAACGACAGCTATGTTTTGTATAAGTAACGTACTAACAAGACAGCTATCATACTTACGACTTTGCCAGCCTCCCCAAGTATTAGCCAGGATGAGAGGCAAAAGGATTAAAAAGAAACCTGCTAAAAGGAAGATACTACCAATCAAATCAATTTCGTTACACACCCAAACAAGTTTACGGAAAAAGTAGGTGAAGTTCTTTGGGCCATCAATCTGATTATCTGCAGATTCATACTTAATCAAACCAGCTCTTTTGGCTTTTCTTTGAATACTCCAAAGCACAATCATTATTGGAATACTAGCTACAAAAATAACAATAGAAATATGACCAAATGCCCATCGCCAACCAGCAGTTTCGAGCATTCTTTGAGCAGCAGCACCGCCAGCAAAAAGGTTTATAATGAGTGGAAAATTATAAAATGCCAAGACAAGTGTACGGTTCACCAAACTGATAGAATCTACGAAAAGTAAACCATTTTAGCGTTTGAAAAAAAAATTACAAGATCAGATAAAAAAAATCCCAAAAATAGACAATTACCTCCAATTAGGATTGGCCCAAGAATATAAAGGCCTGAGTAACCAAGAGCATAAATCACTTGTCCGCCCTAAACCAAGAGGTGAGCTGAAGAATACAGATATACATGCTTACAATCAAGGCATTATAGTCTGTAGCGCATGCCATTGCAATAAAGGAAACCATGAAGAATAAAAGCGAGACAGTATATGTTATTGTTCTGCCTGTCATATCTGCAAATTTAGAGTACATTGGTTGAAGTGCAGTTTGCATGACCCCCAGCACAGTAGTAAGCACACCTGTCAAACCGTTTGCATTGAATTCACTTGTAACTGTGGGGGTGATTGTGTTGACAATGTTTTTTTCCCAGGACATAATCCAAGAGACCAATGCTAAGCTAGCATGAATTCATTAGCATCATGTTGGTAGATGTTTCAATTACCCTATAAAAATAAATATCTTGTCATATTTTGTAGCAACAAAGTTTGAAGCATAAGCAATTCTGACACCTTTAGGTAAAGTTGAATCAATTTTATCATTCATGTCAATAAGTTTTGAAAAAAAAATAGAGAAAAAAACTGACAGCTGCCTATATATCAAAAAAAGAAGGTTTTTGGTTTAGGATAATAGGCAATTGAAAAAAAAAAAGAAAAAACTTTTTACTCAGTTATTTTTTTCTTTTTTTTATGGAAAATAGAACCTTTTTAAGACAATTATCTTATTTTGACTATAAACGATGCCAGATAATAGAAGTCATTTGAAATAAACGCATAAATGCGTTCAGTTGAAGAGGTGCATGTAAATGGAGATAAAAAATTGTATGCTATTTCGATCAGATTATAAAATCAAACAAGATCAGATATATCGGGTTGACGAAAAAAATATATTTTAGATGAATAGACTACATTACTAGTTCTCCTATTATCCTTTAGATGTACGTATGCACCCAGAACTAAAATTGTCTCCTCACGAAAAAGGATCGCGATTTTTGTTTATCAGATAATCAATCCATGAAATACAACATCTGATAAAAGTAAAAGAGAGTGAGAGAGAAAGAATACTCCTTCCATTCCATTGCCTACTTCAGAAAATGGTCGTTTTCGTATAAGTATGATGGCTTTGGAAGGGCAATTGCTATGAGCAATAGTGCATCAAAGGAGAGCATGCTGTCAAAATTATAAGGCCTTTTCTAAAGCTCTTGCACCTTATTCCTATAGTAAATGCGCTAATACTTTATACTGTCCAATTCAACTGTATTTTCTGTGCAACTTTTAATAACTCCTTGTATCGTATTTGACTTTGTGCGTTTTGAGTGATATCAGTTTAGAGTTACTCCATGATGACGAATCCACTTATTTCCTGTCGCTGGGTAAAGCTTATCCGGAGGGTGTAAGGTATTTGGGGGATTTTGGGTGCCCGAAGTTTCAAACAAGAAAGCGGAAGTGGTCACTAGAGTCTTCAAGATGTCGATTTTACTTTCTTTATTGTTTTAGCCTACAGTGTCAAAATAAAAAACGTTCAACATACCACCCTCAGCTTTTTAGCAATTCTTAATGAATCATAATCAAAACAGAAAAGTGCCTTCTATTTATCAATTTGAGAAAATAATATCTTTATTGAATTTTTTCATAACAAATTACAATAGTGTTTGAAGCTTTAAAGAGATGGTCATTAGAACTTACTTCTGTAAGTTTCTCGCAGCGTGTATGTAGGTTGTCTATTTTGAAAACTCCTTCGGTGTTATCACACTTGATGCTTTTGCCAACTACCAAAAAAAAAAAAAAAAAAAAAAAAAAAAAAAAAAAAAGACTACCTTTAGGGAACCAAGAATAAATTCTTGTATGTATTGTATATTTAACTGGTAATGGTGTATTAAGGGTAACTATTGGTGAAAAGCATGGCTGGCAATCCTTCTATTTAATTCCTCCAAGCTCGTTTAAATTTGAAGGATCAAAGTTGGTTGGATCAGCAACAAAGAAAAACGGAGGAAAGCTTTCTTCTGTCAAGACATTGCATTTGATAGCACACCTTTGGTTACATTGATTGCAGTGGGCTACTTGTCGCAACTGTAAATAAAGCTCTGCTTTAGACTGTGCTCAAACTTAGCATGTAAAGAGCTATTTTGGCATCTTGTAAGTGTACTTCTTTGAGTCTTTTGGCAGGATAATACTCTTTCATGATTGGAAAGTTCTTAATGAATGGCAAAGATTGTAACGAACATTTTTTGAAAGATATGTCACTTTATTTTTCTGGAAAATGCTGAACAAAAGGAAAAAGATTTTTCAGACCTGAAGAGATGTTGTCCATTATCCAGCTAAAGCAGCCAAAGGTATCATCCATTTTTCCTCTAACAAAACGGGATTCACTTCTCCAAACCAAATCACTGATCAACTGGTTGCCAACTAAACTATTGCCTTTTTCATACAGACGAAAAACATTCAGCAGAGTCTTGTCTAATTCATTGTCATAATCGCATGCGGGGTCATTATGCAAATAGGTTTCACATTCATTAATAAGGTCATCAATGCTTATCTTTTTTATTTTATTAAGTGTATAAATTGGAAATACATAATTACTTTTTGTTGATTTTATATCAGTATATATTTTATAACTTATTTCTATATTCTTAATGAATCTTGACTTATTTGAATCATAGCATTCATATATACTGTCTCTATGAGCATCATTTATTTCTTTGCTAATATATTGCTCATATATAGTAGACATAACATGTGACACTTCCCTATTATTTGTCTTTATACAAAAATGTAAATCAAGATTATCCTTTAACTTTTCTTCTGTATTTTTTAATTTAATGATTACTTTATCAATCTCTTTTTCAGCATCAGTTTTTTATATGAATTTCTTCTCTTGGTATTATGAGGTTCAGGGGTATATTCATCTTCTTGTTTTTGTGTATTATTTATATAACAATCATTTTTAGAAATATCATCTCTTTCAATATTATCATCCTCGTCACTGTTTTCTTGCATATGTTTGTAATTATTATATGTTTTATCGTTTTCATCTTCTTTTAACTCATCTTCCTCAATCTCATCCATCTTAGATGAATACACCATTTTATTGTTATTAATATTAAGCTCACTTTCAATATCATCACATTATTCATTATCGCTGTATTCTGTCTCAGAGTCGTTAGTATTACATTGAAATGATTCATGCATAGCTGATGTAATATCATCTTTAAATAATTCTTTATTTTCTTTAAATTTTTCTTTTCTTACATCTTTTGTATTATTGTTATTCATATATCTGTTAGTATTATCATACTCCATCTCCTTGTTGGCTGATATATTTAATTTTGATATTAGACGATTGGAATATTCATCAATATTCTTTAATTGTTTTATATATATACTGTTTTCTTTTTTTGATTGATTTATTTTGTTATGTATTTAACGTTATTTTAGGTATCATTGTTTTAATAATTATATTTTTCAATTTATATATATGTGTTTAATCCTTCTTTCTCCATTGATATTCATTTAAATGATTTATAGTATCTTTTTTATTTCTACTTTTAGGGTTAATTCCTATTCCATGTACCTTCTATTGTATTTGTATTAACATGAGTTAGAGGGTTTTTGAAATATTTCTTATGATTTACTGTTGTATGTTTGTAGCCTATATTTCTTAAATTATTATAGTTTCATCTATATTATCTATATTTCTCTCTTCTATAGGAACCATAAATAATTTTTTGTTTTCATTTTATATTTTGTTCTTTAACCTGCTCCTTTGTATACCCCCCCCCCCAATGACCCATGCCCCCTCTACTTTATGGCCTTTATTATTTTTTGTCTTAGAAATTTTAGATTCATTTATTTCAACACTTCTGTTACGACATCCTGTTTTTTATGCTTCTTGATTGCTTGTTTTTCATTTATATATTTTCTAGACAGTAATCTGTATCTTGTTGCTGTATTTTTATCAATATTCAAACTAGATGACATAAACGATGCAGATACTTTGTCTAGAAATAAATACAAAATGTGTAATTGAATGTTTAAGGGAAATTTTAACTTACTAAAGACAGTATTCTTCAATGGAGATACAGTTCTTCTACATTTATAATATTGGCATACATATAATTTTCGTTTATAGTTTATTCTTACACTTTTGTCACAATGTATGCATGTATCATATTTATTGACATAACTGTTTCTATTAAATATATAAGAGCGTCGTCTTTGTTTTGAAAATTTTTTTTTGTAAAGACTTATATGAATCTATAAACATATATCTTAAGCGTAATTTATATATACCAGAAAATTCATTTTTTTCCAATCAGTAAAAATATATCAGGAGTTTAAAAACAACCTGAAAGCTATATACAGATACATCCTCGCATGCGTCAATAAAAGAGTTCTTAATGTAAGGTGTTACGCATCTTACAAGAAGATCAAAGGGGGCATCAATGAAGTAAGAGCTACTGTTGTTGGGGTTGAGTTGAAAATCAATGAAGTTGGTCTCCAAATTTTTTGAAGAGGATGACTCAGTGCTGGAAATACTATCGCATAAGCGAGTAACATCAGCAGAGGCCTCGTCCATCATCACAAAATCATCATCATTTATGTCAAAAGAGAAAAGATAAGAACTGTCAGTTGATACAGACAATTTATCTTCATGTACTCCTTCTGGTTGATTACACAAAAGACGCTCAAAACCATTTGGAATGTCTTTTTTGATATCCTCAGCTGTGACATCTCTTCTGTCAGAATCAATTACTACAGAAAAAAAAGTTGTTTGCTTCACTATTTCACCAAAAGACAGATCTTCTTCACACTTGATGGCCTCACTCACCATAATCTCCAAATCTCCGTCATTTGCTTCATCAATCAAACCCTCTTCTTCATTGTCATTCAATTCAACTGAAACCATCTTTTGCTTTAACTAATGGATTTGATTTCATCAAAGTATCTTCTTTCTGATTCTTCTTGCTTCTTTTTCTCTTGATTAATTTGCAATTTTTCGCTACCAAAAAGAGCCTCAGAATTGTCAGGTGCACGACTATCGTTGTCTTTATACTAGTGTACAAGTCTCTTGTTTGCCCTATGGCGTTTTTTTGCTTCCATAAAAAGGTGCAATGCCAAGCTCATAGTAGTTCTTCAAAGAATCAAGGCTATCTTTTGATACTTGAAGCAATTGTCTTGCTGCAAGGGGCATAGGCAATTTTGCATTGATCGTTGCGTACAGTATGCTATGAAGAAATTCGACAGTGTTGGATGTTCTCATAGGATGAGAAGCTAAAGCAGGCTTCATCCCAGAGTCATACCTGAAAATCATGCTACTAACGGAGGGCTAAAGCCACTATGACAACCATCTTCGACAGCCAGAAAACTTCAGAGCTTGGAGCTGCAACAGCATGGTTGCTTATAACTCTTTGAACGCTTTGCATCCAATGCATGTAACTGCCCTTCAAAAAACCAAGAGTTTCAGTCATTTGTTCAGAAGAACCGCTACCATCAGCACTATTGTTGAAATAGAAATGAAAGGCATGCATGAATCCTAGCCGTTGGGCAGCGGAAAATTCCATAATCTTACCAAGGAATTGGTACTTATTGATCTTCATTTGCTTGAAAAGCTGAATGAAGTACTCAGCAAAGTTGTAAGCTTCCAAATCGCCAATAATTGCTTGAAAAAAAAACAATGTTACGACGAAATTAGGGGACGTAAATGACTGAGGAACAGAGGTATTTTTTGCTATCAAAAACCTCCTTGTAAGTGACACTGGCGACGATTGGCTGGGTAGCCAAAAGGAGATTGCATACCGGATGTCAGGAGGTGAGAAAGAAAGGAAAACATCTTTTTCATTGATAACTTGTGCATAGGTAATAAAGCCATCAAATTCTTTTCTAACCTTGGTAAATTCTCCAAGAAACTCGCTGCTCTTGCTGAAATTGAGTCGCGCTCTGATCTTGTTCATTTCATATTTGACTCTATCTAGGTTTGAAAGAACAGGATCAACATTTCTGGCAGCACCAATTGTTTCTCCAGTGCGAGATGAGATGCCAGTTGTCATTTCTTTAGGTTGGCCAAAGGATCTTGCTTAATTTTTTTCATGAATTCCTTTGCATCATCGTCAGACAAATGAATTCGCTTATACCTTCCATGTGAATATACGTCTTTGCACTTAACAGTGCAAGTGTTTTTTCTATTGTATAATCGAAGTACATGTCGTGCTTGACTCTGACAGAACAGTGCTTGTGTTGCATTAATCCTTTACAATGCAAGCATTGCTGCTTTTGGATCAATTGAGTACTGCTTCTTGGTCTCATGCCCTTGTTCACAAATGAACAGAGCTCATTTGTACAGTATGCGGCACCTAAACATTTTTTGCTTCTGACAGGGAGGCCTTATCTAAAGACCAACCAATATCAAGATTACAAGCAGAGAAATTATCTAGAACAGCACTTTCATTCTGAACTTCGAACAATTCTTGATATTCCCCGTTGGGAGACTGAATTCTATAGTAGTTTCGAATCCTTGAATTCAACACCATTAGTGCCGAGATCATTAACATCGAGATGAGGTTCTACATAAATCTCGGGATATCGAATGGGGCCGTCGTTAAGGAAAGAGCAAGCATGAACTTTTGGGTGTTGGGCCTTGAGTTCTTGCAGACATTGAATATCAGTATACTATGCTTTAACCTTCATGATATCGAAGAGAAAGGCATTCTTAGATCTGGACGATCTGTAGATTCTGGACTCTACTTTACTTAATGATTTCGAATCGTCAGGGTGGGGGTCATTTACGTCCTTGTGCATCAAGGACACTCGAGTCTTCGCAGCTACTACCTGAGCATAAGATCGTGGCTTGCTGTTGTTTTTAGGCTTGGAAGCCGTTTCAGGCTCTGCTGCCCGAGAAAAGTGTTGGGAATTGGAAAGAGCCGTGAGTTGGATCAGACCTACATTGGCTCATTCCAAAAATTCTCGATCGAGTTTTGCTTTTTTCTTCTTCACGGACCTCCGTGGATCCCCCCCCCCATCGGTCAAAAAATAAATTTCACAGAACAGCGATTCCTTCGCTCAAAAAAATATGTTTAAAATGAAAAAAGGAGCCATTTTAGTAGTCTAGTTGTCAAGTAATGGTCTATCAAAGAATGCTGAATTTAAGCTGTATTTTGAGCAATTTTGCTATGAATGGTATATAAAACCTGCTAAATACAAAACCATAAAACGTATTATATGCTATCTAGTGTATCAAAGAACATAGAAAAATATAAATATATGCATCTTACTACAAATGTACCATATATGTTGATAAACATGGTTTGTAGGTATTTATAAATAGGCTTTATATCTCCTTTTTATGCCCACTCTTTAATAGAGAAAATGCATTTATTTCAAAACTCACCATGCTCTTTGTACGATTTAATCAAACCAGCAGCACTATACGCTAAAAAGCATTAATTTATCAAACGTATATCTTAGGAAGAACCTAACAAACACTCATTTGGTAGAGCACTGCCACGATGGGCTTTGTTCATAACTTCAGACCCGATTGAGTAGCTAAGCAAGGTATGGAAATAGGTCTCGGAGAGAAAGAAAAGACAGTGTAAGTGATTTTATTATGTAATCGGACAAGATCATTGTTTTTGTCTTTAATGACTTGAAGTATCATGTTGAGATGAGCTTCTGTTGCCTAATCTTTGTTCAGCCTCAGGTGTACTCAGATAAGAAGCTATTGAAGTGCCAACTTGAGCTACCGAATTATAAATTGCATCGCTTGTCTGATACAAATAGCTCATCCAACCAGAATTAGAAGAGGGAGAACCTGCGTAGGCTGTAGACGCATTTTTGATAGGCTTCATGATAAGTGTACTACTGGGACATAACTTTAGTTCCAATAATGTACGCTGTTCATCCCCGATATCAAAGTTTCTATTTGGGAATTGAACAAAGAGTTTGAAAGGCATATCGCCGTCTGTTCTTGTCTAAGGCATTTGTTTTAATAAAGTAGCAAAAAAGAAATCAACTTACTGCTTCAATCCACTGGCAGACATGGGCAAGTGTATTAGAAGCTGTTACTGATAAGTAAAAAAAAAAAATGTATGTAAATGTATCTGTATTTCTTACAAGAGAATCGATGTTTCAAACTTGAGCCATCCAATTGCTTTATATTCAAGTTAGCAAAGTGATGCAAACTAAGTAAAAGAGTTATTACTTTTATCCAAGCTCTTGTTATATCATTTTACCCAGATGAAGAAACAGTTTTTTGAATGGGCGTTTCTTCTTTTGCTTTGTTTTGTAGTCGCTCCTTCTCTGTCTTTCTGGCAGCTTGTTGGTTTTCTCTGTCTTTTGCAATCTGTTCCTTGACTCTTTTTCTGTATTCTTCTTCTTCTTTCTTTTCCTTCTTCTTTTTTTCAAGCATTATTTTATTTTGCTTTTCTTGTAAGCTCTCTCGAGTTTCTTGGGCTAATTTGCCATCTTCTCTTCTTTTTATTTCTCTTTCTCGTGCTTGCTAAAATAGAAAAAACAATTAGCACAAAAGAACAAGCATGAGACTTTATTACCAAATTCTCTTGTTCAGCACGCTTCTTTTTGATTTCTTCTAGTTTTGTCTTTGCACTATGTTCATGTAAGAATGAATGATAAAACAAAGCATGTAGAGATAGATGTATTACTCTGATTTAGGACTAGCTGCCTGCAATTTGTTGATAATGTCTTGACTTCTCATGTCTTGAGTACCAAAATCTTTGATGGTGCCTTGTCTATACAGAAAATTAGTCTTGATTTGTTGAGAAAGTTGATTATACGCTATAAAATACACAATTGGGACTCGATATATTGGGTCTAGGGTTAGAATGAACACAATGAGTAAACGATGACAGGCATCTACGTTGAGTTTTTACACAATTGACCAAACATTTTAGCATCTTCTGAGTCTTTTTTCAACTTTAATGCTATTGCCTTTCTCTTTAGCAGATCGAGAAGCTAGATGAGACAGATGTAAGTCTATTGCTCAAATGAACGAGCTTGTACCTCGGCATTTTGAAATGTCGCGTCAAGATGTTTACTATGCTCCGAATCATCTACAGTTGATAAATACACTGTTATTCCAAAAGAAGCCTACCATATATATAGACAAGGAACACAAGGTTTCTCTCGTTTACTTGTTTAACAGCTTCCACCACAGGTCCTGAAAACCAAATATATGTCATTTTATAAGAAAAGAAAAGTACTTTATCATGCAAAAAGTTGATTTATCTGCGAAATTTACCGGAGAGTAGTACAATATGTTCGCCCTGTTATTGACTCTAACGTTGATCTCATCGCTTGGCCTATTTGTATTCTTATTAATTCTTTGCTTGGCAATGCAACTATTATAATCATTGTGTCAAGCAAATATCTAAATCCTTCCCTGTGTCAAAAATCAATGCATTGGCTTAAAGATAGTGTAAAAAAAGCATTTATATAATAAATATACACATAAAACATTGTTCATTTGATAAACAATGGTTTTAGAATTCATCGGCATCATCTAATTCATCTGCTTCGTCAATCAAGTGCTCCTCCGAGCCATCATAATCTTGCAATAATACGTCGGTTTGCTCATCCTGTCCCAAAGCAGTGTAACCAGAACCACGTCTTCTTGACATAAAAGAAGGTAAACGCCAATTACCAAAGTTCAAGTCAGATAGAGATCTTGGTATTTCAATACGAGACAGGAGGCTGATAATAGCTACTGGAACCACAAAAGCAGCAGCAACGATCTTGGTGACAATAGGACTAGATAAAATGTTGGATCCCATTTGTTGTGTGCCATCAGGAAGTCGAATGCGACTAATCATTCGTTAGTTGTTTGATCTACTAGCTAATTAAAATGAACTTACCCAAAGGAGCCACCGCGTTTGCGATAATGCAAGATGGCAAACACAAGTCCAGCAGCAATAATGGGAGCAAAGATGATTGCAACCCAACCATGTCCTGAGCGACTAGCCCCAGGGCACCACATTTGCTCAGCACCAATCTTATCAAGTTCTTTACCCCCTTCACATGTAGAGGCTGCAATCTTACGATAACTATGCATGACAATAAGCATGAGTTTACTTTCTAGACATTCCTCGTTAGCTTACCCTGTAGGTGTATAATAATAATCTCTTGAACCATCGCAAGTGGGTACCAAAGGAGAAAGACCAGGGACTAGTACACATCTGTTGTTGGCATCACGAACATAGTTGAAATCACTGTAACACGTTAGTTTCTAGTCATTACTCTCTTATGCTTACCATTCATAATCTTCTTCAGTACAGCTGCAGTTGCGAACGATCTCTCTAGGCTGAACTAATTTTTCACCAATATAGCAATCGCGGTCTTGAATACGACGGAAATATTGTGTTTCTCTACCAAACAAACACTTTTCACCACGCGTGTCTTCAGGACTCCATAACTCGAAGTCATCATCATTAGGATGATCCAAGTCTAGTTTACATTTGGTAGGGTGCAAAGAACTAAAGTCCAAATGATAGGCAGTTGTCTTGCCATTCTTTGTGCCAAACAAGACATATTTTTGACTTGTGCCATCAGGTTGAGTAATGATATCTTCAATCAAGACCTTTTCACCCCGCTTGGCAAACTCAAATGTATTCCATGTAAGGCCTTCATTTATAGTGTACTTGACAGTATTGGTGGGTTGTTCATTATCAACCAAAATTAATAAAGCACCTTGATCAGCAAATTCCCATAAATGAGCACCTTTTGCGATCTCGTTCCATGTTTTACCAGCATCGCGCGTCAAAAACATATCACCATCACGATAAGCTGTCAAACTAGAGCCCACATTACCTACACCAACCATCAAACCAACAGCGCTTGATAAACTAAACAAGTCTCTCGAGTTTTGACGTTCAGAATAACAATGCAAATGCAACCCGCAATCAGATCCTTGACAGTTATAGGATTGACCCAAACTATCCTTGGAAGGAGGAGTGATGCTAGTCCAGTGACCACCTGCATCGGCTGTTTTACGAGTAACAAGTGTCTTGGGATCACCCTTATTGGCTTGTCCAGGATTACTGACAATGTTGGCGATAGCAATACCTTCAATACCTTGCATCTTCTCAAAATCAACAATACCCATTTCATTGCGGTTGGCATTTTCAATGGAAGTGACATAATAAGTACCGTTCGAGTTGGATGTAAAGATAGTACCATATTCGCTACCTCTGTGTGTATTTGTGGAGACATGAATCCATAAGGAATTGACAGACTCCATAATAGTAAATGCTTCAGGTGCCAAATCAAAAGAGGCAGGGAAAGAAGCAGGAGCAAAAGTGACGCCATCCATACTGACATGCAAGCGAAGGTTAGCACCACCGTTTCTCGCAGCAGCAACCACCATAAATTTGCCAAAGACAGTAATACCCACAATATCTTCAAAAATGACACGCTTGTCATGGAAATAGTTTTGAGAAGAAATCAATTGAACTGGGTTACCAAACAGTGCAAGTTGATTTCCAGATTGTTCACGATATTGTTCACAATAAATAGAATTGCGGTGTGTTTGCTGAATCGCGCCTTCTCGGCCCCAGATACAGTTACGCATGTAAGTACCCAAAGAAGCCCAAGAGCGACCATTGTCGCGAGAGTAAAAGGCTTCAGAATGACAGTCAGAAGCAAGGCCTTCACAGTTCTTTTCACCCATGTAAAGTACATAATCGCGGTCATCATTGTGGAAGTTCATGATGTTGCCTTGAAGATGGATCAAGGGTGGAAGAGGAGCTCTGATTTCATCAAAGCTAGAAGCCTTATCATTGGTGACAAAATGTGTTGTACCCTCAGTGATAAAGAATGCGATTTGCTCAAAGTGTGGATTTTGGTAAATCGAGACAATCTTGTGGCCAGTAAACAATTCCTTCCAGCTAAAGCCATCATTATCGCTCTTCCAAACTTTGCCATCCATAGTTCGAACAACCACACGATCTGTGTCTGTAAAGTAAATGTAATCGACCACACGAGAAGTAAACTCGGTTTGGCTAGCAAGAACACCCCCCGTCTCACCACAAGGCCATTCCTTTTGATCTTCAAGATTGAGACCACCTGAACAAGTACTTTTCGTATTCTTCTTGTAGCCAGAGCGACCTCTAAATGTGCTGCCAACAGGACACTTAGATGGTCTGTCAGGATGACGACCCTTAAAGACACATTCATTCTTGTCGTTACGCCAGAAACCAAACTCACATTCAAAATCAATATCACGGCATTCACAGTTTTCAGTCACCACTTCAGGCTCTTGGAATTGAGCACCAACAACGCAAGCACGGTCCTTCTTACGACGCCAGTGAGCTGTCTTTTTACCCAACAAACAAGCATCATCACCATCATCGTCCTTGGCGATCCAACGCTCAAAATCGCTCTTTTCAATATTGTTCTTGTCAATCACACATTTACGCTGTTGGGTGCCTGAAAAGTCAACTGTGATAATGACTTGAGATCGTTCAAGACCACGCGTATGACCAATAATGATGAACTTGAGTGTAGAAGACTTGGGATCTGTGGTCAACGTGGTCACACGTACTTTTTGCTCATGGAACTGATAATAATGCCATGTTTCGCCTTGATCCCAAGAATACAAGAGTTCATTGGTAGGTGTTTCATCACTCACCAAGACCAAAATAGAGCCTTGATCGCCAAACTCATATAAGTGTTCGCCTTGTTGGATCATGGTCCAAGTATGTCCACCATCCCGTGTCAAGAATGTATCACTTTCCGTGTAAGCATTTAAAGAAGCCCCGACATTACCTACACCCATAGCAAGACCAGGAGCACCACTTGAAGAAAAGATAGCACCAGGACCATGGATATCGGTACGGCTATGAAGGTTGAGTGAGCACTCTTTACTGGCACAATCAAATTCATTAGGAGGAGAGAGAGCTTGCCAACTTCCTCCGTCGTCCCAACTGATCATAGTTCGAACTTTCTTGCTTGTACCAGATCCGACCAGTTCATCCGCATTCCAGACTTGATTGGCCAAAATGATACCATCCACACTTTGAAACTTTTCAAAATCGACAAAGCCGGTACCATCACCGTTTGTGTTGTCAAGAGACAAGTGGTAAAAAGTACCGTTTTCGTTGGACTTGTAAAGAGCACCGTAAGCTGTTCCGAATCCTGTCGATTTAAAAATATTTAACAAGATGGCATGTGTTGTGGATTGCAACACAGTAAATGTCTATACATAAGACATTAGAGACACCTATCATCATAGTATTTGTACTTACGTTGCGATTAATGTATTGATCAGGTGGGAATTGAGCCTCAGCAAACGTCTTTCCATTAATGCTGACAAAGAGTGTAAGATCACCACGGTTACTTGTGGCAACGGCCATGAAATCTTCCACAACAAAGAACTCAACAACATGATCAAAGTAAGTTTCCACAGAATTTCCCCAATCTGTAGTGCGTACAAGTCGCACATTCTCACCGATTTGCTTCTTATCGTGAGCAGAGCAGAAAATGGTTTCCTTTTCAATTTCGTATTTGGAATCACGGCCAAAAATACACTTTTCAACGTACATGTCGAGCGATTTCCAGCTACGTCCATGGTCTCTTGAGATAAAAGCTTCAGAATGAGGTTCAGGATCATTGGTTTGACCAACAAACAAGAGCCAGTCTCTTTCTTGAGGATGGAAATCCAACACATTGTTGGATTGACGACTGGGGGCAATAGGTAACTTGATAGTGTGCCAGTTAGTACCTTGGTCTTCTGTCAAATGAATACCGTCTTCTAAAAATGCGTAAGCACGGTTATTGTCAAATTCATGCAAGACAACGTTTGTCACACGGTTTCCTTTCAAGACAGACTCCCACTTGGTGCCTTGGTTGCCAGATCGCCATAATTCACCATTTTGAAGACGAACCAAGACAGCTTCAGAGTCACGGAAATAGATGAACTGCTCAATCTCTTCGTCAAACACAACCATGTTACTATAGATGGTATCGCTTGAGGGCTTAGCTGAAATATCACCAGGCACAGGTCGACGGATAGCATCTGCTGTATTTTCACTGCACTTACGCATCTTGGGTTCATCAAGAGGCGTGTTGTTACCCAAAACACAAGTATTACCGGGAATCAGACGATATCCGCTGGATGCAGGATACGTATCATCTTGAGACTTGCAAAGGTGATTGGGAATGTGATCAGGGCCGATACGAGTACATGAGCCATCTGGATTGCGAAGGAAGTTGTAGTCACATTCATAATCGGCTCGAGTACAAGCACAATCCTTTAATTCGACCACAGGATCTTGGTATTCACGTCCGACATAACATTGGCTGTTGGCTTTACGACGATAAAAGATTTGTTCATGACCCATAAGACAGTCTGGTCCATCTGTAATGTCGCGAGCTACAAACTTTTCAAAATCACTTCTGCTTTCGTCGCTTGTATTGAGTTCACATTGACGAGAAAAGATGTTCGCAAAGTCAAGTTGAATAGCTTGGACTTTGGTATCAGAAGAAGACCGTACAGAACTACCGACCAACAAAAAGTTACGAGAAGAGGATTCTGGATCTGTTGTAAGCATTCTAGCACGAATAGAGATACCAAGGTCGAGTTTTTCCCTGTTTTAGTATGAGTATAAAATGCATATACCTTGTTTCAACCTACCATGTCTCACCACGGTCCTTACTCCACCAAATGTGATCTGTATCTTTCTCATCATCTACAATAATCAACAAGGTGCCTTGGTCGCCAAATTCATACTTGTGAGCCCCTTCTCGTATCATCTTCCAAGTGAGACCATAATCAGTAGACAAGAAAGTATCGCATTCATCGTATTCTAAAAGACTGCTTCCATAATTACCAACACCCATCATGACACCGATAGCAGATTCAGCAGAGGACACTTGGCCATAGTTATGATTTGAAGTGACAGAGTGTAAATGAAGAGAACAGTCTCTTTCGTTACATCGCATAGCGTTTCCATTCATATCTTTGACATTTGTGAGTTCTTTCCAACTAGCACCATCATCAAAACTCATACGCGTACGGACATCTTTGCTGGCACTTTGTGATTCAACATCTTTTGGATTCACAATCACATTGGCAATCAAAATACCCTCGACACCTTGGATGCGCTCAAAGTCAATATAGCCCATACCATTTCTGTTGGTGTGCTCCAAACTCTTGACGAAATAAGTACCATTTGAGTTGGATTTATACATAGAACCAAACTGATTAGTACCACCACCCAGTACATCTACCATTAAAGCAGGGCCAGGTCCTTCAATGATCGTGAATGACTTTTCATGTAAATTAGCGCCATCAGGGAAAACCGCTTCATGCCAGTTCTCGCCATCCAATGAAATATAGAAAACCATGTCGGGCTTATTGGGTGATGGTTTCACTACAGCAATAATGTAACGGTTGATAGTGCTAACCGCAATGACACCCTTGATTTCTTTTCCGGTGTTGAAATCAACTACTTTTTCTGTTCGGAAAAAGTCTTCTGTCTGGATCAACCGAAGTTCGTCGGGATTCAAGGTGCTTGTGAAACCAGTCTTTTGAGGTGACTCAACACACATGATCTCCTTTGTTGGTGCGTTATCAAACTGTGAACTAGACACACTCCAGATGCAAGAGGTAGTATGTGTACGTAACAGAGTAAGTTCCTCAAAATTGTTGAGCGTGTAATGGGTCTGTGCTTGATCAATACAGGTAGATGTACGTTATTACTTACTTCTTCATGACAATCGACACCGGTCCATGATCCCAGCTTGCATCGGAAACCGTTAAATAAGATATAGCTAGGACGATCAGCATGAAAAGATAAGTGAGGACTAACAGCTGCGGGCTCAACGGGTGTCGAAAATTCTTGCCAAGTTTTTCCTTTATCTGTTGTCTTCCAGTGTCTTCTGCTTTTACCTAAAACATAAGCCTACATATTTTTAGTCTCTTATTCATCAAAACATCTGGATTTACCCTGTTGTTATCAAAAGGATGTTCGTACAAGAAGCTGGCTTCATCCTGCGCAATATCATTCACTTTGTTCCATTGTTTTCCTTGGTTTTCTGAACGGTAAAGGGTATGTGAAGTGGAATCAAGCCAAAGAATAACCTACCCAATGATATTTATCAGTGTGTGTATGTATATAGATATCAACTACTTTACTTGTGAATCCTTAAAATAAAAAAACTTGTTGGGTGTTCTCTCAAATCCTGTTTTTTGAACAGTTTGAGCCAAAACTCCTTCCCATAACGTCAATAAGAAGATGAATAAATACAAGAGAGACAGACCCCTCCTTGAGGTCTGCCATAAAATTATCATTGCCTAAAGATAGAGAAGAAAAGCTCCTTGTCGTGTAATTATTTAAACAAATAAAAAGGGGGGAAAGGGTCGCGTTTATCTTTTACAAGAATTAAAACGCATACTAGGCACTATACACTTTACCTCTTTATTGTTTTTCCAACAGAAGTTTCTTTACTTGTTGTGAAGAACTTGCAAGAAAGAGAAGAAAAAAGAGAGTGAAAGAAGGAAATAAAAAAACCGTGAATTTCACGTCATTGAGCCGGAGTTAATTTCTTGCCCAGTTTATAGCGAAAACTTCCTTTTTTGATACAAATTCAAAGCCCAAAAGAGCATGAATTGTGTTCAAAAGATGATCTAGGTCAATACAATGCTTGAAAACAGAATTTATCAACAGGTTCTTTTTAATCTCAGTATGAGTTCCATGCAGGTAGTAGAAGGTTTTAAGCATCAATATATACAAAAAGAAAGAAAGAGCGTTTGGCAGCTCTAAAGAAAAACACTGTAAAAAAGATAGAGAATTTTACAAAAGACATTGTCAAGCACGATGTGTGCCAAAAAAAAAAGCCAATCAAATCATGTTACAGTATATACAATAGCTTAGTCGAGATAATCTAATAACGATGTGCTTGTACCCAAAGACCAAAATGAGCACTAATTGGAGAAACACGTCGCTTCTTAACACTGTCTCCAACTAAATGGTCTATAAAAGAACACCTTGGGAATTAAAATATAAATGTTGGCCACTGTTATGTGTAATTGCAAGACTAGATCTTGTACAGAATTTTTTTGATGATGATAACAGTAGCCATTTAAAGGAAAAGATACAAACAAGGAAATGATCTTTTGGTCATTTTATTGAGGCCTTTTGTTCAATATGTGTAACAACACATGATACTTGTAAAAGGAAATCACAACAAAGACTTGCGCGTTAAAATCTTTTTCTTTCTCTCTCTTTTTTTTGTGCTTGTGAAATAGATAACTTATGGCTCAACCACCGCCCAATTCAGTGCCCACAGGACAACCTTCACCATCAATACCAAATCAAGCTAATACCCAACCACCACCACCAACACAGCAACCACAACAACAAGCAGCAGGATTGTACGGATATCCCGAACCTCAAGGAGGTATATTTGATATGGTGAAGCGTAAGATTCGAGAAGCTGCTGGATATCGAACAGTCATGGATCCAATGGCCATGAGTCGATATGGAGCTATGATGCCAATGATGCCTCCAATGATGACTAACACTATGCCAAATATCATGATGGCTCAACCCAACATGATGATGGATGACATGATGAATGCTCAACCTTATCATTTGCTTTCACAGCAACAACAGCAACTTCAACAATTACCTCCACATCAACAACAGCAAGCATTATTGATGGCTATGATGATGATGAACCCTCAAATAGCCAACGGTGCTATGACGCCTGGTCTTGTTACACCTGGAAATGGGCCTTATACTCAACAGATGAACCCAATGTATCAACAGTACATGATGAATGGTGGATTAACACTGGGAAACAATATGATGATGCCAGGAAATAACATGTTACAACAACAACAGCAAATGATGATGCATCCTTATTTACAGCAACAACAACAACAACAACAACAACAACAACAACAACAGCAGCAAATGATGATGATGTACGGTGGCCAACAGCCAGGATTTATGCCCAGTTATAGTGGTGTCAATCATGGTTATTATGGTAACTATGATCAACCAAACTATTACTATGGCAACGGTGCTACGCCCTATGCTTCTACAGGTTATCAGCGTGGTATGATGGACCCTTACAGTCCCTATGGTGATCCTTATGATATGTATGCGTCTAAACGAGGTTATTTCTAAACTATCTTTGTAAACAAAGTTGTATCATGTTTATTGTTATCAAAGAGATGACGGCATGATCGGATACTCAAATTAAAGTAACACGCAAAGCATAAATGAAGCATATCTTCTTTTTCTTCCTCCCCCCCCTTTTTTTTCTTTTTCTTTTCTATATGGATTCTCAACTTATTAAAACAGGTAATAGATTTTTGTACAAGTTCACTTATCGAGTGAAATAGTCAACAAGCTACAAGACGCTTTTGCAACAGTAGGTGTTCATAACCCAGTTGACTTGCCTCAAATTACCGTTATTGGTTCCCAATCCAGTGGTAAAAGTTCAGTCTTGGAAAACATTGTAGGTAGAGACTTTTTACCAAGAGGTACTGGTATTGTGACGCGTCGACCTTTAGTAAGTAGTACAGCCTAGATCACTATCGTCTGATATCATTTAGATTCTTCAACTTATTAATCGGGCTCCTACCTCATCGGGTACTAAAAAGGAAGAAAGTGATGTACCATCCTCAGATGCACAAGAGAACCCTGACGAATGGGGTGAATTCCTTCACTTGCCAGGCCAAAAATTCTATAACTTCAACAAGATTCGAGAGGAAATCATCAAGGATACCGAACTCAAAACAGGCAAAAATGTTGGCATTTCACCTCAGCCTATCAATCTACGCATCTTTTCACCTCATGTACTCACACTCACATTGATTGATTTGCCTGGTTTGACCAAAGTGCCTGTGGGTGATCAGCCCAAGGACATTGAGAAGCAAATCCGCGACATGATCCTCAAGTATGTGACCAAGCCAAATGCGATCATCTTGGCAGTGACTGCTGCTAATACTGACTTGGCAAACTCGGACGGTCTTCAATTGGCACGTGAAGTGGATCCTGAGGGATTGCGTACCATTGGTGTATTGACCAAGGTGGATTTGATGGATCAAGGGACCGATGTGATTGATATCTTGGCAGGTCGAGTTATTCCCTTAAGATTGGGTTATGTGCCTGTGGTCAATCGTGGTCAAAGAGATGTCGAGACAAAGAAATCCATTTCGAAAGCTTTAAGTGCTGAACGAGAATTCTTTGAAAACCATGCTTCTTATAGAAGTAAGGCTCAATATTGTGGTACACCTTTCTTGGCCCGTAAACTGAATATGGTAAGCAAAGAAATTTGAATGACATTCATCTAAATGATGGTAGATTTTAATGCACCATATTCGCAATACACTTCCTGAAATCAAGGCTAAAATCCAATCTGCTTTAACAAAATACCAACAAGAACTACTGCAATTAGGCGATCCTTTAAACGATGGCTCCTCTTCAGGCCAAGCTAACCTTGTGCTCAACATCATTACCGAGTTTTGTACAGAGTTCAGAACGATCATTGACGGCAATTCAAATGATTTGACCAGTTTTGAATTGTCGGGTGGTGCTCGTATTAGTTTTGTGTTTCATGAGCTATACTCAAATGGTGTCAAGAGTGTAGATCCTTTAGATCAGATCAAAGATATAGATATTCGTACCATTCTTTACAATTCATCTGGTTCTTCGCCTGCTTTGTTTGTAGCCACGACTGCTTTTGAAGTAATTATTAAGAAGCAAATCAAGCGCCTTGAAGAACCCAGTATCAAGTGTATTAACATGGTCTATGATGAATTGGTCCGTATTCTAAGTCAATTGCTAAACAAGCAATTCTTTAAGCGCTTTCCTGCTCTTAAAGAACGATTTTATCAGGTAGTTTTGTCATTTTTTAAGAAAGCATTGACGCCTACCAGCAAACTTGTCACTGACCTTGTCTCGTAAGTGCTTTTCTTTTTTCTTTTTTTTTTTTTTGTGAATAGGTAACTTATGATGTTAGTATGGAAGCTTGTTATATCAATACGGCTCATCCTGATTTCTTGAGCGGTCATCAGGCAATCGCTATTGTGAATGAACGGTTACAAGTCAAGAACCAACCCAACCAAATTTCCGATAAAGCCCATAGTACACTCAACAGTAAACAACAACAACAACAGCAGCAGCAACAACAACAACAACAACAACAACAAGCTCTTCAATCAAATCATCATTCAAGTTCTAATGTGGATAGTGATAGTAGCGGCTCTTTCTTCGGCAGTTTCTTTTCTGGACCAAAGAAGCAAAAAAAGGCATCCGACGCCTTAATGGAAGCCGTAAGTAAAAATATGTTATACAGTCTATTGAAATCAACATCATAGCCTCCTGCTACATTAAAAGCCATGGGTGCACTCTCTGAGCGTGAATACATGGAGACTGAAGTCATCAAGCTCTTGATACTATCTTATTTCAATATTGTTAAGCGCACGATGATTGATATGGTTCCTAAAGCCATCATGCTCAACTTAGTAAGTCATGCCAAAGAAGAACTTCAAAGAGAACTGTTGTCCGAGTTGTACAAAGCTGAGGTCTTGAATGATTTGTTACAAGAATCCGAATTCACTCAACAAAGAAGAAAGGAGTGCAAAAAGATGATTGAAGCTTTACAAAAGGCAGATGAGATTGTTGGTTCTGTCTAAATAAATACCAGTGGACATCGGTCCTTTAAAACATTTGATCTGCCCTTTTTTTGTGACTTTTTTCAAACTTCTTTTTTTTTTTTCTCTTTTTTTTTTCTTTCCAATATAGGCGTAACTTTGTCTTTAAGCCTAGACATATCCATATTTTATGGCTAAACAAAACTTTAAACAACGTCGCCAAGGCAAATTTAAAAACAATGCTCCTAACCACAAAGTCAACAAACCAAAGAAGCCCGAACCTATCAACCACAGCATCAAAGGCCCATTGTTTGAAAAGTCAAAATTATCAAGTGCCTGGAAATTCAACCGAAAAATCGGTCCTGGCCTTGTCAATGGCCAAAACACTTGTTTTTTAAATTCGGTCTTGGCCTGCTTGACCTATACGCCTCCTTTGGCACAACATTTGCTGAAGCAAGAACATGGTCCTGTCTGCCACATCGAAGGATTTTGTGCCTTGTGCTCGATGGAAAAGCACGCTGTGCGTTGTTTAAAGGACGACAAGAGTTATGCTAAAGGAGCTGCTATTCTTCCTCGTTACTTTACGAGCAATTTAAGAGGTAAACTATTGTTCTTATCAATTTTTGTTGCTAATGTTCCATATAAGCTATTTCAAAAACATTGCGTCTCGGAAGACAAGAAGACGCTCATGAACTTTACATGTTTTTATTGTCTGCTTTTCAAAAAGCGTCCATTCAGGGATTAGGGTAACATCTTTGTTCATGCTAAGCCACTCTTATTGACATGAATTTTATAGAAAGTTACCACCCAAAGTGGAAGAGACAGCTCTGATCTACCAAATCTTTGGTGGTAAACTTCGATCTCAAGTCAAGTGTTACAGCTGTAAAGCCACTTCCAACAATTACGAAGCCTGTCTTGATCTCAGTGTCGATCTTGGCAACAAGGCCAATTCGATCGAATCAGCACTTGACAACTTTACTAAAATCGATGTGATTGGCAATGATGATCCTAGCAACCGATATAAATGTGATGCGTAAGTCTTACCATGGCATTGACATCAAGCTCATCATCTATAGTTGTAAGCAAATGGTCAAAGCAGGCAAACAAATGACCATTGATGAACTTCCCATGATGCTCACGATCCATTTAAAGCGTTTTGCTTTTGATCTTCAACGTGGCTATATGCGCAAGATCAATACAGATGTTCAATTTCCTCAAGCGCTCAATATGGCACCTTATGTTAGCCAAGAAAAAAAGGTCAAGGAAGCCAACTATAGATTATATGCCGTCCTTGTTCATTTTGGTCATGGATGTGATTCTGGGCACTACATTGCTTATGTCAAAGCACCGAATGGTCAATGGTACCTCATGGACGATGAAGATGTGACGCCTGTCTCGATCAAGCAAGTGTTATCGCAAAAGGCCTATATGCTCTTTTATCAACAAGAATCGCCTATTCAAGTCACATCATCACCACCTCTTGTGCCTGTCAAAGAAGAAATCAGTGCCAAGAAGGTATTGGTGACGCCTGAAACTAAGAAGCCTACAGAAAAGAGAAGAGTTCAACTTATTGAACCTACGGTTGAATCAGACAATCCTCGTGCATGGACAGTTCAATCGTCTGAAAAGCCCCGACGATCCATGCGTGGCAATTTATCTCCTCCTACCTTCAGTGCTAATGTCAGCGATGATAGCATTTGGGCCATTACAAGTTATGAAGAATTCAAACGTAAACAAAAAGCCAACAAAAGACGTGTCTTTAGAGTCAAGTTGGAATCCAAAAAATCACCATGGCATGTTTCTCCTTATTAAAAAAAGAAAAAAAAGTATAATATGATTTGTAAATATACCTTTTCCTTTTTTTTTTCTTTAATAAAACACTACAAAAAAAAAAGAGACACACGCATGTATTATATATACATTTTCTTTAATCCTTTTGTTTCTATGCTTTTACAAATCATCACGAACTTTGAAACCAGGACCATAAGGTTCAGAATTCAATGAAGTATAGACACCAGGAGCATATTCACAAGTATGACGACCACTTTGAGGACCAGGTGTGACAGGCTTACCGGCCTTCAAGTTTTCCAAAAGTTTGACAGTTGTTTCTGGTGTCAAGTCTTCCTATAGAAATCATCAATCATTGATCATTCAAATAAAAAAGATACTTACGTAGTAATCATCATTCACAGCCATGACAGGAGCATTCACACATGCACCAGCACATTCAACTTCGACCAAAGTGAATTTGCCATCCTTGGTAGTCTCACCAACCTCAATACCGAGATTTTCCTTGATGGTATCCAAGATCTTTGTAGAGCCACAACCACCCAATTGACAAGGAGTTGTTGTGCAGAGTTGAAGGAAATGTTTGCCTACTGGTTGACGGTTGTACATGGTGTAGAAAGTAGCTACTTCATAAACACGCATAGGAGGCACTTCCAAGAGACGAGCAACTTCGTTCATAACAGAGATAGAAGTGAAGCCATGTTGTCTTTGACCAAGATCTAAAAGAGGCATGATGGCAGCCTTTTTGTACTGTTCAGGGTACTTTTTCAAAATTTCGCTAATGCGCTTCTTGTTCTCAGCATCAAATTCAAAAGGAATGTTGGGGTTGTTTTCAGGTGTGTCACGGTGCTGATCAAAAGTGTTAGTATATGCTTCATTGTGTATCTCTTTCTCTTACGACAAAAATAGCATCAGAGCGAGCAACAGGAGAAGTGTACAAGGTACGCTTGGCAAAGACGTTGCGTGCAACTGCAGCTTGACGAACAAGAGAACGCATAGAGTTCATTGTAAGAGAAGAGGGGGGTGAAGGTAATAAAAAGAAAAAAACACCCCCTCCCCACACAACATCCGCTGGATGAAAACCCAGCAATCGCTGCTTAACCGATGACAATAAAATTTTTTTGTGACGTCAAACATGAGTTCTCTTTCTTATATACATCGGAGATCTAAATCGAAATTATGCAAATAACAGTTTTTAGTCTTGTTTTTTATTAAGATGAACAGCATGCATCTTTTGATGTACTATGGCACCAAACTCATACATGCCCCAGGCAAGTATACCAGCACCCACAAAGAAAGCGGTGCGCATACCTAAAGTAAAACTACCCAAGAAGGGATAAGGCCAGTATCCATTCACAGATTGACAATACCAAGACCATACATAATAGAATGCAGCAAATCCATAAATAACACCTACATGACGATTGGATCGTTTAAACTCAACATCAAACGCCAAGAAATCAATCCATAAGAAGACAGCAGGAAACAAATGCAAAGTGAAATCTAAAAAGAGAGGAATACCAGGTATATCTTCAGGAATCAACAAGTGTGGGTCAAGTAGCATCATAGACCAATACAAGACACTGATTACACCTTCCAACTAAAAAAAAAAAAAAAAAAATAAGTAATCTATACTAAAATAAGCGTTGTCTTACAGGTGTAGCAATGTTCGTGACAGCTTCATGTATCGCTTGTATTGTATTTAGTATATAGGTGCCTGTATTTATTAGACTTACTTGAAGAGAACTTGGGAATAAAGTAACGCATGATTTTGAGTCCAAATGCAATGGTTGCTGTAGTTAAGCCAAGAATGGTTAAATACTGATATTGTCCACCAAAACCAAGGGCATAAGGATTATCAAATTCATTTGAGTGAATTCCTTTGAGTGCATAAATGTTGGAGACAAGTCCAACTGTATTGAAGATAAGACTTGCTTTTGAAGGTGACATATTGAATGAAGTAAGAAAAAAAAAAATAAACAAAACTAAGCTATCCGTGATCGGAATTCAATTATTTCCGCTTATTCAGCCAAGTGATGTGTATATGTGTGTGTGTGTGTGTGTGTGTGTAATTACTCTTGGTTTGTACTCCAAGGTTGACTTTTAACTTTACCCATAGTCTGGTTAAAGATAGTCTAAATAGAGTAGCTACACATGTCTTCTCAATAGTGCAATTATTTAGAAAATCACTTGTGTTCACTATATACGAATAATTTCCTTTTTGTAGTGTCAAAATTAATTTTTTTTTTTTTTTTGTTCTCATCTCAAGATGGCATTACCCAATCTTTGGAAGATCTACTCTTCATTTCGAACACCCGAAGAAGAAAGACAGTTTTCTCGATCAGCCTTTTTCAAGTTTAGTGGCTATATACTTTCTTGTATTGTCATGACAGTATTTGCTTCAAAATACAACACAATCAAACAATTGAAAATGTAACCACTGCCCAATTCAGTAAAGTCGTGTCCTACAACATATATATATCATCTTTTGATTCATTTTACATGATGCGCCGCCTAAATCCATCCTAGATCACAAAAAAAAGAGAATAAAAAGAGCCCTTTTCTTTTCAGAAATAAAAATAAACTTGACCATGTCTGCTTATACTCCTGTTGAACAAATTCCTGTTATTGTTAAAAACTTGCGCGATCAATTTGACACAGGTAAACAAACACCATAAAATAAATTATGTTGACTCTAGTTCAGGTTTAACCAAGGACCTCGAGTTTCGTAAGCAACAATTAGCCAATTTGAGTCGTTTCTGTGAAGAACAGAAAAAGACACTGTGTGATGCTCTTTGGAAGGATCTGCGTAAACATGAAATGGAGTGTGACGTGGGTGAAATTTCCTCTATTATTGCTGAGTGTGCTTTTATGATCAAGAACTTGGATAGTTTTGCTAAACCTACCTATACCAACAAGCGTTTCTTGATGAATGCTGCTGACAAGACATTTATCAGAAAAGAAGCAAAAGGTGTTGTTCTTGTGATTGGTGCATGGAACTATCCTGTAAGCTATATAAATGCAACACTAGGTCACTCATGATCTTTCTTATTAGGTTAACTTATTACTGATGCCTGTGGTGGGTGCTATTGCAGCTGGTAACTGTATTGCCATCAAGGTAAGACGTGCGGGAGGGGGTGAATTTACATAACAATAAATACTAAATTTAATCCTTGATATAGCCTTCTGAAGTCTCTCAACATACGGCTGAAGTTATGGCTACAGTCTTGCCCAAGTATTTAGATCCCCGCGCCTATCATGTGATCACAGGCGGTGTACCTGAAACAACTGTCGTTTTAGGTAATTGTCTTCTTATTGATTTCATACTCATCTCTTGTTAGAAAATCGCTTTGATCATATCTTTTATACGGGTAATGGTGAAGTAGGTACTATTGTTATGACAGCTGCTGCTAAACACTTGACACCTGTCACACTTGAATTGGGTGGTAAATCGTAAGTTGACCTTAGGTTTGCTTTAACTCAGTCTGTCTTTTTAGTCCTGCTTTTGTGACTGAAGATGCTGATGTGAACATTACGGCCCATCGTCTTTTATGGGGCAAATACTTTAATAACGGCCAAGTAAGCATATGGACTTTATCTCTATTTAAACTCACTTCTCTTTTTTTTTTTTAGACTTGTGTTGCACCCGATTACATCCTTTGTGCTAAAAGTAAATTAGAACCACTTTTGGAAGCTTTCCGAAAGACAGTGGTTGAATTCTATGGTACTACACCTCAAAAATCAAATTCATATGGTCGTATTGTCAGCACACGTCAGTTTGATCGCTTAAAGGGTATGTTAGATGCCTGTGATCCCAGTACAGTGGTTATTGGTGGTGATACAGATCGTGATGATCTCTTTATTGCACCCACTGTCGTCAGTCCTGTGGATCCTTACAACCATCCCTTAATGAAACAAGAGATTTTTGGTCCTATTCTCCCCATTGTGCCTGTCGAAGACATGGATGAAGCCATTCGTATCGTGAACTCAAAACCTCAACCTTTGGCTCTCTATGTCTTTGCTGGTGCTAAATACAACTATAACAAAAGTAAGTGTTTGACTTCCTGTCCATAGACTGACGATGTTTATCTAGTTTTGGACCGTACTTCTTCTGGTGGTGTTCTTATCAATGATATCTTGATGCATCTTCAAGAACTTTCTTTGCCTTTTGGTGGTGTTGGTCCCTCTGGTATGGGTAATTACCATGGTGAAAAGTCCTTTGAGACCTTCACACATTACAGATCCACCATGGTCAAGGATTTAATGTCTGAATCTGTGGTTGCCTGTCGATACCCTCCTTACAACCAAGACAAGAAAAATATCTTGGGTGTCCTGGTCTATGGTTTACCCCCTAATCTGGGTAGCAAATTCTCCGCGATTTCAAATGTCTGTGGTTCATTTTATAAATTCCTTTTCAAGAAGCCCAAGGCTGATCTCGAAAGCAAGCTTTAATGTGTTTATTTAAATAAAACTTGATAATGTACCTGTGAAAGCCATGGAAGAAGCAATGAAAATCAAACCATAATTTAAGAGTTTGGTCTGAAAAGACATGGTGTCACCAAATAAGCGTAGGTTACACACCAAAGGGAAAATACCAGAAATCATAAAGGAAAAGAAAGCACCCAACAAAGACATGATCTTATCAAACCCGGGAATAATATAAGCCAAGACCACAATAAACGCACTCACACAGATCTTTCCAATGCCGGTCAAGGTAGGTTCACGCCAACTTCCCTTTTCGCACCAGGATTCAAGCCAAGTACCGTTAAATAACCAGAGCTGCCAACTGAGGTTGACTGGGTTGACAGTCAACCCATATTTAGCAATCGGGTTCATGGCAATCAGCCACACAGCAAGGCGATTCAAGGTTTGATTGTATTCAGGAATAGCCACAATGTTTTGCGTGATCTTTGGGTAGGATAAATGTCAATCTACATCCTCTTGGATGTTGCTTACCTCTTGCATGGTGTTAGATCCAAACATTAAATAACCAGAAGCAGCAACACCAAAATAGACAAAGGTGGTAGCCACATAAGTCCAGTTGACCATCTTGTGATATTGTTTAGGGTTTTCCATATCCCGATACACAGTTGGGAATACAGCATGTCCAGCAAATCCCGCCATAATCAAGCCAAACGATAAACAAGTCGAATTCCAAGTGGATGGCCACATCTCTGTATCCTATCAATGAAGATCAATATCCTTCTTGTTTATTGAGACTGAACTTACAGCAGGTTCGATCAAACTACCAGGTGCATCTTTCTTGCTAAGACCATCAATAACCATAACTGTAATGATACTAAAAGCACTAATGATACCCAATAGACTTGTGTACGATAAATGACGAACAGGCAGGAACAACATGGGTGTCAAGATAAAGAAAGACAATACACGTACTTCTTTGAGCGTAAAACCAGGAAAGAGGGAATCAATGCCGTCACCAAGTAAGACAACCAATGCCACACTATCACCATTTAGAAAAAAAAAAAATTCTGACGTTGTCATCATGACTTTACCTGCTTGTGATCAATTCTGTAATAAACAAAGCAGTGACCCAAATTCTACCTTTTAAGCCAAATGCCAAAGCACCCATATCACCATACGTTCTTGATTCAGGATCAATATCCAAGCATCGCTGTAATAACTTAGCAGTATAATTGGTTAACCCACAACAAAACACAAATACAGACAAGCCTACAACCCAACCAGCACACTTTCAACAGATCAGTAACCAGTCATTCTTACGTTTTCCCTCTTTTTTTTCTTTTTTTTTTTTTTTTTTTTTTTTTACCTTGAAACCCAAAGGTAAAGCCAAAATACCAATACCAATCAAGATATTGATCGAATTAAAAATCGACTGTGTAAAAGAGGATTTTTTGCTTGAGGTAGGGGGATGGGGTTCATATCGATAATCCTCGGCTACTGTACCTACACTGCGAGTAGACAATACTTTGTCTAAATGAGAGAACAATAGAGAAGCATGCTCATTCATTGTGCTTGAGCTTCCACCTGGACCTGATTCAATACGGGATAGACGAGACACAGATGTCTTGGAGGGTATTCTTGACATATAACCTGATGAAATAGCAGAGTATTTGTCTTCTTCTTCATCATGCTTTTTATATGGATAAGTCAACAATCGTATAGAACAATACTTACAACAGGGCCATTGGGTACAGCTAAATTCTCAGCCATAAACATCATGGATGTACGAGAATAAGACCCAACAAAATCACCAATTCTTTCAGACAGTGTGCTTGTTGTACGTTCAATAGGTATATGCTCATCGACATGGTGAATACTACCATAAGGGTGTTCAGGTGAGAGTTGAGAAGGGTGTAGATTTCTTATACGAGGTACGTTTGAACTATTATGTGTCTTGTTTGGTATGTCCATTATACAAATATAAAATAAATAAAAAGAAATAAAAAAGAATCTTTCTTTTTATAGGGCTATCGTTTGAAACCCGAATTTTTTTTCCTTTTTTTTTTTTTCTATGCAAGCCATCGTCTTTGAAAATACAAAGTTTATATTTATTCCTTTCTTACACATGAGATCAAATAAAGAAGACGATAAACAACTCCTTTTTTGTCTTCACTTACAGAAAATATATATATATATATACATAGGCTGTCAAAAAAAAATATATATGTTGACACAAAAATAGGGGGTGGATGAAGCAAGTTTCAGGTCTAAACTGTATCAGATTTGACTCTGCCCCCCCCTCCCCTTGATCTACAAAACGCTTTGTTGATGTGTCAAGAACAACAACAACAACAGTGACCGTTGATAGATTTCAATCTCAGACATTGATGCTTATCAATCCTCAGTCTTTTCTCTCTTTTTTCTTTTCTCACCCGTCCTCAATGCTTACCTACATCAAAGATTACGTAAAAAGACATCGTAAAGGGATTTTGGTGACAACAGCTATTGCTAGTGGTAGCTATTTTGCTGGTAAATATGCTACTCGTAAAATAAGAGATCTTCAAGACAAAGCTGCTGCTGATAGACTTGCTAAAGAAAAGTAAGTGATAATAATAATAATAATAATAACTCATCCTGTAGTCTCAAACGCCGTTTTCAACAAAACCAAAATGACTGTGTGTTTACTGTCTTGTCTCTGTTGCCTACATTGGGTGACCAGTTATTGGATGCAATGAATATTGAGAAGGATTGGGCTAAACTTCAAGAGTCGCGCAAGTTGGAAAAGATTGAAGCTAGATTAAGAAAGGAAAGAGAAATAGCTGAATCATCAAAAGAATCCATAGAGGAGACAGCCCCACTTGACTCCAGTCTTGGTAGTCTATCTACGTCTGTTCAGTTAGAAGAAGCAGATCATCCTCTTCCTGCTGGTATTCTAGATAAAAAAGAAAAGCATTTACTTTGGGAAGAGATCAAGATAAAGAGTAAGTGAAGAACCCATAGAGTATTTGTTATTGAACAAGCATAGGTTTTACACGTAGTCTGACAAGTATCTATACTGTCACTTTATTGACTTTATTGACACATATCCAATTGAACTTGTTGGGTCGATTAACTTATATTTGGTCTGTGTCTGTTCTGAATAAAAATGAACCCACCATTCGATTACAACAAGAAGGACAAGAGGATGTTGGTTTTATACATCCTCAAGTGGAGCGTATGTTTCTGAGTGCAACTTGGTGGCTACTTCATGCTGGATGGAAAGGATTAGCAGCTCATGTACAAGAAGCAGTAGAAGAACATGTCTCAAGGTAATAAACGAGAATGATGACAGTGTTGATTGATCGTCTCTACTAGTATTCCTTTAAAGAGTACACTCAACTATCAAGAAGCCATTGCCCTTTTAGACAAAATACGTCATCGCATTGAATATGGAGAAGATGGTCAACCCATCAGTTATCGTGCTTGGATGTTACCCGAGACAAAAGAACAAGAAGCTGAATTGATGACAGGTGCTGGGTTTGAAAAAGAAGAAATCATGCAAGATGGGTCTCTTGATAGACTGCTTGATGAAACCAAGGATTTTATCGATAGTCCTGATTTTAATCAAGTGCTTAAAAGCTGTTTAGATGAAGTGTTTCAAGTGTTCGATCAACATGCTTTTGTGTCTGCTTTATTACCACAACAGGATGAGATGCCTCATATGGATAATGATGAGAAGCGTGTCTCATTGGCTAATCTATTGCCTACCATTGGCAGACAAGCGCATTTAGTGATTGCAGGCAATGAATACTTGAATGTAAGTCTAACCTGATTGATTCTGTTGATTGACTCTGTTGATTAGGCATTTGCATATATCAAAGAATTACAAGCTTTTTCTGCTCTTATTTATACACATTATGATGACCAAGACGCATAAAATAAATCCCCTCTCCCCTTTTTTTAAACAGGTACAGAAAATGAAAGTTTTTTTTTTTTTTTTATTTTCTGGACAATCAACACCTAAAGGTAATAGAAAAGTAATGTATAAATGACTTATGAATATTATTATTTAGCTTCCATGTATAATAAAACATCCCCTAAAGACATACTTAAGAATATCTTTTTCATAGGTGCTTTTGTTCTCTTTGCTTTACCTCTTGTTTTTTTTATATGTGTGGGTGTGTATTACAGAGACATAAGGATTGGAAAACCATCATGCGTGGTGCGCTTTTTGTCTTTATGCTGTTATCTTGACACGCCTACTTCTTCTTTAGTCAATTATTATCAGAATCCACAAATGTTAGTGTTGTATGTCCTTAAACAACAACAAGATAGACTAAACCAAATAAAAGTCATGCTTCTTTGTGTACTTCTTATGACTATTTTTAAATAAAAATAAAAAGTTTTTTTTTTCTTCTTTCTTTCTTTCTTTCTTTCTTTATGTCTCTCTCTATCACTGTTAAAAATAAACAAAACAAGGCTATTGAATTAACCCTAGTGAAGCATCACCTTGAAATAAAAGATACAACAACAAAAGAACTTGTTTCTTTTGATCATATCTATGCTATTCAATCTGTATCAGATACACTTTTGATTTCTATCGCTACTCCTACTGAACAAGAAGAACCACAACAACAAGCAACAATTAGACCTCCACCAAAGCGATGGATACGTCGTACACTCGAGTATCAAGGTGCTGCGGCTCATTTTGTCACACAACTTCAACAACAGGCTTTACCTAAGCAACCTACTTTTCAAGACACCCAGATTCATGTGATTGTCAATCCTACAGCCGGTCAACGACGGGCTGAGCAAGACTATGCTGAGATCGTGTTGCCTATGTTACGCACTGCTGGGTTTCAACAGATCCACAAGTGTTCCAAGGCACAAAGAACACAGTTGGATGCCGATGCAATCGTGATTGGCATGGGAGGTGATGGTACGTTGCATGATCTCATCCACCAGTACCAAGGACCCTTTCGACTGGGTGTGATTCCTGCTGGTTCAGGGAACGCATTTGCCCTGGGCCTTGGTATCGAGAGTATTGAACATGCTGTCCTCAAGATCATTCATGGCAAACACACACCCTGTTATAATATGCGTGTCCAACTCGGCCATGCTACACAAGACCAGGACTGGGAAGACCATGTTGTGCATGATACAGATCCCATTCAGCTATTGGTGGTGATGAGTTGGGGTTTTCATGCTCAAGTGGTTAGTAAAGCAAGGTATTTGCGATACTTGATGGGCAATCAACGGTTTTCATGGGTAGCTATGTTCTTGCTCAAGTTTCTGTATCAGTATGAAGGTGAATTAGTGCTTAATCATGTTCAACAGTATTGTTTGGGTGAATGGCAGCCTGAGCAAGACAAGATCAAGCTCACGCAAGAAAAGAAGTTTACTTATTTCTTAGTCAGTAAACAACATTCGTTGGAAAAGGGATTCAAGATCACCCCTTTTGCTTCTGCCTTGACAGAGGATATGGATGTACTTGTCTTGCGTGATGTGGATGCAGATACATTGACCAAGGCTAGTATGGATGCCTTTCAAGGTGGTCAGCATGTGAATTCTCTTGAGGTAGAATACTTTAAGGCCAAACAAGTCTTGTTGCGGGTCAAAGAGAAAGCAGAACTTTGTCTGGATGGTGAGATACATCAGTTACCAGCAAAAGGAGTAGTGGATCTCCAGGTCATCTCGTCTGGATTCACTGTGTTTAATTAGAGACATGCATCTATATACCTGTGTTTGATTGGATCAAATGTATGGGAATTTTGTTCATTTGTATCAATTCTAAAATATGCAAAAAAGGGTTTTAAATTCAGAACAAAGTAACCGCGTAGTGTAACCATCGTTTTATATAAAAGAAAGATTAGTTTTTTTTTTTTGCTTTCATTATCATATTATGGAAAAAGACATTGAACTAGAGAAGATCTCATCAGAAGAGGTATCAGACAAAGTCTCTTTTGTTCATGAAGATCTTTATTCTCCAGAAGAAAAAGCCTATTTAAGAAAACTGAATATCAGATTATTGCCTCTTGTTTTCTTGATTGTGTTTATACAGGTAAAATCAACAGACAATAGTATCCACTGATGTCCATTCTAGTTTTGTGATAAATCAGCATTAAGTGTGGCAGCTGTATTGGGTATTATGGAAGATGCTGGTCTCTCAGGGAGTCAATTCAGTTGGTTAGGATCGATCTTCTACCTTGGTTATCTTTTATGTCAAGTAAGTCAAATACAGATCCACCAAGGCTTAACTTGAATATTTAGGTGCCTAATCATTATTGCATTCAACGGCTGCCTATTGGTCGTTATCTTGGCTCTGTATTAATTGTATGGGGTGTTGTGATGGGATTAACCGCTGTCTGTCATACGTTTCCCCAACTGCTTGGGTTACGGTTCTTACTTGGGTTCTTTGAAGGTGTTACGTATCCTTGTATCTATATCACCATGAATACACTCTATCGTCGTTCTGAACAGTCTCGGTGCTGGGGATTTCTCGGTATCAGTACCGGTATGGGGACTGTCTTTGGTGTGGTGATTGCTTATGGTTTAGCCCATATGGACCATGTTGCTGGTTTCCGAGCATGGCGATGGTAAGCAATCAGTATGAATGCTTATAAATTCATCTAGTCTATGATTAGGGGCTATATTGTGTTTGGTATAGCCACTGTCTTGATTGGTATCTTGACCTTTTTCTGCTTGATTGATCACCCACATCATCCTCTCCTTAAAGTGACAAAGGCAGAGGAGCAAGTGATTGAAGACAGAGCCCGTGATAACAATGTCGTCAGAAACACGACAATCAAGCGAGAACAGATCTTGGAAGCCTTAAAAGAGCCTCGTCTTTGGCTTATCTTTATTGCCAACACACTCAACTGTCTTCAGAATGGTGGTCTTGTCACGTTTAGTACTTTACTTGTGGAAGGACTTGGGTTTTCAGTAAGTCATGTATATGTAAATATATAAACTGACTTGAGTTAGTCATTAACAGCCATTATCTTACAAGTACCAAATGGTGTTGCTGCGGCATTGTTTGCTATCGGTGCTGTCTTGATGGCCAACAGAATAGGCCAGAACACATTTACAGGGATTGGCGCAGCCCTGGTGTCTTTATTAGGCTGTGTCTTGATGGCCAGTATACCAGGCACACCTAAACTTGTGGGCTTCTATCTGACTTGGGCCATGACAGGCGTCAGTGCTCTTTTACAGACACTGGTCTCCAACAATGTCTCTGGTTATACAAAACGTGTGTTTTACAATGGTGTCAATATGGTGGCTATGACCATAGGTAATTTCTGTGGTCCATTGATGATGAATCAAGATCAAGCACCTACTTATGTGGGGGCCATGGTCGGGTTCTCAATTACCAATGTGCTTGTGATTGTTTGCTTTTTAGGTGTCTATTGGGTCATGAAACAAGAAAATAAGCGTCGTTTAGCCAATCCTCCTGCTGAGAAATCCAACGTCTATTTGGATTTAACAGATCAACAAGATAAAAATATTATTTATAAACTATAATTTCTTTCTTTATTTAATATAAACCAAACGTATTTTCACCAGAATATCTAATCATCATGTGAGTTTATGAGGGGGATTTAAAATCCACAGACGACTTACGTTATATACAAGAAACCATCTTCGTCTTTATGTTCTTCATAGATAGCACTCATCAGAGCTATGAACAGATAAATACACACACACACAAGTACACATCATGATGACTTACCAGCAGTAGGAGGCAAGATTTCATTCACAAAGATAAAGATAGCCTTTTCTGGACTCAACTTGATTCTCTTTCGAATCACATAGACAAATTGACCTACAGTCAAGTCTGCTGGAACCAAATACTTTTTTTTATCAATCGTAGGTATGTCACTCTTTTCCACTTTTTCGCAAATCACTGGAATACGGTCGGGGTATTTCTGTCGAATTCGCTCTGCTTCTGCCTTACGCTTTTCTATTTGAACTTGGTCAGTTCATTCATACATATATATAATTCATCTTACCAAAAGGATGTTCGTCTTTAAACTTGGAACGCATAACCGCAGTAAAAATAATAAGATGAGAAAATAAATAAAAAAGAAAAAAAAATACAAAAAAAAAAAGGAGGTCGCATAATATTTAAATAGACGTCAACACATGATTCAACCTGATGATGATTTACATCTGATTGGCTGGTTTTATTTTATTTTATTTTATTTTGTTATGCTTCCACCCGTGACAAACACGATACGTGATGGTGTAGGGTTGACTCCTATAGTCAAACTTACACCTCATAAGAAGGGTAAGCTACCATGATGAGGACGCATGACTCATGACCATCGACACAGTCCATCTGTTGGCCAAGTTAGAATACACGAATCCGACTGGCAGTAGTAAAGATAGACTGGCCAAGTATCTATTACAAGGTAACAATCAATCATTGTTGAGGTACTTATCGCAATAGAAATCGAGAAAAAGAAAACGTTTGATAAACCCATCAAGACATTGATTGTACCTACTTCAGGTAACTTGGGTATCTCTTTAGCCACTTTGGCTCAACAAGCCTATCGTATCATTGCCATCTTGCCCGAACGTACTTCCAACGATCGTATTGCATTATTGAAAGCGCTAGGTGTTGAAATCTTGCGTTCACCTAATGAAGTTCGGCCTGAAGCACCTGAAAGTGCTCATTCAGTCGCTGCTCGTTTAGCTGAACAACTGCCAGATGCGATGGTGTTGGATGAAGTAAGTGAGATGAAAAACCATAGGATTATTAACAGGATCAGTCTCAATTGCGTGATTGGACAGCCTATCATGATCTAGCAGAAGAAATCCTTCAACAGACTCATGGGGAACTGGATCATGTCTTTGTAGGTGTTGAATCAGGTGCTACCGTGACAGGTTTGGCGCGTTACTTGAAGTCCAAAATACCTGATGTGAAGGTAATTAGATAGACAGACAGCCATCAGAGAAGGAGGGAATATTGATCGTTGCATAGGTCATTGGTGTTGCACCTGTCGATTCTGTCTTTGGAGAACAAAGTCATCCTGTTCGTTGTGTAAGTAGCTAGATTGGGGGAAGGGAAGCCTATAGGATACTGATGTTCATCAGGATTGGAAAATAGAAGATTTAGGCAACACCAGTATGCCTGCCAGTCTTGATCCTTCTGTGGTCGATGCATGGATTAAAGTATCAGACCAAGAAGCGTATTCGATGGCACGTCGCCTTATTCGTCAAGGCATCTTGGGTGGTCCTTCTTCAGGCGCTGTGATGGCTGCTGCCATACGTCATGCTGACACTATCACAGATCACACAGCACACGCTGTCATTGTGTTGAATGATTCAGCCAAAAACTACACTAGTACTCTCTTGTCGGATGATTGGCTGTTTGAGCATGCATTGGCAGATGACACCATCACGCGTGAATTAGAATACCTTGCTCAGGATAGATACAGAGCAGCCAGCGTAGAAGATCTACAGCTACCTGCTGCCTTGACCATTGAACCGAGTACGACCGTATCGCATGCTTTGGATTTAATGCTTCAAAGAGAATACTCTCAATTACCAGTGATTCGTCATCGTAAATTAGTAGGATATGTGTCTATGGCCAGCCTAGAAGATCATTTGGAAAAGGGTACCACTGCCTTGACAGATCCTGTCGAGAGATCCATGTTTTCATTCAAAAAGACTAGCAGTGGTGCCTATCAAGTTATTACGCCTGATACAAGTTTAGCTGATTTAGGTAGCGTATAGGCTTCGTTGTTCAGTGATTGACGTCTTTATTAGCCAAATTCTTTGAAAAGAACTCTTTTGCTGTGATTACAGATGCTCAACGTAAATGGTGTTTAGGTGTAGCTACGAAATATGATTTGATTAGCTTTTTGCATCGACGTCAATTCTTGTAAAAAAAAAAAAAAAAAAATCTTTTTTTCACTCTTTTTTTTTTTCTTTTCAATAAATAAGGAATGAGTTGTCTTCATGAAATGATCTTTGAAGGCCTCTGTGCCATTTGTGGTCAGACAGTGAATACCAAGTAAGGGTTTAGGTCAATAGATACACACTGACTTTATTAGTGCCAAAGATCATATCAACATGACACACAACTCAACAGGGATCACAGTCAGTTTAGTGGTATGTACCTTTTTTTTTTTTTTTTTGTTCATAGAGACCATCTGCTTATTATCTCTAGGAAGCAGAAAGACTAGAGAAACAAGATGAAGAACGTCTTTTGAAAGAAAAGAAACTGTCTCTTATTGTCGATCTCGATCAGACAGTGTTACATGCTACTTGGGAACCTAATATTGCTAACTGGGTCGATGAACAGAAATCAAATAACGATCCACACGTACAAGATTTACGTACATTTTCATTGGATGGCAGTATGAACAAATATACCATTAAACTAAGGTAATTCACCTCATAAAAGACGCCATGTTGATTCAAGATAGACCTGGATTAGATGCATTCTTAAACGACATGAGCCAGTATTACGAAATGCATGTCTATACCATGGGCACACGATCCTATGCCAATGCCGTCGCAAAAGAGATTGATCCCAGTGGCCGATTATTTCAGGACCGTATATTGACGCGTGATGAGAACAAAGACAAAAGCACCACTAAAAAATATCTGGAACGCCTATTTCCTCATGATCGGTCCAAAGTCGTCATTCTCGACGACCGTGCTGATGTATGGGACTATTCGCCTAATCTGATACAAGTCAAGCCCTATGAATTTTTCTATGGTATTGGAGATATTAATGCGCCCAGCAATCGACCTGTGATTGTGGCTGAGGATGTTCATTCGGCTGCTACTGGTAGTAGTCCTGTAAATAGACAAGAATCACCCTCAAGGCCGAATTATATCCCTGATCCTAACGATACAGACAATATCTTATCAATTGTGAAAAAGGTAATCCTGTTTGATTGAATGGTTGATGATTGACTGTATGTCTAGGTACTGATGGATGTCCATGCTGATTTCTATGCTCAAGTGGACAAAAGATCCAATACGGCGGATATCTTGAGTAGACTGAAATCAAAGATCCTTCAAGACTGCCATCTTGTGTTTTCAGGTGTCATTCCACTTCAAACAAAACCACAGGACTCTTCCATCTGGAAAATGGCTTGTTCATTTGGTGCTCAATGTTTTGAAGATTTAACGGGTAAAGCCACCCATTTAGTAGCAGCAGCTGTAAGTCATACTTGATTACCATTCAACTCATCCAATTCCATATCTATCTATATATAGCCAGGTACCAATAAATTCAATACAGCCATACGTTATCAGCACATCAAGATTGTCTATCCAACATGGCTTACGAATTCCATGTGGCATTGGAGAAAAGAAGAGGAAGATCCTTTTTTAATCCCTCATAAAAGAGAAGGATCCAATACGTCTGAAGTGGAGAATCCAGAAGAAGCTTCCCTTGATTTTGATGATGGATTGGATTTTGATTGGGAGGATGATGAAGTGGATGCCATTCTAAACTCAGATGAAGAGGCACCTTCAACACAACGCCATAGTGAAACTGAAGAAGAGATAGAAGATTGGCTAAATGAAGAACTAGAACAAGAAGAGAATAGTGACATAAAAAGCTTTCAAAGTGACAGTGAAACTGAAGACTTGAAACGCTCTCGCAGTGATGACGAAGAAGATTTACCACCTTTAAAAAAGAATGAGTTTTTTTTTAATTGAATAAAAACTTTTTTGGGATTTTATAGTGACGTTGATCCATGTTTTGCTTGATGGATGCCCACATATAATTAAGGCGTCTTCGCTTATTACTGCAGTCAACTAAAAAGTCTTCTGCTTCTTTGAGTGCATGATCATCTGCTTGTTTAAGGTAGTTTGTCTTGACCATATTCTGATATTCTACTTTAAGATCAAAATAAGATCGTTTGGTGCCCTTGGGTGGTGGTGTTGTTTCCAAAACACGAATATAGTCTGGGAAGTTTGTCTTGAAGAATTTCTTGATACGACTATAGTCTGCTTGAGCATGGACATAGCGATGACAATAAGCATCAAACATGCGCTGAGATGGAATGTCTACAGGCTTCATACTACTATGGGGTTCATACACTTTCCGTTTACGTGTATCAGCTAGTTATCTAGTGAACAAGACAGGATAGAACAAGACAGAAACTTACCTTCCTTCTTGAGAGACGAAGAAGAAGAAGAAGGTAATGCTTTTGAAGCATATTTCTTATTAGCAGAAGAAGGCTTCAAAAGAGTCGTTTTTTCTATGGGTGAAGTAGGTGGTTTACCCTTTTCAGTTGGATTGATAAGATTAGAACGATCTGTATCCAGCCCTTGATGCTGTAATAATTCATAGGCTTCTCTAGCATTGTCTGCCACTGTTTGTTTTTCAGTAGTGGAATAAAATGGCCATTGCCAGATTTGAATTTCCTTGTATAAGTTTGGCTTTAAACAAAACTTTTTACGGTCATCTTTTTTGATAGGAATGCCTACCTAACCACATCACATAAGGCACGTAATTGTAGATAAGTTGACTTACAGATTCAAGAATACGCTTCACTTCTAATTGTTCACATTTCTCTTGTTGCTTGCGATTCAATGATTTGACCAACTCAATCAAAGACCATGGTTGTAAGGCTAATCGTTGAATGATACGTACCCGAATAGGGTATTTGGATTCATTAGGATATTTGGATTCACTAACTGTCTTTTGTGAAGGTGTCTTTTGTGTCACAGGGAGAGTAGGTGTAGAACTTTGTTTGATGGGTGGAGTAGAATTCTGTTTGATGGGTGGAGTAGAATTCTGTTTGATAGGTGGAGTAGGTGTAGAACTAGGCTTAATAGGTGGAGTAGAACTCGGTTTAATAGGTGGAGTAGAACTCGGTTTGATAGGTGAAGTATGTTTGATAGGTGAAGTATGTTTGATAGGTGAAGTATGTTTAATAGGTGAAGTATGTTTAATAGGTGAAGTATGTTTGATAGGTGGTGTAGATCCACGCTTGATAGGTGGTGTAGATGGTGCTGGTACGATAGTTTGTGGATTGGGTGGTATAGGGTTGGTATGTTTGGGCTTCTTGATAAGTTTAGGTTCAGATTGGGGTATATCGAGACGTCTGGAAGGTTTCTCTATTGCCTTTTTAGTGATTGGTTTCTTGATCATGGTTGTTGTGGCAGAAACAGCGTCACCCAAATAATGAAGTGTACTGGAATTGTGATTATAGTACGTTGCTTCTGTATTGGTTTTGTTATGGACATCAATTCTTATCCGAGCATCATTCAAGACAAGTTCCTAGGATGTATAAGCTACAAATATATATATATATATATATCTATTTTATGATACGTACAAGAACACCAGGTTTAATGCATTCCAAGACAAGCGACTTTTGTCGAGTCAGTTTATCAATAGTTTCTGCATTAAGCTTTAAGTTGACAATTTTGTCATGACTTGTCATGGCGAGATTAGTATTAAAAAAAAAAAAAAAAGAGAGAAAGAAAGAGAGAAGAATGCTGAGTTTTCTTATTTTTATTATAGAATTAAAAAAAAAAAGCCAGTCCTCAGTTGGAAAGTAAATCCTAAATAGACAAGTGTAAGTACTATGTCTTGAGTCTATTGTAGATACAAGAAAGAGGAGTAGATTTGTGTATGCTAAAAATAACATTATAGCCTGGGTTTTAAAGTGTTGATGTATGTAATATCTTGAATAATGATGAACAATAAAAACTTTTTTTCTTTTTTTTTCTTTATCTGCCCCCACCTCCCTACCTCCCTTTCCTGTCCTTTATATCAATGTCTGATTTCAATTATACCAACTATAACAATACAATCTATATGAATCAAAACGCGATGGTTTATGACACAGGCTATTATCAAGACTATTATCAGCCTGTTCAATATGTCTATACTTACCACGAATTACCACCTCCTACACCCTCTCCTTCTTCTTCTTGTAGCACCCAAAACGATATCAAGTCAACAGAAGAAAGAGTCAAAGAAACCATTGCTCGCGCCAGCACTGTTCCTGCCGAGTTTTTTCAGACTGAGTTTCTGGATTATTCAGAACAACAGCTGGCAAAGAAAAGAAAGCGAGCAGTAATGGATGATGTGAAAGCCGCCAATCGAAAAATGAAGACATCCCAAAAAGAACAGGATGCTGACGAGTAAGAGAAAATAACCCTATAGAGTGACTGACTTGATTAGACCAATGGATACCAATGAAATTCGTCGACAGATCCATATTCAGTCCGAACAAAAGAGACGTGCACAAATCAAGGATGGTTTTGATGAACTCAAGAATCATTTACCTGGCTGTTCGAATAAGAAATTAAGCAAGGCTGCTCTCTTGACCCGTACTGTCCAACAATTGGAATACATGAAAAAGATGCAAGATGAATTATTGGCTGAAGTAGAGAGATTAGCCAAAGAGAACGCAGGCTTAAAAAGGTAAACAACACTTTAAACTTGATGATTGACATAAGCTTTAGTCTTACTCCCAAATAAGCCCCATACATCGCAGTTTTGTAATTCAACTTATGCATTTAAATTATATAAATTATTTGTCTTTTTGGAATTCATTGTATGATGATTCATGACTCAATTTGAATGCTGAATATCATCTTTGGTGTGCGTTAAAAAGTATATCATAAAAGTCATTTGATCTAAAGTCGAGTTGATTTTGTTATTCATAGTAACACTTCTTGAAGGTCAACCATTGTTTTGTCTGCATAATCTGCCTTTTAATTTGATATAGACAAGTAGTAAGTGCTGGTGGAACATGGATAGAGTTGCTTTTATCATGCTTGGCAAATAAAAGCGGCAAGTCCGCGCCTGACACGGATCTTTACCCGCGGCATGGATATATAAAGCAAATTTGTCTCTCTCTTTTCTTTTTCTTTTTGTTTCTTTTATGGCACCGTTAAAAATCATTGGCGCAGGCTATGGTCGAACAGGAACAGACAGTCTTCGTACTGCATTAAACATGTTGGGGTAAGTAGCTACCCTAATTCATGATAAATAATGAAAATGACAAGCTATAAAACCCATCATATGAAATCATTCCGAGAAGACCCAAATCTTGACCCAGATGAATTCTATGAGGGTTATCAACATCCTGAACAAGCGGATTGGACCACTATTTACCGAGATTATGATGCAGCTGTAGACTGGCCAACAGCTGCTTATTGGAAACCATTGTTTCAGCAGTTTCCTGATGCTAAGGTGATTCTGACGGTGCGTACACCTGAAAGTTGGTACAAGTCTGTCAGAAATACCATTGGTAAATACCAAGGCCAACATATGGACTTGACACCCAATCATCCTCGTTATAAATTTGCTCGTATGGCTAAAGCAGTCTGTCTGGAAGGTCAATTGGCTGATCCTACTGTGACTGAAGAAACCTTGTGTCAATTCTTCTTGAACAATATTGAACAAGTCAAACAAACCGTGCCCTCGAATCAATTGTTGGTCATGGAGTTGGGTGAAGGTTGGGCAAGGCTTTGTGAATTTCTGGATAAACCAATACCTAATGAACCTTATCCTAATGTAAATTCCACTGCTGAACATCAAAGATATGTACTTGATAGAAAATAAAAGGAGTAAATCAGTATCACGTAACTAAATTAATTTTTTTTCTTTATATTTTTTTTTACCCCTTTTATCCTATTGTTTTTCTTTATGAAACTACTCAAAAAGACACGTCTAATAAATATTATTCATTTTACATGTATTACCGTGCTGATTAGCTTATGTGTGGTCATACCCATTGTTTATAATTTAACAGGAACACCACCTTATTGGGCCATGATGCTGATTTTTGGTATTCTATGTATACTTTATTTGACATTGGTGGTAAATAGGAATGAGTAGTATCGTATTTAATAAAACAGTGTAGATCATGATTTATTTCTACAAACGACGAAAACAACAACAAGACGAAGAAGAAGTGCATATAGCAGAAGAACAGGAGGATATTGTTTCATCTGTCGAGAGTTATGATAATCCCTCAACCACAGGTATACCACCCAGTTCCTACTTGGCACCCAATCAGGCTTCTATTCGATCTTCTAGTCTGGATATAACAGCACCACCTGCTTATCAGGAAATGATGTACCCACCATCGTATCGCTCTACTAATTCAACAAAAGATGACAGCCCATTAGACCAATAAATATTCCATTCTAGTTCAGTTTATAAACAATGTCATGATTGTGCGCAAAACACTTTTTATTTTTATTTTAAAAGAGATGCTTTGTGCCTGTTTTGATGTTAGCAAGGACAAGATCAAATTGAAAACAGTGCTGTATGATGAGGGTGAGGAGAGGAGTTTGACTAACAAAAAAAAAAAAGATCCAGCCATGCCAAAATAAAGTGATTGTCTCGAAATATAACAGCTTTTTACCAAAGAGAGGATCTCGATATAGCAGAATTCACTTTCTAGCAATTTTAACAATAATAGGAGGGGCTTCTTCATGTTTGTTATTAGGCCAACTTATCATTTAACAAATGTGTCTTATGAAATAGGACGGCCTCTTCGAAAATTGGCATTGTCTTAATCAAGCAAGTCTATTGATCGGCCAAGTTCATCAGGTGTATTCAGTATGAACACGAATACCAAATTATGTCAATCTTTTTCACTGAGGAATAAATCGAGAACAATGTCAAAAATATGGTAAGCAGTACTGAAGGCTCCATTGGTTTTGCTAACAATGACTTGCGTTTGGATGAATTTGAGCATCGCCAAGGAGAATAGTTTTCGAAAAGATCAAATTGTTTAAGGTAAATTGAACGAGACTGAACTTCTTGTTAGCGTTCACAAAGAAGCAAGTCTTCAAAAAGTCTGATATTGGTGCCTCGTTTCATACCCTCACTCTTCGTCGACATTAACTTACTTTTTTTTTTTTTCATTGGTAAGTGTTTCTCACAACGAAATAAAGTGTAGCACGAATGAAATTATGATTGTTTAATGCTTTCTGTCTAACAAATTTCTTTTGTCAATGTCTCCTCAATGAATTTTGATTCGAAGATATCACCAAGTGCTTTTATTGTTATGTTAATTGTAATATCTTAGAGGGAGTGCTTGATATAGGGGAACACGATGATAAACTTCAAAGGACAATTCTGAGAGACAGAGTTGCAAACTTTTTTTTCTGCAGTGGCCCTCGTTCCCAACTAGTGTCTCAATCAAGAATGAGTAAATAAGCAACTTTGATATTTATGCCTTACGTGCTAACTAGAGATGTCCAAAAATGTTCATGTTGGCTTATTAGTTTACTTTCACTCCAAAGGCGTTGCAAATGCGTATAAAAGAGCCTCAAACCTTTTATGATGTGGGGCAGGTGTTTAATATAAAACTGATCAAGCATGCATGCTCCGACTGGAGTATCACATCCTATGAAAAAAGCCTTTCTCGCAGGTAAGCGTTTATATCATATATATATACATACATAGGCGAAGATCTGGATAGACTTACGAATGCATTTATCTATGATTGGTGACATGGATCTAATTATACACTATTGTATCCATCAATAGAAGCATCCTTGAAAGGCGACCACAAAAGAGTGTAACAGAAAAGAAATATATCTAATACATACCACCAACTCAGCCTTGAAAGCAGCATTCAGCAAGAGAAAATAGATCAGACCATTAAGTAAGAGCAGAAGCATAGGCATATCTATAGCATAACATAAGTTACTTGCACATAATCCATTTAGTCATTACCTCTCATATTAATAATCCACACATTTGAACACCTATAACACATTTGCATATATTGTTAGAGAAAGGGTATCTGATCAACATCATTTCTTACCAGAAACAGTACTACATAGCACTCATAAAGTTATATCATCCAGTGATTTACCAAGAGTTGTTACCCATTGAATCAGTTGTATATACTAGAGAAGACTCTTTTCGTAAAAATAAGCCTACACAAATGTATACAAGGATATGGATTGAATAAGCTATCAATCCTTGCCTTGAATATGAGAAAAAGATCACCAAGTCATAGTAGTAATCAAAAAAGGAGAATCACCAAGTGGATATGAAGGTAATGGGTAACATCAAAACTCAGTGACCATTTACAGACAAAGCCAGACAACAGATGAGCAAGAAACCAAGTCAGCTAGCACCAGAAAAATAAATATAAACAAGGTCTAGATACTATTCCAAACAAACAAAAGGGTTAATGCAACTGCATAGGCAAACACCAAAGTCTTATCTAGACCAGAGAGCCTATTTTACTTTACAAGAGACTCTTGGGATAATTAAGGAAGTATAAGATTAGAAAAAAATGAATTTACAAGTACCTCAATAGCTTCATGAAGGAAACTTGAGTAAAGAATAAAGGAAATGAACAAGATTGGCCTCTGTATTAGTCGTTTCTCTTAAAATTAATCCTTTGCCTCCCAATCTTAGTTGTATAGGCCAATATTATCAGTATTTTCGCAGACGTGAATTAGTATCACCAAAGCATACCACAGATGCATCTTCAGAACGCTTATCGTCTGCTCCGAAGCTTAATGACAGACTACCATCGCTGATCTCGTCCACAAGATCAGGACTATTGCATTCATCCGTCCTTATTCTTGAAACCAATGCTCTCCTTCTCAGAAGTTAATTGAAACAGATGGTATTGTCTGCGACACTATTAAGCTATTCATTGCCACAACTATCAAACGGAAGGCAATCATTTTACATGACCGATACAAGCATGGAAACCCCCTATCTTCGCGACAGCAAAAGATTATGTTTATTTGAATCACTGAATCGACCTAAGGCACAAATGACATCAGTAACGCAGGATAGCTCTCCGCAACGGGACGCCTTGTACATGCCTCCGAAAGGAATTGCTTCTCGGCAGCCTGTGCGACTATTGAGCGCGGTTTTTCAATCATTGAATGCCAAACTCTTGTCTATTGCTTGTGAAGAGAGCATAGCTAAAAAAAAAAAAAAAAAAAAAAAAAAAAAGCTGGCATGAATCTTGTATGGCAAAATTTGAACCTGGGAATATCAATGCCCCACAACCCATATGAAAATTATGTTTGAAGCAAAAAAAGTAATCATACCGATATCGCTGGATGATTACTCAGCTAAAATTTCATAGGTTTTGTGCATTAGCTATCCGTAATACTTGAATAAGGGACAAGCTGAAGAATTCATACATTAGTTGCACAAACATTTAATTTGAAAATGAGCGCGAATTGTTTCCGGAAAAGGTGTATGTTCTTTGGAGTATGCTCAAACACAAGAAACTCAAAAAAGGGGAATTAGAAGGCAGCAATGATGGTTTGTTTTGATAAACACTTGCGCCTATAGCGGGCTGCTGATTCGCCATTAACACTTGTTCATTGTTTGTCAGATTTATTCAAGCATGAATTGTAATAAGTTTGATACTTATTGTTTATCTACCTAAAGCCTCTTTTTTTTGCGAGCGCAGACTTCTTTCTCAATTCTTATGACCAATTAACATTACAATAGCGGTATACTTGTTTGGATTTCATGCTTCTGTCTACTGCTAGAAAAAACAATCAACCTAGCTGCAAGTTGTATTTCCATTGCCTGTTTATTTAATAAACCGCCTACTGGCGTCTAATAACCGTCACAAATAATGATGCGAAGCACACGCGTGCGTATTGTCTTTTATCCATAGCAATGGCAGATGAAGAAGAGTTTGATATTTATGGCGACTATGACTTTGGTCAGGTAAATCAACCTTGTAGAAAATAGGAAGTAATATTCATGTCAAGTTAGGCCGATGATATTTTAGATGAAATCGTCAATGACAATCCTACACCAAAGAAAAGACCAAGACCTGTTGTTAAAGAACCTGAACCAGAAAAGGTAGATAGACTTTTTTTTGGTGACCTATTATTCATTCATTCCATAGCCTTCCAAGGCGCTCAAGACAGAAAAAGAACAACCTCAAAAGATTCAAACGACTACACAAACATATCAATCGACTGTTCAAACAGACCCTAAATCACTTCCTTATACTATTACACAACTACGAGGCATTACATCTAAACCCACGCATTGCATTTACCTGGGTGAACTTCATTGGGTAAACCATGGTGCATGATAAACTTCATCTCATTGCTATGTAGTATACAACAGACAAAGAAGTCAAGGAACCATTAAAGAAAGCCAACTTACTGGACGATGTCAAAGAAATGACTTTTTATGAACATAAAATCAATGGCAAATCAAAAGGGTAAGAAGAAGCTTTATCATGGAAACATCTGTTGACACAAGCTTAGTATTGTATTTTTTGAATTCTTCAACAAGGACAGTGCTTCTCAAGCAAAATCGATCTTTGACAAAACGCAAGTAGAAACAGTGGCATGTATCTTGTATTGACTTTTTTTTTTGTCCAGTGAATTTGACCATAAAAGAGTATATGCAGTCTATACAACATCACCCAATCCATTTAAACATCTATCTAAAGGTAAAGCACACATAGACATCCTATCCCCTTGGCTCAACAAAGAGTTGATAGAAACCAATACGGGTAAATCAACGCGTAACACAAATGTCAATCGCATAAACAACAATGTACCCGGCATGATGCCAACAAATTACAATGCGGCTGCTGCTGCTGCTGCTGCTGCTGCTGCTGCTATGGCAGGCTTTATGCCTTCCTATGGTTTCCCTGTGAGGAACAATGTAAATTATAATCGCAATACGATGGTGCGCAATCAACAGCCTTATAATAACACTAGAAACAACAGAAGTAACAATAATGATGGATTTAGTGGAGGCATGTACATTAACCCTGCCTTTTTTGATAACAACTACAAGAAATAAATGTCTTTTTTTTTATTATTATTGAAGAGGACGTTTTTCAAAGAAAAAAATTTATTCTTCGTCAGATTCTTCAGCAAGAGTCATGGCAATACGATCCAAATCTCTTTGACCATCTTGAGTGATCTTACGGCCACTAAATATAAAGTCAGTCTACTTGTAGATGCAAACTATACTTACCCCTTCTTGTCCTTTTCCAAGACACCAATCTTTTCCAAGGATTGGAGGACCTTACGGTTGACGGAACCAGAGGCATCAACGTGGTGAGAGGGACGAGAGCCACGGTTAACGGTACCACCGTGAACCTTGTTCAAAGCACCAACACCGACAGACTTACGGATGTAGATGTGACGAGCGACAGAGGCTAAAAGATAGAGAATGAGACACAACTCCAGTGTCACTCAATCACACTTACCAGCACGGATGAAGTACCAATCGGGGTCATAGGGAGCGAGTTCCTTGAAGGTACCAGTCTTGACAAGATCGACCCACTTGGGAACTTCGAGCTTACCGGTACGCTTGAGGTAGGCAGCATAGGCCTTGATGAATTCTAATGGATCATTAGTATCAATGGGAAAAAAGGACGAGCCAAGCCACAATTTATTTTTTCTTTCTTTCTCTTTCTCTCATCTCTTGTCTTTTTTTTTCGCAATAGTAACAAAGTCTCTTTCTTTTGTTTGTTTGTTTCGTGAGTTCTAATGTATACAAGTGAGAGACTATCGAAGAAAAAAAAAAGACAAGAAAAAAGAGGAAGAAAAAAAATAGGTCTATAGGACTGTAGCTTGACTCTTGTTGTATTCTATCTATTCTTTTTTGGTTGTTTGAAGCGTACCGTGAGCGTTAACGTCCTTGACAGTGATACCAGCCATCGTGTATAATGTACTGAATTCGAGAAGTAAGAAAAGAGAAGGCTTTATTCCACTTGCACCTCCATGGCCCTCAAAAATAAAAAATTTTCGCTTCTCTATACTCAGTCCCAAAAAAGAGGTCAACGTCACATGAAAACAAAGTCACTTTAAATCTCCGTAAATTTTTCATTTATTTAAAAAGCTACATCCCATACACGGACAGCAGCATCTTGTCCAGTAGACACAACCGTGAGACTGTTATGCAAGAAACCAACACTGTTAACAGCATCTACATGCGCATTCTTGATGGCCACTTTTTTGAATGGTTTTTCACGGTTCCAGATATAGACATTGGTGTCAATACTACCACTGACTAAGTAAGTACCACAAGAGGACCATTGCATACTGGTGATACGGCTGGTATGGAACACCCAGTTTTGAATCACAGCTGCTTTGCTTTCAGTATCATAAATAAAGATCTTGCCAACACTATCGCCTACAGCAATCAAATTGAGTTCAGGATGAGTGGCCAACGATGTAATATTGCCAAGATTCTTGCTTAATTCACCAGCAAGTGTCAAGTTGCCATGGTTGAGTTCATAGACACGCACTTTGTTGTCCTAGAGAGGAGTATGTTGATATCTATATATTACAAAGAAGACAGACTTACCTTGCCACCAACAAAGACAGACTTAGCATCCACACTGATATCAGCCACAGAGGGTGTATAATCAAGTTGTTCTAATTGACCTATCTTTTCCAACTTATCGTCATAGACTAAAACAGACTCTGCTGTGGCTACTACAGTTGTCTTGTCTTTAGCAATCGAGACTGAGGAAGGTAAAGCACCTGTAGATACAATCTTGCCACTAATACATCATCAATCATAACATTCTACTCATCTATCCTTACCTAAACTTGAGATGCGATCCATGACGTAAAGTATCATCCATAGCAGCAGAAATAAGCTCGTTGTCCTTGGCAACCAAGGCAGTGACTTGGTTATTGTGTCCTTCACCTTCCATACGTTCAGCTACTGTATGATCCCCTTCTTCACTGTACTTCCAGCCAAAGACACGGCCATCATAAGAACCAGTAAACAACGTATCTTGTTCAGAAATAGCAAGGGCCGTAATGGCCTTGCTATGACCATCAATACGACGTGATACTTGACCTGAGTTTTTGTCGAGATAGCTGAATTCGCCAGACAAAGAAGCAGAGATCAAATAATCGCCAGACCATAAGTTACCCACTTGTTGATTATCGACTGTATTGATAGCTGAATTGATCTCAAAGGTGCTAATAGGTATTCATGTTAAATCATGTGATAACCACCTCTCTCTCTCTTTTTGACTTACTTGACAACAGCCTTGGTATTCACATCCCAAATCTTGGCTGTATGATCAGCAGAAGAAGACAACAAGTGGGTGCTATCAGGGGACCAAGAAAGTGCAAAAATACTTCCTTTATGTCCGTCCTCACTTGACAGTTCATCCAACTTATCGCCTGTCTTGCCATCATACAAAAAGATCTTACCGTCTGCACCAGCACTGACAAATAAATCACCGTTGGGCGAGAACTGAACAGCGTGCACAAAACGTGTATGGTCACGAATGGTCTTGGCATGCTTAAAGGGTACACCATGGAAAAAGGAGACTGTCATATCATCAGAAGCAGTAACAGCACGATAAGGACGTTGTTGGCGAATACTGACACTGTTGATGATTTTAGAATGACCTGTGATTTCACCTACAGAGGATAAAGTATCATAGGCAAATGCATGGCCAAAGCTTTCTTTGCCTTCACCAACAGCAATGATACGTTTACTGTCACTGTCCCAGGCGATATCACTGATTTTACCCGAGATGGGACGACATTCGTTCTTGAGAATATGTTCTTCATTCACAGTATCCCAAATACGAACATTACCATGGGCATCTACAAAAAAAAAGAGACAAGTTAGTTATGACGTCTTTGCTTCTTTTTTTCCAAGTACCTCCTGATGCCATATAGTAACCACTGGGACTATAACGAGCAACAGTTGCTTGTGTTTTGTGACCCACATATTCAGTAGCAAGAGAAGGGTTCTAACGCATGTTAGTTGTGTTATTGATATTGTGTATTTGTTTTACCTCCAAGTCTCTCATAAAGACAGACTTACCATTCGTGTAAGCAAATGTCTTGCCCTTAGGATCAGCTTCAAGCTTAATAGACTCACCACGGTTTGTGTGAGGAAGAGGGGCAAACGTGTATTCTATTCAGAGTTAATAAATAACGCATGTTGAATGTAACTTACTTTTAGTATATGACATAAAGAAAAGGGTAAAAAAAAAAGATTGTTTCGAGTTGCCCTGAGTTTTAATATAAACATAGCATGATCAATTGTAAACAATGAATTCATTATGATAAGAATGAAGAAGGGAAAGTTTATTTGAAAATGAATCGTATTATTATTGTTTTTTTTTGATAAAGAGTACAAATGCATGAGAGATGAATAAGAGATAAAATGCTCAAGGTAAAACAGTGGAAACAGGCGGCAATGTTCTAGGTGTAGAAGAGAAAGAAATGGGTGGTAAGCGATGACTAGGAAATGGATCAGAAGTCTTGGATATAGGCGGTGAACGAGCCAAGGATAATAAGGATCGAGCCACTTGATGTTCTGGAGGCAAATTAGATTCATGGCACTTTTGACAGACTTGGTCGGGTGGAATAGGATTGGCAATGGCTTGATCTACTGTCTGTAACATAGCAACCGTATCTGATAAGAGTGCACTTAATCGAGTCACTTCTCGCTGTAAACTCTTGCGATATTCTCTTTGTGCTTCGATTGTATTCTGGCAGACATGAACATCAAGTGTAGGACACAATGGAGGCAACACAATCACATCTTTAGGTGAAAGTGGTTTTTCAACAGGAGACAATGAAGCTTTTCTTTCTACTTCTTCTATCGGCTGAGCCTTTTCATTTGCTGAGCATCTCTTTCTTCGCTTAATTACAGTTCTCATCATAGTAGCAGGTCTATGGACAAGATGTAATTTATAATAAAGCCCACATGCATTACAAATGGTTTTGCCATTTGCATCTCTTCTCCATAAGGGTGTTGTTGTCGTCTCACAATTGGCACAGACTGTAGTTCCCAAACTATTCTCTTCTTCTTCTTTGTCGTCGTCTGTCCATGGAGGCGTGGGTGATGCCAAGGATTGGCTGTCTTCTTCAACTTGTACTGTCATGATAAACTGTAAGAAAAAATAAAGAAAAAGAAATACTAATAAAAAAATTTTTTTTCTAATATCGCGCGATAAAAAAGATAATAAAATCGTCAATAGCACACATTGATTTGATCTTTTAATCTAATCCAATCAAATCGCTTCATTGAGGTTTATTTTTTCTCACGAATAAGAATTGGGTTTTCCATAGACAAATTTGCCTTTTCTTCTCCTTTTGAGTATTTGCATAATGGCCAAACATGATTGGTAGTTTAGTGCACTCATGTATCATGTTTTTATTTCTGCCTAATGAATAATCCGATATTATATACCAAATATGGCAAGTGATGCAACACTGCACGTTGACTCGAGTCATGATGAGAAGCATGAATTACCGCATTTTTATTGAATAGTATATACAATCATAATTTAAGCATCATTTACATCAGTAGTTAGCATGGGAGTGCCAGGCATCACCGGACCACTGAACTTGGTTTCAATAAATGTCTTCATAATACCAGCTTCCTTTCGATCAAAGCGACGATAGACTTCGGGCACTTGTTCTAATGGGAAACGATGTGTCAAGATGATAGTAGGATCAAACTCATCCTTTTGGATGTGTTCTAAACACTTGTCCCAGTGGCGTTGAATAGGTGCTTGACCACAACCCACTAAGCGAAGACCCTTTTCCATCAAACCACCAATCAAGAAATGGTTGGTGTAAGCAGCATAATCAGCAATCACGGCCATAGTACCGAACTTTTTGGTGGATCGAATCATTTCGTTAATGACTTCACTGGTATCTGTCTCAAGGCCAATGGCACGTTCTGCCTTGTGCAACAAACTCTTGGCATAGCGGAAACCACCACAGTCAATAGCACGGTCAAGACCTTCAGGCACAAGTTCCAAGACTTTAGCAGAGACATCCTTGTCAGTGTTAAAGTTAATGACTTCAGCACCCCAACGGACCTTGGCAAGTTCAAGACGTTCAGGGACATTATCGATAGCAATGATACGTTTGGCCTTGAAGACATTACGCAACCATTGAACAGCACTGAGACCAATAGGACCTAATCCCCAGACACCGACAACATCGTTTTCTTGGATATCAGCAGACCAAAGAGCATGATAAGAAGTAGGTACAATGTCAGATAAGAACAAGGCCTTTTCATCAGGAACGCTGTCGGGAATCTTGATCAAGTTGGTATTACCAAACAAGATACGAGCATATTCAGCTTGAGCACCAGAAAAACCACCCAAGAACTAACAAGAGTAAGATTGGATGCACTTGATAAGATTCTACTTACATGAGAGTAACCAATGATACCAGCAGTACGATGACCGTATAACTTTTCCATCACGGAGCTATTGTTGGTGTTTTCACAGGCAGTAAACAGTTTCTTTTGACAGAATTGACATGTACCACAGGCAATGTTAAAAGCAGCCACAACACGATCACCAGGATGGAATTTGGTTACTTTGGTGCCTACTTTTTCAATAACACCCATACATTCATGACCAAGAATATCGCCATCCTTTAATTGCATAATTTCACCATGATACAAGTGCAAGTCAGAACCACAGACTATAAATACACAAATGAGTATCAAGAGAACAATTTGTATTTTATCTATACCTGTGCTGCCAGTCACTTTAATAATGACATCCTCATCATCTGTAATTTCAGGCTTAGGAACTCGTTTCATGACAAGCTTTTCTTTGCCTGACCAAACACAGGCAAGCATGTCGGAGCTTTCGGAGGTATTTTGTTTATCTTGATTAGCAATATTGATAGGATGCTCTCCCATCTTGCTTTGAGCGTAGTTTGCAGCAGCGTTAGTAGCCATACTAAAGTAATAGAGTAAAAAAAAAAGGTAAAAAATGGATCTACGTTTTTTTTTTGGGTCGGCATATTATATACTCTTACCATGATGATTTCATGCTTCAGTAAACCCTGAATGACGATAAAATGACGATGAGAATAAAGAGAGAATGAAAGATACGAAAGAATGACACTAATGTTTTAGTCAAGACTTTCTAAAACGCTGTACGTGCTGACTAATTGAATTGTTGCTTGCATAGATTTCATGCAGCTTATGAACACATAAAAAAAATATTGACAACCTGTCATTGGTTTAACAAGGATAAACTAATACTGTCTGATATATATGTTGGAAAGGCATAAAAGATTTTTTTTTTTTGATTGATTGACTAAGGTAGTGCGTCAAGACAGTTGACTGCATCGGCGATGGATCTTTATGTTTTGAAGAGAATGTGATTTTTTGTGTGACAATAAGATTATTTCACTTCTCCATGTTCTAAATCATGAAAAGCTTTTAAGAAAGAGAACGAGAGACTACAACTCTATGTACTACCTATTTTCTCTTAATGCAAACATTTTTACTTAATGGACAAGAGTAGCATAAAAATAATACATTGTATTTTTTTAAAAAAAAAGTGTGGCTGTAAAAAGACCTCAGGCCTGTCGTGCAGCATCGACCTTGAATTCCGGTTTTTAGTTGCACGTATTTGAACCAAAGGAACACTCTATTAAAAAGTAATAAAGCCGAGAAAACAACACACTATCTATTCTCCCTTTTTTGGGGAGCGAATATTTATACAAAGTGGTTGATTTTTCTATTATCTTTCTCTTTTTTCTAGAACAAAACTTATGAATAATAAGCAAGTTGTACGTGAGCCAATAAAAAGGTCCAAGGTAAAGTTTTTTCTGTCTCGAAGTGTTTCATTGTTATTTGATAGGCAGAAACACAGACAGTGTATATCACAAGAGGTTATGCATGGACTCAAAGTGACGCTTCTGTCACGTAAGTTTGATAAATATTTTCAGTACAATTTGATTGATTTGGTTTTAGTGTTTATGTCCAGTTTAAAGATGCATATATGATTGAAAAAGATGGATATGTACTCCATGTAGAAAATAGGAGTATTGAACTAGATATTGCAAGTAGACAAATAAATATATACAGTAACTCATTTATGCCTATCTAGCTTAATTATCAAGGCGCAAACCATAAGTTTAAATTAAGCCAGCTATACGATTGTATTCATCCTCGAAAGTTTATTATTAAGGTAAAAGAAGAAGAAAACAAGCTCTATCACTCACATAATACAAGTTTAAAGAAAACAAAATTGTAATTATACTGTATAAACAAATAGCAGGTAAAAACTGGCCTGACCTGAGAATAAAGTCAACTCAGGCTATTTATAATGATCTCGAGAGATTAGAGAAGCAATTTGACTCGACAGACAAGAGCTTTGACTCGCCATTTCAAGCATGTCCACAACATAAATAAATGGCTTGTATTGTATGATTAAGGTTTATATTTTACTTTTCTAAATGTACATGAGATACTTTCTCAACAAAGATGCTGTTATCCTTGGTTCTACTGATAGGAGTAGAGTCACTGCCTTGTTCGATATCTTTCACAACAAAGTCTTTTTCTGTTTGGGGTGTGCCTTCGTCTTCTGAATAATTAACCACGGGTCCTGTAAACCATTTACGAGCATCTAATACATAACCACCGCATGCACCTATAAACACAAGTCCTACAGCTAAACAAGCATCTATGGAGAAGATAAGAATACAGAAAAATAAAGTTTCATCTTACAGTTCATTGTGACAGGTTCCACAGGATCTAAGCGAAAAAGAAAGTTAAATCTTTGTTCTACATAGAAACATGACTTACAGACGGGTGGGAGAACAAACAAGACAGTGATTACACCAATCCATAGAACAGCAATCCTAGATAACGATCAATATCTCTCAAGTAATAATACAAATACATACACTCCAACAATTTCAGAGAAACGACCTAAATGAAGAGGCCCTCTAACAAAATGCTTCCTGTTCAAAAGCTTAGCAACAATAGGCACTGCATACGATATATAGAGGCCAATCGTGGCAACAGAAGTGATAGCAGAGAAAGCAGTAGAATTACCTAGAGAAGGTAAACTTAAAAGAGAAGCGACTGTGACAGATAACCAGACAGCGTTCACAGGAGACTATATATTTGATGTCAATCATGAGAAACGCCAAGCAAACTTATCTTTACGTGTCTTTTAGTATCGATCTTATGCCAATATTTACTTCCGGGAATAGCTCTATCACGAGAAAAAGCGTAAATCATTCTTGAATTGGATGCCACACTAGCAAACCCACATTGCCAACAAGCGATGATGAGCATCACCATCAAACAAATAGCACCCGCTTGTCCTACACTATCGACCATGATTTGCATGATGGGAAATCCAGTCTCGGTTGCCACTGTGGTCTCAAAATCTTGAATACAGAACAAGAAGGCAAGGATAAATAAAAAGCCCATGATAGCACTAACGAATACAGCCATCATCATGCCTACAGGAGCACTGACTTCAGCGTTTTTGGTTTCTTCAGACATGTGGCAACTTGAATCATATCCTGTCAAGGTAAACTGAGCTTGTAAAAGACCAATGACGGCCACATAGGCTTTATTAGACCATCCTGTGCCATTATTGAAATGAGTAAACACAAAACTTGCTGATTGATGAGTGGGTGCTTTGGCAACAATGGTGATCATGATAACAATAGGAGCGACCACTTGCCACCACGTACTGAACGCTATGACGAAATCAGCATTCATGATCCATGTCTTTTGTACTTACAATTCACCCCAGACATCACCTTAGGCCCTAATGAGTTTGCAATGCCTTGACTGACACACATAGCAATATGGAGCCCGACAGTAGCACCCACTGTAGGCACCCACGCGCCATTGGTGCCTATTGAAATCACAGCTGCCAGCATCAATGCAATACCATAATTAATGCCTGCCGTTACAGCAAATTGTCCGATCAGATTAAACCAACCCGTCATCCATGATCCAAATGGGGCATAACGCTTCTCACTTAACATGGCTACCCAAAAATAAGGACCTCCCGATGTGATGTAACCCGAGCATATTTCTAACATGTATGTCATATCAATATGATGCAGATCGAAACTGAAACAGCTTTACCTGCCATGGCCAAGGCGACCATGGATGTGAAAAACGATACTGCGATCCAACCCCATACCATTACTGCCTACATCATACGGGATCAATGCTTGTATATACCCCATTCTACTTACAGGACCACCTGTTATAAGACCATAAGAAAATAAACTTGTTAACCCTGATGAGATACAAACAACACTCAATGCTAATCCATAATTGCCAAAAGACTACAAACATAAATAAACACGCTTCTGTATAACAAACATACTGATAACTCTCGTTTTAATTCCTATTAATCAAGATCAATCCAAGTTTACTTGTTGTCTCCTCTCATACCTGCTTATAACCCAGTTGATTTAACCTTGCAGCATCTCTGGCTTCAATCTCTTCTGCGGTCAATTTAGATGGCATTATCAGATAACAGTAAAAAAAAGGGGAGAAGAAAAAAAATGCAATGTGTTTAAATAATAGTATATTTTTCACCAAATTTGAGAATTGATCTGCGATAAAATGAGAAAAATTAAAGTTCAAATTGAGAAGTTTCAAAAGCAAAGATAGTAAAGTTCTAATGATAAGCGCCAATTATAGTAATTCGAAGTTGACAATCGCTTTAGCCGATCATTTCTCTACCTTGACCAATCATTTTTGAGAACCCAATGTTAGTTGTGTTGAATTGTAATAAGACATACAACCCATCCACTTAATCTATCTCTACTAACACTTTAGCATTTGTAATTTTTGTGCAACAAGATCAAATGACCATAAATCACTTCTCATCTTTTTCCTCTCCTCTTTTTTACTTATCAATGCTTTATTGTCTTTGCCAGAAAAATTGCTTTGTTCGTAAAACAAATCGTTATCGATATCGATTGGTTAGTCGTCTGAAATCATTTCTTTGACATTAAAGTCGGTAAAATTGATATAATTTAAAAAACATAGTCCAGAAAATAGGGTTAGTAAAAAAAAAAGCAAGTGTGTTAAAAAATACAAAAATATAGCAAAAGTTTGACCTTTTTTGACTTGTTTTACCTCTTCATTTTGAGAGCTTCCAACAACTATCTGTGGAAGACTGTTGACCCATTGCTAATATTTTTATGCATTTTCGTGTGAAAAAAAAATGCTGAAATTAAAAGACCTTAGTCAATGCTTTGATGCCGCATGAAAAAGAGGTCATAGTATTCTTGTGAAAAAACGAATTAATCTTGTTAAGAGGTACCTATAATTAGAAGTTTTGTTAACTATTTTAGATTTCTTTAATAAATCACAGGTTTTTTCGTGTGATAGATAATGAGAAAATTATCGATTATAGTAAATGTGGTCAGCCATTCTTCCTTGCAAAAATACTCACATTACTACCAAGTCTATGTCTTTTGTAATGCCATCTTCCATAAAGGTCCTAGAAGAAAGAATACTTGAAAGTGTCTTGATATCATTCTGTGAAACAAATGTAGGAATATAGATAACATAACAAAAGTATGGTGTTAAACCAAATACGTTTTAAGCCAGTTAAGTCGAGTTTGCGGTCACATTGACAGAGGGAAGAGACGAAAACCTAAAGAATGCAATGAGGAAGGTCATGAACAAAAAGAAAAGGCTATCGTAATCGATGGATGTGTCTGCCTAATCCGCAAAAGAAAGTTATAATAAATGTACCCTCTTTTTTACTTAATTATCTTTTTGTTGTTACGCCTCTACATTTGAAATATTCGGACTAGCTTTGTATTAATGCCTATTCTAAGATGATTTACAGGAGAAATGGAGTATAAAAATGTTGGCTCTTGTAGTAAATTAATACAGTAGCATAAAGAAATGTGAAGTATTCATCTTCTACAATCATAAAAACCAGGACCATTTATAAACAGACATTTATTGATTTGCTCAAATTTACTTCTACAATGGCTCACAAAGAAGAACAAGGAGCCCGCGTCAGCAATGATTTAGGTAATATTGAAACCAGCAGCATTAGAGCCAGCAGAAGAAGAAACAGGGCCCTTTGGTTTTATGGGTTTCTTGCGTCTGTATCCCAACGGTCTAAGTCTATGGCGTCCGCCTTTCCAGCGACGAGCGAGTGTTTTCCCCTCCGCAGCTTCTTTACCCTTCTGCAGATCAGCAGCCTCTTCTTCATCATAACACTCGCTCGTCGCTGGAAAGGCGGACGCCATAGACTTAGACCGTTGGGATACAGACGCAAGAAACCCATAAAACCAAAGGGCCCTGTTTCTTCTTCTGCTGGCTCTAATGCTGCTGGTTTCAATATTACCTAAATCATTGCTGACGCGGGCTCCTTGTTCTTCTTTGTGAGCCATTGTAGAAGTAAATTTGAGCAAATCAATAAATGTCTGTTTATAAATGGTCTTGGTTTTTATGATTGTAGAAGGCTTAGATAACATGTAGCAATCTTATCAAGGTATACTCTGCTCTAAATTGCATTCATTTGCCAAACAAGCAAGTGCCATGATATACAAAGTCGCTCGTCTTGGTCTATTGGGGCCTGCCGACGATATCCCTTTGTTCGCATTATTAATCATTCTGATTATCAAAACTTGCAATAGCTTAAAACGATATAACATTAAAAAGGTTTATGTGCATATATTGATACAAGGCCAAAAGGTTTCTTTTTTAAAAATTTGCAGCATAATGGAATATGTAGTGTAAATATCTACAGTACTTTCAAAAGTTCTCGTTTAGCCATTCCGTTAAAATCAACGCTTTGAAGACCAATACTGGAAGCAATCACCTTTTTGACTTGGTCGCTATATTCTACTGCGCTTTCGTTCTGTTTGGGTGATTTAGGTTCGCAATACACAACATTTACTGGTGTAATCCATCGAGTCATTCTGTAATACGCATAATGCATGAATCCCTTGCGTGTGTCCCAGTAAGGATCACCAAAATATCTATCATATCTTAACCCTTTTATTAGAGATAACAAGATAGAAAATCCTACTTACTTTATACCCACTGGGCATACTTTGACACCGAGTTCAAAAGCTCCTTTTTGAAATCGAATAGCATATCTGTTGTTGACACAGGTGCCTTCTGGGAAAATAATCATTGGATTCTGCCATGTATTGGAGTTATGTACATGCTTCTTGAGACTATGCATGATAATTAACAGTGTTTAGTTTTATGGAGCACCCTACCTTTCTGCCAATACTCTACGTTCAGTAATATTAGCACGATCAAATGTGAGAGAATGTAAGTAGTTGAGCCCGTTATTTTGTAAGAAGCCTGAAGCAAGAATGAGAAGCTATGATTCGATAATATCTCTTTTACCTAAAGCGCCTGCATGTCTTGCCATCACAACAGCATGTGGGAATCGATTTGCACTGAGTAAAATATAGTCTAAATAAGACGTATGATTGGCCTAGCAGATGTGTCAGAAAAAGATGATGCTTCTAGCAACATACCACAAACACATGAGGCTCATTTAACCGAGGTTTTTGTCCAATATAGTTCACTTTCACACCTAATGAAAACAAGATGCCTTTGCAATAATATTTGACACAAAATGACTAACAGGAATTAAGTTGGAACATAATCAAGACTCTACTTACCACAATATCGCTATTTTGTAACGCAACACCAATTGGCAATGTTACAAAGAAAGCTATTGTTGATGCTCCAAGTGTGACAAATCGAAGTGGGAAAAGTATGCCGTACCGAATGATTGCACTAGGTACAGAAGTGATTGCATAATATATCTTTTCTAGTCGAGACATTTGAACTTTATCTGATGTAAAACATGTTGCAAATGATAGCTTATTTTATATAAATATCCTGTTATTTTACATGTATATATATGTACCAATTGTTCACGGGTATACTCTGTATTACATGATCTACTCAAAATAAAATAAGACAGGGTTCAATTTGAAATGAACCTTACTTTTTATTTGTACCTTGTATATAGTCATTTCTCATCATATCGAGTGATTCGCTCGATGCACTCTTAACACTTAATAAGCTTGGGGTAAGGAACTCTGGGTCTTGTGGAGGCATATTGTTTAATGAAAAAGGAAAAAAAGCAAAAAAAAAAAGAGATGGAAAAAAAGCGGAATCTTAACCAATAAAGGATTTTTAAACAGTCTCTTCTTTCTACTTGGTTTAAGATACCGCATCTTTTTATTGTATGAATTAGTTGAATAAATAATGGATTTTTTTTTAATATCTAGATGACAAAAGGAGGACAGAGAGGGAATAATTTAAAACTATAAATACAAGGATCTTTTTTAAAGCTTGAATACGATTCTGTTCTTTTGAGGCTGAGCCTTTCTTCGCTTGACGGCCCAGTCACGGGCAATCCAAAGAATACAGACTCTTTCCCAAATCAAGGTAGCAGCACAATTGGCTAAACAATAACCCCACAATTGCCAGCGGAACCATTTAGGCATGACATTGTGACCAATAGGAGAGTTATAGTCTGGAATATACCAGTTTGGCTTAGGGTATCCAAGTTCTTCTAATACACTAGCAGTACCACAGTTGATACGGAAGATACAGCTATAAGGATTAGGATCAGCCAAGGTCATGTAACTTGTGCTGACAAAGAAACAAGACCAGACAAACACAAGGGCATAATTTCTCCACCAAGATTGACGGAATTGAGAACCGAAATTGACAATGGCACCGCTGTTAAAGAATTGGAAGATAATGACTAAACTGATCACCTGTTATGTAATCATGTCAATAAAAACTATCTATGTAAAGAAATATATTCTTACCGCATCTTCGTAATTATCACCCAATAACCACCATTGAGCAGAATTGATAGAAGAACTATCAAATTCACTACAGATAAACCAGTCTTGTTGGAAAAGCCATACAACACTGCAAACAATAAACCAGAAATTGATGAAGATAACGCCTAATAAAGAAACCAATGTATAAGCACCTAAAGGTTTAGCAGTAGGGCGAGATGGGCTTAATTTCTTAGCAGGTTGAGCTTGAGTAATAGCAAAAGTCATGGTAGTTGTAATAAAACCATCAATTGTGATCCAGACAGATTGATAGGCAATAGCTGTAAAGTAAAACATGATTAATTCCCAACAAGCCATACATTCACCGTAAAGAATCAAGAATTTGTAGTTGGAAAAACTAGTAGCAAGAGCGGCTCGACCTTGTTTCAAAAGTTCAACACATTGCATAATAGATCTAATCATATTAGCCTTTATGCCATTCTATTTGTATTGCTTACCTGTTGTTTGTACTGAAAGGAGACACAATAGAAGCTTCAGCTTCAGATAAAGCCAAGCCAACATGGGCAGCACGAAGAGCACCGCAATCATTACCACCATCACCACACATAGCAGTAACGCCCTTCTCCATGTGAAGTTGAACGCACATTACCTTGTCATTGGGCGTCATACGAGCAAACACACGAGTCATCAAAAGGTATTTGCGCATTCTATCTTCCTTGATCAAGGCTTCGAAAGCACGGCCAGTAATAGCAAGTTCAACACGCTTTTCATGTTCTTCGTGAGGATCTATATCAATCACTTGGTCCACATCGACTTGTTCGCCCGAATCCACATCATGCCACACAACAGAGCCAGAGACAAGGTCACCCAGAAGCACACGTTGATGGGGTTCAATCATGCCACATTGACGAGCAATGAAAATACCTGTTAATGCAGTATCACCTGTAATCATCACTACACGGGTATCACCACCCTTGAGTTCAGCAATGGCCTGTGTAGTGTCGTGCTTGAGCATGTTACGGAACAAGACAAAGCCTAAAAAGTGACAGTCTTGTTCTAACTCATCTCGAGTCATAGATTTAATTTGTTCCATGGTTACGTCTTGGCCCAAGACACCAATATCACGGTGTGCCATAGCAAGTACATAACAACCTTCTTGTGCGTGTTTAGCAGCTTGTTGATCGTAATCGACAGGAATTGAGTCAATTTGAGAGAGATACTTGACACGCTCAAAAGAACCTTTAAGGTACACGTGGACATGTTGGGTCTCAGGGTCAAGAACAGCTACAGATTGAGAAGCACGGGCATGAACAAATTCAAATCGACGCAAGACGTGAACCAGCTTTTTGTCTCTTTCTGCCACAGGCGCAGCAGAAGCAGCAGCCAACGTATCGAGGTAAGCAGGATCAGCAGGAGGGAGTAATTCCCATTTCATGGCATTAAAAGATTCAATATCTACAGGATTACCAATGAACTGACCCTTGACTTCAGTCACAGCATGACAGGTAGCAATACCCATGGCTAAAGTAGGTTCCATCTTTAAGGGATCTTCTTCACGATGATCAAAAGGAGCAATAGGAGCAGAAGGAGCAGCAACAGCACCATAGAATTCCAATCCTTCGCGTGTCAATGTACCTGTCTTGTCAAAACAAAAGATACGCACTTTACCAGAAAGATTGATACGAGGAAGATCAATACATAAAATCTTTTTGTGACGAAGACGAGTGGCACAGACAGACTGGTTGATGGTAAAGGCAGCAGGCAATAAGGGCGAAAAGATTTCAGAGATCACAAAGACACCATAGAACCAACTAGTGATATTACCACGACCCATCAAATACAAAGACAAGGCAAAAGCAACAAGACCCCAAACTAAAAGAATTGAAATGGCCACCTTGATATGTTCGTTAAAGATAAAAGACACAGGCGAAGGGAAAAGAATCTTATGAATTAGCATACCCTTTTCAGACGAGATACCTGTACGAAGCGCCAAGGCAAAGACACGGCCCACGGTAGGTGCAGGTGTGGTTTGAGAGACAATGGTACCAGCAAACAAAGTATTGACTTTACCAGATCCGTTCATTTCATACATGTTATCGTCATCGGGAATAGCGAATTTTCGGATAGGCATGGCTTCACCTGTGAGAGAAGATTCGTTGACAACCACTGTACCAGACAGGATGACAGCGTCACAAGGAACCAAGGTGTTTTCCTCGACTTCAAAGACGTCTCCGGGTACTAAATTAGCACTTGAGGCCGAGACCCATTGACCATCACGCAACACAGTAACATCAGTAACATGTTCAGCCATTTCTTTGATACGGTATTCTGCTCTTAAACGCAAAATGACACGGATAAAGGCAGCCACAAGAATGATACATGTTTGAACAAGACCCATAATGTAATATTGAAAGTAGTACCATACCCACATACACATCATTTGATAGAGATACAAGAATGAAGAAAATCTATAAAATCAAATAAGCTCGCTAAGCTATGAACTGCTTCACTTACTCTTGAATAATGGCAACAGGGATAGAAGGGACAGTAACACGGATGATGTTCTCGCCAATCAAAGCAGCTCTTCTGTTAGCTTCATCTGTAGAAACACCCTTTGACCAAGCTTGAAGTTGTCGATTAGTTGAGCCGAGATCGAATTCATAAGGTTCAAATCGTCCTTTGTCTGTGTTGTAAATGTATCTCATACATTGATATTCAAAGTAGCGAAGTTTGTTTTCTGTCGCTTTGACAGGACAGGTTGTGACCACGATATCTAACCTAAAAGGCAGAGTTAGTTTCATATAAGATTTTTGCTTTCTTTCTCCTACCCCAATCGTTTGATGACACGTTGTTCGATGTCTCTGAGTTTAGAAATCCATTTACTGCCGTCTGCTAAGAAAATCAATTCATCTTGTTTGCGTTCAATCTGAACATAAGGACACTTGTGAGGATAAGACTCAATTCTAAAATAATTGCGAATTGTCTTTTTCTTGAGCATGATCAAGCAAAACCAGGCAGCAGCAATATGCCAAACAGCACAAAAGATTTTACTGGAAAGGTCACCCGATAAGAAGACAGCATACACGCCGCCCATTGTACCATCTATCAACAGATTGTGTTACATGTCACGAAATCAAAATGATGTACAACTTACAATAATCACCCACGATAACACCAAGGAAGACAAAGAAAAGCAAGGTAGTAATCACTACTGATCCAAATCCAAAAATACCGAAATAATCTGTCAAAAAGCCACGAAACCGCAATTTTTCAGACTCTTTGATAGAACCAGTTGAAATGGTCGAGTCGTCCTTGTTTAACTGCTGCTTTTTTTCGTCCAAGGCCATATCTTGTTGACATCCTTCAGCTTCGTTGACTTCTGTGTTGACTTTTATGACAGTATCGTCTTCCATAGTGGCTTTTGATGCCAGTGCCATTGCGTTATGATACTTGAATTCTCGAAGGTATTTGTATATAGCCCAAAGTGCCAAAATAGCAGCTTCAGCGCTCATCAACACCCACACAGCAATCCACATAGGTTCTCTAAACGTAAAATAAGGGTCTACCACAGGACAGCTTAACCAAAGCGAAGGTGTCGAGAAGTCGCCCCAGACACCCACATTTGACACGCTAGCACTTGAAGCGCATGTATTTTGGATCTGTGTGACTTGATTGATAGGATCGAAGTGAGTGATATTAACAAGTTGTCCAGCAGCACAAGGGTAATATTGAATTGTATCGTCGCCACATTGACAAGCATTGGCAATACCTTCACAAGAAGTTTGACAAGTACCATCGCCACAGAAATTCAAACCTCCGGGACAAGTCGCCGCCAAAGAAGAAGGGCATAAATTCTGGTTGGTAACGCATAGTAAAGGGCAGGCTACATTGTCATGTCTTCTCAAAGGACACTTATTACCATATCGATCATAGTCATTAGCTAAAAAAATGTCAGTATAAAAAAATTGTCAATAAAAAATGGTTTTTACTTACGGATTTCAAACAGGGGTATAGCTGTTGCACCTATGATAAATGCAGACAGACTACACAAGACAGCATTTATTTTCATAATGTTCAGTCTTGTCTTATTTTCTTAGCCACTTCTTTTTAGTAGAAAAAGAAAAGTAAAGAAAAAAAAATATATATATCTCTCAAAGAAAGAGAAGAAAAAAAAACTCTAAAATTCCGGTTGAAATTCTCGTCACAGCGATTAGAAAAAGGTACCACCAGGACTTGATTTTATTGGATTTATTTTTACTGCCACTTTCCGATGATTGGGGAATAAGCCAGCAAGCACAAGAGAAATGATCTTTGCTAATCTTGTACTACAGCAAAATGAATTACATCTTCTCACATGATAGATTCTTTAAACACTTTAGTGTACATCTTTTTTCTTTATTTATTTAAACAGTAAGATAGAGTTAAGATTATTTCCAGATACATATAGGAAAGATTGGATGAAGAACACAATGTAACATTCGTTTCACAAAACCTGAATTTTTTTTCTTTCTTCAAATGCGCTTAGCCTTATATTTTTTTAGTGTCACAATTCAACTGTATATATCTTGTTGAAATTTAGGCGTAAGGCGTTACCATGTCAAACAAAATGCGCTTTTTAAGATAAGCTGTAAAACAGGTAAACTTTCCAATTGCATGAATCTCTTTTGATTAAATAGAAAATACAGGTTTTTATTGGAAGATATCAAATGAGAATGGCTTTCTGATTTACTAATCTGTCTGCTTGATTGTAATGGCTAAAATAGCTCATATTAAATAGCTCTATACTTACAAAGGAAATAAAATATAAAGAAGTTATCCTATCAACAAGTAGAAAATGCCTTTGATATCTTTTTCAATAAGTCTTGTTTGTTCAGTGACAGACACTATGGGACTCCTCTGATATTTCTATTCTCAAAGATAAAATGCTTCCATACTAGTTTTTGTAACGAAATTCCTAGATTTTCATTCTTTGCATTGGCAGAAAGTGATTCAACTGAGTCGAAAATCTGAAGTTGAAATGACACACTCTCTCTTTTTTTAGCAGTGGTTTTATCTTGGAGCATCATTCATACCTTGCTCCATATCAACTAGTAAAAAAAAAAAATGGCTTTGAGCAACGGAAATACAAAAAAATACAGCACTACGAAAGGTATGAGTTCAATAGTAAAATCTTGTTATTTATTTATTCAACTAGATCTGTTGAGTGAAGAACAACAAGATGTACTCAAAGGCAAAGGAAACAAGATTGAGAGATTGCAGTCAGGTAATATAGATACATAAGCCTTTGTTCAAAGCCTTCCTATTTATCAGTCATTTTCAGAGATAACGCACCTTTCAAAACCATTATTACAAACAGAAGGATCCTTACAGTGGTCCAAACACGTTACGCCTGGCACATTATCTGTATTTCAAGACGAAAAGAGTTGGCATGGAATTCAGATTGATGTAAATCGAAAAAGTAATATAAGAGAATTCAAGGATGCAAATGGACTATCTTGGAGCAATATGAGAGAATCTATGCATCTAGATTCTGAAGGTATATTTTGCCTTAGAAAAGGATGTGAATTAATAGTGCTTAGATGAAAGTGCGTCTGAAGAAGGTTCGCCTGTGACAACAAGGTTAAATGCAAAAGATATGCAAGTCTTTGGCTCAATGCCTATGGAAGAAGATATCGTTGTTGTCAAATGTAATAACTGTCATCGTCCGTTATTACCAAGTAAATTTAAAGAACATTCAGGTATTTGAATTCAGCCAAGCACAAAAAAGGAGATAATGACCGAAAAATGGAAATTATTATCGTATATAGAATCGTGTATTGGCAAGCAAGACTTTTTCTCGGATGAAAAAAAAGTCTTCTCGCTTGAAGGTAAAGAAATAGACCTGAGACGTTGCATTCATGTGTTTTGTAGATGAATTGAGTATTCCAACTGCTAAAAGACCACCTTCCGCTTCATTAGAAAAAGTTGAAAAGAAGAAACTTAAAAAAGAAAAACAAAAAAAGACAACAAAACAAAAAGGTAGGACAGAAATTGTGTAAGTCTTTATGTTATTAACCTCTCATAGCCCTCTCGATTTAGACAAACAATGTGGTGTCATTCAGGGCTTAAATAACACGCCATGCACTCGCTCATTGACTTGTAAAAGTCATTCTATGGGTGCTAAACGTGCAGTAGAAGGTAGATCACAGCCTTATGATGTCTTATTAGCAGCCTACCAGAAAAAATCAATTGGAAGACCTAACGGCAAAGAAATACCTTCCAAGAAAAAAGGTAAGTATGACATGCTTTTTATTATTCTAAATTATCATTAGACATGACAGCCTCAACTCCTACAACACCAACAACGACAGCTACAGCAATAACAACAAGCACTGCTGGGAAGTCAATTAAAAACCTTAAAAGATTACAAAATCAAGTTTCTGTTAACTGCTCAAACCATAAATCTAATTTAGTTTCTCAAGCGCCGGAAGAGCCTTTTATAGATTCAGACGAAGAAGTTGAGTCTGTGATGCAGGCACTCAGACTGAGTAGACCAACACCATTGGCGCAAAAGCCATTTTTCTTTGTTAAACGTAGACGTCAGTGTTTTCGATTACGGGATATATTATTGGATGCCATTACACCTAAATCTATAAATGACAGCACCATTACATCTATAGAAGCGGCAGAAAGTCGCACAAGCTACTATCAACAACAGCAACAGCAACAGCAACAGCAACAGCAGCAATCACAGCCGCAGCAATCACAACAGCAGCAAAACAATTTTGGTTACATTATCATGGACAATAACTTGTTTGACCCAGCCAATAGTAACTCATTCTCGGTGAGGTAAAATGTACATATTACACTCTTATGCATGTGATCTTCAATAAAAACATAAACATCTTTTTTTTTATACATAACCCAAAACTGGGAATTGCCTTGTCTGTTGAAGGCAAAATACAAATCAGGACGTCTATTTGATGGGTGAAAGTAAACCAGAGACAAAGAGAGTTACACGACTTGTAAGGCTATTGGTCTTTTTCTTTGAATGAATGAGTTACTGAACGGTGATTTATTAGCGACTGTTTTTTGTCTACTGCTGAAAGTGCAAGAAAAAGGCTCTTCGAGTCAAATAAACGTTTATATATAAAAAGAAGGCTTGTGAATGACAACAATCGTGTCTCCTTTTTTACTGTGTGTAATGTATGTCACATTGATATCGATCAAACGAAATAAAAGACATTCTTTTTTTCTTCTTTTCTTTTCCTTCTCTTTCTTTTCTTTTTTCTATAATCTTTTTTCTTTGATTCTATGTCAAATACGCCTACAATTAGGTAATAACAGAGTGAAATGTAAATTTAAATTGACTTTAACAACTAGCAATATGGATCATGAAATGCCATTCAGAAGAGACATTCAGGACAGAAATAGACGCCTTACTTTACCACCTATATCTTCTATGGACAATGGGTTTGCCAGTAAATCTTGGCCGCCACCTTCGACAAACTTGACACCTTCACCTGGAAGCACAAGTAGCCTCACTATGCAAATGCAACAAAGTAATATTCTTTCACCTCCTTTAGCACAAACGAATGAACATCCACACAGTTATCCTAGAGTAGACTATTTTACAGCAAATAATTTAAATCATCGCCGCCAAGCGTCTGTATCTTCAACAGGTTTTAGCAAGGCTATAAATAACAGCATTTCAAAACAAATAAACACTGCAGATAGCATGAACCCCTCGTCCTCATCATCATCAACGACAAAAATTGAAACCATCTTGACATCACTCTCCACTCCTTCTTCTACACGAAGCATTGAATACGACATTGAACAAGTAAACAAGCCTTCTTATTTAAAATATAGCTAAATCTAATTTGCTAGGTGATTCGACAATGCAATACTTTATCAGATAGCATGAACGACAAAAAGCGACATATTATTGAAAGTAACCCAGCATTAATACGACCATGGCTTGACGATATGATTGGAAGAGCCAATGAAGTTTTAAACGCATTATTAAGGTTAAGGAAACATCAACTAGCAGCTGAACATCATCATAGACGTAGCCTAGATGGCCAGGTATGAGAAATGACTCATTCTCTAATTGAGTAACATGACTAATCATGTAACTTATACAAAGGAAACTGAATCCTGGGATAATAATCCACTGACATCCAATAATGTTTTATCATTGAACTCGGGAAAGCTTCGAAAAAGAGGGGTAAGCAAGTTTTTTTTAGGTTTATTTACACAATCAACTTTCTATAGAAACGACCTGTATTTCAAGGTCGATGTCATTCTTGTAATATTTCAGAAACACCAGAATGGAGAAGAGGGCCTGATGGAGCACGTACACTTTGCAATGCTTGTGGTTTACGTAAGTAGAATTAAATGCTTACCATCTAACTCACCTCGTATCTAGATTATGCTAAACTGGCAAAGAAGAAAACCAAGCAAACAGATACTAAAGAACAAGATGACACGAGTATGAAGTAACTTTACAAAAATAGCTATATCTTTGATAGTAAATTATAGCTTTTATTTTACAACGACATTGTAACACTATTTATTATTTCATCTCCAATTGGTTCGTTTCATTGATAAGATCTTTACAACGAAGTTACCATTCAGGAGAAAGTAAAAAGGAGCAACAAACAATAGATAAGCTTTTCCCCTTATCTCTATCACAGATCAGAGGCCCAGAGAAATTTTCTCATCAAATTCCAGGAACACATGTCGGAAAAAAAAAGACGGATTTCATGCAATTTTATACCCAGTATTCAATAACAGTTCAGTCCTTTCGATTCCATGTAAAAGTTTTTTGTTTTTATAGTAAAATGAAACGAGTTTCCATATTTCTAAAATGTAAATTTGAATTCATGATTACTAAGCTTCGTAATACTTTTAGAGTAGAAGCCCGAAAAATCGGCAGGTGCAAGCTAATGCCTGGTTTTTAAAGGGTATTCTTTTCTAAAATACGTTCAAGTTCCGTCCCTTAATTCCTGCCAAGCATTCAAAGCAAACACAAAAATCAAAATACATTATGTTCTTTGTTGCATGTTCACTGTATCTTATTCTATGACAATGTAAATAAATAGCTCTTTTTTACAGAAATTTCCCGAGAAAAAAAAATAGAAACTTTGATTTAAGTCTAGCATCCGATATACAAAAAAATCTTGAGAAGAGTGTCACATACAAAAAAAAACTAAAAATGATGTCAAGGAACAAAACACTGTCAAAAGATTTTGTTGATAACGAAACCAGGCGCCTTTTTATTTATGATACATTTGCATTTAGTCAAAGCATTATTCAAAAAATACAGAGATTCTATGATCAAGACAATACAAGTAGACTTAAATAGCAACCAGAAATGGAAGATGAACATGCTATACCAAAAAGCAATCAGTCAAAAGATACTTTGAAAACTTGTGCAACAGGGTTAAGCGTCATGGCTAAAAAAGGATTTATCCGGATAGATAGACCAATAAATAAAAGACAATTAGTAGCAAGCACTTTTCTCACCGTTATTGACTATGATATGAACGAGATCTCTCTATGCGATGAAGATATTGAGACTGTGCCCGAGATTATTGTCAACGCAATGTTGATGATGAGAAAAAAGTGAGTGCAACATCATATCAGTCATGGAGTTAGATGATAATGGAACTAAAGGAAGGGCTTGAGAATGATGAGGCTAACAATAGCTCAAATGAAGTTAATGTACAAGGGGCGAAAGCGGTTTGAAAGAAGCGAAGCCTCTTGAAGACCTGACTGAAAAAAATAAGACAATAACAATGCCAGACGTGTACACGCTCAGCAGGATATCAACAAGCTAATTGCTTTGTTAGTCGAACAGGTACCTATAAATCAGGCAGCCTCAAAGACAGGAATAAATGAGGAACCCGCCTATCGCTTCAAATTGCAATGACAAAAAACTGGGGAGGTACCTCAATAGAAGAAATGAGGACACAAGGTGGGAATTGTCTCTGAGCTTACTGAAGAACGCTCTGAGTTTATTATCGGCATTGATGAGTGTTTAACTACAATTGTAACTGGAATACAGTATTTTCAGAAAGTATTCGTGCACTAATAATTTTTTCTAAGTATGCCAATAGTTTCGGGAAATAGTGTATCTATTCTCTCTTCATCTCACAACATATATAATCTATATAATTAAAAACGAAATTTTACACGCTTTCACTTCACTTATGCGCATTTTGTCTTTCGTTCCAACTGTTGTAGTTTATGGTTTACTTAATAAATTCTCATCAAACTTTTCTTTTCCTTATACATTTCATAGAGTCACCTTTATTTGAAATGATCACCTGAAAACACTTGATAGAGATAATGTGAAAACTTAATATTAGCATATAGATTTGAAAATAATTTATTGGCATAATAATTATGCATGAACATCAAACAAAAGCTATTTTATATTACTAAAGTTTTGCTACATAGTTGGTTAATTTCTATCTCTGTTCTGTGCTGAGTTCAATTTGCTCAAATCTATTTCTGTGTGATCATCTTCATGTCACAAACAAGATATAAAAAAACACAATTAGCCACTTATTCTCTTTTCTTTCTTTTATACATATATTTTATCTTAAACAACCTTATCTCTTTTCCAATTATCACTATAACTATCACTGAATACCAACATTTTGGTTAGTATTTCTTACTCAATTATATGAATAATCCTTTATTTTAACACTCTATATTTTTTTTAGTTTAACTTGTTGGTCACACATACTCGTAGAGGAACTTGATTTTTGACAGGAGAGAAGAAAAGGAAATAAAATATATAGAATTAGAAAAATTAAATCAATCGGAAATCCTATTCATAAGAATATGGATTTGGTGATTAATAGTTGTAACAATTGTATCGGTATTAAAAGGAATACTGTCAATGATGAGTTGCCAGTAAGCTTTCCAGATATAAAATTGAGTAGTCGAGACAATTACAAAAAAAGGTCGATAGAGAACAGATCGATGATGGAAAGGTGACTGGATAAAGTGTAACGCATTCAGAATGTCAGTGTTGGTAAACATGTAAGTAGGGAAATGATATTGAAGTATCAGAGACCAAATAAGATTCTTTTTCGGACAAGAAACGATAAAGTGATCAGTGTCTTCTTCAGCCGAGGTACATAGCCTGCAAAGAGTACTAGATACAGTGCCAATTTGATGAAGATAAATGGCGGTGGGCAACTTCTTACAGAGCACCCTATACCAGTGATTACGAGCAGGAAGTAAGATGGGGAGTGACCAAAAGAGGTTGATGTCTTTTGCTGGAATGAGGGAGAACAGTGATATCGTTCCAATATTTTTTAAGTTGCGGAAACTGTAGAATGTATACCTGGACCATAACTGATTGTGTTGGAATTGTTGAACGAAAGTAGTAATGTTGAGAGCAAGTTGGACATCTTCATCAACATCAGCAACCATATGGTCAAAAAGATAAGGATGCAATTTTACTGTTCGTAGTTCCAAGATTTCTTTCTTTAACCTTCGACAAAGTGTTGGCTTTTGAATATATTCATGTTCGACTTGCAGTCTTAGACGACATAGTGAAGGGTCGTAGGTGAAAAAATTGCTTGCTAGGAAAGTCTTATGTCCGTGCAGCCAGTGATCAGCTGGGTAAGATATCATCAAGTAATATAGAGGTAGCTGTAGTAGGGTAGCTACCGGGCACCTAGAGAAATTGAATTGAATGCCAAAGTGGTCAAAAGCTTTGTAACACGCATTGACGATGGAGGTAGGGTGGTTAAGAGGATGAGTGCGCCATTCAGGAACGAAAAAGGACATTTCAGGAGGCATAGGACCTGGTGTGATGAGATTCATATGGTGTTTGAATAGAGGTCGAACAAGTGCTGAAGAACTGTACGGGCGAAAAACATGGTGAAGATGTCTTATCTGTAGTACCGGATGCTGTGTTGCAGGTTGTAATAAACCAATCCCACCTTGATCAAGAGGTAGACTCAATTGTGAATACGATACAAGAGGTCGCTTGTGTTGCCAAACATATTCATAAATGATACTCTTCAGCTTTTTCAGAAAGACTTGTATTGGTTGGAGCAACCGTAATGCATACCATATCTTGGTCATAATCAAGATACTGGTGACGGTTGCCCGGCCTCATAAAGATAACTGTCTTGAAGAATATAAATGAAACTGTTCCTTTACCTTATGAAAAAGTTTGCCTTGAATAAAATTTCGTTGATGGATGGTGTAAACCATATAGAAACCTAGATAGCGATCCCAGTCCTCATCCTTATCTCCACTGAGTGAAAACGCTCCAGTTTTGGCTTGATTAAACTTTGCATTAGAGACATTTGAATATTGCGAGAGGTGATGTTGCAGCCTGGTGAAATCATCGTGTGTGTTGAGTATGACACAAACATCATCGGCATAGGCTATAGTCTTTACAGATTGAGAAATCCCATCAGAGTTATAACTGTATCCAGTAATTGCCCGATCTTGTTGAATGGAAAGTAGGAGTGGTTCCAAAGCTAAATTGAATAAAAGAGGAGACAAGGGATCACCCTGTCTTAGGCCTCGTTGCTGAAAAACCGTCGGTGTAAAGTATCCATTGACATTCACTTAAATAGAATTGCCAAAGAAGAAATTTTGTATACACTGTATGAATGGACGGCAGAAACCAAAGGACACCATAACTTTTATCAGATATTGTGGATTGACGCAATCATACGCTTTTTCTTGATCAAATAAAAGGTCTATACCGGGATATTGACGATATCGGGCTTGGTTCATCAACAGATGTAGCAAAAGACCGTTTTCACCTACGAACCGTCCTTTCATAAAGCCAGTCAGTGAGCACTGAACTATATTGTCCATGATAGGATTTAAACGAGAATTGATTACTCTGGATAGGATTTTTGCATCACACTTGATGAGCGGGATAGGTCTCCAATTTCTTAGGTCCGTTAGATCCCCTTTTTTTTGGTAGTAATCGTACTCTAATGTCTTTCCATGAAGCAGGCGCAACATCAGTGGTTAATGCGTTGTTATATACTTCTAAAATTAAAGGTTGTAAAAATGGCATTTGAAACAAAATCTCTAAAAATGGATATCCTAAACCATCATCACCTGGGCTACTTTGGTTTGGGCATCGTTTTACTTGAGCTAAGAGATCTTCAATGGTGATGGGTGCCATAAGTTTACCGTTATCTTCATTTCTCACTGTGTTATCAAAAGTCACAGAAGCTAGATACTGATTTAACTCATTGTCTTCGACGTGGTTTAGCGTATATAACTGCTGATAGTATCGTCGTACTAATTCCCGCATATCAATAGGATCCGAAGTGCGTTCTACTGGTATTTCGATTTCAACAGTAATTGTATTGCTGCCATGGTTGTTTGGTCTCTGAACAGATGCCATGAACTGTTGTGCTGATCTTCGTTGGTACAGTTTCTTCAAGTATCCAGCATCTTTTCCCCCCTTTTTCTCGCCATCTAATTCCAGACTTAAGTCTTTCTATCTCCACTAGTTCTTGTTGTCATTGACCCAGCTTGGCGTCAATAGGTCCAATTAATTGAGCCCTTAAAGCGAAAGTCGGCTTTCCTCTTAGAATTTTATTGCGCTTCCTTTCCAATTGTTTAATCGTTTGTTTCCTCCAACTCACATATTCATCGCTGTATTGTTTAATCACTTTTTTGGTAGATGCTTTCACCCTATCCCATTTTTCAGCTGGTGAGAGTGAAGATTCGACCTTTCTAAAATAGTATAGTAGACTAAATACTTTGTTGTAAATCTGTTGTTGTAGCTCACGATGGGTAGCATATGCTGGATTTGCTCTCCACAAACCAGGACCTGTTGGTGATCGTCCTACTACCAAAGTAATATCCAAAACAGAGTGATCTAACCAAGCTGCACTTAAACGAGTGATGCTAGTGTCTTTTAAATGATTATACAATAGTTGTCCCACATAGATGTAATCAATCACTGAAGTCACCATAGATTGCTGGGTTGTCGTTTGGAAAGTAGGTATCTCAGTTAAATCATTCATCTGCATAGCATTACTGAAGTAGGTGTTCAAAAGATGAATCCATTCGGACGATGTCGCACTAGAAATGTTCTGTGGTCGTAGTAGTGAGTAGTTAAAATCCCCAGATATAATCAAACGATTGAAATTGATTTGATCTTGTAGATCATAAAGCATAGTTGTTAAATGACCAAAAAACTCCCGTCGTGTAGATGAAGAGTGAGCTGGCGCATAGATATTCAGAATATAAAAGGTTTCATAAAATTGTTGAGGATGGTCGATTCGACATAGTTGAAAGCGGTCATCATTATAAACATGGTCTGTGTTCATGAGTGTCATTTTAAAATTTGCGGATAATGAGACAATACCGACATGTTTAGTCCAATGTGAGTATTGTGGTTGAAAATGAACGTTTAGGGATTGAACTAGTTCAGGAGTTCGAGCCTGGGTTTCTTGAAAGCATAAAATGTCATATTTTTTGGTCGATTTCAAGTATCGAATATAATTGGATTGAGTTTCAGTAGATCTGGATCTAACCAGACTGTTGGCATTGAGTGAAGCATATTGGCATATAATATCGTTCGACATATTCATTTAATTATTGATTGTTCTGATTGACCTCATTGGAGAGGTCATCCCCAGCCCGAGGTTGAGGTGAAAGAGGGGAATGAATGCTGGATGATGTAGACGGTTGGTCGAAGTTGGTACGGTTGTTAAACCACGTTATCAAGGCTTCTGCTCTGGCAGTTTCTTTGGTAAGACGCCATCCTATGATAGTTGAACTGCCATCATTTTCTTTAGCGTAGAAAGGGGAAATTTCATTAGCTGCATGAACTTCCTCGAAAGCCTGTTGAACTTGTTCGGCGTTATACCCGTTTAAAGATTCAACAAAAGTCTGGATTTCATCTTGGTATCGAGGGTCATATTCATCATCAGTGACACCATCGTCGATGTGCATATCATCGTAGCCTAAACCTTCTTTCTCTGGTAGTTTTTCCTCTTGGGCATTCGTCTCTTGAGTGGTAGGTGATTGGTGTCCCTTACTTGATGGAGAGTCGGTCGAAGGGGTATGTTTAACAGCCTTACGCTCAGAATTCTTACTGATCTTTCTGTCTTGTTTCTTACTGGGAGTAATAGCCGAATTATTACGAGGACATTCGTATGATCTGTGGCCTTGTTCATGGCAGGAGTAACATAAGATGCGAGCTCTGGAAGCCTCACAAGTGAATTTCGTGTGGCCATCCTGGTGACAATATCTGCACCACATTGGCATGTTGTTTCAAGTGGCTCTAAATACTTCAGTGTTCGTTTCCATCCAACTAATCTGATAACTGAGTTTTTGGAATCTCTTGGAAGTGGGAGTATTGTCTGGTTGATAGACGTCAAGTACCGCATAACCGCTACCCATAAAGAAACCCGTTGCTTGTTTAGTGGTGATTCCAATATCCAAAATATTTCCAAAAATTGCCAAGCTCGTATGAAGTCCACTGAGCACCTCCTTAGAGGTAAGCATAGGTAGGTGAGTGAGTTTTAGAGTAATGACCTGTGATTGCTCTGTAATCGCTTTACAGGGTAGTACTTGGAGCTTGGTTTCACCTTTACGAGAAATGTTGTTTATGTCGTTATCTCTAGTAACATAAACTTCAAGGTAACGAGTCGCACCATCGCTAAGTGCCATACAAGCGTGTACGTTAGGGTGTTGGTTTTTCAGCTCGACCATACATTGTTGATCGGTATACTGCTTTTTACATTCGGTAATATCGAAAAGGTACGCTCCTTCTGAACGAGAAGAGCGATAAATCCTGGTTTGCAGGACACGGTAAATATCTGGTTTCTCTTCTGGATGAGGAGTGATATCAGTGTGAAGTAGCGACACACATTTTTAATGCGTGTCGCTTCAGCATATGTTTTATGCCTAGATTTTTGTACGGAAGAAAGCATTGGTTAAAACTTGGATAAAACATCTCTTCATCCCAGAAGTTTTGAATCCCGCCAAATTTTTATCTGACCACCTTTTAAGCTCAATCAATGGATTTGTTTATTCGAGAGGATAGCTATTATTATTATTATTATTACTACTATTGATAAGATTTATTCTGTCTGTAGTAGTATGGTTGTTGTTGTTGTTGCTGTTGCGGAGATGAAGTATAAGTAGAATCTTGATAAGGTTGAGAGGAAGGATAAACATAAGAGCTTTGTTGAATAGCTGGTATTTGAGAAATAACGTTGAGCAATTGAGGAGGAATATTGGTTGATGGATTTTCTGGTTGATGTTGTTTTGTAAGCACTAATACACCTAGAAATAAATCACTTGTACGCTTTGTCTCTTCAACACGCACAACATAAAGGCAATCAGGAATTTGTTGCACTTTATACAAGGGTATTAAATAGAAATCCTTGATCTTTGTCTTGTTATGTCCTACAACTGCATATCGTTTCCTAGAATCCAAATAGCGTAACAAGGTCTGACTTTGAGGATCATTGTCACCTCCCTGTGCTTCTACTTCAATTAAAATGATTTCACGACTGGTTGAGTACTGTGTCTGCGTCACATAGTTAGTAACACGGTCAGTAGGAATACGACCTTCAATCCACATAGTAGGTGACAAGACATCATTCCATTCAGCTTCTGATAAAATACGACCCCCAATTTGACGTGCAGAGGCTTCAAATTCAGCTACTTGAGGCATATTGACACGACCATGCCAAATAGTAGGCAATACTTCTTTTTTGTTTACTTCCATTACCTCTTCTTTTTTGTCTTGTTTGTCTGCAGGTTCATTCACGTCTACTTCATCTACCTTGAATGGCTCTTCTTCACCTAATAACTGTTCTACGTCCAATGTCACTTTTCTCTTTTTGGCTTCTTGATCTGTATTATCCATTGTGATACTGCTTCTTTTTACGCCTGATTCATCATTTGCTGGAATACCAATGCGTGCCAAAATATCATCCAATGGATCGACCTTACCATTATTTGAATTTGTAGGACTAAAACTGCTGATACTTGGCTTCTTTTCTTCGACAGACGAATTTGCCTTTGTCTCAATCTTGGTCAATTCGCGTTGGACTTGTTCAGAATACATGCTATTTTGATTCTCCTCTTTAGGCACCATAATAATATCGCCTTTATGTGTCTTTTTAATAATAGGTACATTTTCGAGTTTCATCACCGAGTTTTTTAGGCCCTTTTCACGTAAAAGTTCAGACATGGATTTGAGTTCAGGGTTTGCCATATCTTCAGAAGACATACTGACTAGTTCTGAGGGAGACAAGTCATGCGTGATTACACGTAATTGAAACACTTGATTGGCCTTGTCTTTGAGATTATATAGCAATGAACGAAACTTGTTCTTGTAGCGTTCACCACAAGTGCGATGGCGTTGTCCTTTACCGAGATCACCTAACTCTTGTAACATAGTGTTTTCAATTGATTTGGCCAAATTCTCGGCTCGTTCGTCCACAGTGATGTCCGTATCGTACATGTCTGGATTCTTCTCCATGGCTGTATTCATCAGTGATTTCAATATGGTCGTAAGGTTTTTTATCACATTACGACGAACAGGGTTTTGTTGTTCTGTCATTTGGCTTGGATCCATAGGTGGTGTCTTTGAACCTTCTTTTTGCTTTTCTTCTTCTTCTTCTTCTTCTTCAATGTGTGCATCTGAATCATTATCGTGTTGTTCATTATCAGATGGAACTGTCTTAATATCCTCTTTTTGTTTAGGTGAGACGGAAATAGCTGCTGTACGCATACTGGCACGACGTGTTGTACGAGGCTTTTGTTCCGGTGTGATACCAAGTGATTCATTGTGTTTACGGGCACAAACATCGCTGCAGAAAGAATCGGCGCGTGTACGATTACTACAGCCTGAAAAAAGACATTGAGATTGTGTTCGATGTCTTGTTTGACGTGTCTGGTTTGATATGAGTATAAGATAAGGTCATGCTGTAAACTTACCTTGGCTGTGTCGGTGATAGGTGATTCTTGTTCCTGAATTTTAGTTTCAACATCTAATCAAAAAGGTTAGTTATTTGTTGTTATTATCATATATATATATATATATATATATACACACACACACACACATATATATATATATATATATATGTATATATATAGCATGTATAAAGAAATAAAAGAGTGTCTTTGTCTCAAAATATGTCACACTCTTTCTTTTTTTCTTTCTTTTTTTGAGGGACTTATGGACAAAAACTCGCTTGTTTGACGGAAACTTTTTAAGGGACGCTGTTGACGTGTTAAAGGAGAGGGAAATATTAATCTGAAATGATAAAATACAACAGTCTTTTGTGTTTTCATATATAAATTTATTGGATCTATCCTTTGAATAAAGAGGTTCCCTTCCTTACTTTGATACAAACGCACATATATATATATATATATGTGTGTGTGTGTGTGTGTATATATATATATATATCTGTAATAAAATAAAAGGAAAAAAAAAACATACCTTGTCTACATGTTTGACATATCCAATCAATATCTTCTTGAGAATCAGGATCAAATCCTACACAGGTACAATGGAACCTAAAGTAAAAAAAAATCAGTTTTTAATTCGCTATCTATCAACACACATACCATTCTTCACATTTATCACATTGAACCATAGGTTTGCCATCATAAGGTTGTTGACAGATACAATAGAGTTTTTTAGCACGCGTCTTCTTTTTCTTTTTAGGTGATGGAGGTGTCAATGGTGGTTTTGCAGCTGTCTTTGAGCGTGTTATACGCTTTTCTTCTTGAATAACAGGTTGTTTGATTAAAGAATCAGGTGCAATAAAGCCTGTTTCAGTACCCTGTAGACTGTTCTGTAACAAACCCCAGTCATCCTTGTAAAAATTGTCTGTATGGTTCGATAGCAAGTCATTTAAAGGTGAGTGCCATTCTTCAGCATTGTCTTGTGGTTGTGTTATTTGTTCTGTCGATAGTAAATTAGTAGCTGTTTGATCTTGTAAGTCAAGATAGTCATCAATATTATGGATATCCATATTGTAAAAAAAAAAGAGAAAGAAGGAAAAAGAAAGAAAAAAAAAATAATAGATACGCAGTCCCTTGTTGAATTGATTGGTTGGAAATCAGTTTAGTACTCGACTTAACATCCAGTTATGCAGTCCGAGCCACGCATAATTCGTTTTAAGAACCGATCCAAGATGTCTTTTCTCCTGTTTCTTGTTTCTGTGAATACGTTTCAAAGATGCACGATGCCTTTCAAGTTACTACAGTAGTTGACAAACTAAGTCGTATTGAGTCCATTTTTGCCCATGGTAATATAAGATATCATGACCTACGCTCATCTTTGTTTTTATAGGTGATCGACTTTTAATCGGCACAGGTGTAGGCCAGTTACTTGTGTATGATATTAAAGAACCACTCGGTAAGTCTTACTGACTTGTATAGAATAAAGCATTTATCTTCATGATAGTGGCTGACAACAATGAAGTGCCTGAAGTTACTCTCTCTCAAACTATCAAAACATTCTCAAAGCGACCTATTGAACAACTCGACATTATTAAAGAGATTGATGTACTTGTGTCGTTATCAGGTAAGGAGCAGACCATAGTAGATAAACCATAACATGGACTAGATGGCTTGGTGAGCCTTCATGACTTGCGTACATTTGAACTGAGAATGGCACTTGGCAAGACCAAAGGAGCTAATTTGTTTGCTATCCAAACTATGGTTGAAATGAGTCCTGAAGAACAAGTACCTGTGTTGACCACTCGATTAGCAGTGGCTGTACGTAAAAAACTCTTGGTATTTGTCTGGAAAGATACAGAGTTTTTTGAGACGAAAGAATTGAATTTGCCTGATCGTATCAAGGCCATGTCCTGGGTTGGAACCACCAAGATTTGTTTGGGATTCTCGACAGAATATGCCTTGATGGATGTGGAACAGGGTCAATTGACAGAGTTGTTTGCACCTACAGGTGTCGAAGTAGGTCCTATGAGTACATTAAACAGTCTGTACAATATGTCAATTGGTGTACGTGGAGGAAAGCCTATGATTACCAAGATTCCTAACAATGAAATGCTGCTTGCTCGAGACCGTAGGTTACTTAAAAAGGGAAACAAGTAAATAACGCGTATAATAGACGTGAGCATCTTTTTGGGTCTGGATGGCACACCTACACGTAAAGTGGGTATTGAATGGTCAGGAGCACCTGAGCAAATTGGCTATTCTTATCCTTACGTGATTGCTATCTTGCCAAAGCATGTCGAAGTACGAAACATTCAGACATTGACACTGGTGCAGCAAATTGAATTGTCGAATACAAAATTCTTGAACCAAGGCAAACTTGTCTATGTAGCCAGTACTTCACAAATCTATCGTCTTACGCCTTTTAGTTTTTCTTCACAGGTAAACACACATTGGATGGCTTTTTTTTTTATTGACATAAGATCTAGATTGACCAATTGGTCGAGAAACAAGAGTATAAAGAGGCAGTCAGTCTGTTGGATCAAATTGATGCTGTCTTGGTAGAGAATAAGGAAAAGAAACTGACGACCATTAGAACAGCGTATGCGCATGACTTATTTCGTGTTGGCGAATATGATACAGCACTTGATTTATTTCAAGAATTAAATACGCCTGCAGCTGAAGTGATCAGTCTTTATCCTGAAATGATCTCGGGTCATTTAGCTAAAAAGACACAGGAAGACATAGAAGAAGAGGATGAGGAACAAGATGTATCTTCTCGAAAACATGAAGAAGATCCTCGACCACCTAGTCGTGCTTCCACTAAAAGTAGAGCTACCATACTGAGTCATCAAAGTCAACCGAAAAGGAAAGAGACAGTGCCCTTGACTGGACTGAATTTACGTGATGCTGTGACGTATCTGATTCGATACTTGACAGACAAACGTCAAAAACTAGCACGAAAACTTAATGGAAGCGCTTCTTCTCATAAGGCAGCTTCAGACAGCTCTACTTTGGAAACCAATAGCCATGATGAAGAAGATTTGCTTTATCAGGCTACTTTGGTCGATACTTCTTTACTCAAGTCTTATATGATGACCAATGATGCCTTGGTGGGGCCTTTGCTCCGTGTACAGAATCACTGTGATGTAGAAGAATGTGAAAATATCTTGATGGATAAAAAGGTAGGTATTGTCTTGACTTGAAGGCTAGTATGCTTATCGTGTTGTTGTATAGAAATACAAGGAATTAGTGGATCTCTATAACTGTAAAGGACTCCATGCAAGAGCCTTGGATCTATTGGAAAAGTAAGTCTATGGAGTCACTATTGCCTATTTACATCTTTAGACTTGGAAAACAATCCGAGGGTCCTTTAAGAGGCGTGTTGCCTACAATCCGTTATTTGCAAAAACTAGGATTAGACCACTTTGATCTTGTACTGCAATATTCACGATGGGCATTAGAAAAAGACCCAAAGCATGGCATGGATGTAAGTATATCCAACTTGAGCAGATATTGACTGTATTGTATAGATCTTTATTGACGATTTAGCAGAAGTGGAAACATTTCCCCGGGATAGAGTATTGCAGCATTTGGAGTCTATTTCAGGTGATTTAGCCATCCATTATCTAGAATATGTGATTGAAGAACTCCATGATGAATCACCCGAATTTCACAACAGACTTGTGATTGCTTACTTGGACAAAATCACCAAAGATAAAACTATTGGTAAAGTAACATCTTTTTGTTTTTTATTTCTTTATTCACAAACAGTAGTACAAGACAAGGAGAAAAAGAGCAATTTGAGATCTAGATTGATTTCTTTTTTGACTGATTCTGTTTTTTACAAGGCTGAAAAGATTCTTTCTCGGTTGCCTATAGATGGTAATGCTCATATACATACAGAATGGCGTCTTATATCCTGTTGTAGATTTGTTTGAAGAGCGTGCTATTCTCTTGAGTCGTATTGGACAACATGATCAAGCACTTGATATTTATGTCTACAAGCTAAAGAACTATGCTATGGCAGAAGAGTAACATGGCTATGGATTATCAAAAAGACACTTATCTTTCTTTATTAGATACTGTACCAAGGTCTTTCAAGAAGATCCTGTCCGAGGCGAGAAAATGTATTTGACGCTACTCAAAGTCTATCTTCAACCTAGTAATAATCAAAAGCCATTGACTGAACCAGCATTGGATTTGTTGGCTCACCATGGTTCTCATATTGATGCTAGTCAAGTGTTGGCTATCATGCCTACATCTACTAAACTGTTTGGTCTTTTCCCCTTTTTTGAAAAATACATTCGAGAATCCAACAAGAATAGAAACATGGATTTGATTGTCAAGAACCTTTTAAAAGCAGAACAAATACAGGTAAAATAAGCATACAATCATCAACTATGGCTGATGGCTTTGTCAGGTTGAAGAACAATTGATGTTCTATAGATCAAGAGCCGTCAAGATTACGGAAGATAGAATGTGTCCACAATGCAACAAGAGAATAGGCAACAGGTAAGCTGAGATAATGATAATGACGGATAATGGCTTATTGTTTCAGTGTTTTTGCTGTGTTTCCTAATGGTGTTGTGGTCCATTACTCTTGTAAAGAAAAGATTGAACAAACACAATGGAAGATTTTATAATCAGTCAACATACCCTTTATCATGAAATCAATAAACACACAGGTTCATTGTAGTCAAGTTTTTTTTATATATAAGCATATCTTTGTGTTCTCTATGAATCTATCGAACTGTACTAGCCTTGAACATCTTAACCATTATACACCATGCCAAAAATGCACCTTGCTAGCCATGAACTTGCCAACGCTCATTTAAATTGTATCCTTTGTGGTTCTCGCTTACATTCAGCAGGTAATGCATACACATACTAAACTAGTTTAACATTTCAATAGACTACTATTGTCCAGAGTGTCATTGCATTCTTTTATTGAAATAAAACTGTGTTTAGACTAATGCTTTCAAAGTGGCTATGAGTTCCTGACTTGACTTGACTTTCCATTTTGCCAATGTGTTTTTATCAATAGGAGCCACAATCAAATTGAATTGGACAGCCTCCAGTCCATTGGATGAGATTCTTTCCAACATACGAAACATGTCTTCATCAGAACGATCATCGCCTGCACAGATAACATAGTCAATATCAGGGTGTGATTTCACCACATGATAAATCACACTTCCTTTATGGACAAGACTTGGTCGTGCTTCTACATTCTTTTTACCATTGATGCACTCAACAGGCAATTTGCCGACTACATTCTGATCAAGATGGTTCTGTAGTTCTCTTGCTTGAAAGGCACTAAAGAACATAAGCAGATAGAAATACGTATCAACACAATTTACCCAAACTTAGGATCTGCTTTTCGATAATGCCAAGTCATAGAACACTCTTTCTCTTCAATAAAACTACCAGGTGTACGTTCTGTATAATAATCAAACACGGCTCTAACGTCTTCTTTCCAAGACAAGTCAGTATCATGCACAAGAGTAGTCCATGTTTGATGGTCAGGTTCTTTGATAAAACAGCCATGTTCACTGGCTAGTCCCAAGTGAGGTACCTGGCCTAGACAATCAGAGATATAGTCCTAAGGCCTATCAACATATCATCAGGAAACCCTATTTCATTTACCTGTGTTCTACCAGACACAACCCATACAATATTGCTAGGGTCTGACGCAAGCTGAGTTAACGCTTGAATGACTTGTTTATCAGGCTTTGCTTTTTCTGGTTCATTCACAATAGGAACCAAAGTACCCTAAGAAAAAAAATGAGATAGAGAACAGAGGCATGGTGTACTTACATCATAGTCAAAAAAGAAGGCTCGCTTACGCTTATTTTGATATTCTTGTTGGAGTCGAGATACATCCAATGGCGCTGTATCTCCCCAATAACACTTGTTTGTCTGCAACAATCCTTTGACCAGTGATTTTGCCCAATAACTTGCTGTATGTGAAGTAACAAACGCATGTAATTGCTAGTAGAGGAAATGGTTAGTTTAAAGGAACCATGTTCACTTGCTTACCTCGTATTTTAAGATTTTCTCTTCCTCGCCCATAGAGAGACATTCAGCAATAGCACGTGCAATCTCATTACGATCCCAAGGATTCACAATCACAGCGGCACCCATGCTATTGGCTGTCCCAGTAAATTCTGACAAGACCAATGGGCTTTGATGTCCATTCTCTTGTGCCACAATGTACTCAAAACTAGACGTATTCATGCCATCAATCACAGGTGTCACTAACCCAATATCCGCCACTTTCAAAAGCGCATAATATTCATCACGGTCAATATGTTGATTGAACAAATTGACTGGTGTAAACTCCAATGAACCATACTCAGCATTGATACGGGCTACAATCTCGGACGTCTTTTTTTCCAGTTCAGGCGAATGCAATACACCAGGTGAAGTCACTTGGATCAAGACAACTTTATCTCGCCATTCAGGATAATCACGCAAAAAGATCTCGAACGCTTCCAGTTTCTGAAGGACGCCTTTGACAGGGTCAAGTTTGTCACGGCCAATGATGATTTTCTTGGTGGCGTAACGTTGACGCATGGCGCTTGCTTTGGGTTCAACTCCGGGACTTAAGCAGTGTTGTCGTGTTCGTTCGACATCAATACCGATAGGATAAATCTCGATATGGATCAAGACGCCATGAGCGAGAATGCCCGAGGGTGTGTATTCATAGCCCATGATACGAGTACAGTTGGAAGCAAAATGGCGTGCGTAATTGTAGGTTTGGAAACCAATCACATTAGCACCCAACATGCCTTTCAATACTTCTTTTCGACCTATAGGATTGATCATTAGAATGCATTTTTTAATGTACCTATAGATTTACGTGGTAAACAGCGAAAGATTTCCGAACTTGGAAATGGCGTATGAACAAAAAGACCAATAAGTGCATTTGGCAATACGTTTCGAATCATTTGTGGTACAAGCATAAGATGATAATCATGGACCCAAACTGACAATATCAGTATTTATATGTGTGTGTGTATATATATATATCCTCAGTGAAGCTTACTTATATCGCCTTCTTCATAATGCTTAATGACTTGATCAGCATAGATCTGGTTGACTTGCACATAGTCTTGCCAATACTGTTTCTCGTCTACCGTATCTGACCACATCAAATAATGCATCAAGGGCCAAAGGACTGTTTTGTGAGTCGGTTAGTATAAAAAAGGTAAATCCGTCTTCTTGTTTACCTTGTTTACTATATCCTTCATAATGACCCATCGACAAGTTTTCCTCAATAAACAAAGGCACCATATCGTGTTTCGATCTCAAAAGTTCAGTCAATGTTTGCTGCTGTTCTTGTGTTGGTTCGATATGAAGCTTATCCGGATGCGTCAAAATGGGACCTGTGCCACCAATATAAAGGGTTCGGTAATCCTTTTTGAGCGAATCGAGAGCGGCATACATGGCCGAATGACCTCGTCGCGTCGACAGCTGCCAAATGTTTGTCTGACCAAGCGCAACAATCGTTGAACGCCTTCTGTCGAGTTGGGAGATGGGATTTAAAGCAAGTTGTTGAACCACTGTTTCATCGTTGGGTTGGTTCAAATAACAATGGAAAGGGATTTGATTTACCACATTGATAATTTTTCCTTCCAGTGGATGAATATGAAAAAAGTCTTGTAAACGTTCCATGAAAGTGAGAAATAAAATAAAATAAAGTAAGAAAGCTTATATATATATATATATATTCCCTTGTAATGACAACAATATGACTTGATTTGACAATGTGAAACCAAGTCTCTTTTTTTATTTTCTTTTTCCCCTTTTTTTTTTCCCTTGTTTTTTTGTCTCTCTTTTTTTTTCTTCTTTATGACACCTACTATTACAAAAGATTTTTATCATTTTGATACATTTCCAATAGACCCATGCGAATCCATTTTAGTCAATCGATACAAGAGTTCAAAGACAGGTCTTGTTGCTATTCATGCAGATATTCAAGGTAATTTAAAAATTATCTTCATGTGAAATTGACACATTGATTAGGTCCACTTGTCAGCGGTTTCTTGACATTGGCCACAAAAGGTAAAAAAAAAAAAAAAAAATAAAAAAAAATAAAATAAAATAAAGGCATTGTGTCTTATAGTGTGTTAGTTACAAATAATGATGGTTGTCCTCATATTCTTGAACAGTAAGTAAATTGGATATAAATTGCACTAAATCAGATCAAGTCTTGTTTTCTTGGGAAGTGAAAAATACCCTTACAAAGTATGGAATTACCCACACAAACAAAAGAAATATTAAAATGAGATTTTAGGGCACTCTAGACTCACTTGCACCGAGAGCGTATGCACCTGGTACCAACGCGTGGACTGATATTGACCATACTTGTTATAGTATGTGTAGCCCTGATGAAATGTTATCTCACTTTTATTTTAGCTATAACTACAGCGGGTAGTGATGGATTTCTTCAATTACTTCCTGTTTATGTAGACCACATACTATTTCCAACATTAACAGATGAAGGGTTCTATACTGAAGTTCACCATATTGATCCAAATGGAGAAGATGCTGGTAAATGTATTACATTACACAACATTATTTTTAAACTTTATTATAATAGGTGTAATGGTTTTTTTTTTTATATAGAAAAAGATGTGTATAAGTCTAAACTGTAGTATAGGTTGTTTATTGTGAAATGCAAGCAAGAGAGAATTCAATGAATGATATTATGCAACGAGCATTACAACAATTGGTTTATCCTCAAGAAAGTGGGTATCCTTTTGAAGCAGGCGGTTTGATGAAAAATTTGCGTGCAGTCAAGATTGATACAAGTAAAGCAGGATGGATGTTTCAAACAACTGATTTTATTACTAGTTCGAGACTACCATCGTCAGTTTTATACACCAGACAATTTACGGATTATCATTACGGGTAAATTAGATCGAGTTGGTTTGTTGTCAACATTAGAACAGATTGATATTGCCATTATGGACAGACAGCGTCATCTACAGTGTCTCAAGGCCTCAACGAATCCATGGATACCAGCACCTTTGATTCCTGATCTTGCCTATAGTCAAACAGAAACAGTCTATTTTCCTGAATCGTCCTCGACCATGGGTAATATTACAGTCACTTGGCTTGGTCCGAGATGGAATGCTTTCTTGGACGTTCAAGCCATTCATGTACTAAATGCTTACTTGAGTGAAAGTCCTATTTCACCTTTAAAGAAATTGTTTGTTGAGCAAAGTGATCCTTATTGTACTGAACTTGATTTTCAGATACAAGAAAGGAGTCGTCTATCTATCACAGCTCATTTTCAAAATGTACCTTTGCATAAAGCAGACTTATTGGTGCCTAAACTTGTGTCAGCATTAGAAGATATATATGCAACCCAAGCAATCGATATGGATCGTATGAAAGTCTTGATCTATAAAGAAAAACTAAAAGTAAGTATTGCTTAATATATATATATATATATATCATATTGATATATGGATAGTTTTTGGATGATTATGAAACATGTCCCACTTTTATGGTGGCTTTACCTGCTATTACAGGTAGACAAAACAAACAAAGTGCTTGTTTAACACTCTCTAGCTTCTCTTTATGGCGATGTAGCCAATGATGATTTCATAAATGCTTTGCAACAAGCAAAATACTTTGATATCCTCATTCATTTTACAAAACAAGATTGGCTTGTTTTCTTAAAGCAGTAAGGTTTACTCCTTGAATTTATCTATATCTCTGAATGCTCATAGTGTGTCAGACTTTATATAGATACAGCCTATACAGCTGTTATTGGAAAACCATCTGATGAATTATCAAAGCATTTGATGGAACAAGAAGCCTATCGAATAGAAAAACAACGTACTTGCCTTGGAGAAAAGGGACTACGCTATTTAGATGCTAGACTAAAGCATGCTACACATATCAATGAAACACAAATACCCTCAAAAATCATGGAAGGATTCCCTATACCCAGTGTCTCTAGTATCTCTTCCATTCATGTAGTGACAGCCAATAATCCTTATTATTCAGTACTGGAAGACAATCAAGTACAAGCGCATATTAATCGAGATGGTCATCTGAAAGAGATTCCTTATTTTATTCAATACGATCGTAAGTCATTTGTTATGTGAGAGATGTTGTTACTCATCCTTAAGCATAGATATCCCTTCTGCCTTTGTGAATATCTCTGTCTATCTGAATACAGGATCTATACCTTCTTATCTGAAACCCTATGGCAGAATGTACATGGACACGGTTTTTGCTTCTCCTATGCGCAATATAGATTATACAGAAGTAGTCCAGAAACTAGATATGGATGTTATTTCTTACGATGCCTCTTTGGGATATCAAGGCTCATTTCGAGAATATATTGTGATTACGATTAAAGTAGAGTCCACCAAATATGCAGCAGGCATCAACTGGTTAAGACATTTGATGTGGAGTATTCAATTCACTCAAGAAAGGTATGAAAACAAACTAACTCAAAACTGACAAGACTAGATTGATCGTTGCTGTCAACAAGACATTACACGATATTCCTCAAGCGAAACGAAATGGAAAATTATTGACTGACTGGACAATGCGAGCCATTCATACAGACATTCGGAAATCAACAGAAGCGTCTTGCAGTTACCTTTATCAAGACACTTTTCTTCCTCGTGTATTAAAGGAACTCTTAAAGAACCCAGGAAGAATCATACAAGACATGAATGAGTTTAGATCAATCTGTAAGTAAAATTGTATGATTCTGTATTCTAAACTTTGTAGTGTGTCGAGATGAAAACCTTCGGGTCCATGTCACTGGCGATGTCTTGAGTCTAAAAAGACCCAAGAGCATATTTCGATCATGGAAAAAACATGCTTTGAAGCACAAACATAAACCATTGCCTGCCGTGGTACGTTCAAGAGATGCCTTTGGATACTATGGCTTAAATCCAGGCAACTGTGTAAGTAAGATCCTTTTGATATATAGACAACCAGTCTCATATTTTATATAGACTTCCATTGTTATATTACCATCTACCGAAAGTTCATTTTCCATTCATTCCACACGAGGTCCTTCTGATTTTGATTCTATAGAAATTCCGTCGTTATTAGTTTTGATGGAGATGTTACATGCTATGGAGGGTATCTATAGTCGCCTTGTACGCGGTCTGGGCCTTGCTTATCGATGCTGGCTCACGAATGCTACTGAAGCAGGTCTCATATCACTCTGTATTCTTCGGTCAACTAATATTACCAGTGCATTTGAACATATCAAACATGCTACACATCAATTAGCTACAGGTGAAACAGAATTTGACTGTTTTGCATTAGAAGGAGCCAAAAGTAGTGTGATTTTTGATATGGCGAACTGTGAAAACACACGCCAAGTAGCAGCAGGACAATCGTTTATGAACAAAGTATTGAAACAAAGTACAAGGCAAAAACTAGACTTGTTAAAAGCAATACAGGTAAAACGCAGAAAGTAAACTTCATATCGATTGATTTTGTTATAGCAAGTCACTATGCCGCATATTGTCCAAGTCTTGTTGACTTACATCTTGCCCTTATTTGATCCAAAGCGTTCAAATCATGTGATTGTGACATCGCAAACAAAGAGCCAAGAAGTTGCTCAGTCGTTTTGTTTAATGGGACATCCTGCAAAAGTGATCCAACTTGAAGATGTATATGCTAAAAACATCTTTCAGCAAGACTCATTTATTGATTTAGCATAAACATTGTCTGATACAACAATAGAATGCTATTTTGTATATCTGATAAACATGAGTGTAGAATAAATGTTCATTAAAGTCAGAAAAAATATAATATTTTCATAACGACAAGTCTTCAAAAATGGAGATCAGAACTTTAAAAGAAATGATGGATTAAAAGTACTCAAAAACGAAAAGATATCACAAAAGTCTATTAATAAAGTTGATAGTTACAAGTATGGACTACCGAACGATGTAGGCAATGTGGTGTGTCTGTCATAGAAACATTGAACTATCCTTTAAAAACATATTTCCTATTTTTGAGCATAGCGTATACTTTTTATAGTACATTTACAGATTTAACACTTTAAGTGTGTTTGATAGACCTAGAGAAAGATCTCGTATCAAGACATTTCATGTCAAAAACGTCTATATCGCTCATAAATTGCAAAATAGTGAAAAATGGCAGAAATGATGATTTATTCTGAAAAACAGTCGTACCTGCAGCAGGCTGCCAATCTGCCATTCACACTATTATGCTTATGAATTGTTTGTCAGATTTATCAAGAAAATTTAGTTCATAAATCAAGATTCTATCATAAGCCTGATACTCGTAAAAGACACACATTGAAGATGAAAAGTAGATAGTGTCTAACTTGCTTATGCCAGATGGAGTCAAATTATTTAAGAATCGCGACTGATTGATATCAGATAAGACTATTATCTCAAATCTCGATCTGCTCAACTTCCAAGAGGTCAACAAGACCAAGGATTGTAGACAAGATCCGTCTAGCAAGTAATTTCTTTTAGTATCTCTCAATCAGTATTCGAAATAACAGTCACAGATTCCATCATTTTTATAGGTGCGAGCAAAAAAAAAAGAAAGGTACATTGTTAGATCTTGTCATGAGCACCAACAGTAAGACACTTGAAGCTATTAAATACACTCGAGGCAACTTGAGTATCCTCAACCAACTTGTATTGCCTCACGAAACTCTTTTTGAAACTGTTTTGAACGTTCAAAATGGTCATGCAGCCATCAAGACCATGAAAACCCGTGGTGCTCCTGCAATTGCTATTGTGGCTGCTTTATCCCTTGCTGTGGATGTACACACTCGTTCTGAAAATGGTGAATTTAAGACTGTGGACGAAGTAGTTCAATTCTTGCACGAATCCCTTGAGTATCTCAAGACATCTCGTCCTACAGCTGTAAACTTATTTGATGCTGCTGCTAAATTAGAAAACTTGATTCAACAAACAGCCCAATCAACTCAAGATCCTCAAGTCGTTGTGAATGCTTATATTGAAGCTGCTGAACAAATGTTGGTAGACGATGTGAAGGATAACAAGAACATTGGTCAATTTGGCGCTGATTATATTGTCCAAAACGTCAAGGATAAAGAGAACATTAGTGTCTTGACACACTGTAACACAGGTTCTTTGGCTACTGCTGGATGGGGTACTGCTTTAGGTATCATTCGTGATCTTCACAAGAACGGCAACCTCAAACATGCTTATTGTACTGAAACCCGTCCTTATAACCAAGGCTCTCGTTTGACTGCTTATGAATTGGTCTATGAAGATATTCCTGCTACTTTGATTTGTGACAACATGGCTTCTGCTTTGTTGAAGCAAAACCCCAATGTGCAAGCTATTATTGTAGGTGCCGATCGTGTGGCTGCTAATGGTGATACAGCCAACAAGATTGGTACTTACCAACTTGCTATTACAGCCAAGCATCATGGCATCTTGTTTATTGTCGCTGCTCCCTCTACCTCAATTGATCTCAAGACAAAGACAGGCGATGACATTGTGATTGAACAACGTCCTGCTGAAGAATTGGTGATTGTGAATGGTATTCGTGTCCAAGACAACGAACCTACTTCTGTCCGTACAGCAGCAGACAAGATTGGTGTTTGGAATCCTAGTTTCGATGTCACACCTGCTCATTTGATCTCTGCTATTGTTACTGAACAAGGTGTTGCTACCAAAAACGGCGATGTGTATGATATGGCTTCATTTTTAAAGTAAAATAAAAAAAAGGCTTTTTATTTCTTTTTTTATTTTTCTCATGTTATTTAACGGAGACGACGAGCTTCACGTTCAGATTCCAAAAGACAGAGAATGTCATTTTCACGGACAGGACCCTTAACGTTACGGATGATGGAACGGTTGGTGTCATCCATGAATTCAACGCGGACTTGAGTAACACCACCACGAGAACCAGTACGGCCAAGAACCTTTGTAACTCTGGCAAGCTTAACGGGAGTCTTTGAGGAGTCCTATAGAGAATACATGTTTAATACAGTGTTGCTTTGAGTCATTGCGTATCAATCATGATGGATCGAATGTCTGATTAAGGTCATGGTGAAAGTGCAAGTTGGTATCCAAGTCTCTTTTTCTCTTTGTTTTTTTTTCCTTTGTCTATCCACCCATCCATCCATCCATCTATCTATCTATCTATCCATTCATCCATCCGTCCATCCATAGAGTGATACACAATATCATGATGTACTCACCATGATAATCAAATAAGTATATGGATTGAAAAGGAAAGAAGCTTATTCCTTGCAGACGCACACAATTGATTTTACGCCATTTTTGCTCCTCAGCATGAAAATTACAAAAAAGGAAATTATTTTTTATTTTATTTCTAAAAATGATCAATACTTGTCTCGATATCTACCAAGTCTTCTTTAATACGAGCAACAGTAGTACCAATTTGCTTTGTGATTTCCTTTTGTTGTTCAATAGATAAACCTGCAAATTCAAAGATCAAATCACCATCTAGAATAGCTTTAGTTCGATTGGATGCCATACGTTGCTTGGGTCCTTTAATTAATCGATAGGCTCTTGGGTTCAAACCAGCTACATGCTGAACATTATTGACTAATTGGCCATAGAGTGTACTAAGACGCTTAAACGTCTTTTCTGAAATAGGCGAAATGACAGAGATAGAGCCACTGAATGTACCACAAAGACAAAAGTGGCGACGAGTGTATTCAAATCCTTTGTCGGTCTTTTCAATCTGAGGTAAACGAACCATAGTTTGGACTTGAGAACCCACATGAAAATCACCACGTCGCATTAGTTTTTGACCACCAAAGGATTGTAAGTCTATAGGATAAGTATATACCTTACAACAAGACACTTACTAAAAGGTGCATATTGATATAAATCAAGATTTTCATTAGTATCGCCTACAACCAAATACAAGGATTTGTCGTCAATAATAAAATCAACGCAGCCTACTTCAAAGGATTGATAGTCTTTGCCCAAAAGAGACAGTTTAGCTGGCTCAAGCTAGATGTGTGTTTAATACTAGACCAAATAATAGACGTTCACTTACCTGGAACCCTAAAAACCAAATGGACTTTTGTGCATCTCCCAATAAGATAAAATTCTTAATTGAACTCATACTGGTCACATAGATTTGGACATCAATAAAAGCAACACCCACTAGACTCTCATCATCTTCCAAGCTCCATACAATCACTTTAGACCCAATACAAGAAGCCAAGTGGCCACTGACATTACACATGGCAGTCACAGCACCTTTGACATCTTCTGTATGTAAATGCTTGAATTTGTGATTTGTCTGCGGATTGTTGGGTTCAGGTACAACTTCAATAATATCATAGATGCGAATAGAGCCTCGCATGGTTGTATCTTCACCTTTCAAATAGCCTGTTCCAACCACCATAAAGTGTTTGCGACCTGTACTTGTCTGTTTAGACTCAAGGGCTGCACATTCAAGTGAAAAGCATTGTTCGAATTCTTCAAATACAACGGTATCTACAATTTCCCAAGTGACAGGAGAAACCATGATCATAGAGAATTTGTCTACTTGAGGCAGGAACTCACTTGTATTCTCTTCTTTCTCTGGCACTTGACCCTCTGCTGTTTCTTCTTCTATATGTACACGCGCAGGTTGAGCACTTGAGACAACCACAGCATAGACACGCATGAAAGGATGATATTCAATCTTGTGAGGTGTTCTGCCCAAGGGTATCTTTTGCAATACCCAATCAAGATCATAAATCACATTGTCTGTGCGCAATTTACTAAGTCGAACGTTTGATTTCTCATCTACTGTAATGAAACCATGTTGACAATTGACATTATGGAATTGAGTGAATCCAATGACCGGATGTTCTGTCTTCATCGGATGGACACGCACAAAACTTTTACAGGAATTCATTAGCCAGGCAGGTTGAACACCTGCTACAAACACACCTGTATAGCCTGCTACATCACTGAATGGAATCAAGCGTTTTTTATGATGTTTGTCGAGTTTTGGTTGTTCTTCTTCATCGTCTAGATCCAAGCCTGGAATCTCAAATTCATCAATGATTTCTTTTCTTTTGGCTGCTTGTTTTTCTGGCTTATGAGACACATACTCATGATGTACACGCGAGAACCGTAAGGCAAGTCGATCTGAACTATCTGAAGGTACAAAACTAAATGCCTTATAGATGATGATATCGTTTGAATCGGTACGCGCTACCAAGTGAGGATCTTTTCTTTCTTTACCAATATTGGTCAACAAAAGTTCTTTAATCACCGATCGAGGTTGACTAGGCTTTTTCTTGTCTTTGTGATCTGTGATGAGTTCAGGCAGGATATCAAATTGAGAGCATACAAAATGTTCTTTGAAATCAGGTAGACTATAGATATACAATGTCCCATCGTGTGTGTGCAGCACAGCCCAGAAACTGACGCGTGTCATTTCATTCAAATTACCTTGTAGACTGACATTGGTTTCATCGACTTGAGTTGTCGTTGTTGCTTGATTACCATAGAGCATTTCATCATCATCATCCATGTCTTCTCCAAAGACACTGATGGGAGCTGGGGTATTTTTGATTTCATGGTCCAATTGGTCACCATACAAATCCATATCCACTTCATCAAATTCATGCATATGTCGCTTAGGATTCGTCTGTGGTATCTCTGTGGTAGCCTTGCGTTTCTTTTTCTTGTCTGCTACTGTGGTAAACAAACCTGAAGTATCAGCAAATATACTGGCCATGGAAATAGGCATCTTGTGGACATGAGAGGGTAAAGAGATGGGGCTCACTTCCTTCTGTTGCTCGTCTCCTCGTAAGACCACTATTTTATTGTTATCCAGTGTCAATAAGATATAAGGATCACGAATACTGGCATCCACAATTTTAGACCCACGCATAGGAATAGTACGGAGTCGCTTTCCTTTAGGTGTTAATATCATCACACCCGTCGCATACACTTGGACAATGCGAGTAGCATCAAATAAAGTACTGACAGCAATGGTGGGTCCTCTTGTATAAAAGCCTGTCTTGACCAGTTCCTGTAGTTCATCCCCTGCAGACAAGACCATGGTACTTTTTGATTTACTGATAAACAACAGCTTATCCAAAGCCTCATCAAACGCATGGTCGTCTTCCCATCGTGCATTGTCTTCTGAACCGACAGAAGACCGTCTATCCAACAATTCTTTTCGACACTTGATGGACCAAATGGCCTGACTGTCTGACTGAGTAAAAGAGAATGAGGTTTGAGGATGGATATGTCTCTGAAAGACAGATAAAGCGCCATTTTGGCCATGGCCTGAACAACTGACTAACTCCAAGTCTGGTATACCTTGAACCTTCTGTTCTGTGTTTTGGTTGCTTTCGACATCACCCATGGACATGTCAAGAATAGGGCCTGTGTTAAGTAAGGTATCACAGACTCGAAAAGTTGGCAAATGGTTCCATTTGATCAAGAGAGAGTCACCTACACGACTACCCAAAAAGAAATATTCATTTGGCTTGACATGAGTGACACAAGAAGGTACAGTAGCATAGGTTTGGCCAGTAGGATTCACTATTTCTTGGATCTGCATACCTACTACTTTACTACCATCCAGCTTCATCTGGACAATAGCCCAATGACCATTCTGCATGAATATCAAGCATCGATCACGACCATAAGCAAGGGCTTTAGCACCATCCAAAGCAAGTCCCAATTGAATGAGCTTGTCATCATAGATCATACCAGGAAACTCAGTGATCTTTTTAGCATAACCATTCACAGCAACACCTACACCGGGAGAGCCTTGAGAGACATGCAGGAGTGAATTGGCAGCAATGACCAAGACACCCGTCACAGGTTTAGGCATTGCGACCAGTTTAAGACAGTCATAAGGGAGTTTGTCAATAGAGTAGATGATAGGATAAATTTTGGCTGTCAGGTCAAGAGAAATGACCACAACAGACACTGTATCTTTGACACTGCCTAATCGACTATGTAAGGTATGAATATTTCCTGTTTTTTTGTGTGTGTGTGTGTGTGTATGTATGTGTGCTTACCCTGTCCAGGTTTGTTCTGATTGAAATAAAATGGCCAATGTAGGTTCATAATAATCAGATAAAAATACCATATCAATCACATTCTGAATACGTGAATCAATTGTCTCTAAATCAATTAAAAAACTAGGTAAATAAGGCCATTTTCTATGTAATAAAGTGAGTTAAACAATGCATAAAGGATGTACTTTACTGTGCTTCTTCATCTTCTTCTACATCGTCTTGTCGTTCGCCTAACTTGTCTGCTTGTCGAAATGGTAATACAGCCAATTTGTTATCATAAAAGTTTAATACAGCACATCGTTGTTGTGGATCAATATGAATGTTGGATGGATAAGGGTTGTTTAAAAACTCTTTTTTATATTCGTCTCTTTCATAATAGTGAATAGATACTGTCACAATAGCATTTGTTGCAGGGGACCATTCTAACAAGGACATCTACAGGTGAAATGTAAGCATACAAAATGAAAGATGTCATCTTACCTTGGCATCACTGAACCCTAACAAAAGACTATCACATCCTTCTTTTCCTCGAGATGAATTGGTTCTAACAACACCCATGGTAGCAATTGTACCATTCAGCTTGTATTGTGCGACTAATTCAAGTCTGCCTAAGCTTGATCCTGCTACATCTTTTTTTTGTTGTAAAGGCTTGAGTTTGGGAAACACAAGAGACTGTTGCATGTCAATAATAATGTATATTTATACTATGGTCATGTTTACCACATCTTCATTCTCATTAAGTCGTTCATTGGCTAGCTCTTGATCTCCTAAACTATCTTCGTCGTCATTGTCTTCTTTAGGTTTTTGTTCTGGCAGATATTCCACAAACGCATAGATCTGGAGTAAAGAAGCTTTGGCTACAACTAGATTGATCGCTTCAGGACAAGTGAAGTGACAAGTTTCTACCTGTTCTACTGTTTGAGGAGGAAACAGCTCTTTATAGATTGCATAAGCTGACATGATTATCTACTTAAAATGCTGCAAGAGACAAAAACGCGAAATAAGGATAGAGAAGAGTTGTCTTTTAAAAAATCAGCCGTCACAGCAGATACAAAAGGGTCAAGAAGTCGACTTGCATACGACTATTGTTCATCATGAGTTCTCAACACTTTATACCACCTGTGGTAAAGAAAGCAAATACATAAGCATTATGAAGCTCACCTTGTTCTGTTAGAACTTTGGCATGATAGAAGAAGACTTGTATCGTTCAGGTCAACCGAATGAACTCAATTTTCCTTTTCTAGAGAAACTTGGACTTAAAACCATCGCATGGCTTGCACCAGAAGAACCCAATCAACGATTGTAAGCTATTGTAGTTTCAATATTGTTGTCTTACTCTGCTGTATATAGTCTAGACTTTATTGATGACCAGGAAATCCAACTTCATCATCTAGGCGTTGTTTCATCTGTCAATGCATGGGATCCTATTACAGAAGAAGCCGTACTACAAGCCTTGGATTTAATATTGAATCCTTCAAACTATCCTATGATTATTATGTGTAATTTAGGCAGACATCGAACAGGTAGTGTATGTCTCGCCTACGGGTTGACTGACTTCATGCTACAGGCACTATTGTAGGCTGCATGAGGAAACTTCAGCGTTGGAATTTAACCAGCATTTTTGAGGAATACCGCCGTTATGCAGGACCAAAAGTGCGTCTATTGAATGAACAGTTTATTGAATTATTTGATACAGATCTGGTTGCAATTCCTGCAAATAAACCCAAATGGGGCATTTAAATAAGTTTTCTAGGAGTAAAGATCAAGGGATCATTGTTGGGAGCGGCAATGGCGCCTGCAAGGTATCGAATAGGCATAGGAGGCTTGCCGCTCTTTGTCTTGATATCAAAGTGTTTGAGCAAATGAATCAATGAGAGTTGAATTTCTTGTACAGCAAAAAAGCGACCTAGAAACAAGCATATGAGCTCATTGATTATCTTCAGTTCAAATCTTACCTGGACACAAATGCTTGCCCATACCAAAAGGGACAAAGTCTTTACTAGGTGCAGTAGCTGTCTTATCCATAGACATACGAGGATCCATATCTTCTGGCTGGGCACGAGTGACATTATTACCAAAGTTCAATTGACGCAGATTGGTATACACACTTTGTCCCTCAGGTGCAATGTAACCATTATGGAACACAAAGTCTTGCATAGCCTTTTTGGCAAAAGCCAACTTATCGGCACCTTGTTTGAGTACTTCACGGATGAGGTTGTTCAAAAACTTCATTTCGCTCAAGACCTTTTCGTCTATGGGTCTATCGTCAGGAATCACACGTTGGATTTCTTCTACCATTTGTTCCATAAGATCAGGGCGGTTCAAGAGATAATAGAGACAGAAACTCAAATTCATGGAAGTGGTATGAACAGAAGCAAAGGCAATCAATAAGACAGCATTTGCAATTTCATTATTAGTAAATGTTTCTGCAGTACCGTCTTTTGAAGTATATCGATGTTCTATTAAACCTTGTAAGAAATTGACGTCCATATTAGCATCTTCACCAGCTTCTTCGGCTTGTTTCATTTTTTCACGACGAGCAAGGATCACAGGCACAACATACTTATACATAACTTGGTGATGTTTGCGAACAGATTGTAAATAAGGCAAAATGAAACGATGAAGACATGTAGGGACAGCCAAAAAGATACCGACATTGTTACTAATATCACCTGTAAATTCAGCAAATGTCTTGATCACTTCAGGGTTTTCTACAAGTTCTTTGCCGAGTAAAGTAGGAATACTCATGTAGGCTACAAAATGTTGAAGGAACAGACTGGGTTCAGTGACAATAGTGGGTTTGTCTTGACTGAGTTTCTTTTCGACAGCACGCTCAAGGCCGCGTTGAATGTCAGGAATATAACGAGGCATTTTATGACTAGCCAAAATATTTTTGATAATAATGGGATTGACATGAAAGCCAATATCCATCGTCTTTCTGTCAAATACATAATGGAAATGAAGGACCTCTATACAGAAAAGAATAAGTATATGGTTACTTTAGGTTACTTCATTACCTCGAAGAATACCATGTTCAATGGATAATTCGGATGAATCGGCTTTCAAACTTTGCTCAGCACACTTGCCATTAGTAACTGTGACTGTTTTACCAAGATAGTCAAGACGATATATTTCGCCATATTTATCGTTACACCAGTCGAGAAATTGGTTTGGCCAAAGCATCACAAATAGCGTATGGCCAACAATGGGTAAACTAAAAGGGACTTTGGGAGGCAAATTGCGCTTTTCAGTAGCAGACTTGAGAAATCCAATTAAACGATAAAGCGTAAAGAAAGAAATGGCACTCATCACAGCCACTTCGTTTCTTGAGGAGTGAGAATAGACATCTACTAATTTCTGAATGGCAGGCGCCCGTTGAACCAAATCAATGGCTGCTTGAATAGGTGTTGATTTGACAAATTCAGTGAGATTGTTCATGTATAGTATAAGAAGAAAATAAAGGGGGAGGGTAGAAAAAAGGGTGTAAAAATAATCTCGGCGCCTCAAAATATATAAAAATAAAAGTTAGGAAGGACAAACAGAACAGAGTTCTGCACCAGACTCCGTCCTGCTATAACAAAGTCAAATCGGCATTGAGTTTGACCTGGCCAATCAAATGCCTTATTAACATGGATCGAGATAAGTTTAAAGGGTTTATCCTATTTTATAAATAATAGTTTATCATTTGGAATGATGGGCAACATTATGAATTCGATTTTTCGCCTAAATTTAAGACTGTCTGTGGATCTTGGTGGAATGCTGAATATAACAAATCTATCTATATTCTTGTATTATTGATATAGAATCAACTGTTAAATTTTCATGTTCTTGTATATAATCCTTAAGGGATTTTTAACAGAAAAATAGACAGCACTATGTCACTGTAGCAAATTCGTGTTAAAATATACTTAAAGGTAGAAAAAAAACGCAACAACATCTGAATTGAGAAGAACCTTATAAGAACATGGTTATTTTTTTATCTTTTTTGTACCGCTCTTACAATATGGTTTTTACTGTAGTTCGAATACGCGCAGTGTATTTTATAGTCTTGACAGCACATTTTGTGTTTGTTCATACCATAAAAGAATGGTATTACCCGCAAACCACAAATTTATTGAAGAATCAAGGTACATTAGAATGTTTCTCGGCTGTTGTACAGCCATTTTGATATTCACAAAGAATCTATTAGATAAAAATGAAATGAAAGCTATTTCGAAACTACTCAAAAAAAAATGTTCTTTTTCTTCTAATCGTACAAAAACCAATCTTATGCTGCTTCTGCATAAAATTGTCTCTAAAAGTATACATCCAATAAATGTAAATGTAACATTAAAAATCAATTTTCGAAGTATTTCCCGATACCAGGAGAAATGTAATATTCAAAAGTGAATTATGACTTATTCTTTTGTTTTCTTCCTTTATTGAAATATTGTTAGTATAGAAGCGGACTGTGCTTCCGAAAAATCCGAATTCGGGTAGAAAGTTTATACGATCTTCTTCTATTCTAAACAGCACTTTTTACAACGCATTGGGCTAATGTGTGACAACATGACTGAAAAAAGAATGTAGGACAGAAGTTTTCGGCATATTTGACTTGTTTTAGAAATAAACAAAAAGCATGTTTATGCGCAATAAAAACAATGATTATGTATTGAAAAAAAGAGTCTAATGCACTAGATTAAAATTAAGGATTTCTTCTTTCGGGTGATTGCCATAACCAATCGTCTATTATCTGATCTTGACCAGACTGCGACATACTATGTTCCCATGAAGGACGAGCTCTGTTTGGACTTATGGGCTCATAGTTTGGATGCATGTCAACTCGAAAACTATCATGGTGTTGCATTGAGGGAGGAGGAGGAGGTGACATACTGTGTGGACTCATGCCTTGCAATGGAATATCATTGACTTGAACATGGTGTTGCTTTTGTTGTTTTATGGCAGATGAATCCATCATAGAGAACATGACAGGTTGGTTGCTATAAGGATCTTCAATAGCTACATTATGTTGAGCAGCAGGAGACATAGGTCTGCCCGTACCAGCGGAAGACCCAAAAGGCATGGTTTCACTCGAGACTGAATAAGGATGGTCTACTGTCATAGGTGACATGGCTCGCATAAAACCACCTGAATTGTTAATCGTACTGCCAGATACGATGTATTTGCCATCAGGAGATAGATCATCCATGCCTTTGGTAGTTTCATCAATAGTGTAAGTCGTGTTCTTGCTTTTAAATTCAGAGGCTTGATGTGTACGAGGATTGTTAGAGTATTGGAAACTCGACCTACTGTTAGAAGATTCAGTAGCTGCTTTAGAATATTGAGGTCGGGAGTGGAAGATGGAGATCTAAATTATACAACGTCAGAAGAAAAACCCAAAGAAAAGTTACTAAACATACCAAACAAAGCCAGAGGAAGATGACACAAACATTTAAATTGGCCATGAGACAATCAACAGCAAATTTGTTGGTATTGATCACCATAGAGGTCAAACCATCAATACAGAGAATAATGACAGAAATAGCATAAGATGCTAAAACAATAGAAATAGCAATATTCATGTCTCTGAAATAACTGAGTTTAGTTATAATGGCCTGATGACCAGGCGTGTTCTTCTTTTCAGATAATGCAATGATACGCTTAAAACGAAAATGCGATCGAATGCCTAATAAAGCAGCAAGAAGAGCTAATAATCTTATTAGTCTTATTTTGAAACTTGGCAAATTTACCTTCAACTCCATAAGCAAGTTGAGGAATAGCTTCTCTTTTCGATATGTCATTTCTGTAAACCCATTGAAGGACAGGAAACATGGCCATGCTAGCAAGTGCCCTATAAATGGGATTTAATAACAGGAAGTTGAAATAAATTAAATGCACGCACATACCAGACAATGTAAAATTTGAACTCAAATGAACTCATAAAACTCTTTTTGGCGACAGTGTTTGAAAGGTAATTCCAGAACGATTGTAATAAAAAGAAGACACCCACTTCTAATGAGAAGGTAACGCATTCAACATAGTCCATTTGCTAAAAAGGATTAAGGTTAGTACAACATCAATGTGTTTTTTATTTACCATAAGTAAGACTTGGTGCGAAGAATCCCACATTTGAAAAGGCTTTGTAATAATTTTTCCATGGTAGTCAACAAATCCTTCATTGTATTTAACATAACTAGATGCAATATCTAAACCAAACAATGAGTGACACATGAAAATTATTTGTTGCCTTTTACCCCACATAAATTGCAATATTAGCATCAGTATCATCAGTATGGTAGTAATCGTCTTTAATTCACCCGCAAGAATGGACTTAAGACTTAGGCATTTAAATTTGTCACTTCGATAAATGCTATGAATAAAGTAAACACTAAGATAGATCCAAATAGCACAACGTTCTGTATACAAAATTAATATGCATAGCTTATAACAATGACAGGGTTTTTACCTAGATAAGAAAAATCACTATTTTTGTATCAATGTGAGTAAGGAGAGAAAAATAGAGGGGGAGGGCATTTTACCTAAGATGAGTCATTCTTGAATTGAAATAAAGTAAAGAAAGAAAAAAGGTTTTTCTGGCTTCTCTTTCTCTTCTTTTTAAACTGTACCACAAAATCGAGCATATACAGTGTATAAATTTTTTTAAGACCAAAACCGATTTGGTGATTTTGTACGACTCAAAAAGAAGCTTCAGCATACACGGGCTCTGTTTCTAAAAAGAGAATTCATTTATACGGAGTTACAAGGAACCTTTCATTTTTTATTTTTGTCTTGTTTTTTTTCTCTTCTTTTCATCTCTCTTTTTTTTTTTTTAATCAAAAAAATTATTCCAGAAAAATGAAACTCAGTTTACTTCTCGCATCACTTTCAGCTATGCTATACACTTCCATGGCATTCAGTGACGACAATAGTGTAGGTCTCTCGAAAAGAGATTCACGAATTCCTTACTCCAACTTGCCTTCAACAACATGTTCCACACCTTCCACCTGTAGCAGCCTTAGTGGCACTGTCAGTTGCCGTTGTAGCGACCTTATGACAACCTGTATCAACAGTGCAGGTCAATACTGTTGGGGTTCTACTACCTTGACATCCACTTCATGTCCTAGTGTTCCTGATTCATGCAAATCAACCTTGACAACCACTGCTACATGTCTCTGTAACTCGAGCAATGTTCTCTGTGTTGATCAGTCCAATAATTATTGCTATGGTACTATTAGTGGAAGCAGTGTTGCTCTTGCTACTGTTCCTTATGCTCAATCTTCTGGTCAGGCCTATAGTTATAGTGGTAGTGTTTCTGCTAGCGCTTCTGCTAGTGCTTCTGTTAGTGCCTCTGCTAGTGTCAGTGCTAATGTTAGTGCTAGTGCTAGTGTCGTATCTTCTGCTGCTGTTACTGCCGCTGCTCCTAGTACACCTGCCACCATGTCTATTGTCGGTGCACCTTCTAACGCAGCCACGACCTCTTCTACACCCAGTGCTACTTCAGGATCAAACAAACTCACTGCATCTTCTTTATTTGCTGGTCTTGCTGTAGTTGCATACATGGCTATTCATTAAGGAGAATCACTCCTATTTCATTATTTTGATTTATTTATATATCAGCATATCATATAGACTATTCAATGAACAATAAAATCTATGTTCTATTATCAGCATGCAAATGAACACAAAAATATGATTTAATCATATTTTAATTTACGAAAATTTCTTGTGCTTCTCTATCCTCAATGACGCCAAGCCCATGGCACATAAATAGAATAAATTACCGCACAAAAAAGGGGAGGATTTTTTTTTTTAAATATCAGTAAAATGATCAAATTTCATCATTGATCGTATTGTCCAATCAGTTAAAGAACTGACATTCAATATGTTATCAACCTATGTACAGGGTTTAGTTTTTTTTTTTTTTTTTCTTATCACATTTTAATCTGTATGCTGTCTCGACTCTCGACGAGTTGTCTACGGACAACAACAGCAACAAGACATGTTTGGCAATTATCATTAAAAAATCACACTTTAAGTCCTTTACATAAAACTGTCTTTCGGGATCTGACCACGACTCAAAAACCGTTTCCTATATGCCACCAACTACCAAAACGAGCTTTCTATACAACAAAGCAAACACCAAAGACTACATTGGATAAAAACATAAAGCCTATTTCTGAAAGTGTTTCTAACAAAGCACGAAATGCTACTGATTGGGCCATTATTAAGCAATTAATGAAATATATTTGGCCAAAAAATGATATGGGTGTCAAGTCCCGAGTTGTCATTGCTTTATCTTTACTTGTGGGTGGCAAGGTAAGTTAGACTTTGAAATTCGATTGTATACCAAAAAAACAGAGTAGCTTTTGAATGTACAAGTGCCTTTCTTTTTTAAAAATGTGATTGACTCTTTAAATGTAACGATGCCCGAAGATGGTACTTTATGGACTATCTGTGGTGCTGCTATTATTGGTTGTAAGTAAAGAAAAAAAAACAAGCTGCTTTTGTTGATGAAGTTTATTAGATGGTCTTGCTCGTTTGGGTGCAAGCGCTTTTCAGGAACTTCGTAATGCTGTTTTTGCTGCTGTAGCACAAAAGGCAATTCGTCGTGTGGCTCTTAATGTTTTTTCTCATCTTCATAAACTGGATCTTGGATTTCATCTTACTCGACAAACAGGTGGACTAAATCGTGCAATTGATCGTGGTACAAAGTAAGTACATACAACAATAATAAGAAACAATGATTTATGTATGTACTTTTTAGAGGTATAAGTTTTATGGTGAGCTCTATGGTATTTCATGTTTTGCCTACTGCTTTAGAAATCAGTATGGTTTGTGGTATTTTGGTAAGTTTTTGGGTATACCATACAAAATGGATATTTAAAGGCATGTAGGCTTATAAATTTGGTACACCTTATGCATTGGTTACATTGGGTACGATTGCTGCCTACACAGGCTATACTGTCACTACAACTGCTTGGAGAACAAAGTTTAGAAAACAGGCCAATGCCGCTGATAATGTGGCTGCATCTAAAGCTGTTGATTCATTAATTAACTTTGAAGCTGTTAAGGTAAACAAAAAAAAAGGGGGAGTGTAGACAACTGATTTAAACTTGGGTATAGTACTTTAACAATGAAAAATTCGAAGCTGAACAATACGACAAACCCCTTCAACAATACGAAAAGGCATCACTCAAAGTAGCTTCTAGTCTAGCCATGCTGAATGCAGGCCAAAATGCTATTTTCAGTACTTCTTTAACCATCATGATGCTTTTATCAGCCCATGGTGTGCTCAATGGCACAATGACAGTAGGTGATGTTGTGATGGTCAATCAACTTGTGTTTCAATTATCCATGCCTTTGAACTTTTTGGGTTCTGTCTACCGCGAACTTAGACAATCTTTGATTGATATGGACACTTTATTTAACTTGGAAAACCGTGCTCCTCTTGTTCAAGATGCTCCTGATGCTAAAGAGTTTGTTTTCAAGGGCGGTGAAATTCGATTTGAGAATGTCAAATTTGGTTATCATCCTGAGCGACCTATTTTGAATGGTGTATCCTTTACTGTCCCTGCTGGTGCCAAGGCTGCTTTCGTGGGTCCCAGTGGCTGTGGTAAATCCACTATTCTCCGACTGCTTTTCCGTTTTTATGAGCCGCAATCAGGCAATATCTATGTCGATGGTCAAAACATCAAGGAAGTAACCATGGACAGTCTTCGCAGAGCCATTGGTGTTGTTCCTCAAGACACTACCTTATTTAACAACTCTGTTTACTACAATATCAACTATGGCCGTATTGATGCTACCAAAGAAGATGTTTATGAAGCTGCTAAACGAGCCCGTATTCATCATGTGATCATGTCATTGCCCGAGAAATACGATTCAACTGTTGGCGAACGTGGTTTGATGTTATCAGGTGGTGAGAAGCAACGTATCTCACTTGCTCGAACTATTCTCAAGAAGCCTCGTATCTTGTTTTTGGATGAGGCTACTTCTGCTTTAGATACACATACGGAACAATCTTTATTAGCCAATTTTAGAAGTATTTTACGTGAAAGTGGCATGACCAGTCTTCATATCGCTCATCGACTTAGAACCATTGCTGACGCAGATAAGATTTTTGTACTCAAGAAAGGCAAAGTAGTCGAGTCTGGTAGTCATAACGAATTATTAGCAATAGAAGACAGTGTCTATAACAATATGTGGATAAAGCAAGAAAGCACAAATGCTTATTTTGATGAACTGGATAAACATGAACAAGACTATAATCAAGACAATGATCGAAGAAAATAGATGTACATAAATAAAAAAAAAAAAAATTTTTTTCATTTTCTTTCTTATTAAATAAATGAGACATTTTGTCAGATCGCAAATATACACGCTGTAAATTAGGTGATATTATGGCTCCAGCGCGCGTCGTCATGTCTCCCAAGACTAAAAGCCAAGGAAGGTTGATCGTTCACAGAGCCAAGAAAGCTATCATCATTCATTCCATAGTTAGGAAGATTTGTCTAAAGAAAAAAAATTTTTTTCATGGCCATTTTATCTTGCTTTATATAGCTTTTTTTTACTCTTGCGGAACTCAAAAAAGGACTGTCAAAACTTTAAAACATAAGTCACGAAACAATCATTCAGGAACAGACTTGAGTCCAAAAATTGAAACCAGTTGGATCTGATTATAACCAAGCATTGCTTATTCAAAAAGATACTTGGAAAATAAATATAACGAAAAAAAAAGGACAGTGTTCTGGATAGTATCCACCCCAAAAAAACATCTTTTTGCTTTGTATAATGCCTACCACTACCGCTAGAAAAAAGAGTGATGATGCACTAAGTTAAATAATGGTACTACTTGGCGCATTTGAGACAAGGATCTTTAAGTTTAGTGCATTGCACCAAGTAAGACAAAACAACATTTAAAGAAGTGCATTGTTAGATCATATTGCAGAAATACATGGGTAAGCTTCTCTTCCATAACATTATATGATCCTTATCGTCCACATATTTTACATAAAAACATAGATACATATTACATTTATGAATGGTTTAAATGGCTTGTTTTAATTATTGAGATGCATGGATGTATGAATAGCTATAGAAAGAATCATCATATAGACGTGATTGAAAGATCACATCCTGAGAAAGCACAACCACGAACCAAAAACAGATCTAATCCAAATCACACTAGTATCAACTTTATTCAAGAAGCAAGTGAGTGCTATAATTACTGATTGGCAAGTTCTATTTGGATCCCAAGCACTTGTGATGAATGAACAATAGATTAGACTAAAGGAAGAAAAGGTAAAGAAAGAGGTCAAGGTGTCAAAGAAAAGAAGTAAAAAGAAAATGAAAATAAAGACTGTCAGTCAATGAAACCCTTTTGACTCTGTTGTATTAAAAAGAAGTACTTTTCCAGCATAAAGCGCGGTTACTTTTTTTTTAGAATACAAGTACTTTGCCAAGGAATCCAAAAAAAGTACATGCCCAACAATACAACATGATTTGCTTCTTGTCTATTTGTTGACTATCAGGTACACATAATAAAGAGTTTTATTTCTTTCTTTTTGTCATGCCATTCGTTATTTGTCAACTAACTGACCAAAAAAAGGCATCATGTAATCTACTTTTAAGAATATATCTCTGCCCTCATATCCTTCTAAAATCCACTTCATTGCGCAAACAAATGATAAAATACTCTACATAAGCCTATCTATTTTTTGGGAGTAAATACATTTGTATTGCTCTTTCTTATTGCTTTCATCTGAATATCAACTATCACAAAGATCCCTCCCAGATATGTCCACCAATCCACTGTTCTATTTCTGAGTAAAAGATGTCTCAACTTGGCGTCCAAATACTAAGTATCACAAAGAGTTACTTGGCGCTTGGTACAATGCACCAAGTGTGCATCGGGATTAAAATCTACTTGGTGTCCTATGCATCATACTTGGAGCATTGCTCCAAAAGTTTGGCGGCAATGTACCATTTCCAGGGATCAAGCAGTGTGCATATTTTACTGTCAAGTGTACAACGAGTCTAAAGTTGCTAAACTGACGAAAAGAATCAAAGAAATGAAGGATGTTGATTTATGTTGTTTAGAAGGTCCTACCGAACTTATTTTGGCGTCTCTCTTGTCTATGAAGTCTTATACTTTAAAATATCGGCCATATTCCACAGCTCTCATCGAAAAGACCAACTCCAATGAGAAAAATAGAGAGAAAGTATAGCTTTTTATAATAAGAGGCCTGCTGCTCTAATAGAATCAACATTCTTATATATTCTACTTTATTTCCTCTAAGCAATGTTTTGTTACCAGTTTTAGTAGATCAAGTTTATTCACAAATAGAACTGCAGCCAACATAGTAATTTGATCATGGGATATAATATCGATGGACTGCATAATAGTGGATAAATTATAAGAATTAGGATCATTTTGATCTTTAGTATGTCCTTATTCCACAGTTAAAAATCTCCAGTTTTTTGGATCCTAGAGTAGTTCGCAATAATCATGAATCTTGGTTGTGTTGTCAATTGGCAAGCAATTGACTATAATCTTGCAAATATTCTTATTGTTGTTGTAAGAAAAGATTTAGTAATTTACTATCGTAAAATGTGTTTTTACGATGTTACTGTAAAAGGTTTCCGAATCTTTACAATTGGCTGATAAACCCGCATAATCGAGAATAATCGACGACTTTTTCTTTTATCTTGAGCATTGCCATCGAAATCTAGTTGTTCTAGAAGATATTGAATCCTACTTCATCCAAGAATACACAGTTATTCTCAGTCCATTTCTTCGTCAGCTAACTATTGAAAAAATGGTCTCCTTTCTCTTCTTCATAGATAGTGCACAGTTGGCTCTAAGATAGACTTATAGGCAGACCTAGAAACTTTTGAGTAATAATTCGCGTACAGTCATTTCAGAAAGTAAAGTGGCTGATTTTGAGTTCAATGTCGTGCAAAAAAATTGTGCATTCAACAATGATGTCGATTGATCCAAAAATAAAGTCGTGCTCACGTGATATAAACTTTGTTTATTTTTAATTGCCACTTAGTAATTATCCAATTAAATTTCTTGGCATCAATTATTTTTAAGGACGAATTTCTGTGTCAATTTTACTTTCTTCTTTCTATTTTACAGATATTGAAGATGAGCATGCAATTTTTTTTATGAAGATGGACAGGGGCACATTGTTGATGAGAATGGAGTTGAGCAAATGGATGTTGTTGTTGATGAGGAGCTATTCGCTATTGAAACAATAAGTTCTCGTACTCAGTTCCTAATGAATAAACCTTCGGAAAGACCTAACCCTGTAATACATCCAGTTATGGATAAGAAGAATAGTGAAGATATTGATATGGAACTATGCAACAAGCGGCGCTATACGGTTTACTCTGATGAAGGTAAGACTAGATTTTTTCATTTATTTTTCAGCAAATGCTTGAAAGCTTCTGCTGCTGCAAGACAATTAGGTATTCATATCCAAACAGCACAGAGATGGGTCAAACGTTACTACGAGGACCCTGAAAGCATCTTTGAGAAGAAAAATAAGTCAGGTCGGCGTCGTATTCTTGGGGAAGAGCGTAAACAGTTTCTTTTAAATTATATTGATGAGGACCCTTCTGCCATTGTCAATGAAGTGGTGGAAAGTTTGAAACAAAACTTTGAAGGTCACAACGTTTCTCGTAGTACTGTTTACAACTTTATGACAACTCGGTGTAATCTGTCAATTAAGCAAGCACAGTTTCATCCTGTGGAAAGGAACAGTGAGGGAAAGATTCAGCAAAGGTACAACTGGGTCCAAAAAAGTGGCAGCAAACTGACCTGGATTTCACAACAAATTGTGCTTTTCTTGATGAATCAGCTTTCACATTAATTTGAAACGGGGTATGGCTTGATCAAAGAAAGGCACTCCTGCAATAGTTACAGTGCTTAGAACGAAAGCAAACGCAACATCGATTTTAAGTGCAATATATGCAAATGGCTTAATTAATATTAGCTTGCGAGTTCCAAAGCGTATCAAAAAGAGAAAGCTTGGACGTGCGACTGATGGTTATAGCACGGGGACAGTGCCAGGCCATTATCTAAGCTTCTTCAAGGCTACTCTTGATGAAATGGACAAGTATCCTGAAATGAAGGGGCATTATCTTGTCATGGATAATGCTCCTATCCATAATTCAATTGACATCGGAAAGTATATTCATTCTCGAGGATATCGTTATGCATATCTTCCGCCGTATTCTCCAGAATTGAATCCTATTGAACAATTCTGGTCCGTTGTCAAGAGTAAAGTTAAGCGCAATAAGTTCCTGTTGATGACTAGAATTAGTGAGGCATGTGATAGCTTATATTTAAATGATTTCAACGGCTTTATTTCTCATTCTGTTAAATGTTTTTGAAAATGCCTCAACAAAGAGAGGTTATAGCCTCTATGCGTAATGGGATAAAAAAAAGAAAAAAGAAAAGACTCTTGTCTTTTTGTTCAATCTTAGACATGTTCAATCTTTTTAGACTTGTTCAATCTTAAACTTGTTCGATTTTAGACATGTTCAATCTTTTTAGACATGTTCAATCTTAGACATGTTCAATCTTTTTAGACTTGTTCAATCTTAGACATGTTCAATCTTAGACATGTTCAATCTTTTTAGACTTGTTCAATCTTAAACTTGTTCAATCTTAAACTTGTTCAATCTTTCCAACCTTGTTCAATCTTTTATTTACGTTTCAGGTCTTTTTAAAATACGGGCTGGAGAATATCATATTTAATATTTATAAATAGTCCTTTTGAGCGCATGACCTAATTTAGCCATTAAACGCTCGTACTCGATCATCTCATAAGAAGGACTAATTAAGCTAAAAAAAAGTCTTAGAGAAGCAAAGGCAAAAAAGGCTTGTAAAAGGAGAGGGTTGGACTAATGTTTTTTGTGGGCATATGTTTGTAACCATAGAAGGAAGGGCGATAATTGATTGGTTGGAGTAATGTTCAGCGGTTCCATGTTAGCAAGTTGTATAGCGCCAACTTGTGAAAGAAGTGTGTGGATTGAGGTCCATTTGACACCCCAGTAAAGTATTGAGCGGTTGTTCTTAGGAGGTGTTATAGACAAGCGGTTTAAAAGGTGAGACAAAGGATCGGAAACAGTTGTAGGTTGGTTTAGCATTACATGCATACTGAGGCAATTGATAGCATGGGAATGTGAAAGATGTTGACCACAAGAACACGGCTTAGGAGAGCCCCCAGGTAGCCACTCAAGACGCCATCGTATAAGACGACTCCGTTCAATGTTGATCATGGGCATCCATAGGATAGGATCAAGGGAAAGGAATGGGCGACAGAGGGAGAGCATTTTTGTTTTTGGTAAGGTAAGCATTTTGGTGAAATTTGCTTCCAAGTACTGATGTTGATACTCTTGGAAATCTTTTCGAGGCATTGGTGTGAGGGGTTGAGGGAGAGATTTGCAGAATGAAGTGGACGAGAGTTTGTGCCAGTGCGACGCGGTAAGGTAAGAAGAGTGTCTTCTTGCAGAGAGGGAACACACAGTACAAAGTTTACTTGAGGATTTCACTTCGTTCACGCATTGTGGGCAGGTTCAATAGATGCCTCATTACCTTTGTTGATGCAGTTTTAGATCCGCCGAATATGGTCCTCAGACAGTAATCTTGGGCTTGCTCCAATACTTTAGTCTGGGTGTTTGTCAAAAGCATAATTGTCAGTCCATATTCCATTTATGGGCGAACCATTTGCCGATAGAGCCGACAGGAGAGCTGCTTAGAGAAGCCACGGTTGTTAGCACCGATTGAAGCAAGCATAGCCATTGTGGCACGAACTTTAGCAGCACCTGCCTTCACCAAGTCTTTAGAGCTAAAGAGGCCTTTTGCCTTGAAAGTAACTCTGAGGTAAGAGAAGATAGCCTGTCGTGGAATTACAGGACCAGAAAGAGCATAGTCAGTGGTGTCCTTCTCAGGCGCAAGAATTACACATTTCGTAGGGTTCCATCGATACCCTAGTGTCAGGCTATGTTCAGCACATTGGTCGAGAAGAGGTTGAAAAGTTTCTTTGGTGGCAGTCAGTACAACACCATCTGCGTAGAGCAAGCAATTGATAGATGTAATGAGCTCGTTGGCGGACATATCTTTATTGAGAGGTATAGTACGTAACAATCGAGGAAGGCTATCGATATAATACGAGTACAGGCATGGTGAAAGGATAGAAACTTGTAGTACCCCAGAGCGTGGTGTGAAGCTATACGACTTAGTGTTGGAAAGAAGAACTTCAATTGAGACATCATTGAACATGTTCTGTAACAAATCTAATAGTGCAGGAGAGACTGTAGGCTGTAATTGGCGCCAAATGACATTGCGATCGACTGTATCATAGGCTGATTTTATATCCAAGAAAGCAAGTACTGGCGTGATCCTGTGTTGATGGCGTAAACTGTTACAGGTTTCAGCGAGACAAAGAGCTTGATCTAGTGCACTTCTGAATTCTCTAAATTCACCTTGAGCAATGTCTAAGTAAAATGCTTGGTCTTGAAGTGGTTCTCTGAGGCATGTCTCAAATGTTTTTCTAAAGACGGAGGTAAGATTGATAGAGCGGTAGCTAGCTGGATCAGTCTTATCGCCTCTCTTATGAATTGAAATCACTTGTGCCACTCGCCAACAATGTGGTGTGTATAAACGTCGCCAACATAAACCAAAAATGTATAAAAGCAAAGGAGCAAGGGCTGTTCGAATTGGTCGCAGTGTTTCTACCCGAATATGATCCACATCTGGTGCTTTTCTCGAAGGTAGCTTCTGTATTGCTGAAGTAACATCATCCAAGTCTAAAGGAAGCATCTCACCATGTGGCGCTGGTGAAATAGTAAGAGTAGAGGGACTCGATTCAGCTGGTAATAAAAAGCCATAAAATATAGTCTCCAAATGTGACGCCATGGCATTCGAAGCCATTTGAGCACCTTCTGGTAAGGTGAACGTAGGAGCAATCTTTCTATTTCTTTTGATGCTGCTGATATGTCGAATGGTGTTGCCATAGTCATCAGATGCTAGTTTTTGGCAATATCGCCTCCAAACAAAACGTTGCCGTTGTTTGATGAGTCGTCGCGTTGCTGCTTTTGCCTGTTGGTGCTCTATCCAAAAAGAAAGTTTGTTGAGACCATCTGCTCTACGCCATTTTCTGTAGCATTTTTCTCTGTAATCTAATGCTGCCTGCATTTTCTTTGTCCACAAATCGTGCATATAATTGTTCCAGTGTTCTTTACGTCCACATGAAGAGTCCAATGCGCCATATATAGCAGTGCATAATGTACTGGAAAAATTTTCAATGAGGTTTGCTGCTTCTGTTCTCTGCTGAGGTTGTATAGTTGCATCCCTCATTTGTGAGAGAATCGTTGAGTTGCTTTGGAATTGATCTATATACTTATTTCGTACTTTCTCTTCTACCAGTTTTCCCAGTCGCCATATGATTCTAGGATTTTCTGAAGGTGGTGGCGGCACCGAATTAGTTAGAAAATCGAGATGCGTCTGTTGTGAGATGAAGAGAGAAAAGATATTGAATAAGAAAAAAGATAAGAACACAGAGAAAGTCCGTTAGAACTTGTATAGGCTTTTATTTCCCAAAAGAGAATCGACTTATATTCTATGGCTATCTATTATTATTTTTTAAAATTGTTTTCGTCAAACTATTTTTTATATTTAAGATTTTGTCTAAATTATAAAAACAAAAATAATTCAAAAAACCTTGAATAAATTAGAAATAATGTATTTTTTGAAATCAATGGATTTATGTAAATGTATGTTTTTTTCATTATTATTTATTTTTGATATATTAATTTTTATAAAGTATAATATAAGTTCCAGGAATAAATAGTTTTTTGCGTTGTACTATTACTTTTATATTTGTTCTATTTTATAATTTCTTCCATTTTTATAATATAACACATTATTTTTATCGGGTATTCCTAATAAATACGAGATGTTTCTCAAAAGAAATGTTACCCTTTTCAATTGCTATAAAATATCAAAATATTTATACTTTTTCTTCTCGTTCAAAATATTGTTTTGGGTTAGCTTCTTGACTACGGATTGGTTTGTTAGATCAAGAGCAATTAAGAGAAATGCCTTTAAAGGGAGCTGTCAGCTCAGCCAATAGTACATGATCTGACCTGAACTTGAATAAACTATTACATATTTGTCAAATGCCAATACTGTGATATAATCACTAGTAAAATGGTCAAATCAATAAGTCGATTAGAACCAAAACGGCCAAAAGAAGTCTGCTTTATTAAAGGTTATATTTTGTATTGTATTTATACTGTTTGTATGATAATTGATTATCCTTGATTTGGGACTGAGTGTGTTGTGATGTCTTGATAATAGAGAGTTGTATGATAAGATAATGTAGAGACAAAGGTAGATACTTGGAGACTGTTCTATACAATTTTATTGTTCTTTTTTTTATTATAAATTATTCTAGCATATTTATACATGAAGAGATGTCGGAGTAAGTAGTAGTAGAGTTCATGCAAATGACTGAGTCTCTATTATCATAGACTACTTTAAATTAATTAAATAATGTAAATTATGGATTTCGGTTATAAGTCTTGATTTATTAAAAGATACATTGTCTTATTCAGTACAAGAGGTTCTTTTATGTCTATTTCTGATGTAAATTGATTATGATATATTTTAGTATGTAATTGAAGACTTATTTAATGTTCAGATCATCACATGTGTATACACTAGCTAATGGGTTGAGTGGATTAAGGTACACAAGAATTGGGTACATGATCAGGGCACAGACCTCGTCTACCATTGGTATTGATGCAGATGTCAATTTGTGATTATGTGATGGTCTGATCTTTAACATGTTTAAACTAAGATAGAAGACATCCATCGAAGATGCGGATAAAACTGTGATTGAAAGATATATCTATACATGACATTAATATTTGCTCTTTTAAGGCATAACTAGTGTAAGAAGGGATGAATAATGCTGTGTATACAACAACAGGACCAAAAGGGACTTCTGAGTCAGGTTTAAGATGAATAGCATGATCATATGGACGATGAGGGGGTAATTTATCTGCCTCATGCTTTGAGAATACACTTGCAAAATCTTGGTACTTGTCAGGTATAGTTAAGTCTATATGTGAAACCCCAGACGACTCATTAACAACATTAACACAAGAACCATAAGAATACTGAGCACCCTTAACAGAAGGGACAGCAAAATTTATTTCTTCCTTAACGATGCAAGGAGAGAAGGGGGAAGTTGTGCAAGTTGGGGAAGGTGTGTAAGTTGGGGAAAGTGTAGGCGGAGGGGAAGGTGAAGGAACAAAGGACAAACCAGGAACCACAGGTTCCGAGAGGGAACGGACAAAGGAGAGACCACAATCCCTAGGTATTTTGGTACCTACCGGAGCGGAAGCAGAGCGGACAAACGAGATACCTGTCTCCTGAGGAGAGGGGGAGGGAGAACCCACACCACGAGACTCAGTTTCCTCAGCAGGAAAAGGAGGGAAAGAAGGTCCAGAGCCAGAGGTAACATGTTCTTCCAAGGGGCCAAGGCAAGAAGCAGCCAAGTTGGGGGTCTTACACACTATGGCGGAAAAGTTAGTTACAAAACGTACAATTTTAGTTCGCAAAATTACCAATTTTTACAGCAAAATGGTTGTTTGAGAAATAGCTGGCATCAATTTTTCAACGTACAAAGTTGTTCGAAATGTTACCAAATTATTTGTACGCTTTTCGAACAACTTTAGTAACAAAACAACTAAATTTATTGTTCGAAAAGCGAACAATATTAGCAACAAAACAGCAATAACTTGTTTCCTTCTGGAACAACTTTGGCTACAAAACAACCAAGTTTTTTGGTGCTTTAGTTACCAACATTGTTCGTAATCTCACTTATTTTTTTTAGGATTATTAGAAATTAGGCACTTAATATAAATGGAAAAAAACGATACTTTTATTGAGAAATAGTAAAAGAAAAGAAGCACTACTTGAATCTAATAAAAACAAAAGTATACAAGCGAGGCAAGAGTGTTAAATGAGCAATTCGCTTTGCCATTCGGAATTGAGACAACACTGATAGACACAGAAAATAATTTGTATGTAGTATATGGTTTTTTTTTTAATAATAAAAAAGAAAAAACCACCATCTTGCTATCCATCAAACTTACCTGACAAAGTGCATCTCTTGTACGGATAAATAGTCAATTCCTTTAGGAGGGCATTCTTTTTTGAGGAAAAAAAAGTTGGTTTTGAGTGTATTAAAGGTGTGTAATAACATATCAAACTTACTATAAATCAAGAGACAGCAAGAACTTGTTTTGGAATCTAGAAAATAAAAGGCGCTTTGTTAGCTTTCAAGTAGCAAAAATAGATTAAACATACTTTGATTTTAAATGGAAGCAGACTAATCTCATCTAAACATATAGAACAAACAAACTAATTGAATTAGAACAAGGCAATGTCAAAACTCTCTTCCAAAGCAACACTCACCAGTACCAGGACCAGGCGATGTGACATTTCATGCCAAAACTTGGAACAAAAAAAAACAAGTAGCTCTTATATGTTTACTTACACTCTAACTCTGGTTTCGACTTTTGTTTTTTATCTATATAAAGGCCCAGTAGTATATCAATTTTTGTCTATGGCTATGTTAGAGAAAAAAAGACTTTACTGCGGAAAATGCGTTCTTCCATACCAATCAAAGAGAAGCGCAGCAATTCTTCAGATTGTTAAAAAAGCGCTGGAAGTACTGTCTAATTCTTAAGATGAGTAAGCCCATGAGTCGATGTTATGCAATCATAAGGTTTCAGAGAGTTTAAGCTTCTGGATGTAGGTTGGATTTAGGAGCTGTGGACTTTATCTATAATATAAACGTTTTAAAAGAAGATGATGGAAAAAAATTGTTTTATTATTTAAGGTCGTGACTATTTTTTGTTACTTCTTCTTGTACGATTAGACTTGGCTGATTGGCTTTTGTCTTCATTGCGTTTGCCCTTTTCTTAGGTTGAGAAGAGGGAAGAGGTAGAGAAGGAGAACAAGGACAACAGTTGTTTTCCATTCCGAAAAAAATGTCTTCTTCAGAATCCTCAAATTCATCACCACAATATAGGTTTGCGTACTCCAAAGACGGCTTTTCACTTTGAAGAGATTCAACACTAACTTGGTTTTCACTGTATAGTTTTAATTCTTGTTAGGCATTTTAAAATTTCAATGAATGCATGTTTTGCGTTTATTATACCTGATCCTTGAGTTATTCTCTCTTTCAACAACAGAAGCCTTATTTCTTGTTCTATTACTTCTGTGCTTGTGTGTTTTGAAGAGCAATAGACCGGCTGCCCAGGAATGCTGACATCTTTGAAGATGAAAGCCATGAGTAGCTGCATTGCTTTCAAGCTTAAATGTGTATTTTGCGATTAGAGCAGAAGACACTTCAGACCATAAAGGCAACACAGCTGCTTTGTCATTCTTCTTTAAAGCTTTCAGCAACTCTAACTCCATTTCATCGTGGGTATTATTTGCAATTGTTCTGAGGATCCTGTAGTCATTCTCATTTACTTTATCATCAATTAAAAGATCAGTGATATTTCTTTCTTTCTTGAATAAGTTGATCAGGGCAAGCAAACGCAACCGTGGCGTAACATATCTATGTTTTCCATGAGAGCCGAATGCTTTTGTTGCTTCCTCAAGTACTCTAGGAATGTCTCGGAAGCCCATCAATTTTAGATGAAGAGAGTGGGCAATACCGCCTTCTCTTGCTGCATTTTCCAAAAACAAATGTTTATACATATTCTAAAGACGTAGCTTGTTTTTTTTTTACCTTATTGAGCTGCTTCAAGAACTTTACTGTTGATCTCATTACTATCACTTTAGGCAAAAGAGGGTGCTAATAAATGCATCAATCCATTACGTATTTGAGTCTGTGATTCGATTGTTTTTTCGAGTTGGGAAACTTGTTGTTGCATCTGAGTGGTTTTGTAGATAGTCGTTTGGTTCATATTGTAAGACAGAAAGACAATTGCAAGAAAAACCAAAAAGCTATTTTTGCTAAAAAAAACCCAAACAATTATTGAATATTCAACATAACTCAATATACTCTTTTTAGATGAGTCTCATGTCAAACTCTTAGGAGTGCATCAACGTATTGCATTGTGCAAACCTTTTTTTTGTTTTCAATAAGAAACATTATTAGTATTATTGTACTTGTAAAAAAAATAAAGAATTCTTCTTGCTCATAAAGCTACTATTATTGTCGCAGTACTTGTCGCCTCATAACTCTTATTGTTGACAAAACGAACAACTTTGTTCCCCACAAACAAGAAAATTAATGATTTTGAATGATATGACTTGCTTTTTAGAAAAATAAAATAAAAGTTGTTGACATTTCGAACAACATTGGCAAAAAAGTTACTTTTTCTTGTTTGTTTTGCGAACAATATTAGTAAAGTCAAACAACTAATCCGCCATAGTGACACATGTGGTGCACACAAGTCAACCCAAGAATACCTTGTCTCCAGTTAATAACAGGATCATGGCGGCCAAGCCAAGGAGCACCAAGTATGACCGGATAGGCCGCATTATCAAGAAGACGAAGATCTAGGTATTCCTCATGGGTGGTACCCTCCACACCCAAGAAGACCGAAGAACACAAGGAAGAAGCAAAGAGTCTACCATCAGCCAACTGGAAGGTGGTGTCACGATCATTACTGGTGGTGGGTAACCCAGCAGAGCGCACAAGAGCAGAGCAAACAAAGTTGGACGAGGCGCCGGAGTCTATCAAAGCAATGGTGGTGAAGCTGGTACTGGCTACCTGGATGGTGACATTGATAACCATCAGTCCGGGATGTACAATAGGGACGACCAAGCCCAAAGAGCCAGAGATATCCTTGGAGGAATCAGGTAAACGAAGCTTCTTGAAGTTGTGAGCTCGAAGGAACTCACCCTCTAACTCTACGGAACTACGCTTGGGACCAGCAGAACCCACATGACACAAGCCAGGAAGCACAACAGACATAGACCAACCCACGTTGGGCTCTTCAGAGGTTGAAAGTACAGCAGACAATGCATCAGGAGAGCGCTTTTTGGGACAAGAAGACGAAAAGTGGCCTTTATCGCCGCAGTAAAGGCAGAAATTGTTATTAACTCGATGTTGTCGCTCTTCAGCAGACAAAGAGTGGCCAGCAACACGAGACACGACACTGAGATCCATTGGAACCGGGGCAGGGGGACAGGAGAAGACAAAGAAGCAGGGCGAGAGAAACGGGGAACAAGATTTTTTTCTCTTTGTCGGTCTGACAATCGGTTATCGATATCGATACTAGCTTTGATGAGGTTGTCCAAAGTATCAATAGGATCACGACGAGCCAGTTCATCCTTGACAACATGTTTAAGGTTTAGCTTGAACTGAGATACCAAGGCGGCGTTATTCCAATCGACCAGAAGAGAGAGGCGACGAAACTCAGTAGCATAAGCTACAACAGAGCCAATTTGCTTGAGAGCACGCAATTCATTCTCAGCCGAACCAATGGGATTTGCCTCCCCAAAAGCATCCATAAGTGTTTTGAGGAACAAAACAAAGTCACAAAGAATGGGGGTTTATCAGTACCGGAAACCAAACCGTGGAGATGGGATTGAATGTAGGCGAGAGCATTACCTTGTAAGCAACCAAGGGCAAAAAGAACCTTAGCCTCATCATGGTTGTTGTGAACATATATGAATTCATATGCATAGATCAATAAATGATGATCATGGCAAAAAACCAGATCACATCTATGGCAATTGCAATGGATCTATAGTCACTGACATTCACTCATTCCACTAGAAGTACTACATCATCCTCATAGTCAGAGATTATGAACCTAGTGACTCTGTTAGTATCAATGGCCCTCATAAAGTGACAGTTAGAGCTGACAAAGACATTAGCATTGGCATTTGACAAATACAGTGGTTACATTGAGTGTCCCATAAAACCTGTTTTTTTACCCTTCTCTACAAAAACTCCGTCGATCCTTCTGAAACTTGGCACATAGATTAATTAGTCATTGACAGTAAGGATAACACTGCTAATTGCTCCTAAATACATCCAATAACAGTGCTTCATTTTCAAAAGAGAGAAAATTTGTGTTTCACCATAATTTATTCTTTATTTGAAATGCTCAAAATTTAGTATAACCGCCCTTTGCTTTGATGACTGCTTCTATACGTTGAGGCATGCTGCTATAGTATGCCTCCATGTCGCCTTTGCAAAATTTGTACTACTCTTTTTCGACCCTTGACCACAATTCGTCCAGATTTTTTGGTTTTGTATCATATCCGGCTAGCCTGCACTTTAACTGTTTCCAAAGATGCTCTATTGGGTTCAAATCGGGACTGTTAGGTACCAGTCAGCAGTAAAGTGGACTTTGTGGGCTTTAAGCCAAGAAATGGTAGCCTTTGCTTTGTGTTTTGGGTCGTTGTCTTGTTGAAATATACTTTTTTGTGGATCCATACTATAATACTCCAATGTATCTAGGTATGACGACCCTAGAATCTCCAAATAGCAATCGGTATCCATTGTCTTTTGAAGCACTCGAGAGGCATATCCTACTCCGGAAGATACCATGCACCCCCACATCATCAGAGAGCCACCTCCATGCTTGAGCAATAGCTTGTAGTTATGGGGCCTCGCTTTAAACCCTTGCTGTAACCAAGTGTATGTTGCACCATCTGATCCCCAAAAATTGATCTAAGCCTCGTCGGTAAAAACGATACTCTTCCACTCATTTGCGGACCAGTTACGATATTTTAAGGCCCATTTGTATCTCTTTGAAAGGTGAGAAACTCTCAAAAGAATTTTCTTCTGCTTGAACTTTGAGTATAATCCTACCCTTTTCATCAGAGAGACTGTCCCACTATACGTCAAAGCAATACCCTGTCCAGACAACCAAGTTTGGACTTCTTTGACATTCTTCAATGCTCCAGTTCGGACTTTCATTCGTAGCAAACAAGCCGTAAGATGACCTACTCTTGATGGTCTACCGGTACCAGTGCAAGTTTTCATTTCTGGCAACTCTTTTCTAATACGAGAAACAGTTGATTTGGCAACACCTGTTAGTTTTGAGACCTGACGAATCGATTTGCCAGATAAAAGTGCAGATTTGACATTGTTTCGTTTATCGTATGGGAGGCTGTAAGGCATGATAATAAGGAGAAAAGGTATGTATATAGAATGAAGAAAAGAGAATTTTTTTCTGAAAAGCTTGCCGCATTTATATGTAGTAGGGTAGGTTGTGCTAGAATTTGCCGAAGAATGTGGAAAACGCACAATTGAGAATGCTTATTCGCCGAAGAAAATAAGGTATTCAAGTTTTGCAGGAAATTTTTTTGAAAACGCTACGTCATTTTTTTACCTAAGTTGTCCAAAAGTGGTATCTCGTACTAAATAGAGAAACTGAAGTAGCCAGCAAAAAAATGCGCTTTTTCTGATACTAACACAAGGTCAATACGACGAAAATATATTAATTTATGCTTATAAATGAGTTTTATGGGACACTTAATGTAACCACTGTACGTGTAAGAAACTAAAAGTTTCTAAAAAGTGTTTGCAGAAAAACAGTGCGTCCCATTTGATTTGATTTAACATATTGTGGCATTTTTTTGTTTCATATGGACAAAACTCTAGGGCATCGTTTTTGGCTGAGTACATTCATTTCTTTGAGAGTGATATACACTGTTTCCCGAGACTATTGACATACCGTAAAATGAAAGTTGTCACACTTTTTTCTTGTGATTTAGTACACTTTTAGTTTTAAGTCAAGCACAAATAAAAATTATTCTCTCATTTCTGAGAAAAGATGTGCGTACTTATAAAAGAATAAATAACACAAAAAAAAAGAAAGTTTAGCGTGGTATTTGAAAAAGAATAGAATATTCAACAGAAGAAGAAGGCGTAGTTTTCCAGCTCTTTTCTTCAACATTTTATTACTAATGACCAATATTGTTCAATTAAATTTAGCTCAGGAGAGCAAGGTGGAAGATAAAGACACCCGTATCCACAACTTTTGATATACTTCAGGATGTTATCCGCTATACGAGTTGGAGCATTGTCCATTACAATACAATGGTCTTTAAATTCTTCATGCTTATCTAAAAAGTCAAGGGTGCAGGCAATGAAATTAAAATAATGGCCAGTAACCGTACCCACCGTCTTTTTGGCCTTCAAATTGTTTGCTTTTCTATTCTTTGAAGACGCTACTGGTCTTCTCACATGAATACTAACTACGCCAAAAGGTAAAATAGCACCCAGAATCGTTGTTGTTTTAGCTCTTGTTGTTGGTTGAACAGCTTCCGCACGAGTCCCTTTCTTTGATTAGCCCATCGTTCTTTTCAAGTTGATGTGAATTGCCGACTTGTTAACGAAAACACAATTACTTTCAAAGTCCAGATCAGTTTCATTCATCTCTGAATCCATCCGTAACGCTTGAGAATGCTTGAGGGTGAGTTCTTTTCTTTTGAATGAAAATAAGCTTTCTTAAATGACAAAGCGCACTTCTCGATCATGAATCTATGGATTGAAGTCTTAAAGACTTACAAATCTTTAAATTCATTTATCAGACTCTCCATAGCCTGATCTAATGTTGCTGAAGGGAAATCCATCAACTGTTTTTCTGAAAATCGCTGGTGCTCTTCGCTGAAATTGCTTGGCCGACATGTCTTAGCTTTTATTTTCTCTTTTCCATCACTCTACTCCTTCTGATCTTTCTCAGACCAGTTGCAAGCAGGACGTCGAGCAATATTAAGCTGCGTGGCTGCTTTAACAGGTGTCAGGCCTTTTTTAAAGACTAAGTAGAAGATCCGCTTCTTGGTATCGCTACTGTGCTTAACATACGATCCTTTGCCAGAAGTTTCTGTTGCCTGGATTTTCTTTTTTTGTTCCTCTCGCTTTACAGCTTCGCCCCTAGGGGGCTTTGGATCTAAATATTGACCGTATTTGGTGACGTTGTCCAAAGAATATTACTCTTCATCGACCTCCATTTCTATAGGCTCATCAACAACATCGTCTCTTCCATTTTCATACTATACTTGAATATTCATCTCGACTTTCTTTAAAAAGGTGTTAAAAATTAAAGTAGAGACGTGCCAAAATACTTATTTGTATTCAACAACAAATTAAAAGTGTGCCGATTTTTATCGCCAAATGCGACAATAGTTTCGCGAAATAGTGTATAGTTCCCTCAAAAAGAAAAAATTTACAGGTTCAGGATAATACGCAAGAAATATACAAGATGCGAAATGCAAACGCCCAGAGTCATGTACTAATCAAGACAAATTTACCTGGAATCAACTGGCAACGTTTACCTTTTACACCACAAAGACAGTTGCCTCGCTCAGGCTTTTAGGGCATGCATGGAAAGAGGAAAAAAGTCATGCCACATGTACACTGTTTAAAAATTAATTCTATTTTTACAAATAACTACTCTTTAAATTTATCAAAAAAACTAAATAAAAAATTTTTGCAATTTTTTTTAAAAATTTTTAAACTTTTTTACAAAAATTTTAAATAATTATTTTTTAAAATATTTAACTCTAATTTTTTTTTTAATTTTTATTATTCTATTATTTTTTTAAAAAATGAATTAAAGAATAATTTAAAGTGAAATTTTTTTAATTTTTCAAATATACAAAAATTTTTAATTAGCTGCTATTTTAATTATTTTAATCTTTTAAATTATTTAGATATTTTTATTTTTTTAACATTTGGCAGAATTGTAGCTTGGTAGACACGTTTGCATGTAATAATTTTCTTGTGCTTTCGTGTACCCTTTGTCTGCTGGTCGCACACTTTTGCATTTTTTACTTTTAAAATATGTTTCTAAGGAAGTACGGTACCTGCAAATTTACCTGGACGTACATCATTCTGACTTATTTTCATTAAACTTTGTAGGCTAATAATTTGATAGAAAAATATCAAAAATGAAAGCACAGAGTGGACACGGCTTGAAGCAAAACATAAATTCAGTTTGATTCCAAATATAAGAAGCATTGAGAATATTTGGAGCCTAGTTTTTTTTTAGCTTATAAGATAATTGTCTAATCTAAAATGGACTTTACTATTTGCCAATACGGAAACGACAACATGTCTTATGATGGAAATGACACAGATGTTTTGATAATGGATGTTTGCGAAATTAGTTCACCCCTGGATAATGTTGCAAATCTCGTTCACTTTACTTATTTAAAGTCTCACAAGATGTAGCTGGATCCGAAAGAGCACTTTGTAAAGCAGCCTAGTTCTCTTTCTGAAACAGTCAAAAGCAAAATGGCATATCGCAAATGTAAAAAAAGAACAAGATTAGGTTTTTTTTTTGGTCTACGAGAAGCGAATGTTTAATCATAGCACTGCTGCTAAAATAAATATGTCTCATAGCGCTGCATACAATTGGCACAATAAAAGCCCAAAAAGTTTCGAAATGAATGGGTCTCTCGTGGAGGGCAAGTCTGGAAATGGTAGACCAGTGGGAAGGCCAGTAGTTTTGAATGATATCCATGAGAATCATATCATCAACCTCATTGATGAAATGCGGAGCACTTTTTGGATAAAACGATGGAGGTCCCAACCGACAATTACATTGCCATGGAGACATCATAGCTAGGGCCATTCAGGTCTGCAACAAAGAAATGTAGGATCAGTTTTAAAAGAGCACATCTCAATTCCATCGAGCGTAATTGCCTTCAAAAATGGAAAAAGATGTCAGTGGGTTCAGCGATGGGAAGCAACTGATTTGGACTATGAAAGTAATTGCGTATTTACAGACGAAGCAGCCTTTTACATCAACATGAAGCGCTCAATGGCTTGGTCAAAGAAAGAAGAGCGAGCAGTTGTTGTCACGCCAAAAACAAGAGTAAAGACAACTACTTAATTGGTGCCATTTCTGCGTATGGTGGAATTAAAGTAATGTTCAAGTTGGCTAAGGTAACTGCACCTTCAAAAAAGAGAAAGGCGGTCTTAGATAGCTCAACTGTTGTTGAAAAAGGCAAAGGTGGTCCAAATACAGGCCATTACTTTAATTTCATTGCAACAACCTTGGATGCCATGAGTAAGCACGGCAAACTGAATGGTCGTTATCTCGTATTAGATAATGCGCCTAATCATAAGCATGTGGGCATAAGAAGCTACATCGAGGCTCGTGGCTATGGTTGCATCTGTTTACCAACAATCCTGACACCTAGTAAGCCAGCTCTGAAGCCTAATATTGCCTGCCATACTGCTTACAACCGATATAAGAAAGTTCAGAAGGAGAAGAGAGAGGTAGAAGATGAATCTCTTGTACGAGGAGCAAATCCAGTATGTGAACTTTCACCAAACTATTGCCTAGTATGTTTGGATAGTTTATTATGACCTCATGGATGTCGATTTTTTAATTTAGAAACGATTGGAATGCGAGAAACTCCACTTTAAAGAACAGATTATCAGGCTCCTTGCTAATGTTTAGCTTTCTTGACAAGATGTTCGTATAGCTGAGCTTGTAGCTTTTGTTCTTTTCAATCTTGCTGTCCTCAGCTCAGCCTCCTTAGAAGGCCATGGGAATTTGTATAATATTTGTCTTTTTAACCTATTTTGGTTCGTTGGCTCCAATCAATGTAAATGACTAACTTTTTCGTTGGCTTCTCTGAAAATCATAATGGAATAATAGTGTTCAAGATCATGGTATTTCTTTTGCTTCGTAATTTCTCAATTCATTCACGCAAAGTAGCCCCACGTCTATGGTGTTTAGACATTATACTCCTATTTAATCTGATAACCCTCTTGTATATATTTGATTCGGTTTATATACTTTTGTGTCAAGGAATAGTTTTGAAGCACGTATCCAAATGTAGATAAATATGCGGATCAGATCCTGTTTGAGCACACTGGGTAAAAGTAGTAGATATGTTGTAGGTGTTATGGTAGTGGTCACGTGCAACACTATAACGATAAAATGAAAGTGTAAAAGCCTTTAAAACTAAGCCATAAGAAATATTGATGCGTCCCTTCATTAATTGTATAAAGGTAACGAAGTTAACAGTATCTCTTTGAAAGTTTATAAGGCTCATACAAAGGACTGTACCCGTGGAGTTTAGATTTCATTCAGAGGATGAGAGGATATACGCTAGTTTAGTTGCAACGGTGAGATCTATGCATAACAAAAAAGGCTTTGCTAGCTCATTTGGTAGAGTGGTAGATTTCAAGGGCGAAGATCCTAAATTTGAGTTCTTGCTGGACCTTTTTTTTATTTTGATACTTGTTTATTTTTGCTTATTTTCTCTTTTTTTTTGAGAGTTTCGTAATGTATAAACCATTTAGGATGCCTAGTACTCATGTTTTCGGTAGTATAACGTCTTGTTAAGAAGGTTTCTTTTTATTTTAGTGTTTTAATGCTCTGATTACTTGTACATTTGATTTGATACTAATACTAGTAACCTTTTGTTTGTGATCAGGTCCGCAGATTTCACTCATATGAACATTGTCCCCATTACCTTTTTGATCGTTTAGCTTTTCATCATCTATTTAGAGCACTTTTTACTCATAATGCTTCCATTTCCTTACTGATTTATTTATATAAATACTCTTTTGTATATATCTTCCCCTTCTTTAACTGATTTTCCTATTCGTCTGTCTAACAAGTTATGCATCAGTATGCCTATCCGATTAGTAATGTATCTATTCGTACGTTTCTACATCCATTTGTTTTAAAAAGAAACACACTCGTCTAAAAGAATATCTCAATTGCTATGATTTCTTGCCCATAGTTTATGTCTTTGACATTATTGCTCTTTTCCGGCTCAATGCCCTCGTTCTCCCTTATCTGTTCTCTGTTTCATGTTATCTGCGCCTTAATATTATTATGTTTTTGTGTTCTGTTACTTCCTGCTGTGTCTTGTATGTGTTCTGTACCTATTGTTGTGTTTTGTGTTCTGTACCTCCTGTTGTGTTCCGTGTTCTGTATTCCCCTGTGTTCTGTATTCCCTCGTGCTTGGCTTTATCGTATGATTTCGTTCTCCCTGTCGTTCCACCGGTTACTTTAGCTTTGGTATAAATACTGCAATAATTTGTATTTCGTTCCTTTTTCCTTTGTCAGATATTTTGTTTATCTTCTCTTGCATAAATAGACTGTCATTCTCTTTGTATCAATTTCTGTAAGTATAATTTGGGGCTCCGTTCGTGACATCGATTTTAAGTTAAATAATTGTAGTGTGAAAAAAAAGAACAGCGTTCTGGACAGTGTCCACCACAAAAAAAACCCTTCCCTTTCCTTTTTTGTTTTGTATAATGCCTATCATTTTAAAGGAACAAGCAGTGTGTATATTTTACTGCCAAGCGTATGAGTTTAATGTTGCTGAACAGACGAAAAGGATCGAAGAACTGAAAGGTGTTGACATATGTTATTTGGAAGGTTTCACTGAACCTATTTTGGCGTGTATCATAACTATAAACAACCAGCCATTTCGCTATCACTTGGATCCAACAAGAACTCTACGCACAGATGACAATCAACAAGAGGAAAATAAAGTCCCATTTGGTAATGATGGATGATAGCTGGCAGTTCTAAACGATATCTAATCTTTTTCTTTTTCTTGTATGATAGTCAACCATGCTCAGATTATTCATTTTCTTAATAGAACATATTTGCCTAGTGATCCAATGAATGAAGAAGTCTATGAATGCAAATCTTTGACCAACAGCGACATACTTTCAAAGGTTTGGAAATATAACGATTTATTTGACAAAAAGACCGTTATTTTTTTCGGCAAACGATGTGGCAGCGGGAAAGTCAGCGTACGCTGACTGCTTGTTGCAAAAGAAAAATAAATTAGTGAAGAAGTATTTTTTTGGATATCATTTATCTGTGTCGATCCCATTTTGAGATGATTTAGCAAAAAAAGTACTGAATTACTTGCCTCAATATCAGTTGTTTGTTCAAAATCTCAAGAAGGAAAGACACAACATTGTAGGCTATGCAAGAAAATCTTAAACAAGTGAAAACGATGAGCCTCGTATTTGGTTATTGCAACAGATGACGAGGAGATTAAAAGAAAGATCGTTGGTCGACAAGATTTTCGTCTTCCCTCGTGCCAATGCCAATGCCAATGAATTGATTGTGGAAAGGGATTTGATAAAAATCGAAGATCTTTTAAAACAACTGAATGTCGATAGCAATGCTCAAGGTAGAAAAAAGTCGTCAATGCATTCATCTTTGATTCTAACTATTCAATTTTTTAGTTTTGCTTAATTATTCTTGGTTATGCGGGTTTATCAACCAGTTGTTGGGAAATTGTTGCATTTGAGTGATTTTGTAAGTAGTCGTTTGGTTCATATTGTAAGACAGAAAGACAATTGCAAGAAAAACCAAAAAGCTATTTTTGCTAAAAAAGCCAAACAATTACTAATATTCTACATAACTCGATATACTCTTTTTAGATGAGTCTCATGTCAAACTCTTAGGAGTGCATCAACGTATTGCATTGTGCAAACTTTTTTTTTGTTTTTTATAAGAAACATTATTAGTATTATTGTACTTGTAAGAAAAAATAAAAAATTTTTTTTACTCATAAAGCTACTATCATTGTCGCAGTACTTGTCGCTTCATAACTTTTATTGTTGACAAAACGAACAAGTTTGTTCCCCACAAACAAGAAAATCAATAATTTTGAATGATATGACTTGCTTTTTAAAAAAATAAAATAAAAGTTGTTGACATTTCGAACAACATTGGCAAAAAAGTTACTTTTTCTTGTTTGTTTTGCGAACAATATTAGTAAAGTCAAACAACTAATCCGCCATAGTGTTTCGCATGACGTTTAGGAATTGCACATGACATAAATCCTAAAAACATGAATAAAATCATCTTTTTCTTTTTCTATTACAGAACTCATAATAAACAACAATAACAACAATTTCGACCATCTCATGAACACTTTCAGTGAGAAACAATTTATATTATTGCTATTTCTTAGACTTTGAAATATATAAAAAATTTACGCTAGACTTACACTTCTAAGGAACTGATGACGTAAGAAGCTTGCTAAATCTCAAATTGAAAATTAAATTCAAAGAAATAATTCACTTTAAGTCAAAAAAAGAACTTAAAATTAACTTTTATTCTATAATGTAAATATGCAATTGAATTAATTCTCTTATTTTTTATCGAATCATATATTTTAGTCAAAAACAAGTAGTATAAATATGGTATCGAGAAAAAGACCTGATTATCATCTTACAATCTTATAATCAAAAAAGAGATATTATTTCTCTGACTACTTAATTGAAGAAGAAATTTGGAAAATCTTGGGAAGATTGGATCTATCTGTCTGTCAATTGAAGCATACAAGAGAAAGGAAAGAAACAAATAAGCAAGAAGAAAGCTATTGCACAATACTGTTAATTGGAGTCTGTCCTTGGTAAGGCTATTGTCTTAGTAACCGGTTGCTCTGGGAAAGAACATACTTGGTAGTTATCTGAAGAAGGATGCTTTTAAGAACATTTATTAACATTATTATGTACCTTAGTTATTATTTATCTTATATTCTATTTGTTTTGTTGTCCATTGTATTTTGAATTATTTGTACTGGATTTGTAAGTGAAAATCCATTGATGAAATTATGACCGTTTACAATCTGTAAATAGGCTTTTTTTTTCTGTTTATCCGTATTTGGTCCGACAACATTAAGACTCATACTCGCAAACAATAAACAACACCTTCAATATATCGACTGAATTATCATTATACCCTGACAATTCTGTTCAGTGAATATTTTCACAAGGTTTGTGTGCAGTAATACGAATCACGTGACGATAAAATATTCTCTAGCCAACGACATTACTAGGAAATTACTCTAAAAGGCAGTGACGTCAGTGTTGTGATAGAATAAATACAAGATAAAGGGCTTGAATGTATCGGAGATTGAAGTCTATAGGTGTACCCCAACTTTGAGAGCCAATAGCTTTTCGTGAAGTAATCGCAAAAAGGTCTGGTAAAAACTGTACTATAGAAGGCTAATACTGTCTATTTGTATACCAAATCTCATCCTATTCGCATAAAAAAAGTCGGTTCTGTATGTTCACAACAGTGGTAAAAGTCAATCACTTACAAATAGTCGTATATTTCAGTCACTGCTTTCAGTTCCTCATCATTCTTTGACTATTCTTCCAACGTTGTTTGCTTTACGAAAGTCACAAGGTCTTTGTTACTTGAAATCTTTTGCTGTTTGAAGGGTAAATAACGTTGATAAAGTTAAAAAGGACATGGTGCA